ACAAAGCAGAGGAGGGGGATGGTGGCCACGGTTCCGGCGTACAAGATTCGGCATTTTTAGGATACAAGATACAAGGATCTCTTGTTGTTTTATATAATAATCTAGCTATTCTGGTTGATTCTACATATATGTAATACGAACAGCTATGCTTTATACGGCTAAAGCAGCCCCAGCGCTAGCAGGGAGCGCTGCTGGCCCGCTCATATTACCCCCTTGTACTGGACTACCTAGTTGGTGAAAGGACTACAAGGGGGTAACCTGAGCGGGCTGCTCGCCCTCCCTGTCAGTTTTGGGGGCATTATAGTCGTACCCGCACTATTTTCCTAGGATATTACTATAATGCCCCTAAAACTGACAGGGAGGGCGAGCAGCCCGCTCAGGTTACCCCCTTGTATGCACGGGGAGCTTGGCACAGGACGACACAGAGATTTGGCTGCATGGAGATGATATCATTGGAAGCCACTCTCCTGGACCCTGGGAATGATCTTCTCGGTTGCATGCGAGCGTGGAAGGTCCTTTGTGTCGTCGTGAGTGCTGCAGGATGCATTTGAAGGAGGCGTGGAGCTCGATCCGGAGAGAAGAATGACCTCCGGCGAGGCTGGAGAGCAGCCGCAACCAGCTCCCGTATTGCAGCAGGTGGTGGCGGGGTGAGGAGACATTGAGCTGCATTTAGAGTGGCAAGGCTGATAAATTTGGCGTCAGAATAGCGCGAGGGCCAAGGGCCGTTGCGAAGCACCCCGGCGCGGCCCCATCTCGAGGCTATCTTTCTTCTCAACCGTGGACCCGCCGCTGCACCGCTTCCTCACGTCACTCGTTAATCAATCTGTTTCATGCCTGCTTCCTCTGCCCTCTGCGTCCTATTCTAATACCCATTCACTCGCTGCTACATGACCTACGCCCCTCGATAGCGCTCGACGGGCCCTTCTCCGATGGGAAAGTGTACGCAGCCCCCTCAGCTCCTTATCGCGACATCTGCTCACAGCCCTCGCTGACTTTGACGCTTTCACAGGGAGATATGGTGTTATTCTGGATGCTGGGTCGTCGGTATGCGCCGGAAATACGCCTCAACGCGCGCCGCTTAACTGACTGGTGAAAGGGGACCCGTGTCCATATCTATCGATGGCTTCACAGCGACTACGCCCGCGATTCCGCGAACGAAACCGACCTAGAACGCCTTCCTGCTCTTCACACGAAGAAGAAATGGACGCTGAAGAAACATCCTGGTGAGCCCAGTGCTGTCTGTTTTGTTGCGCGGCGCGGTTTGCTGATAGCGGTTATCGTATAGGGATCTCGACTTTTGGCGACAACCCCAACGAGGTCGGTCCGGAGTATCTTGCCGACCTACTTCAACATGCCCTCGATGTCATACCCTCCGATGAGGTCGCAAATACACCCATATTTCTGCTGGCTACTGCTGGCATGAGGATACTACCACCGCTGAAACAGAAAGCTTTGCTGGAACAGGTCTGCACGTACGCGCGGAAGACAACCGAGTTCCTGCTACCGGACTGCGATCTGCACATCAAGGTCATTCCTGGGGAGACTGAAGGGCTGTATGGGTGGATTGCTGCCAATTACCTTCTCGGAGGATTCGACAAGCCTGGAGAGCACGACCATGGAAACGGTCATCACACATATGGATTCCTGGACATGGGAGGTGCATCGGCACAGATTGCATTTGCTCCAAACAGCACAGAAGCCGAGAAGCACGCAAACGATCTGACCCTCCTACGGATGAGAACGCTGGATGGCAAATCATCCGAATACAAAGTGTTCGTCACCACCTGGCTAGGATTTGGGGTCAACCAAGCTCGGAAACGATACGTCGATAGCCTGCTCGAAGCGAGTCCCAAAGCTATTGAGCTACCTGATCCTTGCCTTCCCTCCGGCCTCAATGTTACTACTACAGGCCATCCCATAGAACTAGGGTCCGACGAGGACCTAGGGAAGGCTCCACATCTTCTTGGAACAGGAGACTTCCCAGGCTGTATGAGCTCGACGCTGCCACTTCTGGAGAAAGACAAGCCATGTCCAGACGAACCCTGCCTGATCAATGGTATCCACGTTCCCGCTATAGACTTCGATGTGAACCATTTTGTGGGAGTATCAGAATACTGGCATACCACGCACGAAATATTCGAGATGTCACACAAAGACAAGGCTTACGATTTCCACACTTACCAGGAACGGGTACTAGAGTTCTGCAGTCAAGATTGGGATAAAATACAGAAAGGGATTAAAGATCACACGTGGGGCAAAAAGGTCGATGAAACGACTGCCCTTGAAGTTTGTTTCAAGGCATCCTGGTTAATCAATGTTCTTCATGAAGGCATCGGTGTGCCACGAGTTGGGATAGAACCCATTAAGGGCGGACACAATGGCACCAAGGAAGTCCTCGACCATGCAAAAGAGAAGGGCTATCTCGACCCTTTCCAAGCTGTCAATAAAATCGGCGATGTCGAAGTAAGCTGGACACTGGGTAAAATGGTCCTCTACGCATCCAGCGAAGTTCCAGCGTCACCAAAAGAGCTAGCAGTCGGCTTCGGCAGCAACGTCCCCGGCATCCCCTCCGACTTCCAATACGCAGGCGGAAAATACGTAAAAGCGGACCCTCACGACGAAGACGATGACTGGCACGACAATCTCTTCAAAGACTCTCCCCGCCGCATCCCGGGCCTCGTAATCTTCATCCTAATCGTCTGCGTCGTTCTCTTCCTGCTCTGCGGCCGCGACCGTCGCAAATCCTTCCTCCACCGCGCTCTCCACCCCTTTACCCGCCACTCCAGCTCCCTCAAGCGCCGCCGCGGCTTCGGCGGCAAGCTCTTCGGCCTCGCCGGCTCCCCCTCCTACGAGCGCGTGCTCGAAGGCGGCGAGGGCGCCGAGGAGTTCGAGCTCGGCGACGTGGATTCGGACAACGAGCACTCCGACTCCAGCGAGGGCAGCCGCGTCGGCAGGACGTCCGGGTGGGCGACGCCGCAGATCAAGGCCGGGTTCGACCCTACGCCGCTGAGCTATTTCGATAATCCGATCACGCAGGGCGCCGGGCTGGGGTTGGGGCCACCGGGCGTGTTTAGCAATGCGATTGGGAGGGGCGGGTTGATTTCGCGGACGGATAGTAGGGAGAGGTTGGCGGGGGTGGGGTCGAGCCATAGGAGTCGGCCGGGGAGTCCGACTAGGCTGAGGAGTCCGATGATTCCGTTGAAGGAGTCGGTTGATTGAGGAAAAAGGAGTGAGATGGATGTGGTAATAGATGGCGTTTTTTGCGGCTGGGTGTGTGGCGCTTTTGGATTGAGGCGTTAAGGGGTCACGCATTGGGGACCGGATTTGGAGTTGACTAGGTTACCCGGCATGCTTCTGAGGCCGTATTGGGGACCCTTGGCGTTGTCGTTTGGGGGTGTTTTGCCCTCGCGCTGTGTGTGGATGGATTAGGCCGCTCATTATAGCAGCCTGCGAGCCGGACTCTGTACTTCTTCTGTTCCTTTACACACCCGTCTCTGCAGGAGACACGAGTACGTTCGAGTGCACGATACATTAATACGATTCCTTGCAAAAGAAGTCATTCTTCTCCTATTCCCGTGAAGCGACGATATCGTAGACATTGTAGATACCTCGGAAGAGCTGTGGGGTTCTACGGCTTTTGTCCACCGCGTGAGTCCTGGTAGAACATGCGGCCGAAATGTGTACCTGGTAGGGTTGATGAACGAGCACGTAGGGTGCCCTCTTATAACCAGTCTTGTCAATGGGCGTACGATATAGAAGGGTCTGATGGCGAGTTCGGGCTGGATAACTTTGGGAGGTTCTGGTGGGTAATGGGAGGAATGGGAGTAATGGGCAGCAATCTTGATGTTACACGTCATGTTATTGGTTGCGGAGGAGAAAGTGAGGATAGATATCTGGTTCAGCGAGAGTTTTAAGGTTGTAGGTTGAGGTCATCATCAGTGTGGATCTCCTCTTCTCTGGGGTGAAGATGCTGAATTGTTCTAAAACGAACATCAGAGTTTTACGAGGTTTCCTGCTATGCGATTGTCCACAAAAAGGTGCTTATCTCTCGGAGGTGAAGAAGCTGGCCCAATCAGGCAGGCCGACGCGGGTGAGTATTCGAGCTTTGCGTTCGCCCCGCCCTTGAAGCCTTGGAAGTTATGGCTGCAGCCCGCTATAAGTCTCCTCCGGGCCCGTGGGCCTGACTCACTTGTCTTCTTCCCTTCTTCTACCTGGAGCCTTCTCTTCCCACACCACAAAGACGCCAAACGTCGGCCGTTATCGCAGCCACCCCGTTGCCAATCCCGGCAACAAACCCTGCGATAATGGCACCCTCAGAACCAATTCACGCTCGACCGACGGCTGAATCTTCGAGCGGCATTGGGAACAGCTTCAGGTCGCAATTGGAATCCTTCAGCGTCGGATCGCCCATCGCCGAAGCTGCCATTCAGCGGGATCTCGAAGAGGGTGGCGATGACGCCTATCCTAGCTCTGACGACGATGACGAAAGTTCTTCGGGATCATCCACAGTGCATCCTTCAGAGTATTCCATGAGAGACGCCTACCGGAGACCAAGCTATGTGAATCCTGGGTTTCGGTCTGCTGTCATCGCTTCACAATCAGTCCCGGAGCACAGCTACCTGACGAAACGAGAGCGACAACAAATCCGGGAGGAAGAGAGGAGTTTGCTACGAGACAACCTACTTCTTCCACCAAAGCATCCGCGGCGAGAAAGCGAGAGTGGCCTGCCTGCGCGTTTGGGCAAGCGACTGTCGATCGCAGGGCTGAGAAAGGTGCGAAGTGCAGCAGATGAAGAATCAGCCATCGAAAGAGATGATGAGCCATCAGAGCATTCAGCACTATTGGGAGCGGACCCTACTAAGCCCTATGGAGGAGAAGACACTCCAGAGAACATCAACAAAAAGTGGGTAGAAGCAGTCGCAGCTGGCAAAATTCAAACGACCTGGCAACGAGAGTCGAAAACGCTTGCCAGATATTCTGCTCCTTTGATAGTCACATTCCTCTTGCAGTATTCGCTCACCGTGGCGAGTATTTTCACTGTGGGCCACATTGGCAAGGTGGAACTTGGAGCTGTGAGTCTAGCAAGTATGACAGCAAATATAACCGGCTATGCCGTCTATCAGGGCCTTGCTACCTCACTCGACACTCTCTGCGCACAGGCATACGGCTCGGGCCACAAGAAACTTGTAGGGTTGCAGCTTCAACGCATGATCTATTTTCTCTGGGTAATTACAATTCCCATTGGCGTTATCTGGCTAAGTGGAACCGCTATCCTCTCCGCCATTGTCCCAGAGAAGGAAACTGCAAGGCTCGCCGGAATCTACCTAAAGATCCTTCTCGCTGGGGCCCCTGGATACGCAGCTTTCGAGAGCGGCAAACGCTTCCTCCAGGCCCAAGGCCTCTTCACTGCAAATCTGTACGTGCTGCTGATATGCGCACCGCTCAACGCCCTAATGAACTACCTCTTCGTCTGGGTCTTCGACTGGGGCTTCATCGGCGCCCCAATCGCAGTCGCTGTGACCGAGAACCTCCTTCCCCTCTGCCTGTTCCTCTACGTTCGCTTCATCGACGGCATGGAGTGCTGGGGCGGCTTCGAGAAGCGCGCCCTGCGCAACTGGGGCCCGATGATCAAGCTCGCACTGCCAGGCCTCGTCATGGTACTCGCAGAATTCCTCGCCTTCGAGATCCTCACCCTGAGCGCCAGCTGGATCGGGACGACCGCGCTCGCAGCACAAAGCGTGCTGAGTACGGTCACAGCTATCACGTTCCAGATCCCGTTCCCGATGAGCATTGCGGCTTCTACACGCATTGCGAATCTCATCGGTGCCACGCTCTCCGACGCTGCTAAGACACATAGCCGTGTTGCGCTCTGTGGAGCTGTTCTTATCGGAATCTTTAATGTTACCCTCCTCAGCACACTGCGCAAGTACATTGCTGTCCTCTTCACCAACGATCCAGACGTTGTAGAAGTTGTTGCGTCGCTTTTGCCCCTGTGTGCGGCGTTCCAGCTCTTCGACGCGCTGGCGACGACGTGCAACGGTATCTTGCGTGGATTGGGTAGACAAGAGGTGGGCGGCTACGTGAGTATCTTCGCGTACTACTGCATCGCCATGCCGATATCGTTTGGGACGGGTTTCGGGCTTGGGTGGGGCTTGTATGGGCTTTGGGCTGTAAGTAAACCATACCGAAGCTGTGTTGAGAAGAAGCTAACCGGGAATAGGGTCCTGCAATTGCATTGGGTATTGTGGCGGCAATTGAGGGCACGTTTATTTATAGAACGAGTTGGCAGCGGGCGGTTGATGAGGCGCACAAGAGGAACACGATGGGTTGAATGCCCGTTATGTATGTGCAAGTCAACATGGTAGTTAGTTTGCGATCTGTAGTAAGTATTCCATAGTTTTCTTATCGGGATACCTTATCATAGAGTTGGAGTCACGGAGTTCAGGAAGTGTGAGGCGTTAATGCCGGCATTCAAAATATCAAGCTACTGGTGTAGCAGATCACATCATCTAGGGCATCCTGAACCTGATACGTTGTGATATTTTCAGCAACTCAAGCGCCAAATAGGTTGCATAACTGTTTTCCGTATTCTCACTGAGCCCAACTCATATTTCACTGCTAGAAGTACACGGATATCATCGACACAAAAACAAAAACAAATCCCAAACCTGTCCCCCAACGCGCACTACACCATGGCCTACTCGAGTCACCACTCCCTACCCATCAACATCAACCCCCGGCTCCCCTTGCTCCGCCACCCCACCCATCTCTAATCTCGCACTCGCCCTCAAACCCCCGGTCGGGCTCATAGTCTTCGGCAAACTATCCTTCAAAAAGCAATTCCCCTCTCCCCCTCCGCCAAACGCCTCGGTCAGATTCGCATTGTAGCTCACAGCCACACACAGAATCCCGCCGCCGTCCTGCGCCCCCGCGTTCCTCTCCGCGCACGCGCTCATACACTCCTCGAACGTATACGCCGTCGTCACGCGGAGGTCTTTCACAGGCCGAGTCCCAACCTCCACGACGACGTCGGCGGGGATGTCGGCGGCGCAGTTGGACGTGAATGTTGCGGTGGTGTTGCGCGCGTCGACGGTGTACGCGCGGGAGTGCGTCGTGCAGTCGTTTGCGGCGATGCCGACGGTGCCGGAGGTGACGGGTTTTGAGGACGGAGAGGTACTAGGGGTGCTGGGGGAGGGCATGTTTAGGGTAGAGGTAGCGGAGGTGTTGACGTGGTGTTTGTGCGATTTGGTGGCGCGGCCGACGGTGACGCCGACGATGATGCAGATGGTGAGGAGGAGGAGGAAGGCGGCGATGCCGAAGAGGGTGCGTTTACGGGAGGCTGAGGGTGGTGTGGCAGTGGTGGCTTTTTCGGGGTCGGGGGACGAGGAGGTCGTGCTGGGAGTGTAGGCGGGTGGGCCTGGGAGATAGGCTGGGGGCGGGGTGCTGGGGATTGCAGAGTACGCGGCTGGTCTGAAGCTGGTTTGTGCGGGTGGTTCTAGTTGAGGGATTGGTTCGTGGTTCCCTGATCTGAACGTGTCTTGTTCGGTTTGGAGTTGAGGTATATCGCGTTCCGAGTGTGATGGGACTATTGGTGATACAGGAGACGCTGAACGCTCAGGTTGGTGGTGCTGGTACTCCATTTCTACGGTGCTTCTGCTTCTTCGAACTGGATTTGGAGATTCTAGCAATGACGTTCGCATAAGGAGTGAGGTAAAAATAGAAGATACGTGACGTAGACTAATATGATGATTGAAAGGAACAGCTGAGAAACTTTCAACATAGAGAGAACCCGAGAACAAACAGGACACGACACGTCTCAAATACCAAACGACCCAACTGCGACACACCCACCTGTGCCCCAACCTGTGCCGTAGCGCTAAATCCTGATGTTGGTTGATGCTATTCTGGAACACGTAAGCTGTGCCTCCGGAACATCCTGAGGGGTGCTTCTGCAAGCCCGCTGTAGTGTGACGCAAATAAAGAACCCTGGGTCAACAGTGTGCAAAGTTTCGTCGCCCTTATCCATATTCGCGGTATAAGTCACTGGGAACGCTGGCTTCCATTGGTCTGTGAGGCGGCAAGGCACCGAGTTCAAACAGCTGCGAAAGCTGAAACTGGGGTTTGCTCGGCAGACATACCTGGCGGTTACAAGGAGTCGCAGTCAAAACGACCTCTCAACGCGGGGAATGATCGTGACAGCGGCGAGGAGCGCGCTTACCTAGCCTTGTGGGTGCGCCCGAGGAAAGATGTCTGCTATGGACGATGAGTACACGGATATATCCCAGCACCAGCTGCACTCTTGCGCGATCGACACCACCGTAAGGAGTAGCCCAGCTAGCAGGTGTTAGCTTCGCCCATTTACATCGTAATCGAAGTTTTGAAAGCCCCAATTTCTCTAAGCGCGACCAAATCTGCACGCAAAACCCTCACCAATTCTCGTTAGTAGGTGAATCTCGGATGGGGGTAGACAACTTAGACTATCTATACATTTTATTTAGCTAAACACAATTCAAAAGGGCGTGTAGGTCAGTGTAAGTAATCCTTCGTATCGCTTTCGCCTCTTATAAATCTAACATGTCGCCAGGGTAGAGTATGAGATTGCAGTTCATCGGCAGTTATCATCTTAGTGTCCTCGGTGGGACTTTTTTGCCTTTTGCAGTTTTTTAACACATCCTCACATTAAATAAGGCGAAGGCTTTTGCTTTTTCTTTGTCTTTGTAGTACGTTCATCTGCGATTATAGTTGTTCTTCAAATAGAAGATCTAACTGAAAGAGCTGTCTGGGAGAAAGAAAATATCATGGGGTGGCTGGCGAACGCCACAATGCCAAGCTAAATCTTCCTAGGTTCGATCTCGCGCTACCTGAACATCGCGACTTCGCGGTCTGTCATTTACACCACAACGACGATGCTTTTACAACTCCTCCGCCGCCTAGTGCGGCCGTCCGCATTCTCATTCCCTCGGCGAACAGCCTCATGCGCCATCCACAATCCAATTGCTCGAGTAGTATCGCCGACCTCCCTCGTTCTCCCCATCCGCTCCTTCTCCGCATCAGCACCGCGCCCAGCAACCTTCAACCAAGTCCTTCGAGGCGCAAGACAGTCACAAACAGCTCGGAAGCTGAGGTCCCCGGCCTTGGCTAATCGACCGGAGATGAAGGGTGTGTGTCTAAAGGTTGGCACGACAAAACCTAAGAAGCCCAACTCGGGAGAGAGGAAATTTGCGAGGGTCAGGTTGAGCACTGGGCAGGTCGTTACGGCGTATATTCCTGGCGAAGGTATGTCAAGTGCCTTTCTGAGAAAGGAGATGTACAATGACTTTGGAGCGATTCTTGGATGCAAAGAGTTAAGGCTAATACGGAGGCAGGCCATAATGTGCAGCAGCATTCAGTGGTTCTTGTTCGAGGAGGAAGAGCACAGGATTGTCCAGGTGTGAAATATAGGTTGGTTAGAGGAGCTTTGGATTTGGTGAGTTTAATTCGCTTTGACATGTACCCAATCATCTGATAGTTTTTAGGGCGGAGTAGGCAACCGGATCACCTCAAGATCGAAGTACGGAACGAAGAAGCCGAAGGCGACATGAACCATTCTTTGTATACTTGTATATGGTACTGTAAAATATCTAGAGTACCTGGCGTTGACTGAGGGATGCCTGTGAATAGCATAGCCACGGAAAGGGGAATAACCGGTGCCACTATGACTGCGTAAACACAAATATAGGCATTTGAGAGGTTGCTGATTCTCGTTGTAAAGATCTTCACATTACATCTGGATTCTGGCACTACATTGAAGGATCTACTTTGCAGTTCCGCATCCTGGCTTCAGCTACGTTGTCTTATCAATCCGGATCTCTTCGCCTCACACTCTCATTTCTTGCTTCCTTAACGTACGCTTTCCCGAGACGGTACTCTTCCCGTGCCGTCATCCTACGATGATAATAGCCTCAATTAGCTTCCAAAGGGAGCTGACGACATCATGGTATGATGTCCGTAGAAGTAACCTTGCTGCTATTCCCTGCTGCTCCCCCGGCGGCCGTCTGGACTCTTTGGATCGCTGGATCGCAAGATCTTGACTCTTCCCTCTCATGACGTTAATGGCTCCGTCTCGTGCATGAGCTCACATTGTTTCGTGAATTGCAATGTTCGCAATTCATGAGATCAAAACTTGCATCGCAGCCAAGCGAAACCGACGTGCAATGGTCCGAGAACAGAACGGCCAACAAAGGCAATATGGCCGTCCTTTAACGCGTCAGCTCCAGACCCCTCTATCTGCACCTCAGCTAAAGCGTGCGTAAGTCTAGAAAAGGCGACGTGGTAGCAGCTCATGAGGTCAGCGCAGCCAATCAACATGCACGCAAATGTCAGCCAGCTGAAGAACACCACCACGAAAAACATCGGCGCCTCTTAACGGCCGGAACGTGCGCCACCGCTTCTAGACTTTAAAGCGACGAGACTGCACCTCTTTTTCAAAAGTAGGCTCGTTCAGCCTTGACTTCTTCACCTTTGTCTGTTGTATGCTCTTTTCGAGCTTCCCCACGATGCTCTCGGCTAGAAGATCGACTGCCGTCGTCGCTCTAACCTACTTCGTGTCTAGTATGGGTTTTATATTCTCTTTAATAAATGAAGAGCTGTGTGCTGACGCTTCCCCAGCTCTTCTTACATTTACCACGGCGGCCCTTACTCCACGCTCAAACTCGATTGTAGTAAGAGAGGAGAGTGCTGCCTCTGCATTTGTCTATGGGGTTGATGGCGGAAACATCACTTTCGCCATAACAGCAGTTAAGTCAAATGGCGACATCTGGTTTCATATGGCTGCACCCTCCAAGTACTCATACATTGCTTTTGGTACTGGCAAACAGATGGACGGTTCTACAATGTGGTTTGGCTATGCCAGCTCGGATGGTAAAGGTAAATTTAGGCTCACTGATCTTGACGACTCTAACCTCAATCTTCCACTACATGTTCTCCTCACTCACCACTTCTAGGGGCTACGCTTTCCCCTCGCACCTCGGGTGACCACGTCGAACCGGAGTATAGCTCCAAAATCAAATGCAGCCTCGTTACTGACGGGTTTGAGAACGGTGTCGTAAACAAGACTCTTCTCGTGAACGGCCACTGCACGAACTTCACCGCCGCACAATCCGGCAAGAACGGCGACTCAAAACTCAACTTCGACTCCACCCAGCAGTCCTTCATTTTTGGTCTTGGTCCTACGAGCCATACGCTCCACTCGAACGACTTGGATGCTGGCATCCGGCGGCATACCGAGTACGGCACCTTCCAAATGGACTTGACCAAGGCCACCGTGCACGACGGCGATGGAGTGACGCCTCCCAAAGGTGCCGCAGCGTGGACGAACTCAAATTCGGGAAAGGCTGAAGATGTGACGACTGGGGATATGGATTACATCATCCCCGTCCACGCTGTGGCTATGTGCGGCGCGTTCGTGCTCCTGTACCCGGGCGGCGTACTCCTCCTACGTGTCTTGGAGAAAGTCATGTGGCACGCCTGGATGCAAGGCCTAGCAACTATCATAGCCATTCTCGGAGTGGGACTAGGCATCAAACTCAGCTTGACATATAACCACGTAAGCATCCCTTCCCTTTTCACCCCACCCTTTTCTTTCCTGGGTAGCCTCCACTAAACCACCCAGTCCAAATCCTTCAACGCCGCCCACCAACTCATCGGCCTGGTTGTCGTCCTCGCCTGTGTCGTCCAATTCGCTCTCGGCTACCTCCACCACCGCGCCTACAAGCGCACGCAGCGCCCTACGCCTCTCGGCCGCATCCATCGCTTTGCCGGCCCCGTGATCCTGCTCATCGGTATCACTAACGGCTTCACAGGCTTCAACTTCTCCGATAATGCAAAGGACAATATTTGGTACGGTGCCGTGGTCGCGATAGTGCTTGTCGTCACTGTGGGGTTGCTTATCTGGGCTCGAATTCGAAATGGGCGGCGGGCTAAGAAGGCGACGAGTCAGGAGTTTGGGCTGCCGGCGTATGAGGGGATGAGGGGGGAAGGAGGGAACGATAGTGGTGGGTATGATGCGAGTAGGTATGGGAGCAATGTTCATTTGGGAACTATGTAGCCGAATTATGATGATAGTAGAGCATATCGCCGAGGCCGATAGTATAACACGGTTATTAAAGAGAGAAGTATGGAGACGAATCAGCGCCATTTTTCCTGCGCATGTGTCCTCATAATTTATAGCGTTGAGGGCCACAAGGCCTTCTGGATGTATGAGACTTGTAGACATTGTCGGTTAATTGGCTCCTTGTGTTCTTCGTTTAATTCATGATTGGTTATACTACTAAGTGTTCCAATGGAGACCAACCTTTTCAGCAGGACTCCAGACTCCAGACCGTCCCAAGGTTCATGCTTCCAAGAATACATTACCGTCTAGAAAGGTATGGGTTGATTGGAGACTTCTAGGTGACCTTACTTTGCCTTCCTTCTTACTACCTGTGATGAATGGTTATAGCAGAGGCTGTCTCCGGACATTTCAAAGATCGTTCTTTGCTCTCTCTTCTCGTCGCATGGCTCTACCGAGACTCTGCGACGATGTCCTTCTCGATATCTTCTTTCTTGCAGACATCAATACTCTCCTCAACCTACGTCTTGTCGCAAAGCACTTTCACACCCTAATCGACCGCTTCATGACTTCGCTTTCACGAAGTGTGGTAGCGTCTAATTTTCCGGGAGATCCTGACATGCTACAACATTGGCCTGGCAGCTATGATCTCGAGTGGCTAAAAGATCAGCTAATATGTGAGCGAATTGCGGAAATCTTACTCGAGCGAATACACGGAGTTCCCTATCAGGCTCGAAGGATTTGGCTATACTTGAATGATCACTCCTTAGGCAACTGTCCCACAGACCAGATGGAGCCGCTCCTCAGCGACCTGATTTCAGGCTTGCAGATACTGGCGACTTTCTCTGATTTTGCCAAAGGGTAGAACAGATTCCTCTATCAGATCTGCCAAAGTATAGATCTGCCGATTGTGTTGCGCGATGGGGGAAATACAAACTATGTGTGGAAATCGCCAATGGAAGCTCCCATTTTCCTAATGAAGAAGACTTTTGCGTCGAGAAGAAGAGATCGCGAGGCAACGAGCCTCTTTTACGGAAAAGTTGCCAAAGAGGAAGATACGAGCTTTCTTGGCTGTTTTGTGGCTTCTCAGTATCGTCTTCGGGGAATTTCCGGACTGGGTAGAGCCTCCTTTTAAGATGTCCTATTACGAAGGTGTGCTATCAGGGGATGTATTCCTACACGCACATTGGGTCAGATGGTACATGCTGAAGGAAGGGCTACAAATTTTCTGGAATCACTGGTGTGGCAAACGTGCTTATCAAGGACAAACAAACTTGCTTGGAGAAAAAATTGAAAAGGGTTGGAGTAATCAAGACGCAATCATGCGCGCGATTAGCTATAACGCATATCGCAAAACATAAAAAGCTGTGCAAGCTTCAAGAGCGATGCTGCATAGTGTGCGAATGTAGACTGCAATATACGATCAAGAAATACCGAGTTTCGCTGACCACGGCTCAGGCCCCTTTCGAGGCCAGACTGGACTCCAAGAAATTCAGACAGTCCTATTGGAAAATAGTCCTTTTCGATCCTTCCTCTCGTGATAAGTTGGAGAGCATTTCATAGCTATATCTGGGCCGTAGATCAGGACGGCAGCGTGAAGATGGCGCTTGTCGCGACCAACCATCGGCCTGATTGTCGTTCTTGACAAGATGGAGGTCAAAGGTCGCCTTGGAGTTATCTCTTCGATGTGCCATCGGCTACTAGATCCGGAGATTTCAGGATCCAAAAACGCCCATTTTCGGCGTCATCCAATCTCTCTTCGTCCTGTTGAGTTTAAATTGGCACCGGTGCGAGGCATAGAAGGGCGCCAGTCCGTGCGATTTAGGGTTAGTTTAGAGATGGAACCGGCATAGCTTGCAAAACAGGTCATGGAATTAGGGGGCATGTAGATTGACGTCCTCAGTCAGACCAAATTAGCTATCCATACAAATTGTCCAAGCCTTCTAGTGAATCATTGAGAAAAGCAGTTTCTTTACCTTTTCGCATCATTCCTCGATTTCTCAGGTTGTGAAGAAGCAGTTCTGTGTTGATTTGAAGAGGCATAAGGCCCGTATATATAGCCTATGAAAGGGGGGGGTACTCCCCTGTTCCCCCTTGTTACGGATATGGAAGGATGTAACGCCACTGACACGCTAGTAGTGGCAACCTGAGTCGATTCGTCCATCTGCACCTTCTGGAGGCGTTCAAGGCTGTGTAATTGCCAATCCCGCCCTCCTCGTTGATCAATACGTACAGTGACCACAGTATCCACAGCTCTCGGAACATGCTGTATAATCAACTTCATGCTCATCTGCGTTTCCCCAAGTTGCTTCAGTCATCTTCTCAGAAGTGGGCTGTGCATTTGCGAGCTTGTCGCTCGATGACTTGCTGATAGCACACTTCTCGCCATCCTCCCACGGATTAGCTACATTAACAGACTTTCGACCCAAGGCCTTCGGTCCTTGCGCCCACTTAGCCTTGAGGCCCGAGGGGAGAGCATCTCTTCCTTCATCTGGCTGTTCTCGGATCTCAAGACGGTCAGCAACCGGTCGGTAGACTTCGAACTTCGCATGGGATGAAGTCCTAGCAAAATCGACGATCTTGTGCATAAGAGCTGCAAGGCGGGTGAGTGCGTTTGCATTCTCCTCCTCCCAACCCGCAAGATCGCGCCGGATGTCTTTCTGGCGGATGTCACGGAAGATACCGTCCCCGTGGTGGTAACCCACGATGAAGTTGGGGGTTTGTGTGACCCAAAGACGAGGGTAGACATCGGTCATGTCGATTTCTGGTCTGTGTCTGTTGGACCGCGTTTTAATATCGAAAATCGCGGTCTGAGGCATGCGGAAGCCTGCAGTCTCGACTTTGAGCTCTGCTGCAGTCTCTGAACGGGTCGGACTAATGGAGGCAGTTGTGAAGGAGTCAACAAGAGATGCGGGGTCTAATGTTACAGGTGCTGCAGCTTTCCGTGTTGCGACGTCAGGATGATCGGGTAAGTACCCATCGCACTCGAAGCGCACCACGCAGTCGAAACCACCAAAGCTGTACTTGATGAGTCGCTGGTGGGACTCTGATCCCTTAACATCCGAGGCCCAGGTCGTGTAGTTTTCGGGGAAGGTGTGGCCATATCCTCTCACATTCGGGATGAGCTCAGTTGGCGAGTTCTCTTTACGAATGAAGAAGACAGTGTTACCAATCACCTCGACGCTGAATCGGAATGGCTTGTCTACGCCAGATGCAAATCTCAACAGGTTCCCGAAAGTGCTGCCGCAGCCGAAGATGTCGATATCCGTAGTCTGAAACTCGGGATGCTCTTTAAATAGGGCCTGGATGGCTGGCTCTGTCGGGTAAGTCGCGAACCTCGCAGCATTTGGATCTCTAAAGAATTTGCCCGAGTCTTCGCGGAGCTTCCGAGGGCTGTCCAAGGGCGTCCAGGCTGGGGGTGCTCCTGAGTTGAAGTTTAGCTACGACATAGCCATGTAGGAGAGGGGGGCAGTGCTTGCAGCAAAGCACTCACCAGGCACTACGATTGTTGGGCTTTTCTTGTTCAGCCAGCTATATGATGCTACATATTTGGCATCTATTATGGTCGGAGGCAGGGTGGTAAGCTCTTGCAGTTCAAGGTCTGCCTGGGTGAGAGCCATCAGCACCGGCCCGAGTGGACGAGTTTCGATATCAGGTGTCGGTCCGGATCGACCCCTCCAAGACGGAGCGGGGTATCGTTTGGTCCCAGGCTGTCCATTCCAGCGGGGTGTCGTTATTTCGGTAGAGGGCGTGGCTGAGGCAGTGTGCGGCGTAGGGTCCATCCAGCTGCTGCGGCCGGCGGCAAGACGATGAGACATGATTGAAAGATGGGAGCTCGCTGAAAAGCCTCGCTGGCACAGCAGAACAAGTAATCAAGGAAAGAATGGCGGGGAAGTAGCAAGCTTTAAACTTCCCAGACCACCTGGTGCAAGGCTGAGCTTGAAACGACATGATTCGTCCTTTCATGTGGCACGGAGCTGTACAAACCTGGAAGATGCAGGAAGCTGGAGGCAGCAGCGACGCCGCTGCAATGCAGGCAAGAGTTCCAATCGTTTAAAAGAGCTGAGGCCGAGACTCTACTGATAACAAAACGCACTGCCAGTACTTGAGAGTCATCCTCTTCCGTCCCACACAATACTGTCCCAATTGCACCTCATTTTTCGAAGCTTTCGCACACAAATACAACTCGTGATCTTCCAATCTGGTCAGTCATCATCCGCTAGATTAGTTGAATGCTATTTTGGATGGGTTACTGATGACTTTAGGATGGCCTCTGCCGTGCCTACCGACGTCTCAGGGCGGTCGGCGAAGCTTTTGAAGTATTTCCTGCAAGCAATCCACGGAAAGCGGGCGATACAGACAGCTTCAGACGGACAAAGATTCTTTGAGGCTCTCGGTGATCAGAAGGATCGCTTAAATTGTGTCGAGAAGCTCATTGCGGCGGATCATGGGCTGCGAGTCTTGAAGGAGTCGTTGAGGTTCGATGTTTCGCGACCATTCCTCATCGGTCCAGCCACCGACCTCCTCCTTTATTTCTCCGAACCCGCTCTTCGACAACTCTGCAGTGGACAATTCCTCCTTCGCATTCTCGAGGTTATTGCTGATCCGCCAACCTTCTGGAACGCCCTCGTAAAGGCCCACAAAGAGAGGGTTTTGACCGAGAATGCCACAGAAGCCTTTGCATGGCTCCTGTTGGAGCTCCTCTCAGCAAGGACAGACGGCCTTCTAGATGTTCGAGATATCGCAGAGGACGTGACAAAAAACAAGTCTCTACTTGACTCACCATCAATCGAGGTCCGCAAGTACGGTCAGAAGCTGAAGCATGTCCTTCAGACCACGGCGTCGAACGCACCCTATGGTGGCGCTGCGGGACCCGGTGGCCGACACGATAATGACTTCGTCGACTTCCGTCAAGTAGCCATCCTCCCCACCCCGGACGAGTTATTCTCGACTGAAAAGCCTTTCTATCGACAAGCCGATGCTATCAAATCTGCAGAGGCCGACAGCCGTGGTGCCATGCATTTGGACAATCAATTTCGTCTTCTCCGAGAAGACATGCTCGGCGAACTTCGTACCGATTTGCAAATCGCACAAGGCCGAAAGAATGGCAAACGAAGAAGCGCCATCGTGAGAGGTTTGTATCTCACATCTCTTGATTGTGGAACAGCCCAGAGACGGAAGCCTTGCTCGATGGTCTTGCGCTGCATCGAGGACATCCCACAACTTTCGAAAATCGAAAGTCCAACGGATCGGCTCAAGTATGTTCGCAATGAGTACAAGTTCCTGAAGCATCAATCTTTCGGAAGTCTGATGGTAGGTAAGGAACTTGTTGCTTTTGCGACTCTCGAGAGAGACGAAAATCTACTGGCCCAAAAGCCACCCTCTATCGTATTGCGACTCTCGAGCGAAGCAGCTTTCACAAAAGCCCTTCTTGTGGCCAAATCAGGTCATCTCCTGGACTTCGTCCTAGTCGATACAGCTGTGTTCGCCTATGAGCCAGTGCTGAAATGTCTTCAAACCAAGACCCAGATTCCGATGCAAGAGGAGTTGTTGCAAATGGACATCAATGAATCATTGCCAGAGTCTGAAGTTCAACCGAAACGCATTGTAGAATTGATCAGGCAAAACAGCCAACAAGATATGCGCAAAGTCATAGGTACACCAAAAGACATCAAACTTGACGCATCTCAAGCCAAGTCTTTGATTTCGGGTCTGACAAGAAGAGTCTGTCTTATCCAAGGGCCTCCCGGTACGCTCTTCCATGTCTCTATTCCCAGGTAGTGACGAAATGATTTAACATTTGCAGGAACCGGAAAATCCTTCATAGGCGCATTATTAGCGAAGATCTTGCTTGATCATACAAAGGAAATCATCTTGGTGATAACTTATACGAATCATGCACTTGATCAGTTCCTCGAAGATCTTCTGGATATTGGAATCTCCAGGGATTCAATGTTACGCCTTGGGAGCAAATCAACGCCCAGAACGATGCCGATGCTTTTGTCAGAGATCTCCAAACAAAGAGGCTCATACCGTCGTACACCAGTCTCATGGGACATCATTAATGCACTGAAGCTTGAAGCTGAGTCTTATGAAATACTTCTCGCTAAGAAGTTCAAACAATACAATGACTTCAAGGTTGGCCTCAGTGAGTTGCTTGAACACCTCGAATTTTCCGATGATGACTCGCGATTCTTCGATGCATTCACGGTACCTTCTTCGCAAGATGGAATGACACACGTTGGTAAGAAAAACAAGACCATCGACGGTACTTATTTATTGGACCAATGGAGAGCTGGTAAAGGTCCAGGACTTTCCTTCCATCAAATCTTCAACGAGTTTCCAGAGGTTTGGAAGATGGACAAGCCTTCAAGGGATGCCTGCATGTCAAGGTGGAGGATGGAACTGCTGAAAGATCTCGCCGCGGAGATTCAAACCCTCATGACAAAATACGACCGATGCATGGGCCAAGTAAACCAACTCTTCGAAGAAAAGAATGCCGCGATTATCAAGAGTAAGCGTGTGATCGGATGCACAACGACCGCTGCGGCGAAATACACCAAAGAGATCGGAAATGCCTCGCCAGGAATCATCATCGTAGAGGAAGCTGGTGAGATCCTTGAGAGTCACGTGTTGACTGCAATGACACCAAATTCGAAGCAGCTTATTCTCATCGGCGATCACAAGCAGCTGCGACCCAAGGTCAACAACTACGCGCTGACCGTTGAAAAGGGAGATGACTACAACCTCAACCAATCCTTATTCGAACGACTTGTTCTTTCTGGTGCGAATCACGAGACTCTAAGTCTACAGCACCGAATGTGTCCAGAAATATCGTCTCTTGTGAGGCAAATGACATATCCTGAGCTTGAAGATGCTCCAAAAACCCAAAATCGACCGCCTCTTAAGGGATTCCAGGACCGCGTGATGTTCATTACGCACGACTATCCGGAGCTCAATGCGGGAAGAATCGCAGAGAGAAGAGACGAAGGTTCTCAAGTGAGCAAGGAGAATATTTACGAGGTCGATATGGTCCTGAGATGCGTTCGCTACCTTGGGCAGCAGGGATACGGCACCGGAGATATCGTAGTGCTCACGCCCTATCTTGGCCAGCTGCAGCTTTTGCGTACGAAGCTCGGGGAGGAAAACGACCCCATTCTAAATGATCTTGACTCATATGACCTCGTTCGGGCTGGGCTTCTTCCGCCTGCTAGCGCTGGAGTATCAAAAAGGACGATCAAGATTTCCACAATAGGTGAGGACTGTTGTCTTCAAAATTCCACATTTATGCCATTACCTTCGTGTCCTGACTAACCTGTTCCAGATAACTATCAGGGAGAGGAAAGTGACATAGTCATTTCGACATTGACTAGAAGTAACGCAAGTGGCGAGATAGGTTTCATGTCTTCTCCGCAAAGAGTAAATGTCCTTCTGTCTAGAGCACGCAACGCCCTCATCATGATCGGCAATTCAAACACGTTCATGAGGAGTCGAAAAGGGAAAGATGTCTGGGAACCGCTTTTAAATCATTTGAAGCACGGCGGTCATGTGTTCGATGGGTTTCCGGTCAAGTGCGAGAGGCACCCAGACCGAAAGGCTTTGCTCCGGAGTAAAGAAGACTTCGACGCCGAGTGCCCTGATGGAGGCTGCAGCGAGCCATGGTATGTTTCTCAAGCACAAGCATAACCTTACGCTAACCATGCTTTCTCAGTGGGACTAAACTCAATTGCAGTGTACATGACTGTCCTCAACGCTGCCACCAGCTTCAGGATCATTCCAAGGTTGATTGCAAAGCCATCGTCAAGTACACATGCTCGCAGAACCATAACACATCCTTACCCTGTTACAAGCAAAAGACGGCAACTTGCCGGAAGTGCGACGAGATAGCACGAGCGCAAGAAAAGAAACGACGAAGGGACCACAAACTTGATGTAGAGCGCGAGAACAAGCAGAAGGCCTATGCGAAAGAATTGGCAGATATTCAGGAAGAGATTGAGCATCAACGCAGAATAGCAAAAGACCAATCGGATGATCAGGAGAGACAAAAAGTCATCCTACAGCACAAGCAGGATTTATTGAACATGACTGCAGCGAATCGGCAGACTCGCACGAGTGTAAGAACAGATCCCAGTTCAGTCATAAGCGGTAGCAAGCACGACAAAACCGACCAGAAGACAAACGCCGAGCCTCCTTCACAGCCTTCACAGCCTTCGGGCACGGCGACCGGGACCCCGATCGCTGCCCAGAATACGAACGGCGCTGCAAAAACCTCGTCGCCTCTTGCTAAAGATGTATGGCAGCCGCCTCCTTCGACAGTGGACTGGGAATATCAGAAAAAATTTGAAGGAGCAAGGAATGACGCTTTGGACGCTTTGACGGGCATGATTGGCCTCGAAGACGTGAAACAACAGTTCCTTTCAATTAAAGCAAAAGTTGACGTGACAACACGACAAGGCGTGCCACTCAAGACCGAACGCTTCGGTGCTGCTCTACTCGGCAATCCAGGAACAGGTATGGCCTATCAGTATTAGGCCTACGAAATGAGCTTACTTTGTGAAGGGAAAACCACGGTCGCGCGTCTTTATGCGAAGTTTCTTGCCTCTGTTGGGGCCCTACCTAGCGACTTCTTTTTTGAAACCTCTGGATCCGCACTCGCCAACGATGGCGTTTCTGGGTGCAAGAAACATCTCGAAAGCATATTGAATAGTGGTGGTGGTGCGTTCTTCATCGACGAAGCATACCAGCTCGTCTCTGGCAACAGCCCCGGCGGAAAGGCGGTTCTTGATTATCTTCTCGCAGAGATTGAGAACTTGACCGGCAAGGTGGTCTTCGTTTTGGCCGGCTACAATAAACAGATGGAAGCATTCTTTGCCCACAATCCAGGTATTCCAAGTCGTATACCTCAGCAGTTTCAGTTCCAGGACTACGAGGACTCCGAGCTTCTGCTCATCTTACGCCATGCCATTGAGACTAAGTACAACAGAAAAATGAAAGTAGAGCTGGGTATGGATGGCTTGTACTTTCGAATTGTTGCACGCCGCCTCGGACGTGGACGTGGGCGCGAAGGTTTTGGAAATGCCCGCGCTGTGCATAACAAGTTGGCTCAGATTGCGGACCGACAAGCAACGAGGTTGAAGCGAGAGAGGAGAGCTGGCAAGCGTCCAGATGATAACTTATTGACCAAGGAAGATATGCTAGGCCCACATCCTTCGGATGCACTCCAGTCCAATGCCTCCTGGTCAGCATTGCAGAACCTTACTGGCCTCAAGGCGGTCAAAGAATCAGTACGGGTGTTTGTCAACACTATCCAGTTCAATTACCGTCGAGAGCTGGAAGAAAAGGAGATCGTGGAGTACTCTCTTAACAAAGTTTTCCTTGGTTCTCCAGGCACAGGTAAAACCACAGTCGCAAAGCTCTATGGCCAAATACTTGCGGATATCGGTCTTCTATCGAACGGGGAAGTAGTGGTCAAGAACCCTGCAGATTTTATTGGCAATGTGATAGGCCAATCCGAGAGTAACACAAAAGGAATTCTCGCTTCAACCGTTGGCAAGGTGCTGGTCATCGACGAAGCATACATGCTCTCTGGAGGATCCGACAATAACAGGTCAGCGGATAGCTTCAAAACGGCCGTCATTGACACCATTGTGGCTGAAGTTCAGAGCACGGCTGGCGAAGACCGATGCGTCTTGTTGCTCGGCTACAAAGACCAGATGGAAGAAATGTTCCAGAAAGTCAACCCTGGTCTAACTCGACGATTTCCTCTGGACTCAGCCTTCGTCTTCGAAGATTTTTCAGACGTGGAACTGGAGAAGATATTTGAGTCGAAACTTCATACGCAAGGCTTCGAAGCAACGGATCAAGCCAAGAGAGTGGCCATGGACATTCTACGCCGAGCTCGGAATCGTCCACATTTTGGCAACGCAGGCGAAGTTGATATACTTCTCGACAAAGCTAAGGCATTCCATCAAAAGCATATCTTAGCAGGAACCTCGAAACATTTCGATAAGCTGGAAGCTCTGGATTTCGACGAAGACTTCAATCGTGGCCAGCGTGCCACGACCAATTGCCGTAAATTGTTCGAAGGAACCATCGGATGCGACGCTATCGTGCAGCAGTTAGAGGGTTACCAGACAACAGCAGCCAATATGAAGGCCCTTGATATGGATCCTCGAGAACAGATACCTTTCAACTTCTTATTCCGAGGACCTCCAGGTCAGTCTCTTCTATGATCTCATGAATCTTGCTAACAGCGTATAGGAACCGGAAAGACGTCAACCGCTCGCCGAATGGGCAAGGTGTACTACGACATGGGTTTCCTATCCACTGCGGAAGTGGTAGAGTGCTCTGCAACCGAGCTAGTTGGGCAATACGTCGGACACACAGGACCAAAAACGCAAAAGCTACTCGAGAAAGCCCTTGGTAAAGTATTGTTCATTGATGAGGCTTACCGCCTCGCCGAAGGAGATTTCGCCACGGAAGCAATGGACGAGCTTGTTGACAGTCTCACAAAACCCAAATTTGCCCAGAAACTAGTCACAATCCTAGCCGGCTACGACGCAGATATCAACCGCCTGATGTCCATCAACCCAGGACTGACGAGCCGTTTTCCGGAAGCGATCGTCTTCCATCATCTAACGCCTGGGCAGTGCTTACAGCTTTTCGGAGATGTTCTCAAGAAGAAGAAGCTTAACACCACCGTATTGGAACCGCCTTCAGATGCTCTTCACCAACGCTTGCTTGACTCCTTCAAGGTGTTGTCGAAGCTACCAGCCTGGGGAAACGCACGGGACGTCCAAACCCTCGCCAAAACAGTCTTCAGTACCATCATGTCCACCGCGACGACCCCAAGCCTGGACGTCCCCATCACAGAGCAGAACATTCTCGGCGCCGTGCAATCCATGATATCAGAGCGTTCCCACCGAAGCACGGCTACATCAACGTCTCGCCATCCTGTACGAAATGCCCCACTACCCACTCAATCCATGAACCCACCGGATATTCCTGTAAACACTGATACCGCGACTAGCAATAACACTGCACTACCACCGGCACCACCGGCGCCCCAAAAGCAGCAACCAGGCGCCAAATCCCAAGAAGAACCCCAACCCGACGACACCCGCGACGCCGGCGTCTCAGACGCGATCTGGACTCAGCTCTCCCACGACAAAGCCGTCGCCGCCACCCTTGCGCTCGAGGAGCAGCGCCTCCAAGCCGAAGCAGCAGCACAGCAGAAAGCTGCCGCGGACGACCTCAAGCGCGCAGAAGCAGAGCTCGCCGCGCTGGCAGCCGCCGCCGCAGCCGACGCAGAAGCGCAGCGCGCACACGAAGCTATGCGGTTGAAGCGAGAACTGGAGCGGCGTGCGAGAGAGGAGAGGTTGGCGGCGTTGGAGAGGCAGCGGAGGGAGGCGGAGGAACGGCGGAAGAGGGAGGAGGTGGTGCAGCAGAAGTTGAGGCACATGGGGGTTTGTGTGATGGGGTATCGGTGGATTAAGCAGGCGAGTGGGTATAGATGTGCGGGGGGGGGTCATTTCGTGAGTGATCAGGCTTTGGGGTAGGGGATGGGAGAAAGGGGCGCCGTATCCGAGGAGTTTGCGTCAGGAGCGCTGGCTAGATATGTCTGGCATACTAATGCTAGCGACTATGAGCTCTCTAATCCCGTGGTGCATGTTGAGCCAGAAGATAATGGCTCTTTTGAGCAAAATTGGGTAAAGACTTGAAAACGCGGGGACCCAGTGCGATTGGGTGTTGAGTGTACAATGCCTAGTCATAGAAATTCGTACACACGTTTACCGCTGCGTGAGGAGCTTCATAGTATTTTCAGCATCCCGCATGAAAGAAAAATGCAGTATTTTGGACAACTACTAAATTCGTGAGGTTATCCCACACAGTGTCAACAGGGTGTATGCAGATTGGAAGTGTACATTCGCTGCTCCCGGTTTCTATCAGTGCGTGAGCCCCACAAAGAGTAGCAGGAATGTGTATGGATATCTCTGACAAGGCACTGTAGCAAGTAAGTCCCTTGTGTGTGCTAGTAGTTGACGTCGTATGAGGTGGCTCAGCGAGGTTGCTGATCATTCAAAACGATGTACTCACCTCTGAATTGAAATCTTGATAATAGCCCGTAGGGCTTCACACGGTGGCGTCAAGTGTACGCTGACATGTTAGCAACACGAGACACTCACTAATCACACAGACTCATTTTGGCAGGTTGGACGGTTTAGAAGTTTCTGAATTCAACCATAGTTTGAAAGCTATGACCCTAACCAGAAGGGTTTCCTACCCCAACCCAAAATCTCCCAAAAGGCTCAGAACCGTAGTGACTTAGCCACTCCCTATGCAACTCATGCCTCCCAGAGTTAAGCAAATGTGTGAAGAAAGTGCCGTACGCCGTCTCAAGAAGGACGTGCGATCAGTTCGACGAACTAGGAAACGCGCGCGCGGTGGAGGGGTTGAATTGGCAAAGTCGGGAGGCAAAGGAGAGCAGCATCGAAAGCTGGATGTCAATTCGATCTCCGGGCTTGACCGCACCGTAGCGAAGAGCAAGGTTATGAAGCGGCTGAATGATTTGTCCAATCTTGATAATCCTCTCGGTGGCAACTGGGGCACAGATGTCCGCCCAGGTCGAAACTGGTGGGGAAAGACCAGCGTCGAGTTGCCGCTCGATGGTGGAGGAGATGCGGCGAGGTTCGGACCGAGGGTAGACATCGTCGAGATCGATAAGGTCGTACTCGTTTTCGCTCTGCTGCTGGTACGAAGCCTGGTTAGCGCTCATGGTAGAGGCACGATTGTTGGCAGGATTCTCAGCAACTTCATCCGCGTGCAGGCACTCGAGAATACCCTTAATGGTTTCAATAGTCTCGACCACGGCCTTGCCGTCGATGACAACATGACCCCGAACCAGTTTGCTGAAATGCTGGAGCTCGGCCTTGATATCGGCCGCTTTCAGGCTGCCCATGACCGATCGAACTGCGTGGGTGTTGTAGTAAGCCTCTTGGCTACTGTCGGCGATGGTGATGGCGTAGAGGATCTTGCCCCTCAGTAGAGCAGCTTTCATTCTCGCCACATCCACATAATTATCAGCAGTCTCTGGGAACGCATATGAGATGAATTCGAGCTTGCTGTAGGCTGCCAACACAGCCGGAAGGAGTTCTTCCATAGTCTTAGGCTCGGTTTCATGCTCGTCATGCTCATGTTCGACTTTGATAAGGCTGCATTCACGACCGCCTGAACGTGCGGCTTGGGCGGCTAGTTCGAAGGCCGAAATGGCATCGGAAAGCTGGGCTTCTGCTGCTGCGCGGGCGTCGGATGAGCTAGGGGGCGGGTGATCCATGGTTGGACTCGGAGGATGAGAGGATGGAGGATGTAGAGGATGGAAGGTGGAGAGGATGAGAGGTGGAGAGGCGGGAGGTTGTGGCTAGAACAAAAGAAGAGGAAGTGAAGTGGACCAAAACAATAGACGCCAAGCCATGTGACCCACGAAGTAGACGTCACACCTTTCCTAATTCAGGCAGTCCATCGCGTCGTCATAGGACTGTGTACACGTGCCTACCACTGTCTGAGGTGGCTCGATGAGCTTTCAGAGATCAGAAATTTGTTCTTGCGAGTAACCGGTAAGCTCGCCAGGCCACCACAGACGGGGGCAGATAGGTGTACACAAATGTAATGAGCGTTTCGCCCATCGTTCCAAGGTCCCGAAATATCGATGCCCTAAAGTAGTGACGGAAAATTTACATAGATCAGTAAAGAAGCTCTGTACAGTGTCTCCGCCCTCTGCGTCTGTGTACCCTTGGCTGACATCGTCTGAAGTGCCTCCATACATTTTCAATGTTTACACGAAATGGGGGTTCGGATTTACGAAAAGATATTTGTACATCACTGGAATGGGGTACTACCTACAGATTTCTGGTATTATTTTGGGGTGCCACAGACAGCGGTAGAAACGACTACACGGGCCTACGCCGGAGCACTGTAAAATATGTTTCATGCTCTCGAGTGGATCTGGTTAGAAGGAAAGAACTTAGCATAGATGACAAATTGAGATTCTAAAGGAACATCAGACATGCTCTTTCCACGCAACAACCTCATATATTGGTATCTTTCTCGCTTTGCGGACCCCAAAAACTCGACCTTGATAGTGAAGGCGCTGTGTCTCATACAGCAGCCCTCTTACCGTCCCGAACCCATTCCCGTCTATCGCTCTCATCTAAGCCTGGCGTCATTGGCGGCGTGAGTGGCGTCGAGACTCCATCGTCAAAACCGCCTTCTTCCTCAGATCCTGAATCGTCGTCGCTCGACGCCAAACTTCCAAGCGTAGCTGTGCTCCCTGTGCTCTCAGAATAGCTCGGCAATGTAGGCCTCGGCTCATAGGCTGGAAGCTGCTCAAAGCTTTCTCTTGGCTGGCCAACGGCTGCTGGTCGACTGAGTGATGGACTAGGAAGGATCTCTAGCGGAGTGCTGGAATTGATGATGAAAGTCTTGGGACCACACTTCGCCTCCATTTCAATGTCGAGCGTGTATGAGCGGGAAGCAGTGAATGTGGCAAAGGAGGCAATGCATTGAGCGTTATCATCAAGACGGAGGTTTGAGACAAGGCTGAAGGGCGAGTCATCGAGGGGAATCGATGTGTTTATATCGCGGCGGGTGACGCAATTCCGCCGCTGCTCCGTGACGTCTTGTATACCGCCTTCGCACACAGTGCGATTATATGTAGTTATTGAGACAGTGAGGCTCTTGAAAATGCAATCGATGCGCTCGGGGTCCACTGCTGGGCGGCGGCGAATGTGCTGTGGAGTTGTGTGTTAGTTTACGGCTTAGATTGGTGATGCACGGAGGCGGACGACTTGAAAAGAAGGATTTTTGAAAAGTCGTACCTGGATGGAAACTTTCAAGGGAATATCTTGCTGCGGAGAAATTGACGGCGGGCAGTATACCGTTGGAACAATGCTAATTGAAGGGGTACGAAGATTTGGGTTATGAGTGACAACGTGTTCAAGCTTCTGTTTGAGAGTGTGTTTTGCCGGACGGAGAGCAGTTGAAGTCCATCTTTGCTCTTTGAGAACGTGTGGCATGGGTGTTGGAGCGATGAGATGCGGTCTATATTTGAATGTACACTGTCAGTTGATTCATCTTGGTAGTAGCAGAAAATTGTAGCCTTTCAAGCTTAGAACAAACGGAGTAGAATATGATGATCAGACTTCAATGCATATGAAATACACGACTAGGCCCCGATCTCGGTCATACGGTAACGCCTCGCGACTAGTGACGCGGAAGCATCAAATGGCATCAAGCCATGCGTCTCCAAAATCAAGGACTGAGAAGAAAGGAACACACAAACGTACCTAACATTAGAATCGTTAAAGAATTTCAGATCGTGTAGAGCAGCCTTATCTGACTTATACTGCCAGCGGCCATACGAAACATTCGCAGTCACCCCGTACGTAATGCTAGCCTCCTTTCCAGGTTCATCCATGTAAATATGGTAAGATGGAGGAAGTTGATGGACGTCTTTTGGGAATTTGGAGCTGTCGGCCCATTTTGGATATCGATCCCGCGTGTGCGAAGGAAATGTGAACTCAAATGGCCACGAGTGCCTCTTAGCGGTGACGGTGCAATCGACCAAAAGACTTCGCTCGAATCTGAAGAGTGTAGCCTCTGCTTCGAACCTTTTCAGGCCTTCAAGGATTGGTGGTCTTCCATCGCTCGGCCTCGCGTACTGAGGCCTGGTGGTTTTAGTGACGCATCGTCCGGAGAAATCGAGGGTGAGGGATTTGATGTGCTGTTGCGTAGTTGGAAAGAAAGAAACCACGCCTTCCACTTTGTTCCCTGGACGGTAGACGCGATGGCGGTCTCCGTAGACCACAATGTCAAGCTCACGGGGGTGCACCATGGCTGGTTTTCTGGTCGTTTGGTCTTTGCAATGCAGGCGACAAAGTATAAGAGATGCAGGGACTAGAATAAAGTGAAAAGAGTAGCGTAGGGTTCTAGATTGTCTTATGCAGGTGTCAAGGGTGCTAACGGTACGTTATCAGCCCCGACGGGATGGCAAACGTTTGCCGCGGGTAACCTTCCCACCCAAGAACCGCAAGATTCAGCTCGACAACTCAGCTAGCGAGGGGCGGCAAAGAAATAAGTAATCCGCCAGAGTGTGACCAGGCGGATGCGCCATTCGGAGAAACAGAACTCTTGTACTCTCAAGTAATCGACTTAAAAGAAACCCCTACCTTACCAAAGGCAAATCTGTTGGGGAAGGGTAAGAAGAGCGCATCTCAATAGCTCTATCTAAGCAAGCATCGGGCTGCTAACAAAGAACCGTTGCTTTTCTAGTGATGCACAGAGATATGGGTTGATAGGCAGCGATACGCCTGCTCTTTGTCCTGTTGTTACATGCTGTTACACCATACTTTTTCTGGTGGCTTCGTGTTCCCTGCGCTTGTGAGAAAAACTTCGGTGGGCGCAACCCTGCTGGATTGGCTTCCAATAGAGTTGAACCATAGGGACTTGATTAGGCCTCCCTGATGTAATAATGTAAGCTTACAGTCCTCTGCCTGTGACTCTGATGCTACTGGTGAAGACTGAGGTGTAGATAGGCTCCTTGAGGAGAACAATAAGCCGGATCTGCAGCTCGACAGTAGGCCCAAAAGCAGCATACCGGCTTGGCATGACTTTGGGGGTCGGTTGCCACGATTCGCCTAGAAATTGCCGTTCCTTGCCACAAAGTCCGCTCTCGGGCGTCTCCGAAGAGATTCCAGGTTTTGAGGCCGTTTCTGTCCTACATGTCGTAGAGAGTAGTCAACCGAGTGGGCACACCGTACCACCAATGACTGGCATGATCCATCCTGGAAGTGATGATGGGCATCTGTTGTTCATGGGTAGTCATATCGATCTTCGGGCGCTTGCAACACAGCTGGGCCACGACAGCAGCACGCTACCGTATGACTTTGAATCGTCGATCGTGAGACGTGAGTCTCCTGGTGAGGGCCTGGGGATAGATCGCCACTCGAGGAATGCCTGAGTATCGCTGAGATAGCCACATGTTTGGATGGATGTGGATAGAATTTTTGAAAAGTGAAGACGCTGTGAAAAAGTTGGCGGAAGGCGAAGGCGCCAAGTAGTGTTTTATACATACTGATAACGACTTTCGAGTCTCGGACCAAGGGAAATATGTCCCTTCAACATGACACATAGAGCAAGGCCTTATCCATTCTAAATAGATTCTCTACCACATTCCAGTGGTTGACAGCGAGAGCCAGTCACAAGAGCTCTTGGCTTCACCAACAGCTATTATAACCAAGCTTCAATATTAAGATAGCAAAAGTCGACCAAGCTATAGAAGAGCAAGCAGAACTGTGCTATGTAATAGCAACTTTCATTTAAAACTCCCTTGCTATGCATCGAAGGTCAGTGATCCACGGGGTCAAAGCACTTTACGCGCTCCTCGACGCGTTCCACCCACCACCCCCGGTCCCACTTTCGCACAGAGCAACATCACCACCTCTGCGACAGCCTCCTCCACGACTCCATAGCACAAAGGCCACCACCCTTCGAACTCATCTTAGCTGCTAGTCACCTCGCTCGCCATGCCGGCCCGGAAAAGCAATGCATCCATGGTCTCCAACCCTGAGGACGACGGTCCACCACGGCCACCAAAGGACGGACTGAGTGTTGAGGTATGCAAGCCTCAGCAATGGAAGAGCATACAAGCCTGACACCTTCTAGGACCTCAGTCTACCCCGAACGATGGTCCAAAGGCTCGCGAAAGGCGTCCTCCCGCCGAATACACAGATACAGAAGGATGCGCTGCTCGCTATGTCGAAAGGCGCAACCGTCTTCGTCAACTACCTCACGAACACGTACGATCCCCCAATCCAATCGAACTTGTGTCTCGAAGGCATACACCTTTATTGCAGAGCGATACTGATCGGCGTAGGTCCTGGGAAAACACGATGCGCGGCGGCAAGAAAACCATAAACCCCAAAGACGTCCTCGATGCTGTAAAAGAGCTAGAGTTCGAGGCCTTCCTCCCCCGGTTGGAAGCCGAGTTACAGAGTGAAGCATCCCATCCTAGGCTAGTGTCAAATTTGCATTACTTACAATGGTGCAGAATACAACGCGATTCAATGCGACAAGCGCAACACCTACCGGAAGAAAATCCGCGATGCCAATAAAGCAGCAAAAGCGTCGAATCCCGATGGCATAGACCCAACCGAGGAGCCTTCTGCCATTAGTACAAATGGAAACGGCCACCGCGCGGACGACGACTCGCCCCCTGCTGCGAAGAAGGCGAGGCGATCAAGCATGGGGGCGGACGGGAGCGAGGGCGATGACACTGACGGGAACATGGGCGAACAAGCAGAGGAAGACCAGCCGGATGAAGAGCACGAGGACGATGACGTCGAAGACGATGAGGAAGGGGAGGAGAATGGCGGAGAGACGCAGCTCACGGAAGATCCGCTCGAGATACGTGACGACGACATGGGCAACGAGAGCTCTGACAGTGATGAGAGTGACTGAGTTCGGCACTCTTGGGTTTTGCTAAAGTGTTGGCGTTTTGGCAATGGTGGTGCATAAGATGGCGTTATAGTTGAATATTTGGTCTGGAATAACAGTTTAACTTTGTGGTAGTTCTGAGCTCGTTTGAAGTCAACAGCATAGAACAATCATGTTCGAATATTCGTGATTTTGCTATTGAGTGCAAACGGAGCACAGCTGTGTCAGCGCTTGAGCTAGACTATTCTTCTCCGGACTACCTGCTGACGTAGATGAATGCATCAAAGAGCTACCTTACAAGTGGCTACCTTACAAGTGGCTTGCGATCGTATTTGTTCAATGGTTCAGAGCAGAGTAACGGAATCGTTGTGTCTGATCACAAGAGCTCCTTACAAGTTGTTCATTTACATGCATGGATTTTGAGCAAAGTTAGAGCCAACACTATGATATTAAACGTGCGGAATCTACTACCCTAGTTCCACAGTCTACAGGTCCCATCGGCTCCAGCACTCACACACCACGGCTCTCGCGGATGCCAATCAACATCCATAACACCAAGCCGGCTCTTAACTTGATGGCCCCTCAACACCTTCAGCGGTACAATCGTCGCGTTCTCCATCAGATCCCCAACCACCTTCCCGTGGAAGATCTGCAGACTCCCATCATCGCTAGCGTCGGCGAATAGCGGCAGCCCGCCCTGGTGGAACTTGACTGCACGAATGGCTTCCTTGTGGTACCGCAGCGTCTTATACGGCTTCGAAGAGAGGTCCAGATCATGCCACAGGAGACGCCTGTCGTAAGTGCCGACAATGAGGTTGTCGCCTCCAGGATGCACGTCGAACGAGGAGATATATTTGGCTCCGGGTTGGAGGATTTTGACGAGCTCTTGTCGGGCGAGATCGTAGCTTCGTATTGAGGTCTGGGTGGCTACAAAGAAAACTGGCTTCGATGGATGGAACTGGGCGGACTGCGGTATGCCCTTGAGTCGCCTGAAGGGTAATTGTGTGAGATGCTTTGAAAGTGTGTGAATAGCGACGGCGCTACTCTGGCCCGTTGGTGAGACGGTGGAGAAGTACTCTCCGCGCCTGTGCCAGTTGATCACCTGAACTTTTGATCTTACAGTCGCTTTCACAAGGACGCCCTTCTCTTCGAGTTTGGATCCTGGGCGACTCCACTTAGCTGGTGACTCCTTGTTTACTACGCCATTTGTAGTTGTGGAGGGCTTGGATGCCGCGTATCCCCAACCAGCGTCCAGGAGATCTCGGCTGATCTGATCCAGATCGGGCGATATGATAGACCAGGGCACAATTAGATAGATGTCCTCTCCCGCAGCTGCTGCTAGTACTGCGGCATCCTTCCCTGGTCTCCATCTTACAACATGAACGGCCTCGTCGCGTGACAGCTTCACGCTCCATAGCTGCCGGCCCGTCACAAGCTCCCATATTCGAACAACGCCATCATCTCCGCCGCTGGCCAGGAAGACACCGTGAGGGTCTACTGATACGCTGCGCACGCGACCTTCGTGTCCACGGAAGACTGCGGCGCATGTCGTGGGGAATGGCCGTAACTCCTCGGGGCTTGGGAGCTTGGGAAGTAGCGATTCCGGATCAATGTTGAGCTTGTTTCGCCGCACCCGCGGTGCTAGGTACAAATCTAAACACCTCTCAAATTTCTCTTTGACAAAACTCTCGTAGCCTGGAACTTTGCGAAGCGCATCGTGGTCAGTTGGAAGGTATTCTTTCTCGCGGTCCTCGTCGTCTGCCTCTATCCACGCAGCCTTCTCGTCTTTATCCGGGAGATACTCAGGTGGAGGGTGATAGCTCTCGTCGTAGCCTGGTGGTGGTAGCTTAGGAGCTGCAATGTTCATGTAATGCTCGAGTCGCGGCACTTCGTCTGCCCAGATGTCATAAGTCTTGACGTCCGGGTCCTCTTCCACTTCCTCGGAGGGAGGTTTGTATGGTTGTATGCGTCCTTCTCTGATAGCCTTCACGATCTTCATAACCCGTTTCGCTTCGTGCTTCGATGGGACGAATCTTCGTTTTGGTTCAGGCGCAGCACTAAGAGGCATGATTTCTTCCTTGCCAGTGAAATAGTGAACCATATCCGGGTAAGGATCGTAACCATCCTCGGGCAGTTCGTTCCTTGTGATCCGTTTGAGAACTTCTAGTTCCTCCTGACTTAGTTCTAGAGGCTTTCCAGTCGCCGGATCTGTGAGCCCAGTCCATCCTTTCGGTATGTCTATGCTGTCTAGGAGAGCGTCCAAGGCCTCTCCCTTCGCGGGCCGCATGATTTTCTTGCCATTGATATCATAACCAATGTGAGGATAGGAATCGTAGAATGAGAGCGGGATGTCGCCAATCGTGTTCGTGGCCTCTGGTGCATCTGAGTCGTCTGAGTCATACACGGGATCGATCTCCTTGTACACATATCGTTCGTTGCCATTGGCGTCGACTTCGACGGTGTAATTCGGTTGGAGGTCCTCGTCATCCTCCTCATCTTGTCCGCCACCGTTCTCCATAGTATCAAGATCTAAACGAGAGCCATTCGAGCGCAAAACCACATCCTCGGGCCCTTTTCCGTGCCTGCTTTTGGAGCTTCCATCGTTGGTGTTGAGCTTCCGTATCTGCTCCCGTATGTCTGGTTCGCCATCGGAGGGAATCTCGTCGCTGTCTAGATCTCCTTCGTCCTCCTCTTGACTCGAGGAGCCTTGGTCCTCACTGAGGCCTTCAATGTTCTCTTCCTCACTGTCTTCTACCGACTCGTCGTCACTCTGGGAGAGGATTCCATCCAGCAGGCCGCCTTCGAGTTCATCGTCAGATGCGCTCCCGGAGACAACTGGGCTTTCACGAGTAACAATCTTGCGCTTCCGCGACGGTGGAGCCATTTTTCAGTATAAAAAGTACAATTGAGTTGCGACAAAGCTGTTCAACAATTTGCATCATCTTGAGCCGAAAAAAGTTCCCGTAGAATATCCGGGCCGACTTTGATCCGAAGTGGGGCACGAGCCGCAACTTACTTTCATGACCTCGCCGCCCGCGTCAACAACAACCCATCCATCATCACACTCTCATCTCCATCTTCGACCGCTCTCACTAACCCCCGGCGGATCGATACACTTACCTGAACCCGGGTGACTACACTTACCTTGAGGCCGCAAGCATGGCCAATAGAGGCGCACAGGCTGATACCGTCCTCAGATACAACGACGGCCGTCGCGATGGTCGACGCTACGACCGGGAGGACTCCTACCGCCCACGCCGCGAACGCTCTCGCTCTCCTGTGAGGGGAGATCGTAGGCGAGACAGGGACCGAGAGGATCCGCGTGACCGTGATAATGGACGCCATCGCCGCGACAGAGACCGTGGCTGGGACCGGGACCGGGATCGAGACTACCGGGGACGCAATGACGATGTGCGCGATAGGGACCGTCGTCGCCCATCGTTCGAATCAGACAGACGCTTTAGCCGCGACAGTCGTGACCGTGGCAAGGAGCTGTCCCAGACACCGGCTCCAACTAAGCTGAGTGACGAAGAACGCAAGAAGCAAGAGCGAGTCGAGAAATTGGCCGCTTGGAAAGCCAAGAAGGCCGAGGAAGAGAAAGCCGGGAAGGTCAAGGCTTCGAGCGAGACGGCCCCGACGCCTCCTCAGGCCGCATCTCCTCAGGTCCCCGAAGCAGCACCTGCGCAGACTGGCAAGTCCAAGCCCAAGCCTAAAGAGAAATCAACCCACAAGACAAGCTCACGCGCAACACTTGATGGCGGCCTTGCGAAGCATCTGCCCGCTCCTCCAGTCAATGTCGCCACGACTGCTGTTAAGAAGACTTTTAATGCAGGTTCGTCGCAATATCCCCTTCTCATATCCTTTTCTTTGCAGAGCACCTTATTCAATTTATCTATAGCCTCCGTTCCTACCCAGCTTCTCAAAACTGGTGGTAACGTGAGTTCATTCGGTCTCAAGAGCAAAGCGCAGCTCGCAGCCGACAAGATCGAGCCCAAGAAATCCCTCTTTGATGACGAGGAAGTCACTCTCAAGCGCACCTTCGAGAAGTTGCCCGACTTCATTCCAGACGAGGAACCTCTCAACGGCGGCGAGGACGATGATGTGGACATGAGCGATGCAGGAAGCGACGATGAAGAGACTGCTGCTGCGCGTCTTGCTGCTGCGGAAAAGCGACGCGAGGAGGCACAGACAAACGGAGACATCGACATGAAAGAAGCTCCAGACGCTCCAGCAGGATCCACCACGAACGGCAACAATGACGATGAGGAGGAAGAGGACCCTCTCGATGTGTTCATGAAGGCCCTGGGCAATGATGAGCCGGAGCCGACTTCTTCGAAAAAACAAGCGGTAGCCATCTATGCGGACGACGACGATGTCACCCAGGAGGCTACAGAGGGCAATACGGATGATTTCCTAGCGGTCGCCAGTAAGAAGAAAAAGAAGGAGCTTCCGGCTGTTGATCATTCCAAGATCGCTTATGAGCCTTTCAGGAAGAGCTTTTACACGGAGTCCCAAGAGCTGCAAGACATGACTGCGGAGGAGCTTGCTGACCTGAGGCTTGAGCTCGACGGTATCAAAGTTCGCGGTCTTGATGTCCCCAAACCCGTGCAGACATGGCCTCAAATGTCTCTTTCCATGTCGACTCTCAACGTCCTCAGAACTCTTGGATATGATAAGCCTACTCCAATCCAGGCGCAGGCGATTCCCACTATCGAAGCCGGCAGAGACGTGATCTCTGTGGCAAAGACCGGCTCCGGGAAGACCCTTGCGTTTGGTGTTCCTGTCTTGCGCCACATTCTGGATCAGCGGGATCTTGGATCTTCTGATGGCCCTATCGCCTTGATTATGGCTCCAACTCGAGAACTAGCGGTTCAGATTCAGCGCGAATTGAAGCCTTTCCTCAAAGCTCATTCGTTGAAGGCTGCGTGCTGCTATGGCGGAGTGCCGATCAAGGACAACATCGCCGACGTCAAGCGAGGAGGCAATCACGTTATGGTTGCAACCCCCGGCCGTTTGATCGACTTGATGGCTAGTAACTCGGGTAGGGTTCTGAACCTGAAGCGTGTTACTTACGTGGTTCTAGACGAGGCAGACAGAATGTTTGATATGGGCTTCGAGCCTCAAGTCATGAAGGTCCTCCAGAGCATCCGTCCAGACCGCCAAACTGTTCTCTTCTCGGCGACGTTTCCGAAATCAATGGAGAGTCTCGCTCGAAAGGCCCTCGTTAAGCCCGTCGAGATTGTGGTTGGTGGAAGATCTACCGTTGCTCCCGAGATCAAGCAAATTGTCAAAGTTGTGGCACCAGAAAAGAAGTTTAACGAGGTTCTCTTCGAACTCGGCCAGTTGTTTAAGGAAGACGAAGACGCACGAGCCTTGATATTCGTGGAGACACAAAAGACTGCTGAAGATCTGCTTGACAAGGTCATGAAGAAAGGATATCCAGCCCGTGCTATCCACGGTGGTAAAGAGCAAATCGATCGCGATGATGCAATCTCTGACTTTAAAGCTGGAATCCTTCCTGTCGTCGTGGCCACTTCGGTAGCTGCTCGAGGACTAGACGTGAAGCAGCTCAAGCTCGTCATCAACTACGACCCGCCCAGCCACTTGGAGGATTATGTCCACCGTGTCGGACGGACTGGTAGGGCTGGAAACACGGGTACAGCCGTAACGATCATTACGGAATCTCAGGAGCGCGAGTCGATCCACATTGCCAAGGCACTTCGACAGAGCGGACAACCGGTTCCCGAGGATCTACAGAAGATGGTAGACTCTTTCATGGAGAAGGTCAAGGCAGGTGAAGAGAAGATGAGTGGTTCTGGGTTCGGCGGCAAGGGTCTTGAAAAACTAGACCAAGAGCGTGAGAGAGAGAGGATGCGTGAGAAGCGCGCATACAAAACAGGGGATGAGCCCGATGAGGAAGCTGAAAAGGAGAAGGTATCGGAAGAGGACGATTTCACGGTTCAAAGTTCGGCTAATCCAGCACCCGCGCAGATACAGGTTACATCTTCTTCAGCACCCCCGCCCTTAGACGTTCCGCACTCAGACGCTCCGTCCTCAGGCCTTCCAGATCTAGACGGTGAAATCATTGTCCATAGGACCGAGAAGCTAGCCGCTGGCGGCGCAGGAGGCGATCATATGGCGAGAGTTCTCCGAGCAGCCCAGGCTATCGGAGGACGTCTTACCAAGAAGAATATGATCCACCCTGGTCAACCAATCGACAATAAGGGCCCAGATGCAGGCGCCTTCCACACCACCTTGGAAATCAACGACTTTCCACAGAAAGCTCGTTGGGCTGTCACCAACCGGACCAACGTCGCGAAAATCCTGGATCGTACAGGCACATCGATCACCACAAAGGGCAACTTCTATCCTCCGGGCAAAAATCCTCAGGAGGGAGACCCCCCTAAGCTCTATATCCTAGTGTGGGTACCATCCAATTTTCATTAGGAAAGATACGCTAACGACATTATAGGGAGGGCGACACGGAGGCGGTCGTGAAGGGTGCCATGCGCGAGTTGCAAAACCTGCTGAAGGAGGGAACCCAAGCAGCTCTGGACAATGAATCCAGAGGCCCTGGTGGTGGACGATACAGTGTTCTCTAAAGCAGTGTGACGCTTCTCCGAAACCGAGTACATGAGCAAAGATACGTTACTTGGTTGGTTGCATGCACAGGCGTCTTTTTTGTCTTCATTTCCTGCGTAATGGATGGGCTATGGATGATGGATATGGTGGTTGGGTTCCCGTACGACTGGCGGGGATCCATTGAGCATCGCTCATGTGGATAACGATATCGCTGGATTGGCGATTTTGTCAATCGTAACATGGTTGGGCTACGGTTGATGGGTGAACAACGGTTGGGCTTTCGGGTACGACTAGCGGAAACTTAGAAAGTGTGGTTCATGGAGGAGATGGCTCCCAAGAATTGGCGACCCTGTCAATCATATGGTGGCACATCTAGGTTACTTCAAACGGTGCTATGCACTTGTTTGATGACCGCCATAAAACAGAAAACTAAAAAAAACCTCCTATAGCAGAGCAATTGAAGCATGATATGCCTCTTGCATCATACCTTCTCCTTGCTCTTTGATGGTGACACTAGTAGGCAACTGTCCACAGCTGGATGCTAAACGATGTGAGCGGTTCTAAGGTTCATACCTAGGTATTCAAGATTCGGAAGCGTCCCTGGATTGATACTCTTGGCATGGAAGGCAGGCAACGCATTTCATATTCGTGAAATCGTAATGCCGTGCATGTATTTACAAGTATGACACCCCTCCTGTGGCAACGCAACCGCATCCAACGCCCATCCCCCAATTCCCAATTTCCCTGATCCCTCAACTATACTTCTGTATCTCGGCATTCCGCTCCGTCTCCTTGCGCGCCAGATTATCCCGCGCCTCCTGCACCCTCGTCGCATTCATCGTCTGCTTCTTCTGCTTATCCAATTCCCCGCCCAGCTTCCCCTTCCCCTTCGCCTGCTGTAACCGCGCCTAGTCGCACACGTTAGCCCCGCACTCTCCACCCAATAATCCAATTTCCGCAACCCCTTCCAAACCCGCAGCTTCAATTCGAGATGGGGTAGCTCACCTCGGCAGCCCGCGCAGCTGCAGCCCGCGGATCATCTGCCGAGCGCGCGGCGGTGCCGCCGACTGTCTGTCCGCCGCCGGTGGTTGAGGCGCGTTGGGCCTGTTTCTGGGAGGGGAGTTTGGCGGAGGCGGGCTTGGCGGCGGGCGCGGAGGAGAGGGTGCGGCCGGGGGTGGAGAAGTGGTCTTTGTCGCCGCCGCCGCAGAGGCCGCTGCAGGTGTTGCCCATTGTTTTGCGGCTGTGCGCCTGGGAGGGTGGTGGGAGGAGCTAAGGTAGGGAGGGAGGGAGCTGGGTAGGAGGTGAGGTTGGTGGAGGTGGAACTAGAGGGGTGGATACCTAGGCTAGGCTAAGAGAGCGTGGGGAGAGTGTGGGGTTGAAGTGAGGCTGTGCAGAGCGGAGCTTGGGATGGTGGAGATGGGTTGAGAAAGATGATGTCGAGTGCTGAAAGAGAAGTGCTAGGAGAGAGCGAGGAGGATAGTCTAGAGAGAGATAGGTTCTTCTGCGTTTGGAATAGAACATTTCAACGTAGGGAGGCAGGTTTGCTGCGCTGGTCTCACCATGAAGCGTGGAACTGGCTGATCAAAGGTCAAATGGAACGTTTCGTATGTTTTCCCTGTGATGAGCAAATCCTGCCGTTGAGATACTTCGCTCCTACGCTTTCTGAGAAAGACGGTACCGGAAGGGGACCTGCATAGCACATTAGAGTAGAGTTTCTTGCTCTGTCACGTGCCAAATCTACCCCAGCCCTCTGGTCCCCAAAATATGTCCCCAACCCCACCTACCTAGAGGCCCTGAGACGATATCACTGCCACGCATCGCCGGCATCCCTTCTCTGCTGGCGAAGGCATGCTCCTCTGCGGCGTGTTCACTGCCTACCCTACCACCCCCGTCCGTCTGGCCGGCAGAGACCGAATCTGCCCCTCGCTGGTGCAAAGCTTGCGGCCGATCGTTGAGCACCGTGATGTCCGCCCTGTCAACTCCAACGCTTCTCAGGGTGCTAACTGCCTGTCCGTGTAGCTGAGCCTCACTTTCTCCAAGACCTTTCTCTTCCATCTCGGTCATGTTGTCTCCTGCAATATCCGCCCTCGCCGGCTCCAAGCGGTGCGCCGCTGGCAACATTATCAACAGCCTTACTTCCCACCACGTCTACTCCGAGAACGACCACCCGCCCCGCCATATCAACCCTGAACTCCTCTGTTGTCCCCCGGGAACCGGCTGCCATTCTACCATTCCACATTTCCATGCGCAATCCTCGAGCCTCAAGTCGTCCAAATACCCCTCCACATACCCGGATTCTGGACACAACTGGACGAGCACAGTTAACGACGAGTCGGTTGATATCCCAAAAGCCCGTTTCCGCCCTCTTTGCGATGCCTGTGTCATGAACGAAGATTGCACCGACGAGTGCGCAATCCCTTGCTCTGGGGATAAAAAATGTCCCGGCGATGTTGTCTGCCCCGAAGTTGCTCCATGCTGCGAAGCGCAGTGCGATATAAAATGCGCCAACACTCCATGTTCGCCATGTTTTGAGGACGAGTGCCGCGACCCATGTACCAAGATCTCATGTCCCGGGGTCCAATGCCCTTGCGCAGCCTGTGACGCGGATCCGTGCCCGCTGCAGGACAATTGGGACCCTTGCCACGTGAGCCATCACCCTTCATCGCTCTCTACCGTGGTACCATGTCCTAGCGACACTGCTCGTCGGGCTCCCTTCGTCCTGGGGTCCAACCAAACGAGCTACCACGACCAATCCGCTCAGGTGGAATCCTCATTCGGTTTACAGCGTTCGTTTCACGGAAATTCGAGTCACCAGTCACACGCAATGGAGAACATGGATCTGTTCTCTTCAGACACCAACACGACCGAATTCAGGTCCCTTTTTCACCCCAATGGACAATTCATACAAACTCATCCTTTCTCTGACACCCATACTTGTCTTATTGATATGTCTTTTGAACATTGCTACTACGGCCCTCATTCTTGCTGCCACGGCAATCTTGAGCCATGCGAACAGTGTCATGAGATACCTCAGAGTGGTCACAACATATCAGGAGGCTCGAACCATCGACCCTTTGGTCACTTGACGAAATCTGGCTCTACAAGCCACCCTCGCCAATCCTTCGCGCAACAAAACACGCCCGGGTTCGAATATCCTCACCGCCAGACATCAAGCAGCATGAGCAGTGAACTAGCGGAACCGTCCGCCAACTCTGTGCATCCTTTGTCATCCCCTTGGCTGTTAGGTGGCCAATCTTGGGATACCTCGATGCCTCAATTTTTAAACTCAGACCTTCGATCAAGCCTGATGAATTGCGGCAACGTACACATGGGGCCTGGGAAGCATCAAGCTAACAGTGCTGCTTTTTCATATCCTTCTCCGATATCAAAACCAGGAACAAGCTCCGGAAAAACTACCATGTCTGTGTCTCCGATTGGTGACGACTCAGCATCGGGGCGGGTGTCATCATTGTCAATGGAGCCATCCTCAGATGATGGTCTCAGAGATCAATTGCGCTCCCCTTCTCTTCTTCAAAGCTTTAGACCCACGCCTAAAGATAATGGAGCATACATTTGCAGATGGAAGCCGACCTCTTCCGTGATTTGCTTTGACCAATTCAAATCTGCAGAGGCTCTTCACAACCACATTAAAGCCTGTCACATAGGCAAGACGAACGGATCTTGCTTTTGTCAGTGGGAGGGTTGCGATGAAGACCATACAAAGGACTTCAAGCAACGCTCGAAATTGGCCAGACATTTGCTTGTGCATGCTGGCTGTATGTTGAAATTTCGTATAACTTCAATCGGTATTTCATACTTACAACATCACAGATCGGCCCTACAAGTGTGGCCATGATGGGTGCGAAAAGACCTTCGCCACCAACCAAGCCAAAGATAACCACGAACGTACGCATGCAGGCAACAAGCCTTATCAATGCCAGCACTGTCCCTACGTAACAACGACGGCTACTCAACTCAGTAAGCTTACTCCCAACAGCCCATGCTCCGCAGCTCCTAACCCCTTTCCCTTCCCTCAGAAACCCACATCAATGCCAAACACATCAAAGACAAATGCTTCCACTGCCGCATCTGCGCCTTCTGCTGCGCCGACTCCTCGAACCTCTCCAAGCACGAGAAAACCCACCGCGCGCGGCCCTACCGCTGCTTACACCCCAGCTGCACGTTTAAAAACGACTGTCGGTGGGAAAACGTGAAGCGCCATTTCAAGAAGTCGGGACATTGCCCAGAGCTGCTGGTCGATGACTCCCCGGAGCAGGTGCGGTATAAGCAAGAAGCAGCGGAGCTCGCGAAGAGGGACCCATTGCCGAAGAAGGTGAGTCGGGTGAGGCGGACGGGAGAGGTGGCGGAAAGGGAGGAGGGAGAGAGTAGCTGTTGAGCCGGTATGTACAAGGCAGGGAGCGCGGTAATTGTACGGCTATGCATTCTCGGCGTTGGGGCTTGGTTACCTAGGCATGGCGTCTAGTAGAAGTCATGAGTTCATGTGTTCATGAGGGGATCTGTAGCGTTTTCTAGTGCTTTGGTATGCCATTGGGAGCGTGCTGGGTGTCGCCGCTGCGTGCCGTCCGCGTCTATCAAAAATCCTCTTGCACGGTTTGATTTGGTGAGAACTTCTTACACACGTGAGGAGTTTCTAGGCGGAGGTCCTTCGGCTGCTCTTCTCAGGCCTTTTGCCGATGGCCTGATTCGGAAGCCCGTTGCTTCCAGCTTGAAAGAGAGGGCACCGGGTGTGCCCCTCCACGTCTACTAAGAAAAGCTCTTGCGCGGTTGATTCTGTAACTTCTTCTAACGAAAGCGCGGAAATTGTCGAGCGGAACTACCCCAACAACTCATCTCAAGCCCTTTGGCAGTAGTCCGATTCAGGGCCCGTTGCTTCCAGCCTAAAAGAGTAGCACGAGGTGTACTCCCTCAACGTCTAACCAAAAAGGCTCTTGCGCCCGTTGATTCTGTACCAACTTCTAACTGGTCTTCTACTCTAATAAGCAGAAGCGCCGCCAACAGCTCCCCTGAACCCTCTTGCCAATAGCCTAATTCACAGGTCTGTTGTTTTCTGGATCGCAAAAACGGGCTCCGATACGGGCACGCTTGCGTAGTTATCCCTCTGGCGTCTACCAAAAAATCCCCCTTTCCCACGGCTCATTCGGTAAGAACGCCCACCCAGACTTCAAAGCCTTACTAGTAAAGTAGGGGGGCGCTCCAAAAGCCCCCTCTTAAACCCTCTTGACAGCAACCTAAGATAGACGCCGTTACTTCCGCGTGAAAAAAAAAACGGGCCACAACGAGGGCATGCCGCGTACCCCTCCGCGTCTACCAAATAAGACCTCATGCGGTTCATTTGGGAAGAACTTCTCAAAACACTCAAGAAGAGAGTCTCTCTGAGCGGGGGGTGCTCTGTCTAACTTTTGTAATCCTGTTATCTGGAGAGCTGATTTAAAAGGCTTGTAATGGGGGAGTGAAAAGCGATCACCCCGAGGGGACACTTTCGGGAGAACTTGGACCAGCAGTATGGATACTTTTTTAGTAGATCTGGCAGTAGGATTCACGTCTATAAGCGTGATAAGTAGTCACTTCCGCGAGAGCTGTTAACCCTGTTGTGCATGCTTTCGGCCCTATCTCCAACGACGCAGGTGGCGGCAGCGATCCATGTATGAACACGGTCTAATTGCACAGGCCTTCTGGGTTTTCCAGTATTACAGCGCTACCCAAGCAAGCCCGACGCCATCGCCTCCAAGTCCTCCAACGTCTGCGGCTGCTCCACAGCCCTCCCCTTACCCTTCTTCCCTCTCTTCCGCGTCCGCTCACCCGCCTCCTCATCGCTCGCGTCCTCAAACCACTTCTTCGGCCTCTTCGTCGGAGGCGGACTCGCGTCTTTCTCCGCACCAGCATCGTACACATCCTGGGTAACATCCAAGAACGCCTTGAACGCATCCTCGTTGGCCGCACCGTCGAGCTCAACGCCGCCGTCGCTCTCATCAACTTCCTCAGCCTCGGCCTCAGCCGCCCTCCTCTTCTTCTTTTCCTTCTTTGCCTTTTTGCGTGCACGCTCGACTTCTTTATCGCCAACGTCTTCCTTGAGCACGCGCTCTCTTTCTGTTGCCAAGAAGCGCTGTCTCTGCTCCTCTGCCTCGCCCTTCGCCTTGAAGGCGTCTTCGTCTTCGAGTTCGTAGACCTCGTGGGCGTTGCCTTCGTCGTCGAATAGGATCTTTGAACCCCGGTTCTTTAGCTTCAGCATCTTCTTCTTCGACTTGAGCAGCTTCTCCCGGCGCTTGCTGTCTAATATCAGCGGCGTGACGGCGCCAGGGAGGTCAACGACTTTGTGCTTCGACCCAGTGTCGTCATCGCTATCATCATCCAGCTCAGAGAGGTCTTCGTCAACAGGGATGCGGCGTTTGACGGAGAGGAAGTCATCGTCATCGTTGGCGGCAGTGTCAGCTTGCGACTCGGGCTTCTTCCCGTCGTCCTCAGTTCTGATGAGTTTCGTGTAGTGGTCCGTGAAGACGTCCTGGTTGGTTCTCTCAAACATGCGGTCATGCTTCGTCCGTACGCCATCCTTGCTCTTCGGTAGTTTCTTCGCTACACCGTCCACCTCTTCTTCGTCTTCAGAGTCTGAGAGCACATAACGTGGGGCGTTCTTCCGGTCCTTGACATTCTCGCCCTTCATGAACTTGATGTGAGGCGCGCCTGGCAATCCCAGGCTAGCCGCAAACTCTTCAAGATCGTACTCGGAGAGTTTGAAAACGGCTTTGTCGTGTTGGAGGTAAAGGCTTCGGACATATGAAACAAAGGCTTTTTGGCCGAGGTATTTTAGCTGAGGGTCTTTGAAGCACATGTTTTGCAGTTGATTTTTTAATGATTGCAGTTTCTTTTGGCGGATGTTGATGCGCTCGATTGGAACTTTCTTTTGCATTAGACGCTCTAGCATTGCTTCCTCCTCGCTTGGCGCGAGAAAGAGGACAGCCTTGCCGTCGCGTTCGTATCTTGCGGTCCTTCCTACGCGATGGATATACGTATCGACATCCTCAGGACAATCTACTTGGACCACCCAGTCCACAGCTGGGAAGTCAAGGCCACGGGCGGCGACGTCGGTAGCAAAGAGGCACGAGTTCTTGGATGCGGAGAACTTCTGTGTGATTTCTAGCCTGACTGTCTGTTTTTGAGAGCCATGAAGATGAAGGAGAGGAATTCCGGGCTGCATATGTCGAAACGAGTCATACACAAACCTAGCAAAGATTAGACAAACTCCTGAAGTCAACCTCTGACCAACTTACCGAACTTGTTTCGCAGAGGAGAGAAACACTAAAATCTTCTGCTTCTTACTCGCCTGAATAAAACTCCAAAGAGTATCAATCTTCTCATGAAGCGGCGTAATAACGTAGTTCTGTTGAAGCGACTTCGGAGTAGCAGCAGCCGCTCCTTCATCCACAGAAACATATTCCGGGTCCTTCAGACTCAATCGTGCCAGGTCCTGTACCCGCCGTGATTGCGTAGCCGAGAATAGCAGTGTTTGTCGCTCTTTCGGGAGGTATTCCACGATAGCATCCACGTCTCGCTGGAAGCCCATATCAAGGATCCGGTCGGCCTCGTCCAGCACCAGCATCCTTAGGTTATCGACATCGAACCCCGCGGTTTGCGACAAATGTTGCAGCAAGCGACCCGGCGTCGCGACCACGATGTTCATCCGTGCGAGCGCGGCTTGTTCTTCCGCAAGGCTCTTGCCTCCGATTACTAGACCGGCGGCAAACATGTGGCCCTTGGACCCGATCCTTCGCAGAACGTCGAAAATTTGTGTTGCGAGCTCTCGAGTGGGCGAGAGGATTATCCCGGCCAGCCCAGCGTCTACACCAACACATTGGGCACGATATAGGTTTTCAAGCAGCGGAACCAGGAAAGCGAGCGTTTTGCCCTGGCCTGTCTTCGCGGCGCCTAGCAGGTCTTTGCCTTTGAGGATATACGGAATCGATTTGGCTTGGATGTCGGTCATGACGGAGAAGTGGGCGGCTTTGAGGCCGGCGCGTGTGAAGTCGGAGAGCGGCAGTTCTTTGAAGTCTTTGGAGGTGCTGGTTTTGGGGTCCTAGAGTTATATAAGTACATGTATGGAGGTACCGGTAGGATTCAAGGTATACCAATTCTGCCACTTTCTGCTCCAGCGCCTCGATGTCGCCATGGTCACGCTTCCGTTTCTGCGTACCCAGCTGCTTCTTCGGTTTAGTCGGCCTCGCGCGGCCGGTGAGCGTGGGCGCCATTCTCAATACATGGAGAGAGTGTAGTGTTGGAGTTGGAGGTCGAGGTCAGAACAAATTTCACGCACGGGCCAGCTGGAGAAGCGGGTCCATTTTTCGTCCCTCTTGTCGCGGGGCGGAAGGCTCCCTTGAACATAAAGTGGCAGTCTATGATGAATACTCCACCGCGGGCCTCCTCCAACACAGCCTTGCCTTGCTGTGCTTCACCCGCAGTTTCTGTGAGAGGCCTCACTACTTACCTTTCTCGAGCTTGACAAGCCCACTTCATTCGTTCTAAGTGCCTCGCGAAACCATCACACCGCCACCCCAATGGCCGACCTCCAAGACGACGGCGGCCTCGACGCCCTCAACGAGCTCGAGAAAGAAGCCAAAGAATTCGACAAGGTCCGTCTCCCTCCTCCCCCTTCCATTTCTCTACTAACTAAACCGATAGGATGCAGAAATCGCCCGTCCGTCCCCTCCCCCCCCCAAAACACCCCCCCCCCCCCCTCCCATAATTGACTAACCCCCCCGCCCCCAGGCATCCTCAACGCCTTCAAACTCGACGCCTACGCCGTGCTGGACCTGCAGCCCGGCGTCCCCGAATCCGACATCAAAGCTTGCTACCGCAAAAAGTCCCTGCTGATCCACCCGGACAAGACGGCCAACCCCAGCGCGCCCGACGCCTTCGACCGCCTCAAGAAAGCCCAGCTCGAGCTCATGGACGACAAGCACCGCACGCGCCTCGACGAGGCCATCGCCGACGCGCGCATGCTGCTGATGCGCGAGCACAAGTGGACGGCGGACAGCCCCGAGACGCGCACTAAGGAGTTTGCGGTCGACTGGCGCGAGAAGACTAAGGAGGTGCTGATTGATAATGAGCTGCGGCGGCGCAAGCAGCTGAAGGCGCAGCTGCAGGAGGAGGGCCGCGCGCAGAGGCAGGAGGAGGAGGAGATCGAGCAGCGGAAGCGGAAGAGGGAGCATGAGCAGGCGTGGGAGCAGAGTCGGGAGCAGCGGATTGGGAGTTGGCGGGATTTCAAGGGGAAGAAGGGAGAGGAGGGGGAGAAGCCGAAGATGAAGAAGAAGAAAAAGCTGAAGGCGCTTGGGTGAGGGAGGGGGGTGGTGGTGGTGGTGGTGGCTATGGCGGGTGACGGAGGGAGGGGAGGGTGCTGGGCTGAGCGAATGCCGGCATGTGACGGGTGTGCTGGTGAAGCCTATCGGTTTCCTGCATGCGGGTGCTGGAATCCAAGGCGTCTTATGGGTGCTGGAGTTTGATTCGGCTTGCTGAGGCTTGCTGATGCTGGCGAGGCGTCAGGCATGGCCCTGCTTCATTTTCATCTCTGTTAAGGGATCAGCGGATTGATGGAGAGGTTCATATTGCACTGAGCCCTCACGCCATGCCATTGTCTACAATACACAATACAAATATGGCCCATTGGTGTATAAATGGTGACCCCAAGAGAACCCTACATCCCCAGCATCATGCTCCCCACCCTCAACCTCATCTGCGAGCCTGCCGAAATGGTGACCGCGAACCACGGACGACCGCCCCCCGACGAGCCAACAGGGGCGACGACAGCGTCGTGCAAGCCCAGGACGCGACCGTTAGCCAGCGTCACTGCCTGACCAACCATGCATGAAGCCTGCGGCCGCATCGTTAAAATTCCCCGAAGACGCCCAATCAGCCCGCTCCACAAGCTCCAGCGTGCCCATAGATCGCTGATGCGTGATCCCGTTGCATAGAATCCGCGTCCACCACGCCCGCCATGCCCACTGAAGAGCTCGCCGGATCCCCTCGAGCGCTGGTCATGCGCAAGGGCCCCCAGATAAGAAATCATTCCCCCGTCTCTTGTTCCTTAAATTCTTTCAACGCCTCTCGTATGCGCCGCCCTGGCTGTTCCTAATCCCCAAGATTACATGCCTGTCCTTGGCCCTCCCTTATTTCGCCCCTGCCTCGCATATATGTATATGTATGCCCGAGTACATCCCCGACGTGACCATAAAGATTATTGGAAAAGCTGGTGGGCCCGGGAAATCTGTGGTATCTCTTTCGTTTAAGAATATGACGCGCTCCGATGCAATGAGACGGGGTGCCTGCCTAAGACAACACACACGTACACCCCCTGAAAAAGAATAAATATGCTGCGCTACATCAGATTCGTACAACATTGGTGATTTTCGAACGGGAGCGACAAGGCCAGCTCGTCATTTCAGTCGCAATCTGGCGGCCTGATTTCTCTTCTAAGTCGTCGCAATTTCCCAAGATGGGTTCTTTGTGTATTATTATGACCCAAGGTGCGTGCACCTCTTTATTCCATGCTCACTCTAAAACCTCGTGTATGTTTAGTCGTCGTCGCTTTTCAGGTGTCTCAGGTTGTGTTTCCGTGCCAGGTGAGGCCTCTCGTCGTCGGACTCGATCTCGCTGGCCCTCCCCAAACTCTTGTCCTAGTGGTGATGGCAGAGGCGGGGCAGGTGCAGTGCGTATCGGCGGGAGCTGGAGCCCTTCCAGTCGCGGAGGTCCTCCCTCACGAAACGGCCCTTGTCTTGGGTCAGAAGTAGATGATTGCGGTCGTGAAGATGGTACATAGGGAGATGGATGAGACAAGGGTTGGTAGGTTTGGAAGTAACCAGGCTCTAGAGCAGTTGGGGAGTACCCATACGCAGGACTATGAGTATACTGAGGGCTGCTCAGAGGAGCTTGGGGGAGCGAGGTCCTGATGGCGGAGAAGTTGTAGTATGGTGACGATGGAGCGGACGTGCTTGCCGATGATGCGGGTCGAGAGTATTGGCCGTAGTCGCGTGGTGGTGGTGCTGATGTGGGCCCCAATGTAGGTCCTGAAGGTACCCCGGACTGGACAGGTGTTGGGGGCGCCATGTACGAGGTCAACAACGGAGCTGGACCAGCACTTCGTGGAATGTGAACGACGAGAGTAACAAAGTACACCGAAGCCTTCGCCAGACGGATTTGCACCTGCAGGGATTGAATCGGTGTAGTTGGTATGTGGAAGTTGAAGAGGTGGGGACGGTCTGTGTACCCCTGACTGACGAGTTCGACGTCGCTCTCAGGAATCGCCTGTATAGGGTCCGGTTGTCCTTGTGGGGTAATGGGAGCCATGTAAGCTGGGTCTCGGTCGTCTCGTTCCTGTCGAAGGCTATTTCGTAGTCGTGCCAGCGTCTCTCGATGGCGATAGTTTACCAGCTCCGCAAAGTTCTTTCCCCGATCGTCTCCCCCCATTAAGTCCCTGAATGCCTGGTTGGTTCGCAATATTACCAAATCCAAGTTCATGAATGCCACAGGACGCACAGAAGGTCCTAAAGTAGAACCAGGGTACGGCGCCGTTGTGAACCCCCCGAGAGTGCCAACGCTCGTTGGACGCGTCACCGAAGTCGGCAGCAATGGCTGCTGAGGAACGTGGGGCCTTACGTCAGACCCTCGCTGCGATCTCCTTAGACTTCGCAAAGGATCGTGCTCTTGTGGCGATTGCAATGGCGGCTGCGGGAGGGGTCCTGGCTCTGCTGCGGATAGCGTCAATGTTCGGTTCAACGAGTCCCTTACGCCCTCTCTTCTCAGAGTAAACCTCTCCAACTCTCTTTCATCTTGGTCTCGAAGTCTTGGTCTTCCTCTCTTCTTGTGCTGCACATCCCTGCATGAGTCCTATAGGTCTTCAGTCAGTCCGGGATAAAGACGCGCAATGCATGCGCCTCAACGGTCGAGCAGTTGGGTAAGTACCTGTTTTCCAGCATGGAGACAACGAGTGCATGGCCTCTGCACATCGCAACTGAGATGCGCTTTCTTGCAGTTTACGCATGCCGACGTAACGTGCACTTTGGTTCTTCGTGCTGTTTTGTTGGGTCGCAACGGTTGTGGAGCAGCAATCGCCGTCGGCTGCACTTGGGGACCCGGACCAGGACCCCCGAGCACAGTACGAGCACCACCATGAGGCCCAAGAAATCCAAACTCATACGGTTGAGGCGCCTGTACCCCGCCGAAAGCGGGGCCTTGGATGGCATGGCCTTGCTGATACTGGACCGGACCTCGTGGCTGCTCCCCTCCGGCGTAACGCTGATGCTGCTGCGGTATGCCCTGGATCAACGTGGAGAGTCGCGGGTTCACTGGGGCTGCCGCAGGTTCTCTGGATCGAGGCGGCTGGCTCGCGGCTGGGGGGTAGGGATGGCCCTCCTCGTCAAGATATCGAGCGGAGCGTCGACCGGGCGACTGAGACTCTGACATGGGAGGAGATGGATAGCTGTACGGCCCCGACGTACCAGGACTAAACGGCTGGGGGAACTTGACCAGGTGACTACCTGGCCCTTGACGTCGCCCAGAAGGCGTTTGGTGGAGAGTGCACGGCGGAGGCAAGGCCAGTATATTCATCGCTCTTTGCGCGCTATGCTCGAATCCCGCGGGCGCAGCCGGAGTCCAAAGCTGGGTGCTGGTAGTGGCAGTCCCGGAGTAGGCTGCTGGGCAAAAGCTCTCCGGCACGTAACGTGGACTCTGGCAGGACGTGCAAGATCTTAGAATCCACTGAGGCTGCATGTCGTAAGCAACGCCGAGGGGCAACGACAACGACAGAAACTAGACGAGAGGAGGATGCCTGATGAACCACGACATGGCGCCAACCATAGCACCGAGGAGATATAAAGAAGTGACCAACGCGGGGGGGGGCAAAAGAAGTGAGGGGCTCGCGAGAAAGGCGAGATGGGTACCTTTTGATATTGCTTGTGGGCCCATCAACAGCCGCAAGGCTCGCCCACGCGACGCTGGGAGGACTATGGGAACGCGGTGGCTCGTCTGACTCGGGGCTCAGCTCGCGAGCAAGTGGCAGTGGTGTTGAGGTCAGTGGGAGACAGCGGGGAGCATGGCGGCAGCTTCACGGCGAAGGTGCTGGAGGAGCTGCCCTGGCTCGACGGAGATCACCTGGTATTAACTCGATCTCAGAGATCTCGTCGGGATCCTTGTTTACACCTGCAGATGGTGGACGACAGCCATGGCACGGAGGCAGCGCGGCCTGGGTCCGCGTTCGGCTGATGGTTCGTCGAGCAAGCAGCTGGCCGTGTCGTTGGTGTCGGGGCTGGGGCGGTGCCGGAAGCGTGCATGGCAGGCCTCGGGGGTGAGAGTTAGGAGTTGCGCGGGTGGATCGCCCTGGACAGCCTTGCCAGTGCTCCAGAAGGGGTCTCCAGGGCCTCATTGCCAATTCGATAGCGGCGAGGACGCGCTGATTGCTTTTGACGGCTCGCGCCCCGAGAGGAGCGAATAAGGTTGGTGAAGGCGGGCAGATTGCGAATGTGGCTGCACACTGACAGGCCCCAAGCGGCCGGACACTCACCCCATTCGCGGGCCGCCGCCAGGGAGGACGATGTCTAATCCACCCACTGCCCTCCGCCTCGCTCGCACCCCTCACGCCGCTGCTCACCGACCTGAAGCCGCGCGATGGCGAACGTCGTGGCCCGGTTTGATCGACGCCTCCCGGCGAGGCTTGACGAGCATCTGCGCGCGGCCGCGATGCTCCTGCGCCCTCAGTGGCCAGCACCGGCAGCAGCCACAGTCGAGGATGGACGACGACGCTCGCGTCACCAGCCCCCTAGCCAGCTGAGCCACAGGCCGGTGCCGTCGAGACCGCTGCTGCGACGACGACATTGACGACGGCAAGACGGCGGCAGCACGACGGCAGCACACGGCGCCCATGTGAGAGCGTTGGTGCCGGGGACCGCGAGGCCCAGCCATGGACTTCGCGCGCCCTCGTCCCATGGATGGAGCATCCGCTAGCGACGAGCTGCCTCATGCTGCTCACGCAGGCGATCCTCGTCGCCCACCCCCCGCCCGCCGTGAAATCGAGTCGAGGGCGGCGGACTGCGCGCCGGGCGCCAATCTCCACTGCACCAAACGCTGGATGCTGCAGCAATGGGGCCATGACGCTGTCCATATAGCCGTGGGGAGCCTCCAATGCCACCACTGCCCGTAAGTGCTCGCCCAGAGTGGGAGGCTGCAAGTCAGAGAGCAGGGCCTGCCGGGACGGGCATCATGCCGCCCAAAATGCTCCGGTGCTATCGATCAGGCCGTCGACGATCCTTAGCAAAGTGTCCGAACGCACCAGCAGGCCGAGACGAAGCTGGTCGGCACCGGCACGCTCTAGCATGGCCAGCGCCACTCGACGGCCAAAGTGCGCGACGAGATGCAGGAAGGGTGGCGGAGGGGCTGCGGAGCCAGAACATGTGACAGCAGAATCTGATGCCATCAGTGGGTCCGCCGTATGTAGGTACCTACATACCCAGTACACTCTTCCGTAACGGCAGCTTCTGCTTCCGCTCAGAGCTGCGGCGCGGCACAAACAGAGCGGGGACAGCGGTATCTTCCTTCGGGGATGCAGAAGAGAGGTCCGCGGTTGGGAGCTTGACTGCCTGCAGGGAGGTCAACAGGGAGACTGTGGGGAGCGCGCATCCGGAATGGCGGGCGCCCAGTCCAAGCGAGTCGTCGAATATTGGGTGCGGCGGCTGTCAGAGCCCGAAAGGGATGCTGCAGGACATGGACGAGGCATGTGGAGTCGCGAGTGCTTCGCCCGGCGATCGCCTGGGGGCGGCGAGCAATAATGCGCATTGTATTGGCTGCCCAGTAGTTATTGCCATCTGCTCTTCTCACACTTTCAGGTGGCTCGGGCGAGAGGATCGCGAGGGCAGAAGACGCGCTGATCGCGGTGGGAGGACACCCTCGGTGGCGTTGCAAACAAACCCTCGCGTCGTAACTCCCATCCCGAGTACCTGCCTTTAGGAAGTCCTCTGCGCGGAGTGCTTGGCGTGTGTGGTTCGAGGTCCGAAGGTGCATGTCGGCAGCGTCGTGTGCTGCAGGCTGCTGCAGGCGGCTGTGATCCCAGCGAGCCTTAACGGCGTGGGACGGTGGGAGGGCAGATCCAGGGATTGCGTCTTGAGGGAAGCCAAAAATGGAAGTTCAATCTTATAGCTGTTTATTGGTTATTTAACGACACGAAGCGCGGCCTGACTCTGCCAACGGCCTGCGACTCCCGGTTTCCTGGTAATGCAGAGCTTCGGCAGCCGCACTAGCTCCCACTGTCCGCACACCACACATCCCGCGCTGGTGCCGACGCGAACAGCTCCTCTGCCCGCCGTACAGTCAATGTGAGCGGCGCCAGGGCCGTCGGCACTCTCGTGTGCCCAGCGGGGCCCTGAAGCAGCCGGGATGCGCAGTATGACCCGCGGGATCGGCGAACAGGTTCCTGGGCATTGACACACTGTGCCATCGAAAGGGTGTTCGCGGGGTCGCTGCTGCAGGGATGAGGGGTCCAATGCTGACAAGGCCCGCTGGAGACCAGCCTGATTTGCGCTGGGTGCGGGCCGTTCAGCCCTCTGGCCGCGCCTGTGCAGCTCTCGCGGCTCGTCGACCAGTGGGCGACGCCGCGAAGGATTCCGCCGTGCTATCGCAGGACGTCGTATGTGAGCCGCTTCGATGACCGGGGATGCCCTAGATCGAGCAGGTCGCGTCCGCACTCGTCTCATCGTGAAGTCATGGCCGTGTCCATCGACCGCCGGCTGCCCACGCCTCTGCGCAAAAGAACACAACGGCGGCGTCTGCAAGCGATGTCAACAGAATCGGCAGAGGCCTTCCTCGTTCTTCGAGAAGAAAGTGGGTCTGGTCCCCTGCCCGTGTTGCAACCGGCATGTGCTAGCACGAAACGGAAAGCAATAAATCAGTCAATATCAGTCGAATAAATAGCTGTATTGAGCCCCGGCCCCTGCCGCGCGCCAGGAACCGCCTCTTGTCGCGTGCCCTCCGTGCTGCATAACCTACGCGTGAGATCGGGCATCTGAGCTACGGACATTTCTTCGGGTGCATCAGCGTGATGATATTCCCCGGTCTCTGTACACCCTTCTCTTGTGGCGGCTAGCATTGCCTCATACATTGCGCACCCAGACAATAGTGCTCGTCGCCGGCCCTTGCGTGCACTCTGTCGCCCTGTCTTTCGCAGATGGCAGTAAGTTCGACCATCACAGTTTCGAGACCTTACTATACCGTCTACCGGCTCCGTCCCACCGCTCGCCCACGCCTAAAGCGGACGACGCCTCAAATCTTTCTCTTCTTGGACGGCCGGGCATTCTTCTCCTTGCGCCTCTCCTTCAACTTGCGCTGCTTCCGGACATCCTCGACGCCTCGCAGCTCGTTCTTGGCACCACCGTCTCTGAATTTGCCAACCCGCTTCTCCTTGGCTTCCTGCACCCTCTGCTTCCTCACGTGATAATCGTCTCTGTACTTGTCCGCCTCTTTAGGTGCTTTTTCTGACTTGTGCTTGAACCGCCGTCCGGTATCGCGAGGCGCAGATGTGCTCGCCGACTCCAACTCGCCTATGCGTGGCAGGCGGCCGACTTTGTTCGATTTTCTCCACTTGTCAAAGCGCCCGCTGCGGAAACTCGCCGCAATCTTCATACCGCTCTCGCCTCGTACCATCCGGGTACCCTTGGATCCGTCAGTGTCGTTGGACGTGGCTACATACTTTTTGCTTTTCTTGTCCCAGCGCATGCGGGCCTTGCTGCCCTGGCCGATGGCGCTGTCATCATTATTGAGATCCATCGTAGCGCCCCGGGCGGCCTCCACGAATGAGGGCTGATGGGAGTGGACCGAGTATCCACGATCTTCGGCCAGATTCGTAGATTTCGGGGCGTATGACATGAAATGCTCGGCATCCTCCCAGCCGTCTTTGGTCACATCACCTGATGCCGGCTGAGAAAGGAAAACCTCCATCTCATCTGAATCTGCATCGGTATCCGGATCTGACTGCGCCATCTCCTGTACGGCGATCTCCTTCTTGTCGACGTTCTGAATCAAGCTAGGAGCGGCATGGTCGATTGGAGCGGCGATTGTGGGACCATTGTTGGATCGGTGGCGCCGATGTTCCAAATGCTGTCGTGTCTTGCGCATGACTTCGGCTGCTTCGCCACCCCCCCCGGAACGCTTCCCGAGCTCAAACACAGTCTCGAGCGGCCGAAACCCGCTTACTTTCGCCAACATATTTTCTCTTTCCAATTGAACAGAGGAAATGTCATCCGCAAAGAGCAAGTTGACTTCCGAGAGTTTCCCGGAAGAAACTAATACCTTGGCTCTCTTCACGCTCTGCGTGGACGCAGCGTTGCGCGTACTTTTGTAGAGTTTGAAGCCTTTTGCAGCCACGTCGTGCAGCGACAACAAGTCTAGATCCTCGTTTCGACGTTTTGCCACCGCTTCGCAAGCGCTCTCGAGCCTATCACGCACGAGTGTACCTACGACGATATCTTGGGCGAAGCTGAAGTCTGCAGTAGCTTCCCGCCCAAGCACCAGCCGTCGAGACAGAAAGAGCTGAAGGTCAAGAAGGTAAGGGGCTTCAGCATCTCCTACGAGACTGTAGCTCCAGCCCTTCAGCCCTGCTCTTGCCGTACGGCCGACACGATGGACGTAAATCTTTGGTTGAGGGGGAAACTACTATCGTCAGTACTTTGGAGGGGCAGCCGTAGCAATACTCCACGACTCACATCGAAGTTGATGACATTGGCTAACACTGGGATGTCGATACCTCTTGCAGCAACATCTGTGGTGACTAGGATAGACGTAATGCCTGACCGAAAGTCCTGGACTGCCTGAGATCGAGCCATTTGGTCAAGAGACCCGTACACTGTGTCTGTCAATAAATGCAACGAGAAAGGGGAAACATAATACGGACCGTACGACGTAGCGTATCCCAACGAACGCAACAGTGCGGCGAGGTATTCTACATGATGCTTTGTAGAGGCGAAAACAATTGTCGAATGTTCTGTGGGAGAGTCTTTCGCATTTGTGCCCTCATGAGCCCGCTTCCTTTTCTTTCCCGTAGCCACAGCAGCTTCTCTCGACTTTGAAGCTGTCTGCCCTGTAGGTAACTTGATGATGTCTTGAAGTATGTGCAGAAGTGCTCCATCCTTCTCGGCACTCTTAACCGTAAAGAACACACTCTCGAGATTCGGGGAGATTTTACTCTCGGCATCAAGGCGAATCAGCTTGGGCTCCTGGAGACCGGCCCTCGCGAATTCGACCAAGGATTTAGGAAGCGTAGCAGAGAACAGCAATGTTTGTCGAGAGGTCGGTAGGGCGTGGAGGATTTCTGCGAGCTGCGCAGCGAAACCCATTTCGAAGAGTCGGTCGGCTTCATCAAATACCATGTATCGGACGGAGCTAAGGTCGAGCTGCATCTCTACCTTGAGATGTAGCAGTCGTCCTGGTGTGGCAATAATTACGTCGGGGTTAGTGGCCATGGAGGTGAACTGATCCTCCAGAGACTCTCCTCCCACCAACAATATAGTTCTGAGATCTGTTCCACGGCCCAAGTCCTTGATAACTTTGAGTGTCTGAAGTGCAAGCTCTCTTGAAGGCGACATTACAATGGCTCTCGCGCCAACTTTGGCAGAATGGCCTCTTAGTTTGTCGATCAATGGCATCACAAAGGCAGCCGTCTTGCCAGACCCGGTGCGAGCCATGCCAACGACGTCTTGGCCGTCTAAAATCAAAGGAACAATTTTCCGCTGAATCGGTGTGGGAATCTGGAAACCCTTCCGTGCGATAGCTTTGAGGAGCTTTGGATTGAGGCCCATGGCTTGAAATCCTCCACCTTTCTTCACTGTATTGCCTTTCAAGCTGGAGGACTTCCGATTTGAGGCTGCTTGTTGAGCAGCAATGAATTCCTCGTCACCAGAGTCGCCGGACTCGAGTCCTCCCAGCTCTAGCTCTTTTCCGAGGTCGGTGACCTGCCCGGCACGGCTCTTCCGGGCTCTATTGTTGCTATTGAAAGCATCGAGGTCGTTAAACAGGGCGTTGGAAATATCGTACTCGTTCTCCGAGAGCGCGGGAGAGCTGGCCCGTGGTGCCATCGTGGGTTATTGACGTGCTTCGCGGGTTTATGGCACTGATGCTAAACCGCCAGACATTCGCCGCTGTACTTACGGAGAGCTGTCTAGGTGCTCGGTATACGGTGTGGACTCGGAGGAGTCGGTGATGTCGCATCAAAAAAGTTCAGATCTCGACGCTCGAGCCCCACAATTATTTCCATCGTCTTGGCAGTTCTCACGTGCGGGGAGTGAGCGGCGCGTAGAAGCGCGTTTGCCTACTTTGGATCCCCTCCAAAACGTGTCAGTCAACAATCAAGCTCTTCCATAGCAGTTCTAGCCATGAGTAAAATCCCTCCACCTCAGAGGCCGAATCTCGCTAACCAAATCACCAGGTTACGGCAATTACGATTCGTACAACACGACCTCCTACGGCGCCCAAGGCGGGGCGGGCGGTGGTGGATTCATACCTGGAGATGGCAGTCAGAATAGTCCCAGCGGCAACAAAGTGCGATAACTTCCCCTAGCCCACTGAGTATAGCTAATTCGCTTCGCAGGGCTATGGCAAGGACACACTAAGACCTGTCACCATCAAGCAGCTCATCGACGCGCAGCCGATGCACCAGGAAGGCGAATTCAAAGTAGACGGCGCTGAGATCACAACGGTAAATCATCTCACCTCCTGAAGTATACCGCAAGAGAAGCTCATAGCTCCAGATCACCGTAGTCGGCCAGATTCGCAACATCTCCGTGCAGACGACAAACATCACGTACAAACTCGACGACGGCACTGGCACAATCGAAGTGAAGAAATGGGTGGATTCCGATGCGGCTCAAAACGGATCAGAGACTAAGCTTGCAGACAACATGTACGTTCGAGCATGGGGGAAGCTAAAGTCATACGGCAACAAGCGACATGTCGGCGCAACTGTCATCAGGCCAATCGCAGACCACAACGAGATATCGTACCACTTGCTCGAAGCCACGGTTGTCCATCTCGAGCTGACTCGCGGCCCTCCGGACTCAGCAAGCAAGGGCGCGAATACCAATGGTGCTCAAGGGTACCAGCAGTTAGGATATGGAGCTGCGGATGACATGGGTCCTACCGGCGGGATGAGTGCAACAGCGAAAAAGGTCTACCAGTGCCTCAAAACGACACCTCAAACGAACGAGGGACTTCACCAACAGGACATCGCTGCCCGATTAAACCTTGACATTGCCGAAGTGTCCAAAGCCGGAGACGACCTTCTGCAGCTGGGGGTGATCTACACGACTGTCGACGATGTCACATGGGCCGTTCTCGAGATGGATTAGGGCAACATCTACTGGCGTTATGGATTTGGGCTTTGGGATGTTGAGTGTAGCGTATTTCTGCACGAGGAAATAGTTACCCCACTAATTGAGGGTGGAAGCATGAATGTCTATGTGCTTAACGACTCGACACTGCGTTCGTAGAGAGAAACAGAACGCATGCTGCTACGATAGCTGACGCCACAACCGTGAAAACCTTTTGATCGAATTAACCGTGCTCATCAGCTGCCAAGTTTCCAATATGCTGCTTACCATTTGCGTTTTCCACCCCGATTGAACCAGCGCGGCCCTTCTACTATATCGTGTTACAGTTTTGATATAGTTTGCTATTCCAGATATAAGACAGGCAATTGCAAGAAGCCAAAAAATAATTCCGAACGGCAAAGCAACTCGCCTCTCTGTAACCTGTCAGCGCGATGGCTCAGCAGCTTTAGCAAAATGCTCACCTAATTCGCTGGGCTTGGTCTTGAGATGGAATGACATGACTATGGCGACCGACACGATGGCCATATAGATAGACAACCGCAACCATGACAAGAACGCTATCGAGTCAGATTGTCAGTCAAATTGTCTGCATTGGCGACAAGACTTACTCCTCTCATTGGCAGCGTGATCTCGCGCATCGGATGCGTTGTTATCAAAAAGAAGTGGGCCTAGGAGTGGTCGTTCTTGAAAGACGCTTCGGTCATAGCTGTTGTCTCTGCATTGGTCTCAGTACTTAAGAAACGCATACTTTTAGGCTTAAAGATTTCTTACTGTTTGACAAAGACTGGGGTCGAGTGCCAGAAATTATAGAGGGGATTGTATGGCTCATGCAGCAAGCTCTGTTCCGTATACTCCACTTCTGTCATATTGATTGCAGTATATCCACAGTCAGTCTCGCCGGCGTGCTTGAGAATTGAAGGCAACGAGAGTGTCAATGGGATGTTCTTTGATACTTCACCCGACAACTCTGCTTAAGACGAAGGGGCGAGCTTTGTGCCATGCCCCGCACAGCATAAAATGCACAGACCTCATAGGTGGGTGGATTGAACTATATTTCCCAGGTGACGTCTCCATTCTCTCTTCCATCTCAAGTGTATATTTCTAGAAAACTCTTCATTCTCGATCCTCTTTCTATCCCGAATACGCGCCATCCCTATCTGCTATGGCGGAGAAAGAACTCACTCTTTTTGGTGGGAGCAGGTATGCTTCTCCGTGCTCGCTCAGCCTGCCGCAACTGACTTTGGCAGTTCATGGAATGCCAAAGACTGGATTACTAGTGATGATCGGGTGAGGGGAGGAAAGTCACAGGTAGGACTTACGAACGCAGAAGTCACCGATCATACTAACTTCATTCCTTTACGTAGTCATACCTCGAATGCTCTTCGTCGTCTGCCCGATTCCACGGGGAGCTAGATATCAAGACTTTGGGCGGGGCTGGATTTGCAAGCCAGCGCACCGCTGGAGATGATGTGTCGTGGGATCTATCGGGCTATGATGGCATCCAGCTGAAATTGTATACTTCTAAAGCTGACAGTACGTCAATCTCTATCTACAGTCTTCGTAGTAACGCTTAGCATTGACTGTAAACTTAGATCAACGCTACACATTTATTATAAAAGACGAATTACTTCCAAAGAACCCTGAAAATGGCAGAGAACAATCCACGACATCCTGGGAATATGATTTCTCCAATGATCTAAAAGAGAGCGCAGGCGATCACAGTCTGCTACTTTTCATCCCGTGGGACAGCTTCAAGCCTACTTATCGAGGAAAGGAGAAGAAAGATCCTCTACCGCTTGATCATAAGAACATCAAACGATTTAGTATCATGATGAGGAGTTTCTTTGGCGATCAGGAAGGCCCCTTTTCGCTCTCAATTCGATCTATCAAAGCGGTAACTACTCCTCGAGACGTTGGGAAAGGCGCTTATAGCATTGAAGAACAGGATTTCAGCCCGCCCATGCACCGATATTCATTTGTAATCGCCGCTGCTCTTATGCTCCTCGCCATCCCCTCCATGTTGAGGATGTCAGTCCGCAAATAGACCATCATCGAAGCCTTCTCTACCTCGCCTGACTCAATCACACTATATCCTATATCCCCGGCCCCACCTTCTTAGAATACCGATGACCTGACAATTTCTACTCACCTGAACGAGGGGTCGAACTGGCATACTTATTTCTTGTATGTGTAGCGCGACACACTTTTCAACTGGTTGATTTCGTTTAAGACCACATACCGTTTCTCTGTTTCCCCCTCATAACACACGCACAGCGCCCTCTTTCTACAGCTTTTCACCACTGCTCGTAGTGCACTAACCCGTTTCCAGAATCAGATTACGATTCAAATTGGCGTTTTGAATCACCGGTGGACTCACTTGGCTGTCTCAGACAATGGTATAGATCCACACATAGAACGGTGCCCTGGAGCTCACACCTTCGGTCTGTTGAAGTGCCGATAATGTATGTTCAAGGTGAGTGAAGCGCAACTAGGTGAATTCACTCGCAGCAAGCGCGTGACGCATAAAGCCGGGACAGAGTATCACCGCCTCTCCGTATAAACCTCGTCTCCTCGTCCACAGACTTGCTCCTCCACAAGCTGTTCCCCGTCAACACGACCACCCCGACCTCTTCACCGACCACACCCCCGCAGCCAGAAAGATGTGCTCTCCTATGGAAATCGACGAACCTCCTACCGGCATGAAAGACGTCCCCACCGAACTACTTCATATGATATGTGGCTATCTGGAGCCAGTCGACGTCAAAGCGTTCCGGCTTGTCAACAAAACCTTCGCCGAGATCGGCGCGACGGGCTACCTTTTGCCATCACTTTCTGTCAGACTATCGCCTTCCAGCTTCCAGCAAGTCGAGGCTATCGCGGAACACCCTACCATCTCTCGATATGCCAGGGAGCTGGTGCTCCATGGTCAGAACTATACCTTTCCTTCCCGGCATTGGCGGTTTGTTACATGGGTTCTCCGCGAGTACATGATCGAGTTGATCGAGGAAGGCGATGATAAGTTCTTGCGTCAGAACAGGGATGCCATCGGGCATATTCTCTACAAGCATGTCGAAGCAAACCCAATGGAAATCTCGCGGATCTACCCATATATCGGTGGCGTCTTCACCATGAATTATTTTCGCCCTCTTATCAAGCAGCACGAAGAAGCAGTCAGCTGGCAGAACAAAATGTGGGACGAGGAACTTGACCTTGCTATCGTTTCCAAGGCTATCAAGGCAATGCCATTGTTGAGAAGTATCACCTTGGCCGCTGAAACTTCTCGTAAAGACAAGTCTTGGGGGGGCATGTTCGGGGGGATGAAGACCCTCAACTCACCTGGACTAGCAGCAGGAGTACGGCAGCTCGGAACGCTGCTAATTGCGTGCCGAAACGCTGGCACGAAGTTCACATCTATGGAGCTCAATTGTTTGAGCTGGCGATTCTTCGAACACCTCCAAAAGCATGACGGGCTTCAGCTATTCAGATCCGCTGCATCCTGCCTGACAAGTTTCAGCCTTGATTTAGCTACGTTCACGTTGCAGGATGGTGTTTACGAAAACGTCGAAGCGGTAGAGTGCCGACTATTCCTCGGGGGAGGCGTTCTGGGCCAATTACTCCGCGACATGACCAACCTTCAACATTTACAGCTGTCGGCAGATTCGACGGTGAAATGCCACCGCCATGACAATTTGTGGATAAGGCTGGAGGATACTACTCGCGGATTTGTTTGGCCACATCTTACATCTCTCACTCTCAAACAAATAGCGACACAAGAAGAAAGTCTTGTATTGTCCCTGGGCAATCACATGCCCACACTCAAAGAGCTCCACTTAGGCTCGCTCTTGCTTTCGTCTGGAAACTGGATATCTGCTTTCAGAAGAATCCGAAAGCTGATTCTGCAACACGACCTCGAGTCTCTTACTATTAGTGGCTGCCATTACGAGCAAGACTCTCTTGGGGGCTCTTGGTACAGATTCGTGACAGAATACACTTCGGAAGAAAGGCCTTGCGGTGCCGATTGTACCCCGTACACGCACAACCGGAAGCTAGAACACTACCTGATGCATGGCGGCCAATATCCAACCGGTTGGCGAAAATCATTGCTGTTCGCAGACTTTGACGGAGACTTTTAGACATGGGCAGAGAGAAATCTGCCACCTGGAACACCAGTGCTAGATGAGACCGGCATGGCGGTGAACACCCAACTCCTTTGTCAAATACAATACTTGACAATGGACAGGATCTATGTGCTATTTGGCATATCAGCGCAACTTGAGAGCGACATGACAGGTAAGCCGGAGCTGCAGGAAAACTGAGTGGCTCTTCTTGCTGCTTGGCATATCAGCGCGAGATGGGAGCGGGCGGCTCTACCGAGTTTGCCATCAGATGGCCGATTTGTTTTGATGCGGAAAAGAATATGTACCTGTCACCCTTCAAATCCCGTCTCTAAAACCCCTCTCCCACTCCCGCTTCCTCTACCCTTCACGTTCTACCCTTTGAGTTCTACCCCTTACGTTTTATCATACTCTCCCTTGCGCCGCACCCCTCTTCCTATCAGCAAGCGTAACATGCCACTACATGTCACTGCGTCTTCTTCTTGCTGCATCATGCTACTCTCCTTTCTATCACCTATACATACCCCCTTTCCTCCATAGTAATACACCAGAGTTCTCACCATCTCCACCTCCGACCCCATAAAATGGGAAACATACAAGGGAAATGCTGGAAACTTACTCTGACGTGATATTCCGTTCTGACATATGTGATACAACAAACACAGGAGGCATCAAAAGAGTGAAGAAGTCGTATGTAGTACGTATTTCCCGTTAACTAAAACCACATCCTAGCCCCCTGATGCACCATCGCCGTCAGCCACAGTGGCATAAGAAACGCTCGCAAAACTAACCCGCCCACCTTAACAACAAATGCATGCATATCTCTTGAAACGCCACGACTTTTCTTGTTTACCGTGCCCCTTTCCCACGAGCACCCGACCCTTTCACCTCCTACCCATAGCCCTCGTACACCCTAATACTCGAAATCATCATCAACAGCCGGCCCCTTCTTCCCACCCACACCCTCCTGCTTCTGATACATCTCCGCCACCATCCGACTGCTAGTAGCCTGATCCGGCTTCTTGTCGTCCCTGCGCTTGATGAACCGTGGGAACCTCAGACTAATCCCCTTCCCGCCACCGCTCCCGCCTAGCTGGTCCACAGCCGCCTTGTACCGCGGCGAGAGCGTCAGATCGGCCGTCTTGATCTCCCACACCTCGCGTGGCTCGAACCAGACGTCCGGCTGGTCCTTGTTGCCGGCAGAGTGCGAGTAGAAGGGTTTCGGCCGATCGATGACGAGCTGGCTGAGCTCGGTGTGCAACTCCTCGAGGATGGCTTCGGAGAAACCGGTGCCGATGTTGCAGACGGATTCGTAGAGCTGGGTGGATGGGTTGTAGCAGGCGAGGAGGAAGGCGCCGTACCAGGAAGTGCGTTTGCCCTTGCCGTAGTAGGCTCCCAAAACGACGAGGTCGAGTGAGTCGCCGACGCCAGCGAGGTAGTCTTTCTTGACCTGTTTGAAGGGCTGTTTAGTATGCGCAGAAAGACGACAACAATGGGTGGAGGTTATCGTACCTTCAGCCAATTTTGACTGCGCTTGCTAGGCTCATAGCTACTCTCTGCTCCATTCAACATTTTGACCATCAAACCTTCGCATCCTGCCTTTACGCTGTCTTCGAGGAGGACCTGGATCTCCTCCAGCTCGTTGCTGTCGCCGTATTTGGCAAAAGCGAATTCGCCCTCGGTTTCGACGAAGGAAGCATGAAGGAGTTCTCTACGCTCCCGGAATGGTTTGTTGACAAGAGGCTGTTTGTGTGTCAGTCCGATATTCTCCTTCTGGAAGTAGTCACATACCTCGCCATTTAAGAACAGCATATCGAAGGCAAAGACGCAGACTTTGACCTTGATATCCTCCGTCTTGACGTCTTTGCGTTTCCGAGTCATCAACTGCTGGAACGGCAGCACCTTCTTTTCAACCATATCCCATGCCACCGTCTCACAATCAAGGACGAAGCTCTTAGTCCCGTCTTTGACCCAGGTTGGTAACTTTCCCAGGATATCCGGATACTTTTTGGAAAGATCCTCAGAGTTGCGGGAGAAGATGTTCGCAATGCCCTTTGAACTCTTTCCAGCGGATGAAATGGCGGTTGCAGTTGCGTACTCCTGAGCAGTGTCGTGCGCCACGAAGTGTATCTGAGCTCTCTCTCCATCGTACTTGTACTCGCAGGTAAATTGCTTTCCATCGAAACGATCAAGAACCTCCGTGATAGATTTCGTCGGTTTCGCAAGCATAGGCTTCAACGGAACGCCGGGTTGAAGCTTGCAATTGTCCGGGAGATTATCGAGGCCGTGTTCTAGCATCGCTGGGATAATGACTTCGTAGCTCGGCAGCTCGCTATAGACAGACTTCAAAATCTTCTCGCCCTTGGCCAATTTGTCCGTAGAAGGAATTGTATCTCCCTTGGCTGCTGTCTCATGGAAGACCATGGCCTGTGAGAGAGAAATGAGCACCGTCTTTTCGGCCAGACCCAACCTCAATTTGCCCTCTAGAGTTCGGACAATGAATTTTGCCTCGCTAGGACCACCCTTATCCTTCGTTATATCCACGCCCTTGCTACCTTTTCCAGTGAGATGAGCGTCAGCAGCTGAGAGTAGCTTCTTGATACCCGCGACCTTGTTGCTCTGCGAACCCTGTCCTTCTATCGTAGCGATAGCCATTAGGCCTTCGTGTACACCCCTGACGGTGAGAGCCTTCGGCTTGAACAGTGTCCCTTGGTTCGACCTACTCTTCGCTGCGACTAGGCCAAGATCACCGATCTCATTCTGATCGGTTTTGATGACACTGAGGCTCCTGCCAGTGCTTTCGCCAATGGCTTTCATAATCAACGACTCCCCGATACCTAACTCAACACCAGCAAAATCGGCCGCCAATTTGTTGATCATGAGTAGAATAGTCGGCAGCAAGTCTGTCGGAGTCAGACGCAGAACTTGGCGTAGGAAGAGCGAGCAATGGGCCTGGATCTCGAGTCGTTTTGTCGTCATCTCAATCTTCGAGAAAGTGGTGCAGAGAGCAGCATACGGCACGGGGTCTCCAGCTTTCCAGTCTGGATATGGATCCTTTCCAATAGACGTGAGCGTCGATTGAACCTTCTGTCGAGCCTTGGCGGCGACTTCTGGCTTCTCGTCTTCGTCTGACGATTCCTCCTCGGGCTCCGACTCGTTCACGGATTTACTCTCGTCTTCTGGCTCATTCTTCACAGGAGTCTTTTTGGATGCCGAGACCTTCGGCTTCACCTTGACATCCTCTACGTCTTCTGTCTCATCCTTAGGCGAGGTCTTCTTAGACGCCAAGCTCTTGGGCTTCACGTTAATATCCTCATCGTCTTCGCTTTCTTCCTTGGGCTCTTGCTTTGCTTTGCCATTCTGAGCCGGAGTCACTCCGTTTGACTTCACTCTCTGCTTGGCTGGAGCGGATTTCGCGTTGGCTGGTTTGGCTTTTGTCTTCGGGGTGGAGCTTGATTGAGGCTTCGATTGAGGCTTCGCCTTTTTGCGCCGCCGCTGGACCGGTGGTTCGTCTTCAGAAGACTCTTCCTCTCTGGCTGCGCGCTTCTTCCAATTTTCGCCTGATATCTCGTCGCCTTTGTCTTTGCCTGATCGTAATCTCATGGTGTCAGTGATACTGATAATAGAAGGGAGCAGTGGTGTAGTGAGTGAAGAGAGAGCTGCCCAGCAATGACTGAAACATACCAGCGTCATCCGAATCTTCTAAATCAGGTGAGGCATGGGTGCCATTGGCCGTCTTCTCCACCGCTTCCTCCGCATCTACCATCAATACATTGCCATCAGACTCTGATCTTGCCGGTGATCCTCCATTATGCTCCTCCCCTGGCTGATCATTGGCGTCTCCGTTGGTATTCTCCTTCGCAGCAGGCTTCTTCAATTTGGTTGAGAAAGACAGCTTCGACTGCTGGGGCGTAGGCTTAGTTCCGTCGGTGCGGCCAAAGAACTTGCTATAGACCGGTCAGAGATATGATCCAATGGCGTACACTTGAGATGACAGCTCGAACCGCACCCTAGAGTAGTCTGAGATGGCCTAACATACCCGAGGGTGGCCTGCTTCGGAGGCATGGCCGGAGAATGGTACAGACAATAATTCACAGGTGATGGTGTACGGGATGCTGCGCGGGATGAGGAGCGTGGAACGATGGTGTTGACAAGCGGAGACGGGCGAAGAAACAGGAACCGTGACGATTTCAATACCACATGAGGTGTGCGCGGTAGCGACAACAGCATAACCAGCAGAGCACAGAGCGGGGGCGTTGGCAGTGAATGAGACGCGTAAAGTGGAAGTCGCGCCTGCGCGTTGGACTGTTTGGGAATAGTCGATGATGTCGGAGTTTAGGCGGTGATGCCCGAGTCAGAGGGACCTCAACACCAAGAACTATCCGCATCATACATCACGGCCCGCGCTGATTCACCATACAAAGGTACATTCTTCCGCCGAGAACTCAGCACACTCCATCGCTCCTAGATACATACGTTTCCATCCCGCTCATACTTACCTTTACGTCATCACGATACTGGCGGACATTTTCTGGCGGCGACAGGCTGCCCCAGCCGGCGAGCACCCTGCCGCAGACGACGAGGAGCCTCATAGGACTACCATGTCGAGACTGTTAGATGAGCCGCGATTGACGCCGCAATTCTGCTTCAATCAAACGGTACTGCGAGGTAAACAAATATCACCCGATCCTCACGTCCGACCACTGAGTAATGCTTCAAGGGCAGATTTTCTTCGAGTATCACGATCCACAATAGACGACTCAATCGCACAAAACCTCAATGCTCTCCTCACACCAGCGAGCGAAGGCTTCGACCCATCCTCTACCTCCTCGCGCCAGATCCGGCCGCAATCGAAACGGCCGATAGATTCAGAGTCGTGCCGGACATTCAAGGACAGAGTCCTCTTTCCCTCATGGCAAACGCGATCGGATGTCTTGACATATTGTGCCAGCGTGGCGACGTCTCCAGACCCCGAAGACCCGGACTCGATCTTACGCCAGGTGGAATCCGCGCACGCAAGAGAGAGGGTGGTCAATGAGCGCTTGGACCCGTACAGCGCTCGGTATTTTCCTAGAGAAGCAAGGACTGAGATGCTGGCGAGCTTATTACGCAACGAAAGGAGCGTGGAGAACATAATACGGGCGAGGACGTGGGCCCTTGTTGGAGAAAGATGCATAGAGACAGCGCCGCAAACGGCGGATGAAGCACTCGATGAGTGGCGATCGCGGCGGGGGCCCGAAAGATAAGTGATGTTGTAAAACTGTATTGTAACCCATAGATTAACTCCGCTTTCATACAAAGTCTTCGCATCCGCGACCGAAGCTTAAGCAGATCTTGAGAAGTGTCTATGAACCACTTGCCTACAATGCTTCGTCATTGCTCCGTGCACACACTTCTGCCACTGTTTGAGGTGGCCCAATGCGTTTGCTGATTGTTCAAAATCATGAACATCGTTCGGACTTGAAGCAGTGTGGACAAACGAACGCAGATTTATGCCGGAGTAAGTGCAGTGTTTGCGCGAGGAGATAAAAGGCGTCAGAGCCACTGACACTTCTAAACTCCACATCGATTTAAGAGCTCGATAGTTCGCGAGAGCACAGTCAAGCCCGATGGCTCGATTGGCGCGTATCCTGCACATACGAATTTGAGAGACCTCTTCTTGCTGGTAACTTCAAACTATTCTCTTAGCTCGTCCATACCACGATGAATATCTCTATATCACTCTAAGGAGATGGGTTTTGATACTCTGGCTCCCCGCTTACCGATCAACCGCTCCGATACAGCAGCTTCATTTCATGCGAGAGGTATCGCATATAAGATCTGTACTAGGCTCTGTGGGTCGTGTATAGCAAGCTCAAAGTATCCACACCTTATATGGTACCAGATAAAATAGGTCTTGAACCTTGGCACCACCGCTTGTGGTGGGTCAACACACTAAAAAAAGATGAAGCAGCGGACCACAGGTCCGATCTGTGTACACCTGTTTAACACCGCCTGAGGTGGCCCGGTAATATTCTAGGCGAATTCAATCGATAGATTTGAATTGCCTTTAGATTTCTAAAAGCTCCTGGAAGTACTTGAAACGGTATTTAAGAGGTGTACGAAGACTTCGTCACAGTACTGTTCAATGTACTGTCGAGCTGCTGACAGCCTGGTATCGTTGACCTTGGTGACCTTGGAGGGCTAAGAGGTTGCCGCTCCGTGGGCCGGTCGACGTGTCTCTGCCCCTGTACATTCGTGCTTTCTCGTTTGGAGGTTCTACAACCTCTCTAAATTCGTGGCAACGAACTCTAAGAACTCCACTTCTTTCTCCACCTCGTCCACCTCCCACCACCACCCCCTCGACTTCACCACACTGAACTCTTTGACACTTGCTTGGCAATCGTCGAAAGATGGCTCGCGGAACTAAAGTTCCTCGACAAGGGGCATTCCACTCAGTGGCTGATGATGAGATGGTGATGGCTCCGAAAGCAAAATCATACCGAGAATCTCGACTCGAGTCCTTGCCAGCCGAGATCCGGCGGCGCATATACCTCTTCGTTGGTATCTTCGATGGGGCAAAGGGCTGGGCTAAGTGCCATAATTGGCCCGATTGCACTGATCCCTCGCACTACAAGAAAGCCCTGAGCAGCAATGATCGCGGAACCACCGACCATCGCGACCATTACCAAAACTCTTTCCTGCAGTGCCAAATCACGCGGTACTGGTTCGGGGAATACGATGGTTCGATGCCTAGGGTAGAGGGGCTTTGCTATCGTCGCCAAGCTGGGCATACCTATCCCTGTGTGAGTACTCAGAGTTCCGCTGCTTGGGAAGCTGATGACTGACGTACTTAAGGATGTCCACCATTTGGACTACGAGACGTACGAAGGGCACCTTGGGCTTCTGTGCACGAACAAATTCCTCTGTGCGGACGTTTACTCGCTAATATACAACAATATACCCACGGAGTTCCGATTCGAGCTGTCGAATAGGGCGATCCATTTGAACAACTGGCCGAAGCAGCACCCTGATACCCCGAGTGGGTCCCCGGGTGATTACTACAAAAAACAGTAAATATTTTCATTTTCTCAAATCCCAATTAGCTCTTCACTAACTCGTATCAGCACCTGGGAGCACATGAAGCTATCGCCCTTCCCCTTCCGTTTTATGACTACAATCATCCTGAGCTATGAGATCGGTATGGGCTACGAATCCCAGATGCCGCACCGATATCTAGCATACAGCCGACGAGTGGGCTCCTTCTTGACCAAACAAGCCACCTCCATCCGGTACATTGCCCGCCATTGCCCAGCACTCAGAGAACTCGAAATCCGCCCGCTGATGACCCGCATCGAGAAGTGCAAACTTGGAGTTTTCGATGTTATGGCCTTCGCCATGCAGGAATTGGTCTGTGGATGCCCTGACTTGCAGCGAATCGCTCTCACGTACGTCGAGACGAAGAAGGTTAGCCTGGCCGACTATCCGGAGATCTTGGATGTCGAGCAGCACGATTTCGGTAACTTCTTTCATGATCTCTTGTTTGGGAACGACAGTTGGTTCAACATCTTCAAGGCGCAGGACTGCTTGGATGTGCGGAACATCCCGCAGGAATTACGAGAAGATGAGATACGCGAGTGGGTTAAAGGCGTTCTAGTTAAGATCCGGAAGCATAACCTTCAAGCCCCAGATCCGGTCCAGCAGCGGGATAATGACGGGCACGTCTATAAGACCTGGGCCGAGAAATTCTCTACAATCGATTCGTGGTACTCAGACGACCGCATTGATGGTCCTGGTAAGGCAACTTATTATAGGTACTCGGAGCTGAATATTGACTCAGTTTGGACATGGTAACGGTAATGAGCATGAAGGAAGACAAGACTAGCCATGATCAACTATTGGGGATGTGGCTGATGGAAGTTGAAAGATTGAGACGGCTGAGACCGGCCCTAACACATCTAACACATATCCCTTAGCTGAGCTAACTATTATTCACCAGCTCAAGCATTCCCTAGCCTGATTGAGAGCAAGTGATGCCCACATGATGCTCCTGACGTCGCGTAACCGCAAGGACCCACAATTAAAAGAAATAAGCCCAGCGCTATACGTCCGACCCCTTTTTGTTCCTCTGATCGATGTCCCTTTGCTACGTGTACGAGCCCTCCCAGGCATCCATTCACCACATTCCAATTGGCGACAACGTACCATATGACTCAATTCACCATTTCTCAATTCTATCTAAAGTTGTCTACATTACGAGCAGGCTTTGAAGTAAGGTGATGGGCGGGCTGTATGTATGTTCCTATTTATCCTATGAACGCGCCTAAGAGAGTGCCTAAATGGCCAATTTCGCACCTCATAGAGGTTCCTTTCCATTAAAACTAGGCCGTAGGCTCTACGTGAAGCCCTCGTCCAGCAGCCGCCTTACGAGCTCTGAGAGTGAAGGCTGGCCGGAATCTAGGTAACACGTCATAAGCTATCACTACATCACGAGCAAGCTGTTAAGTGAGGTGAATGTACCCATTTGGAATCTGTCATTCTCTAAATTCACATTTACAGGGTCTACTACATCTATAAACTCCTGCTACCGTACCCTGAACACTCCATTTTCTTTCTTCACCTCCCTCCCCACCACCACCACCCCCTCGACTCCACCATATCAAGGCTTCCAAAAAGAATGCCTCGCGGAGCTAAGATTCCCCGACAAGGAGCAGTCCAGTCAGTGGCAGATGACGAGATAGCTCTAATGGCAAAACCATACCAGCCATCGCTACTCGAGTCCTTGCCAGCCGAGATCCGGCAACGCATATATTTCCATCTCGGCGTTATCATCAACCGTAAGGCTTGGTATACCTGCACAGACCCTCATTGTAACTACCCGTCACACTACAGGACACCAATAGCTAGCGATGATTGTGGAGGTCGAGGATGGGACCATCCCAATCACTACCAGACCTCTTTTCTAGGGTGCCAGGTCAAGAAATACAATTTCAACTATTACAGTCTCCGTAGACCCGAAGTCGACGCCATCTGCGACACAAACAAGCAACCACGAGTAAGCTTTCCACAACCTTGCTGATTAGAAGAAAGAGTGCTAATAGATCTTAGCCTTCCGGGAACCTAGACCGGCACGCAGTGTACCTGGGCCTTCTGCGCGCCAGCAAGTTCTTCTACGCGGATATCCAGACTTTGGCGTACACCAATATCCCAGTCGAGTTCGGGTTCCAGCTGTCCAACCGGGCGATTCATCTTAACAACTGGGAGAGTCTATTGACTAAGGACAGCTTCTCCTGGATTCCGCAACCGTAAGTGTTTCCCGTTCTGAAGAGCTAGTAGAGCGCCTTACTAACGTGCGCAGCAAATGGGAGCACGTGGGCCTCTCCCCGTTCTCGTTCCGCTTCATGACGTCCATCGTCCTCGATTCCCAGCTCGGCCACACATATGAAGCCGAGATGCCCCATAGCCGGCCGACGTCTGACCGCAAGACCGGCGCCTTGCTGACGAAGCAGGCCATGTCAGTCCGATATATAGCTCGCCATTGCCCTGCCTTGAGGAAACTCGAAGTACGACCATTTGTAGAGTTCTTCGTGCGAGGGAAGCTCAGCAATATCGACACCATGGCGTTCGCAATGCAAGAGCTGGTCCACGGATGTGCCCAATTAGAGGAGATCGTCATCGCGTACATCGAGACTCGGAGGGTGAGTCTAGGTGACTATCCCGAGCTGGGAGAAGACGAGAAGTACTCGGATAGCTTCTTCACCAACCTGCTCTTCGAGGAAGATGCGTGGTTCAGCGCGTCCAACGTCAACGATTGCCTAAATCTGCGCAATATACCGAAGCATCTGCGCGAAGGCCAAGCACAAGACTGGGCGAAGGGTACTCTCGCCAAGATTCGCAAGCACAACCGTCGGATTCCGGACGTTGCCCCGTTGGGTCCCTACGGGTCTGGTCTTTGGGCCGAGACGTACTCTACCGCTGGCACGGGCTTCTTTTGGAGCGGTTGGGTGGGTTGGATCCTGAGTAACGACGCGGGAACTCGGTATAAGCCTCGAGCTTGCCTCTAGCGCCAGCTTCACTGCGATTTCTTGAGCATAGCACCATGGATATTGAGGCCGGAGCATTAAGAAAATCATGTAGTACATTCCCTTGTCGTCAGTCTGTGTATTGTTCTATCACTGCTGATGGCGCATATAAGGCATTCCAGAAATTGGTACATGCTATCCTGGGCCATGACCGTCTGAAGTGGCTCATGTTGTTCAACACAGTTGATTTCCCATCTCTTCCTGGCCCTGGAAAGCGTGTTAGGATACCACAGATCTCTGGCCAGACCATGTATCTATCTCCTTATTTAGAGGTTGAAAGGGGAGCACGTATTATAGAAATGGAGAGCAAATATCAAGGTGTATCTCTTAAACTCTTTTGAATGGGCGAAGACGCTCGGAAGATTAATGATGTGAAGGGGCTAGCGAGTGCACACAAGTGTGCAGCTATAACGGGATCCTAGCTATGACCAACGCGGCAAAGTAAGCCGTCAATGCTACTGTGAGAGTATCTGACTGCGAGATGCGGAAATAAAGTGCAAGTTATGACACCGCTTCCCAGGCGGAGATCTATAACAAGCTTGCTTCGAGTTTTTTCTTTATGTTCAACGGGCTTGCGCATGGAAATTAAAATTAGGGGGACGCAAAGCGTAATGGAGCGGGTTCAGCAGCATCACCAACCACCATACATGTATTAAGCAGTCTGTTGGATTATGACAATTACCCACAGCAATCACTGCAGGTAGCAAACAAGGCGCTCATGTATGTCCATAATGTTCGCGTTCTATCAGTTTTCAGATGCTACGGCCTGCAAATCAACACGGTTGGGTTGAATTCAATTCGAAATGGTTTCAAGGAGCTCGGGGGTCGGAGTTGATGTTAGTCAGATCACTGAATCATACCGAAGTTCATCACTTCTCCGGTGCCGAACAGCCCTATAGACAGATGGTGATACCGAGGAGGATAGGGGCTTAGTTGGATGGCCACGATACCCCAATGGAGAAAAGGACAACAGCCGACGCTACCTGGAGATGGCGATGAGCATTATTGGACGAGGAAGGGTGTCTAATCCTCCATCGTTCGTTCTTCCATCGTATTTGAAGTTCTCCAACCGCACAACACAGCACTATCCCACAGACGAGCAGCACTCCGGATGTTGCTCTCAGAGCCATTTCGAGTGACCGCTTCTGATTCGATGTGTTCACATCAATCCTCCAACTTCGTAACACAAATGCAGCCATTTATCAACGCGCGCACGTGGCGGTCATGTCCGTACGCAGTTTAAAACGGAAGAAAAGGATCTCGAGAACTACTATTAAGCACAGAGTCAATGTTTGTCAATATTCCCTCATCCACGAATGGGCTTTAACAGCGCTGAATCGACCACCGGGGTCCGGTCTAGGGGGTCAACTGAGCGTTGGAGCAGAGCTTGAGAAAAGAGAACAATGCTTGGAAGTAGGAAGGGAGAGCGAGACACTTAGCTAGCCCGAAGGTGCAGATGAGTGGAAGGGCTAGCGAGATAACGCTTCAGGAAGAAGTGCACAGGAACGGCAACCGACTCGACCAACGGGGCAAAGGCAGTAACGTCCCCTGCTTCCTTGCGTTGTGAATTGAAAGGGTGGAGAAGTTCCTTGTTCTTGTAGGGCGGGTCTGTCTCGCGTAAATATAGGTCCTTTCCAGCTTCCAACTGTTAGCTTTATCAAACTGTGAGAGTAAGAGGTCTCAGAGATAACTCCTTTTAGCCGAGCCACACTGTCACGTTACCAACACGGGCTATCATCGACGCCCGGTGAGTGATACTATGCAGCGGTACTACATGTCAGCGATAACAAGAACTCGGAACATGGGAGAGGGGTTAAATGAGCTGGTCGTGATATTCTTCCTCTTGATAGCTACAAAAGCAATCATGGAAAATCCAAGTTCGCCTAAAGGTACCAGAAAACTCAAAGAAAGCAAGCAAAAAAGATCATCAACAACGAAAGACTTAAAGGCAACGTCAACTAGACTATTCATCCCCCGGTCAAAGACGAGCGGACGAAAGTCCACTCCAAGAAGAAACGGTATCAGCGATTCGGAGAGAAGACCCCTATCTCGTGAGATGAGTTGGGTGTTAAGATTGCAAAATAGATACTGGATAGAAAAGATTGAATGAAAATAAACGCCAAAACAAAACGCATCCACATATTCCTTCGTCGTGACAACATGGTCAGGCATTAGATTGAAGACTGTATAGATACTCCTCTTTCATCGACGCCGTAAGTTCGTAAGCGTGACGTTGCGTTATTCAGAAGAACATCTCCTTAATGCCAACAACTCGCTTAGGAGAGCTGCGACGGCGATTGGGGGACGGAGTATGCTTGCGTCTGCGGACCCAGGCATAGTCTGGCTTGTCGTGGGTGACGCGCTCTTCGATCAAGAGACGATTGGTGCCACGTGATCGTAGCCGGCGGGTGTGCTCGAACAGGATGTCAGTCTCATTAGCGTCCATTTCACGGAGGATAATGATGTAGTCGCGGTTGGTCTAGATTGAGGGTCAGTGAAGGACGATATAGCGTAGGTAGAAATGACTTACGGTATCGTATTCCCAGGGAATGTCGTAGTACATCAATGTCTCAGTGGCGATGTGGTCCTTGTGAACCTTAATGTACGTCGGTTGATGTGTTAGATGCACTGGGTTGATGGGAGCAAGGCCGACCTGAAGCTCCTTGGCCTTTTCGGGCTTGATCATGGCCTGGATCTGGTTTTCCTGAAAGCCGAACTGAGCAAGACGCTGTCTCATCTGAGCCTCGAGTTCCTCCTCCTGCTTCTTCTTCTTAGCTTTCTCCTCCTCTTCTTTAGCCTTCTGCTTTTGAAGGAAAGCCTCCCACTCGGCCTTCTCTTTGTCTTCCTGCTTCTTCCTCTCCATCTCAAGCTGGAAGATAAGCTCCTCTTTCTGCTTCTTAGCCTTTGCCGCGTCATCCGACTTCTTCCTTTCATACTCCATAATGGCGAGGTCGCGAGCCGCCTTCGCTTCAGCCTCCTCCTCGGCCTTCTTCTTGTTGTAGGCATCGAGAGTACGCTGTTTTTGCTCTTTGGCCTCCTTCTCTTGTTGCTCTATCTTTCGAGTATTTTCAGCAATAATGCGTTTCCGCTCTTCTTCTTGGTCTTTCGCTCGCTGTTCCCTCTTCCTCTCCTCTCTCTCCTGCTTCAGCTCCCAATCCTTCTTGAGACGCTCCTCTTCCGCCTTGAGGTCTCTCGCTTGCTGCTCCCTCTTCCTCTCCTCCCTCTCCTGTTTCAACTCCCAGTCCTTCTTGAGGCGGCTCTCTTCTGCCTTGATACGAGCCTCTTCCTCATCGCGCTCAGCCTTGTCTCTCATATATTTCAGCTCCATCTTCTTCTTGATAATCTCCTCGCGCTTTTCCTGCTGTAGCCGCTCCTCGGCCTCCTTCAGCCGCTCCTGGGCAAGCTGAAGTTGCCAGTGCTCCTCCTCACTATGGCGGCCTCGCGATTGCGAATGGGAATGGGATGGTGAGTGGTGGTCATGGTGGTCGTACTCCCGATCACGGCCACGGGAGCGTCCCCGCCCTCGTGCCACTTCTAGACGAAGCTCGGCCATCTCCTCTTCCAGCGCCCACTGATCTTCAACACGGAGAGGGCGACCGGCGCGGGGGCTTGGACGGGGGCTTGGCATGGGGCTCTTTTGCTCAGAGCGCATGTTCGGGTTGCTATCATTGTCGAGAGTGGTCGTGTTGTAAATGGTGACATTGGGAGTCGGTGCATGGCCCTGTGAGCGGCTGCGGTGCAGGCCGGAGGTGAAGCCGCTCGTCTCGGGTGTCAGAAAAGTGCGCTCGCTGCGGCGAGGGTCGGGGATGGCTGGTCGGCGTGGTGGTGGGCGGACATGGCGGGCACCGCTGAGAAATGTCAGAACATGAAAAAGTAAGATGAAGAAAGGACACCGACCTGGTCCAGCGGTCTGAATACCACTCGTCCTCCTCGTCCCAGTAGTCACTGGACATGGTTAGTATGGTTGACTCATGGTAGAGGAGGGGTATCGTACGCGGGAGGCATGGTGGAGAGCGTTTGTCAGTCGCACAAGAAGCGTGATAAGTGACCAGACACTATGGGTTTTTTGAGAGTAAGAGTCTAAGCAGAAGAAACAAAAGAAGCAAAGAAGCAGCAAATAAGCAGCAAATGGAGGGTTTTGTGGGCAGAACTAGCCGCTAAAGCGGGCGACAGGCAGAAGCGCAGACGGAGGCTCGCACGCGCAACACGCAAGAGGCGGAGAGAAGAGGAGAAGAGCGGGAGCCAGCGTGATAAGGTGAGCAGTCGGAGGCACAAGTGTCCAGTGACTTTGGGGGCCAGAAGGCCATCCGGCGGGCGCTCGCCAGCTTTATGGCGGCGTGATGCCTGGGAGGGGTGGCACAGCTGCTCATGCATGGCGGCTCGAGATGCATTGGGCTGAGGACCCGTCCCACCACCCCCTCAGCGGCTGAAGGAGAAAGACGGTCAGCACCCCTTCAAAGCAGCAGCACCTGCAAGCTGCCGCCTTTCGCCCTGTTGCCTTGTCGCCTTGTCGCGCGCTTGCGCAGCCGTTTCACGATGTTGAGGATGCGCCTTTGAAGCGGGAGTTTGCTCGTTCTGACTCGCGGCGGGGCATTCTGTGCTCTATTTCCGTGCGGTGAAACGGCCCCGATTAGACACGCTAGCCCTCAGGCCCTCAGGCCTCCCACCTGCGACCTGTGCGGGCGTTAAAGCCCCGGGCCGGCGTGTAGGCCAGAGATTCAGGACAGCCGGCGTGGAAATGCTCTTCAGCCATAGTGATCGGCCCAGGCGGAGCACATGACGCCTTCTCCCATAACAGCTGCCCATAGTCTCAGGTAGGATACCATGGGAACGACTTTTGAGACAGACCATGACCAAACAATTGTTGCCCAGACATGGCCAAGTCGATCGATCAGCCCGAGATGATGCCGGCACTAGAGCGAACCATGCGTGCCCACTGCCATGGATATAATCGCCTGTCCGCCAGAGCTCTACTCCGACGACCATCCTAATGCTGCATGGCTTCACGCAACAGTGATGTCTATCATAATCACCTCCGTGCGACTGCTCTGCAGCTGCTACTGCTTGAATTAGCGTGGTTAACCCAATATGGACGCCGTATGAATACGGCAGCACAGTCTCTTTATCGATGCTTGGTGTAAGACTTCAAGTGTGGTTTCGTTCGTTTTATCGACTCTTGCATGCTCACCAAACCGATCGTCGGTTCGAAAAGATCTCTAGCAAGCGCTCCGCCAAGGACCATTTTCCACTTTATTGCAATACTCTTCCCTCTCCTTTGATTCGTAATCGACCACTCCGTACTTACGTGCTCCCTGGTCCGCCCAGCAACGCAAACCTTCGTACAATGCTAGGTCCAATCTCGTCGTACTCGGCCTTGGTATGGCAATAACTCTTAAACTCCGGTGTCTGACCCAGCAAGCTGCCACCGAACCATGGGCCGTGTCTCTGCCGCTTATGACTGATGACTTGCACATCCAGCCCACCACTCTTTGCTCCACTCCTTGCCTCCGACGCTGAGATGCGCGTCTTGACCAGGTGCTGGATGTCGCGCTGCAACCGCCGGCCAAAGTCCTTGTAGAGGGTGGAGCCACCAGAAAGCACAATGTTCTTGTAGAGTCCGCGTCGAACATCGATTGGCGACGTCTGGATGACAGTGTCGACGGTGTTGGGGAGAGGAGTGAGGAAGTCAGAGCTATAGATTTCGGGATTGAAGAAAATCTCGGGGGCGAGGAAGCGCTCGTAGCCAACGTCGACTTCAACCGTTTTGCCGTTGGGGTACGAGACGGTGTGCTTGCGGAAGCGGTCCGCGGGCTCACGGTCGAACCGAGAAAACTCCTTGACGATGTCGGGACAGACGTAGCAGAACTCCTCCTTAATTCGTTCCGCGGTTTTCAGCGACGAGTCGGGCTCGCCGCGGTCACGGAGGAGGGATTGCACGAAGTAGGTGATGTCGCGACCGGCGATTGGAATGCTCTTGATGGAGCTGCCAATCACATAGCCTTCCGCGACTGGAATGACGTGGGTAACACCCTCACCAGAATCGATGACAGTGCCGGTTAAGGATCGGTCCTGGACTTTGGATGATGTCCAGGAGGCGGCGAGAGCGAGAACAGCTTGAACAGCTATGTAGAGACCAGCGCAGTTGAACGACTCAAACATAATCTCGGCCGTGTTCTCGCGGTTTTCCGGGGGGTTAAGTGGCTGCGAGCACGTCAGGAGAGGTGACTGAAGGCTCAGTGACGAAGCTTACCGGCTCGGTGAGAAGGAAATGGTGATCCTCTGGCTCCACCCGTAGATACTTGAATATCGAGTTCGACCAAAAGCGTTCCATGTGATCCTGTAGATCAATTAGCTACGCTCAATGCCTTTGCCTATGCAGTGTTCCTACCCAGTTTTCTATCTGTCCATGCCGTATAGGGTAATGGAGTCCGTATCCTATATTTCTCAGCACTTCCGTCCCGTTTCGCATTGTGACGTGACCACACACCTGGGCCAGATGAAGCCGCGAGAGCCTCATCGCCTATGAAGAAGTCCAGATCCTCTGTCCCGCGCTTCCCAGACAGATGCCCTCCTGGCCCGGCTCCTCCCGTCAAAAATGAGGGCTTGTTCGCAACCGCCGGCCTCCCTGATCCCGAGCCTCCTGCTCCACCTCCTGCGCTCTTCGTTGCGATCGCGGTTGGGAAGACGAAGGATGGCGAGTCGTTTCCAGCGAAGCCTGGCCGGGAGAATAAGTCAGGATTCCTAGGTCAGAGGGTGTGTTTCTCGGGGATGCGAACCTAGTTTCGAGTAGCCCGTACCGCTGCACAGCAATTATAGTTAGTATGGGTAGCAGCGCGCAGACAAGCCTCGAGGATGCACTTACTTGTCCATGACAACGGCGGGGGTTTGGGACGCCATCTTTGCTGCTACTCACGAGATAGGGGGAGTAAGAAGCAGCTCAGGAAGTCCCTCGAGTGGCGTGGCAGAGTAATTGGCAGCCTGGAGGGTCGTCGTCAGACTGTCGGTGGTGATGTGCGAATGGAAATGGCCCCGCCCCAAGACAGCGGAGAGCGGCGGGCATCAGTGCACGGCCACAAATGGGGCTTGAGAGGCGTCTTCTTTGATCACTCGCTACCTATCTAGCACCTTCACGAGCACTGCTGAGGCATGAGCTTATTGCAAGAGACGAGACAGCTATAGCACGCTCACAACTGGCTGGGCGCTGCGAGAAGATGTATTACATCCTAATAGGTGGACGACTGCGCCCAAACAAGCTCTAAACAGGCACGGCAGCTCCTTCCTGCTGGCAGCATGGCAGTCTCAGATCAAGGGCGCCGTTTCTAAAGCTAGGTGCTCAGGCGTGGAGGAATCCTTATCTTGCACGGCGTCTGGTTCTGTACGCGGAAGGAGCCGTGGTGGCCACTCTCTCATCTCTCGTACGCGGCCAGCGAAGTTGAGTCTTTCGTCTTCACTGACCTCAACTCCTCCTCACGTCGCCCACATCACCAACCTCAACATTTCCACATTGCTCTCTAGCAGCCCTAGCTGCTCCAACTCTCACTGGGCCATTGTCATTTCTTCAGCTATCCTCAATCCCTCAATTCCTCGAGCCTCCACGCCTCTCTCCTCACTCCGAGTGCCCTCCGAACCGTGAAACTTGACGGCCAAGTCAACGAGACCACCTCTTCACATCCCAAGCTGTGCCTTCAGTCATGACCACAATCCCAATCTGAACGCTCTCGATACTCACCTCTCGCCCACGCCGCCTTCTGCCTACCGTTGCCAACTGCTGAGGCTCTCGCCAGCTCTCCCAGCTTCGATCGAACGTCTCTCCATATCTTTGCTGTCTTAGCCGCCCCCAGCTCACACATTGCGAACCGAACAAGCCCAAGAGCCACCGACTCCGGTGGATCAGCTTAGAAACATAGACAAACTAAGCTCTAGCCTGAGAAGGCTCGTACGCAAACTCTCAGGACGAGACAAAGTCTACCAACTGGTACCTATATTGACAGACGGTGAAAGTTTAGAAGAATCAACAGGCGAAGGCATGTTTTCTCGGAGTCGTCCTCGCCATGGTGGGGACATTTCCGCCATCTTTGTGCATGCTGGTGCAGGCTATCACAGCGTCCAGAACGAGTCTATCCATCTCCAGGCTTGCAATGAGTACGTGCGGCTTTCCTGAGCATTTGTCGTGGCAAAGCCTTCTATGCTTGCATTTTTCTTCCATTGGACATATACTAACAGATGGCAGTGCCGCTAAAGCTGCGATGATGATACTGCGTGCTGGAGGGACCGCTATTGATGCCGTCGAGATGGCCATCAAGGTCCTCGAGGATCGCGAGATTACGAATGCTGGGTATGGCAGCAATCTTGCTATGGACGGCGTCGTGGAGTGTGATGCTTCCATTGTGGACCATCATGGGCGCAGTGGCGCCGTGGGAGCTGTCGCTCGTAGGTATATCCTCTTCAAGACCAACGGCAGGCACTGACTTTTCCACAGAGGTCAAGAATCCCATTTCCCTTGCGCGTCTTGTCCTTCAGCACACCACGAAGACTCTAACATTGCGTCGAGTTCCTCCAAACTTGCTGGTCTCTCAGGGTGCCACGGACTTTGCCTTCGAACAAGGAATGGGAGTTCTACCGCACGATGCCTTGGTCTCTCCGGCTGCAAAGGAAAGGTGGGTTCGGTGGCGAGAGGACCTTAAGCATGCGGAAAGAAGGGAGTTGAAGAAGGTGAAGGCCATGGAGGCTGCTCGAAAGTTCGATGATCCAGAAGAGGAGATCAGGAACAACATGAGATCTGAACATACTCGGAACCTGTTGCAGAACAACTATGACGATCGCTCGGTGTCTCCTTCACTATCGGACGACGAATGGAAGACGCAAGCGTCTTCACCGAAGACAAATGCTTCGTCACAGACCACGCCAGAATCTCCTCAAACTCCTCAGTCAGGGAGATCCGCCGAGTCGAATCAGTCAAGTCGGTCAGCTTCCTTGCAAGTCTTCACGGACCCGCGTGGCCCGCCTCCGTCGATACGTGAATCGTCCCGGAATGCTCTCATCAACAGTACCGAAACAGTACCAACTTTAGGCAATTTTCGTGCAGCGGCCCCGATGTCGACTCACTATGAAATGGACGATACAGCTATGAGCGATATTGACGATACAGCCGCGAATCATTGGACCGTAGGAGCTCGACCGGGGCACGGTTGGGGCGACGGATCTTCTGGAGGCGAATCGGCAAGCTCTTCCGATGGGACCCTCCAGCTTCCATCGCTCACGCCCAGTCCTCCCCCTCCTCTCGCGTTGGAGACTCCGCTCTCTGATATACCAACTGAAGAATTGAAACCAGGTACACCCTCGCCGTTTGAAAACGCTATTGAGGCCTCATCCTTATCTGCTCCAAGAACTCTCCCCGTATCAAATGAACGAACAACGCACTCGTCAACAACATCTATCCCCATGGCACCATACGCATCTCCTCCGAGAACCTCTTCTCTTAGGGGACCTCCTTCTAAGGAAAAAGAAGACCATATCACAGACACTGTCGGGGCCATTGCTATTGATGCGTATGGTAATATTGCTTGTGGGGCTTCGTCCGGTGGTATCGGTATGAAATATCGAGGCCGTGTTGGTCCAGCTGCGTTGGTAGGAGTTGGCGCAGCAGTCGTGCCAGTTAACGCCGAAGACAAGCTGAAAACGTGTGTCGCAACTGTCACAAGTGGCACAGGTGAACATATGGCTACGACAATGGCAGCTACTGTATGCGCTGAGCGGCTGTATCATTCCAACAAGAAAGTGAAGGGCGGTGTCTTCGCAGAGACTCATGAAGACGAGGCTATCAAATCAATGATAGAGTCCGAATTCATGGGCACGTTCACCCTTACCACTTTTTTGATTCTTGCTAACTAGGAAATCTCATAGGCCATCCTAGTGTCAAGAACAGCAACTCTGCCGGCGCAATTGGTATTCTCGGAGTGAAAAAGTCACGTGATGGCGTCTACCTTTACTTTGCCCACAACACTGACTCCTTCGTAAGATACTCTCCTGGCCCTGGGCTGATCTCTTTGCTAATTGTGTTGATTTCCCAGGCGATTGCATCAATGCACTCCGATGACTCGAAGCCGGTCTGTACTATGTCCCGGAGCAATGGCAACGGTTCCATTGCGCAAGGCGGACGTGCGATGCGTTATCGGAAGAAGTAGAGTACTCCAAGTGGCATCAAACCACGAGGCATTCAAAGCCTGACTTGGGAGGCTATCGCGTCCTATTGTCCCTCCTTTCCTGCCACTAAACTCTCATATATCCGTTTTTGTTCTTGGGATGTTCTGCCAGCCTTCTTTTGCCAGTCTTCAGCTTACTCTCCGTACTGCCTATTTTGCGATGCGATGGCGAGACGTCCACGTTGGTGTGACAGAGGAGGTATGGGCTGAAGGAGCTTTTCTATGTCCAGCGACAGCATTATGATGATGAGAGAGTGCATTGCAGGCGTTGTCCCTACTTTCACCACTTTCTCCTCCGGCTGCTCTCCTTTTCTCCTTCATTCTCCCTAGAAGTTCCTCATCCGAGACACCACAAGCGAGCGGTCACTGTGACACTGCGAACTTGATCTGTCGTCCTAGGTAGCTAGTAGGTTAGCTTTGCATAGCTCTACTACAACTACTACTCCAACTTTGACCCTTTCCTATCAGAATTTGATACTTAATAACGAATCGCACCCAGTCTGGGCTTCAGACTATGCATATCAGAAGAGATTCCGCACTATTGTAATGAAGAGAGACTTTATTGGAGTTTTGACCCTTAACATTCCGATTGCCTTTTTTACGTCATTGAGACCGGAGACCATACATATAACCGCGCCTCCTCGCCCAATCTCAGAAGCCTAACTACAAACTCCGCTTCGCCTCCTTATACCGCCCAAACCACTGCGGCTTCTTGAGGAACACAAACAGGCGCCACAAGAACGCCGGCCCAATCTGCTTCAACAAGCTCCACGCCGCATCCGGCGCGAACCCGCTCGCGGCGCCCGGCCCGTAGATGACCCACAGCGCCGTGCTCAGCATGCCGGCCTCGGCGCCGGCGAGCATCAGGTACGAGTAGGGGCGGCTCTCGATGGCGCCGCGGTTGTTGAAGACGCCGAAGACCATGGGGGCCGTCATGCCGAGGACGGTGACACCGTAGTAGCGGGACGCCATCTCCGCGACGGGCGTGATCTGGGAAGGGTTGGAGGCGAGGAGGCCGAGGAAGCTGGCTGGGTAGAAGAGGGCCCAGCCGGCGAAGGGGAGGTTGATGATGGACTCGAGGCCGAGGGCGACGCGGAGGATGGTGCCCGGGTTGGAGGGGTCGACCTCGATGGGGTCGGAGGTTAGAGAGGGCTGGCGGTAGAGTCCTAGGGAGGGAGCCATGGTGGAGGAGGTGTGGGAAAGGTGATTGGAGAGATATAGGAGACGGTTGGTGAATTGATGGCGGGGATTCGGGATTGAGACGGAATTTAAAAAGACGGTTTGGAGCTTTGATTTCAAAGAACAGTGGAAGGGAAAGCAAGTCAGATTTAAAGGATGCTCTCCTACATATAAGCTCCTCGGAAGGGCTGGCATCTAAGCTCCGAACAACCCTGGAATGGTTATGTACTTAGTCTGAAGTTGCCTGTAAAACCCCGACGCGGCCCGACTAGGGCACCCGCCCACCGATACATGTCCTGAGAAAGGCAGTGAGGAGGCTAGACGCATAGAGATGTTGATGTTGATGTCGTCCAGATAGATCGGTTGTCGTGGTGAAGGAAAGGTAGCCGGATGGCTTGGTGGTGTGTTCACATGCGAGCTGGTGGCGACGTCAGAGGCACCTTGAACTTTTCTACGCCTCCTAGGCCACCTCGCAAGCCACGCAATATGCTATACACAACCACCAGCTGCCAGTGCTTCCGTTCCCTCGTAGTATACTGAGGATAGCAGCATTATGGATCTTGTAAAAAACCTGCCGTACCCCAGTTATTCCACCTGCTAACCAGTTGCACAGGCTCCATGATGGCCCGGAATGATGAATCCACAACAGCTTCCATGTCAACCCACGCCAACCAGTATATCCGCGAGTTCCTCCACGCACAGGAGAGACCGCCTGAGATAGCAGCGCGGTACTTCTATTCTGCTCCCCTAGCCATCGATGATCCTCTGTCACCGCTGCCTCCGCCGAGCACCGGCTCGTCCACCCGCAGGCATCCACCTCGACCCTTTTCGAAATATGACAATCACTCGTTGAACAATACATGGCTAGATTTGCGGCGGGAGATTCTTAAGTATACCGAGAATGCGGGCGAGAAGACAGGGTCGCTGGATGCTGCTGGCAGCTCCACGTCAGCTTTCCCTCGAAGGAGAACGAGACGAAATGGTTCCAGCTCCGCGGATGACAGTTCACGCGCAACGTCGAAGGCTAGAGACATACCCGTCGGAACTGCAAGAGCCAATCGAGCAAGCACATCGTCTGCAGAAGGGTCCTTGCAGCGGAATAAGGAAATTGTGGATGGTGCTGCAAGTAGCCTTACTGGTTCGTTGCGTGCGTTGGACCCAGCAGATGCGTCTGGTAGCTTGGATAACACAAACACGACCGGGACTCCCTTCATAAGAGCTCCGTCCAGGAAACATCTGCCGACGGTGGGTATGCAAAGACTGCCAGAGGGTAGACAGCGTCCCGCCGCTCGCGAGCTAGATAGCTACAAATGGGATGACGAGGAAGACGCAGACGCCACAAAACATAAGAATGGTAGCGGGCGGGGATCGAAGAACACCCCCGCAAGTCCCTCAGCTAAGGTCCCAGTGGGAGTGTCGAGACTACATAACGTGGTCTTGAGCGCCGAAAACATACGTATGGAGCCAATATATTGGTCTCCGGTGAACGACATCGCCCAGGTTGTTCGTGGGACTTGGTTTTACAAGGACAGCATGCTGCCGGTAGAGGGAGATGTGGCCAACATGCTCGAACTTGGATATGTCGAGCTGCGGCCTTGGTCACAGACCTGGAATGACGAGCTTAATAGCGCCGTTGAGGTTGGTGCACATGGGGAGATGAAAATATTGCATAAACTGTGGCCAGAGAAGCCGCCGCAGGTAGACAGCCGGCCTGCCACATCAAGTGAGATGAGTGCTGGTTTAGTCGTCAACACTCTCGACGTTACCCCTGACACGCCGGAAAAGGAGAGGGAAGAGACAGTGCAGATTGCTTGCGATCTCATTGACGTCTCAACTGGCGCCGATGGTCCAGATAATAAGGCAGGTGGCGAAAACCAGTTCGGTGCGGATGGAAGATTGCGACAATACTTGAAAGCTGGAGTTATTTATGCTAATGAGAAGGAAGCGTATTTGTTGCGACCTAATCTTCAACCGTCGGCGTATTATGGAAGAAGACCGTTGGCCAATTATATCCGCAAAGGAAGGCCGATTGGTATATGTGTTACAAGAGGCTTCGACCAGGAAATATGGGATCGTCTACACCCACCGAAGAAGAGCACAAGAGCTACGAAAGCTCGTGAAGGGGTGTCAACAGCTCAAGCAGGGGCATCCTTCGGCAGACGACAAGAAGATGACCTAGAAATTGCACAGTCGGAGAGGCCACAGGTCACAGATCTAGTCTTGGTCATTCATGGCATCGGTCAAAAGCTCTCTGAACGAATAGAGACATATCATTTTACTCACGCGATCAACGCCTTCAGACGAGAGGTAAATGTTGAGTTAGGTACCGACAGCGTAAAGCGAAATCTACGAAAGGATATGGGGGGTATAATGGTTCTACCTGTATGTCACCTTTCATCTAGCTTTGAATCTCATCATGAAAACGCTTCAAGATCTCCTATCGAGTACAATCTGAACAACACTGACCTTTTAAGGTAAACTGGCGTCTGCGAATCTCCCTAGAAGATGAAGCTAAGAAGGACCCTACTGAAGCTGAAGACCCTTCCGTGAACCAGTATACGCTTAAAGATATCACGCCAGACACTCTAGCCTCAGTCCGCGGCATCATAAGCGATGTCATGCTCGATATCCCCTACTACCTCTCTCAGGAACACAACCCGAGGATGGTCGCAGCATGCGTTCAGGAGGCCAACCGTATATACCGCCTTTGGTGCCTGAACAATCCAGGATTTGCGGAATGGGGACGAGTCCATCTCGTCGCCCACTCACTGGGCAGCGTAATGGCAGTTGACATTCTCAGCCAACAGCCTAGCCACCTCCCCCGACACCTCGGCGACCCTTCAACCCCTGAATCATCACTTCCTAAGTCTCACTTCATCTTTGACACGAAATCTCTCTTCCTTTGCGGAAGCCCTGTGGGCTTTTTCCTGCTCCTCAAGAAAGCTGCCCTACTTCCCCGCCGCGACCGCCGCAAACCGGGCGTGGACTCCTATACTGCCACTACTCCCGGCGTCGCAGGCGAGCAAGGCACCTACGGCTGCATCGCCGTCGACAACGTCTACAACATCGTCAACCCGTACGACCCAGTCGCGTATCGCGTCAACGCGGCCATCGACGCCCCCTACGCAGCCACGCTCAAACCCGCCACCGTCCCCAGCGCATCACCAGGCTGGTTCTCGCTCTCGTCCCCCTCAACCTCCTCCCTCGCGCACCCCATCTCGTCCGCCGAGTCAGCCATTGGCATCAAACCATCCACCACGGTGCGCCTCCCTTCCAACGTGGAACTGGAGACGCACAACTTCTCTCGCGAAGAGATTGCGGAGAAGCGTGTTTACCTGCTTAATGATAACGGCCAGGTGGATTTCATGCTCAAGTATGGTGGCGGTGCGTTTGAGATCCAGTATTTGACGATGCTGGGCGCGCACTCGAGCTATTGGCTTAGCAGGGATTTTGTGAGGTGTATCGTGCAAGAGGTTGGGCGGGGGTTTGGGAAGCAGGGGACGTTGGCGGCTATGAGGGCTGTGAAGAAGAAGGGGGCGCTGGGATAGTGGAGCATGAGTAGTTGAGATGATGCCGCGAGTCGTGTATTAGATGGTGTCTATGATCGAGGTTGTTAGAGAGGGGGTTGGTGTGAAGCTGGTAGGTTGTAGGGAAAGGTGATCGACTTGAAAAAGAGAGTCGGCTGGCATTTGCATGCTCGGCGACGTGCAATGGTGTTAGGGAAGTCTGGTTTTTGCATTTAGTTTGGAAGTTTTTGGGAAAACTGTGCTACCGCATACATTCTTCGAAGTCCGGTAGATACCCTAGAGTGCAAACACCACTTCCGGTACTTCTAATCACATATCGCAATACGGAGGTCAGTTATGGATGTAATCATAGGCTCCTTGTGTTATCCTGTCACTATCAATACCTTTGAAATCAATACGTGGTGAGCTCCTCTGTGCTCTTTGCTAACTCACGCCACCACCATCATCCCCCTTGCCCTTTTACCACTCCCGTATCCACCAACCCCGTCCAGCCCGATCAATCTAATAGTCCGTCCCGTACCCCTCCCACGCCTCGCTTTCGCCATCTTGGTCTCAGATTCCAGATTCCAGGTCCCACGCAAACAACCCAAGCAAGCCATCCCCGACCTTCCTAAAGCCGCCAAAGATCTCGAAATCCCGAAAGTCCGGAGCAACGCACTCTCCCACAACGTGGCTCCTGAACCCAGCAAATCCGCGCGTGGCAGATCAGCGGCATGCAGTCGGGACACACGAGGGACGGGGTTGTCCGTTGCAACTGGGAAACGATAGGTAGCTTCCTAATCAAGATGTGCGGGGGTTTTTTTTGGGGGGGGAGGGGGGGGGGAGGTTACGCGGGTTTTGGGTAGATTGGTTAGGAATCATGGGGGATGGGTCCGGAGAACGAGCATTGGATTCCCGTAGGAAGGGATAAGAGCGAGTGTGATTGTGCCTATGCGAATTGATTGGAATCGGATGGGCCTGGCCCCAAGATCTCTCAAGCCCCAGTTACTAAAACCTCAGTACCCCGAGGATTACGCAATTCGGAAGGATTCGTTGAAGTGCGATTCGGCCGTCCCCGTTGGCGATTCGAGCTGTCTGCACGTCCACACCAGCCGGTTGTACGACGGTCTCGAGCCCGCCCCAAACCGCACAATGCAGGCTCCTGCTAGTAGTGGTGGTGGTAGATTAAGGCCAGCAAGCGCCATGGCCCCCGGAGACCACAAGGCGCAGGACAGACGTTCACCATGACGGCTTTACGGACTTTCGTTCCACCTAGCGGCGTCCCCCGCCTCGCCCTATCATCGTGCCTAGCGCCCGCTCTGCTGAACGAACCTTAGACCACGGGCACCTGCCTTTCCCCAACACACACCGGTTGCTCGCGGCCCTGCCGAGCCCAGCGGACTCGTGTCCAGCGCCGCTCATTCGCGATACGGTCTCCCCGGGAGTGGGAAAGGGCGGTCCTGCACGAGGTGGGGCGCTAGAAACAAGGGGGCGGGGGGTTGGGTTGCTATCACTTAACGAAAGCGGGCGTGAGTGGTTCGCGGGGCCAGCGGAGTCGCCGGTTTGGGTAAGCCAGCGTTGCGCTACTTGGCATGTGGGGAGACGGGGAGATCGATCGGCTTGTAGGGCTGAGTGACGAGTAGGGTCAGTAAGCACGTAAGGGGATGCGTCGTTGATTGGCTGTGGAGCTGTTCAGTAAGTTGGGCGTGGACGGGACCGCTTGTGACTGTCTTATTGAGGCTTAGGAATGGTGGCTGCTGCATAGATTGCAGGACATGGTGGGCGAACGGAGCCGATGCGGAGATGTCGGAGGGGCGCGGAAGGATTTGACGAGCCATGTTGGGGGCGGTTTTGCGCTATTGCGGTTCTGGTAAGGAATGCGGTGCAACGCAGGTGCTGGCTATCAGGCAATACATGAGGCATCTCAATTCGGGATAAACTGCGAGATGGACGCGAACTGCAAGGGGAGTGCAGCGACATGACGTATGCCGACAGGGCAATCCGCCGTATTAGAGCCTCAGTTCTGGGGAAACAGCTCGTCTGTACGACCGCCTGAATGGCATACTTTGGACTAAAAAACCGCTTGCCATTTAGGGCATCATGTTGCGCGATCGGCGCAAATGCTGCCTTGATTTTGAAAATCGGTAGCAAGCTTGGATGTTGTTGGTTCCTATTTGAATTGTATCCCTGTAGATTGAACCTTATTGGTAGGGTCGCTCATTTTTGGGAAGTCCAGGATAAGAGGACGGCACACTCGGTGATAGACAAGGGCAGGTCTTGCTGCAGTGTGGAGATGGTGAGGCCGGAGTAGGACCGCTTCACAAGCCAGCACGCAGGTGGCGAAGCGTGCATGGCTGAGCTATTGACAAGGCAAGGCCACCCATAAGATTGTACAGCTCGACTTCACGTATAGTACTTTAAAGTTTGGAGGATCTGAAACAGATTTCGCTACGACGTGTTCTATTAGTAGCACAGTCATGAATAGACAGCTTCTGCGCCAACCCATGGAGTGGACATGAGTAGTCTAGTGGCGCCGCCGTCGAACAGCGACAGACAGATCGGCACGCCGATCGGTTCCCGAGCAAGCCGAACGTGGGCACGGCGATACTACCTCCTACGTGCTGCTGGATTCCACGAATGGAGATTGGCATCCTACGGCCTCGAGATGCAGCATCGCTAGTACCTTGAAATCTTGATTTGTGCTGTCTTAACCTGTCTGTAGCACGACCCAAAGCCGCTAAATTTGTATGTCCATACCGCATTGTCGGATCGTCTCATTTGCTGCACCGCATATCTCGCATTCCTGTCGCCTCCAAGGAAGCGCCGTTGAAGTTGCGGATGCACAGACCTCAAGACCTCCACGGGTGGTGGCTGGTGTCCATGGTGGCTGGGGCGGGGACCAATATAAATTTAGACCGGGGGCCTAACTTGCTGGCGCCAACTCCAACACATGGCTGGCAGGGCTGAGGGTCGGGTATATTCCCTTTGTGGCACTGGAAGACAAGCGTGTTCAACGGAGAAGTCCTGGGGTCCGACACGGCTCTGGTGCGTGATGTCTGCATGCAAGCAAGCAAGCCTCCATGTTGGTGTTGTTGCTCACCCCACGTACAGTCCATATTCTTCCGGTCGCCACACCGTTTCAAGAGCCCGCGACTCCGGACTGGGGACGAGGGCGCCAGCACGTCGGCTCGACTCGAAACTGCGCTACGGACTCTCGACACCGCCAACTGGCTACGCACTTCGAGCAATGCACCTTGTCTACACGTTGCGACCATGCATCTTGCAGCGACGAGCACTGAAATCTTCCTCTTCGAGAAGGTCGTGTTGTTTCCAAAAGTTTAAAGTTATTGCATCTCCGCCATGTGGTACGCATGATTGACGGAGACGGCAGGACTTTGCTTTGATGTTGGAGAAGCTGTCTAATGCCGATGATGACAGTGGCGGCGAGGCATTCCCAAGGAGTATCGGAGTCGGGTGCTGCGGATTGTAGCAAGTTTGGTGTTGAGTGGTGCTACACGAGGTACGAGTGGGAGGGCCCGACGCTAGCATCGTGTCGAAGGATTCAGGATCGCGCGTCGTGCATAGCGCTCGTTTGTGCCCTTCTGCGGCAAGGGAAAGGACGCCTCGAGTACGTGTCGCTTGCCTATCTTGCTATTCGTCTTGTGTGACATTAGCCTGTGGATGTGGAATTGAATGAAGTCGCTGGAGTCAGTATTGGCTGGATGAGAGCAACATGTAAGGCGTCCAAGTAGTTGCAGGTATCGCTTTATCGTTGCATGTTAATGCTGCTCGATAGCGACACAAGCGCCATTATTGGCGATACGTCGAGTATGATTTGGAAAGAGAAAGTTGCTTCAAGTAAGCTGCCCTCTCTGTGCTTTGTCCAGGCTTAGGACGTACGATGAAGGTGGCTGCAGAGGACGCTCTCCCTTTCGACATCAATAAATTACCACATTGAAGCGATTTCGAACTTCACTGTATCTAAATAACAAAACTGCTGCATAGAAAAGGAGAAAAATTGGTTTGTAAACATGCACGAGACGTCGGCAGAAAGCATCCGAGACTTCAGAAAATGTGGCTTGTGATATGCTGCATAAATGTGACCAGTTATTGGAGTTCTTTTTTCAGGAGGTGCTAAGCGACCACTCCTTTGCTTGAATCCGAACACCTTTCGTTGCACACGGGACATTCCATGCAAATCGCGAGGCTGAAACAGGTGATGGTAGAGGTGATGGGCCTCGGGCCGTACGCTACGAAGTAATCGATTAGCACGGGACCCGCGGGTACGGCGGAATGTAATTTTGTGTTTCAAAACACGTGGAAAGAGCAGATTTGTCATTCTGCCTTGCCAGGGTGTCTGCAGCTGAACTTCCTGACTCGAGTGGGGGTAGTCTCACTCACCCACCCCCCAATGCGTCGAACGGCGGCCAAGTCATTGCCGAGCGAGGAGCGGCATGGCATCCATCGGCAGAGAGCGAGTTATCCGATGGTTGCTGAAGCGAAATGAGTACGAACGAGAATAGAATCAAAGAACCTTGTCGTCGGGGCCGTCGGGAAGATGCGACTACCTAGGTAATCAGTCCATTATTATATACCATGTTTCGAATCGCCAATTTGATATGGAATCATGGCTTCTGATGGTGCCAGCATTCCAAGGTTCCTGAATAGGGCTGCTGCTGATGAGAGCAGCCCGGTTAAGCTAAGCCAAACACGGCTACGAGATCCCCACCGTGCACGTTTGCCAAGGGAGCTGAACGTTGCCAAGATGGATAGTCTGCGGGAGGTCATGTTCTAATCTGCAGCCCTGGAGCTGGTGAGCGCTGCTCATTCGACCATGATTCCAAATGTTTGCTGTCTTCGTAATCACCGTATTCGGAGAATTGCTTAGAAAATGGGAAAATGACGCTGTGGAGAGCTGAAAAGTAACCACCTTCAGGATCTTTCCACGGTCTTTCCGCCCACCGTCTGTAGGGTGTGTAGAGGTCTGTGTAAATTCGCGAAAACGACCTTCTGATCGAAGATACGCTCGATTTGCGTGTGGATGATTGAGGCACCAAAAGGTCATACTCGAATAGAATTTTGATGTTAAAGCAGCATTCGCAGGTCGGTTTGTAGAGCTCTGCTTTCGTTCTGATACTTGGTATGAATTCGTAGGCTGTGTTCCATGTGATAAGGCCGGCTAATACTGCGATGCATAGCCAGCCGCTTTCGGGCCGCGCGGTGGACGTCTGGGGCGCCCGTTCTGGGCCTGAATGAGTCGTACATTCTCAATGCAGAAGCATGCGGAGTTTCTCGGAGGTGGCCTTGTTGCGATTCCCCTGCCCACCTGGCTATGTTTATACACATTTAGCAGAACTTCCCTCAAAGAGAACTTCGCCGACCAGGATCCACCCCTACCTCACCATGGGAAGACAGTAAACGCAATGCGCCAATATGAGGAGAGCTGAGCCGGCATTAGATAGTAAACGTTGATTGATCCCGAATCTTGCAGCCACAGGCTATCTGTGCACTGACTCGCCCGAAGTTTCATCCTTTAGAGCGCAGCGCGTGAAGCGAGGGTCAAGGCCGCAAGGCTAGCCCTGGCACAGTTCTATGAGATATCCGCCTGCAGGCAAGCTGGTCGGAGCAAGCGGAAGTGCTGTGTCCGCTATGAAAGAGGATCCCGGTGGACCTCGCAAGGCCATGTTGGTGCCTTCGGCGAGGGCGCTGCGGCTGAGGTTGAACGCCGACCTTCTCGAAACATTCGGGATTTATCTTTGAAACGGCTCGCACCTAGGTAGTACGCTGTTGACGGAGCGCCCATTAGCCTTTCACCGGCTTGTGGGGTGCGCGATTGGGTTGGGCAGGGTAGGATCACGCCGGGTCAGGGATCCTGCGAACGTGCCCCCATGTGCCTGAGATCCCCAGCATTTTCCGGAATCGTCATGGTCTACGCAGGCCATAGTGCGTCGCAAATTAGCGCCGCCTGCATGGCGACCGGAATCGAGCGTGCTGCTTTCGCGTGGATAGTGAAGGAGATGGGACCGTTGCTGCACCGAGCATCGTCAACAGCCCCGCGCTGCCATCCAGCACTCGACTGCCCGGGATCCGCTTGGAGTAAGCTGGCCTAGTCTCGGGGGTCGTGGAAGGCGGACCGGGGCCGGGTGCACACACCTGGGTAGTAGGGCTGAAGTGTGGGATTGCCGCGGGATTGAATTGGTGGATCCGGCACACTCGGTCTAGGCGCGATGTAGAAGGCGCCTAGCATGTGCTGCTACGTGCGTAAATGCCTCCGGTATTTTATCCAAACCTAAAAATAAGTAACAGTCTCCAAATTCGAGGGCCGATGTCGAATGAAGCCAATGGCCAGCACACCACAGCCCTGATAATTTCGCATCATATGCCTCCAAAACCGGTGCGTTTCACGTTCGAAAGCGTCCGATACTGCGACATGTGTATTGCAGATATCGCAAGGATATTTGCCTGGCGCTTCTGCGCTCTCGCCCCTCTATTCTTGGTAGGGTGTTATTCTCAGGAGCGCTGCACATACAGGCTTCATATTTGTCAACACAATTATATATTGAACCTGCGATTTAGTCATTGGGGAGAGTTGGTTTGATACGGTCTTATTCATCTCGCAGGGGTCCGAGTGCGTTCCCGATTGGCATCACATCTTGCCCTCTTACAGAGTGGATGACGGTTGGGCGGCATTACCGAGACGCGCGTCGGCGGCTGAAAGAGGGCATCGATAGGACTACTACTTTCCGTTCACGTTCTTGAGGCTGAACGGCTGTCTGGTGATCGCCGGTAGCGTATATGGACTCATGTCGGTATCGACTCATGCGCGATGAGAGTCGTGCATCGCAGCTGCTCAGGTGCCAGCATCGCGTCCAGCAATATCGGTCCATGCATGAGCTCCACCCGTCACGGCCAGCGTCGCTGTCCTGTGAAAGACGATCTGGGAAAGTAACTCCATAAACTGCACTGTTTACTCGGCGGATTGGCATGCTCAGCCATAGCGACTGGCTGGAAACCCCCAGCGCTGCTGGTACGAGACTGTTGAGTCAGCTCGTGCTAGCTACATCATGTACGCCTCCAATCTTGATAGTGTGAGGATGGAAACCGAGGGCTTTGGTGTCTCAATGGCATGCCGCTGCGGCTGCCCATGTCGGGGGTCTCCTCGAACTGGCAGGTGGGTTCTGCCGAGAAAGCCATACCTGAGGTCAATAGCAAGCATCGCTTGGGGGCGCTCTGCGTTGCATTTTCAGAAGGACCATTCACCGCGAGCCGTGTGGTTTCTCGATTTTGGCTTTGCATCTGTATCGCTTTGCACTTGTATTGTGCGTCTACTGTGTGTGGATACAAGAGATAAGCCATGGCTTTCAGCACTGAGAGTACATGGTGTTTTGATGGTCGAGAGGGAGTCTGACTGACATATGATGGGTTCGGCAGCGTGAAGGCGAGGGTCGTACGCTGGTTGTCTAGAGGGATCCTGTGTGATCTACAAAGATGTTTAGTTTACTGTTCATTAATTCATCATTGGATCTTTCTAGGGCATGCAAGAGCCATGGAAACATCGAGCTTGGGCGGAAAGAGAAGGAAACAGTAGAGCTGTTCATGATCAGGAGAAGCAAGATGAACACAACATCAGTGGCTGCTCAATCCTCTGTTTTCCGTTGGTGTGGTTAGAGCCCCCTTGCGTCTGCGTTAAAGGAGATCAAGTGATGGGTAACTCTGTTATGCGCTTCTTTATGGTGGAACGTGAACTTTTGATGGGCATGAGGTGCCTGAGACGGTGAAGTTAGAGAGTTGGACGCCTTACGACCAGGCCCGTGGTCTGATTTGGGTTCGTCTGGGGTGGCGCGACTCTGGCAAGGCTGAGCAATGTCAGGCTTTTGGCTTGGGTACCCACTTTGAGTGTCTATTCTTGACAGACGCTCCTGCAAAGACAAGTGAGACACTGTTTCGTTGATTCCAGTTGCGCCCATGTCGCGTGGCGGTGATGATTCGATTTCGTCGACGTCGCAAGTTGCGAGCAGGCCCTTTCAGCAGCGCCAGATGAATGCTGAAGCCAAGCCAACGAATAAGATCATATAACAATGCTTTGTATAGCTTGATCAGCCCTAAATCGAGCTGGCGATCGCAAGTTTGCTCCATATAGATGGTGCTTATGCATTTGACGGCGAACTTTAGGCCGATTCATCTTATCGCAGGGACAGATATTGGGCATTTGACGGTATTTTGCGACACCTCCAATAGATTTGCATGTTTGCCACTGTTTCAAAGAATGCAGGTGCTAGTGGGTTTGGCCGGAAGACGTGGCCGTCGACCTGCTCCGCGGAAGAATACAACACATCGTATCTAGAGTCTTGCGAACGCGCTAGATTCTGTCGGGAATGCGGAGCGAGCAGATGCCTTGGTGTCTTTGGGGCCCAGATGTTCCAAGGGGCAGGAGAACCTGGTCCCATCTTCGTCCGTACCTCACTCTGGTTCCCCCTTTTCAAGAACTGCTGGGACAATCTCTCTCAAAGAGAGCAGCAGCAGGCTGGGCCTTGACTCTTTCATGAGACAGCCGCGAACTTTCCCGCCCTCTCGCGGGAAGACTGGACAGGGAACGAGTGCAGCCACCAGTTCTGAAGATCGAGGATGCTGTTGTTGCTTTCGCTATCCCATTGGCTGGCAGCCTATCGCGAGCACTAAGGCCCCCCATCGATAGTGGCCTTGGACACTCAAAATGAATGCAGGGAGAAGAAGAGCAAGCTCGCTTGATAGCCAAAAAGAAATACGGACAACGAGTTGAGGCCCATGCGACCGTTGCAATGCCTCCCGAAACTAGAGTTCGCGAAACAGGATATACACCGCAAACTGCGGCTCAGCTGGGGCTGCTGTTGAGTGCACCAAGCGTTGTCTAGAAGAGGACGGTGAACACATGTAGCGTTGGGTGGAGCGGTGTTAGCTGGCGTTAGGCCCTTGAGAGAGTTACATGCTTGGCGATAGGCGTTCCAGTACGGCTGAAGGAATTGGCGCGCAGCGCATGCACGAAGCCACTGCGTCACTGAGATGGCAGGCTCTTTGGACATGCGACTCCGCCGCGGCGATATTGTTGTATCGATCGTCGAATTGCGGTGCGAGACTTCCGCGATTAGGCGTTCTTCGCAACATGGGAGCGTACCAGCGACGTTGGGGCTGAGCCGGTCGACGACAAGTTAGCCCGTTGCGGCTAACAGATCGGCAGGGAGTCCACCACACCGCAGATGGCTTTCTTCTCTTGAGTCTTGAGGCGACAGGCGGTCCAAGGGTCCTCGCCAGGTGCGGCCGCGAGTCTGGCCGTCAGTGCCGCTGCGCCTGGCCGATCGGCGTGGAGAGAGGGCCGTGGGTTGGGTCCGCTGCTTGGTCAGTATCGAACGAGGGTTTTGTAATGTTCAAAGCACATGAGGCTTCCAAGCACCCGCATGGCGCTGCAACGCCACAGACGCGGCGCTCCGACTGGCTGACGCCTGGATCTGGAGTGCAGACGCGTGGGAGGGTCGTCTCACCGACAGGAGGGCGAAGGTGCTGATGCCGGGAGGGCTAGCACGAGGGGAGAGTGCCGTGCATAGGGCTGGCGGGTGGGCGACGATGTCAGATGCTTGATTTCGCGGAACCCCTGGGGCGCGTGGGCGGGCGCGGCGGGAGACAGCGGTGACTCGAGGAGAGGAGCGGGTGAGGTCCCAGGCCGTAAAAATAGAGCCTCTGACCAAGCACTCTAAACATGGTGTTGCCGGAGCGCAGCACGGCCCTCGCGCTCTCTCACGGGCCCTTGCGGTAGTCGTTCAGCCAGGCCGGCCGTGGGAATTCGTTGCTTCATTTTGAAATGAGGGAGGAGGCCAGGAGGCAGCGGCGTGGCCTGGGAGAAGCCGCCAGCGGGTGTGGAGCGCGGTCGCGGGACGGCTTCGTTCGGGCATCGCCCTACTCGTTGTCTTAACCACATACGGGCAACGCTGCGCCGGGGGCCAGCGTGCCAATTGCAGGGCATCGAGCGGGCCACAACCTGCAACCTGGCTGGCTGTCGTGAGGAGCCCGAGCCCGCTGGCTCAAGTCCCTGGCCGTCTGTCCCACGGTTGATCCGGCCACGCGCGTGATGCCAGGCCGCCTTTCTGCGCTGGGTCGGCCGTCGCCATGCGGTGAGTTGGTGTTGCGAGACTTGCGAGATGGCGGCAGGGCTGCGCAGAGGCGTGCTGCTGCCGCTGTTTCGAGAGACTCGCGGTAGCGTGGCCAACGACTAAGGGCCGTGTATTTTTGTCCCGCGGCCGATGATTCAGCCTGCCCTCGGTGGGTGGTGTGAAGCCGACTCCGTCGCCGTGGGCTGCGATCAGAGAAGCGAAATGCGACGGCCATGGTGGTGCGGCTAATCAGAGCGGCCTGTTCCGGCCCCCAACGGCGACATCGTGAGGCCTGCTCGAGGTCACGCTTCCGGGCAGCCCAGGGAGCGTTGAAGCCTGCGAGACGCGTCCGTCCAGCGTCCTTCTGCCTAGACGCCGCTCCACGAGGCTCCAGTGGACATCCGACACTCGCACGCTGGTCCGAATCGCCTCTCTCCGCTCGCGGCCGGAGTGTGACGTGCGGACAGCGACAGAGCAGCCAGCGCAACTCCGGCGCAGGCTGGTGATCGCAGTGGAGGGGTGGATACGCGGCGTCGAGCCCTTACCGCCTCGCATTTCGCCAGTAGACAGCTTCGGCGGCGGATTTCGCAGCGTTACGGGCACCGCCCCAGCCGTTGACCCGCAGCGGCGGCGTGCGAGGAGGTGAGCGGCAGCCCGGGGGGCCCTGCTGGCCGTCGGTGGGTGGTGTTTGGGCACGCTCAGGGCGTGCTGCGGGCTGGTCGCCATGCAGCCTTGTAGCTTTGCGTTAGGGCGGTCCAAATATACGGCCCCGCTGCTGCGCAACTGGCGGTGCCAAATTGCAGCCAGGGTTGCATCTCTCTCCGCCCTATGCACCCATTCCTGGCAGTGTGCAGCGGCAGCGGCCTGCCTGCCACCCCTCCAACGGCCGCAAACTCCGTGCGCAACGACGGCGAGCTGAGGCCCGAGTGCCTCGCAGGGGCGCGCAGAGGGCCTTATGCAGCTGCGTGCCAGATGGATTCGGCTCCAGCCTAGCAGGGGCCCCTTCACTGCGAGCACCTGCGGACAGAGCATCGCGCTGATAAATATCCCCATGCCCCAGCCTGAGGACGGCCACATATCCAGCTTCACAACCACTCCATCGCCCTCTCCATACTCCCATCCCCTCCTCTTGTCCCCGTCCGCCCCCAGGTACGACCACAGCGTCGCCCCATCCCGTCACACCTCCTCTTCACCATGCAGCGGCACGCCAGCTACGGGTATGCCCAGGCAGCCCCCACCACCCACAGATACTCGGGCACCAGCAGTGCCTTCAGCGCCAGTGCGAACCCCAACGAAGACTGGACCAAGATCTCGGATCTGGCAGAGCGGAGACGAATTCAGAACCGGATCGCGCAGCGCAACTACCGTAAGTACCCGCCGGCCGTTGATATCGGGCTCCAGCAGCTCACAGCCCGCAGGCAAGAAGCTCAAGAAGAGGCTCGAAGACCTCGAGCGCCGCGCTGCCTCCAGCTCTGCGTCGCCAGAGCAGCAGCCGGCCGAGCTGGACCGCTCCCACTCGCAGCCTCGTGAGGAGTTCCATTCGCCGAGCTCCTCCGACTCGGTGGACCACCAGGAATACGGCCGGCGGACGCCTGAGATGCAGAACCAGTATCTGCCACACCACGAGGAGCGCGGCATGTTCTCGCATCAGTACACCCGCCAATTGTCGACGTCGCCACCGCCCTTCTCGTATTCGACGTATCCAGCTCCCGACGCCGTGTCGTACGCCCCGTATGCACCTGCCTACAGCGGCCTGCCCGCGACGACGGCGCCTGAGATGCCAATGTACTCGCCGTATCTGCCGCCGCTGTCGTCTGCCTACCCCACCACGCTGCCCAGCCTGGTGCACCCAATGAAAGGCGATTTCTATGGCGAGGACGACATCAGCCCCTTCAGCATGAGCTACGCGACTATGGCTGGCATCGAGATTCCCGCGCCGCACTCCTACGTTTCCGACGCTCATGTGAGACTCCCCAGCAAGCCGTACTATGCCCACAGCCTCTCTTCCTGAAGCCTATCCATCACTCCCTTTCGTCGCCATACAGCAGAGCCACCGCTGACCGCAAGACTGGCAGACACCACCACTGCTGGAATCTTTCGATCACTCAACGACGGGGTCGCCCCCAGACTCGGCAACATACAACCCTACCACGCCCAACTCGATGCCAGGAACGCCTCCTCTTCATCTGATCTGATCTGATCTGATCTGACCACCGCCACCATGCTTCACACTTGAGCATCAGTAGCGGACCATGGTCACTGTACACTATCTATCCCTTCTCTTGAACATTTTTGTAATGCATTTCGAGCGTCTGTTTTACGTGGAAGCGGTGGAGTACACTCGCTTGCTTTTCGGGTTGGGAAGAAGGACCGGTCTGGAAAAGGCCCCGGAGGCGTTTGGAGTTTCTGAGGCGTCATGTACTCGCCATGTCTGCTTTACTATTGTTTTTCGGAGGATAGACTTGAGAGTCTGGGGATAACGCTTGCGGGTCTATACGGCCTGCCATACGAATAGTCCCTTTGTCGACGACAAAGGCATGAGGTCTGAAATGAAACAACTTTAAACCAACAACCTTGCAATCTTGAGGTGAGAATAAGAATATAAGAATCTTAGTATGAGAGTAAGCCGTGGTGATGTGAGATCCTTGGCCGCGCAAATTCCATCTCTGCTGTATACCATAGTCTTGAACACCCTCTGATCCAAGCTCTCAAGGCCTTTACATTTCATCGGAATCTCTATAATGCGCCGAGGCACCTCAAACAGTGGTGAGCGAGTGTGTACGGACTCCTGGTAAGGCACTATAGCCTGGCCTGCACAAACCTTGAATTGAGGGTTGCTGCAATGTCGTCGCGTTGCGGTGACGGTGACGTTTGTTGAAGATCCACGAAATGCTCACGCCCACGAAATAACGTTGTCTTGGCGCGACGGACGCGTGCTTTCCAAATCTGACGACGGCAACGTCAGCACACAACTTCTAAATCTGCAACGTCGCCATCATGGCTCCCGCACGCAAGAAGTCCAGGCTCGAGCAGGCTCGCCAGTACCTTACCAGTGGCACTATCCAGCGCGAAGACTCGGACGATGAACTGGGCCAGGACGACTTGCCCTGGGAGTGGATCTACGAGGAAGAGACTTCACACGATGCGACACAGAAGAAAGCAGAGAGGACCCTGACCCTGAGAAAAAGGAAAGCCGCCGCCTTGACGACCGACAGACGCATCATTGGAGCGAAGATGGGAAGTTTTGAATGCAAGATAGGAGATGCCGTGCTCCTCAAGGCAGAGGGAAACAAGGCTTGGGTTGGCATTATCTGCGAGCTATACGATGGCGAAGAGGAAGAGGATGACGACAAGATGGCAAAGTTCATGTGGTTCTCCGGCGAAAAGGAGATTCGAAATAAGAGCAAGAAGAGAGACGATTGTCTCGAGGTAGGCGTCAAGCTTCATGCCAATGCTTCATTCACGTTTACTAACATATTCTAGAACGAGCTCTATATTACTACTGCCTTTGATCTCAACCCTCTGACCACCATCATTGGCAAGGCAAACGTTGTTTCTCTCGAAACCTTCAACGCAAAGTACCCCTCAGGTCAAATTAAGAAGTCTTCCAAGGACTACGGCAAAATGTTCGTTTGCCGGCGCGGTTGCAACACGCGTACAACTACATACACAGAGGAGTTCAAGTGGGAGGACATCTACAAAGGCGTAGAAGATGTTGAGGCGCTTCAAGTATTTGTAGACAGCCATACAAAGTCTACTAGGAAGAAGCAAGCTCGACCTAAAACAGACAATGCAGACCTGGACGACTTCGTCGTCAACGACGAGGATGGCATTCCTAGGACTCCGAAGAAGCGGCGGAGATTGAATGAAGTGGCAACGCCCACATCGAAGCGGAAAGATCAGACACACGGGAAATTCCTCACGCCAACTCACAAGAGGATTGTGATCAAGAAACCCCTCGAATTCACCCCTCTGGGCACGCGCATAATCTCTCCGTCCGCGCTCTCGTCGCCGTTTCAGATTGCTCGGAACCAACTACACGTGTCGTCGGTCCCTGCTGCATTACCCTGTCGCGAGGAGGAATTCTCGACCGTCTACTCGCACTTAGAGGCCGCTATCACCGAGGGATCAGGGTCCTGCATTTACATATCCGGTACGCCCGGAACCGGGAAGACAGCGACCGTGCGAGAAGTCGTGGCGCAGTTGAACGCGTCAGTTCTAGCGGAGGAGCTCGATGATTTCATATTCGTGGAGATTAATGGTATGAAAGTCACAGACCCGCACCAGTCGTATTCACTTCTATGGGAGGCCTTGCGAGGCGACCGCGTTAGTCCTGCACATGCCCTGGAGCTGCTGGAGCGCGAGTTCTCAACCCCGAGCCCGAGGCGCGTACCCTGCGTCGTGCTCATGGACGAGCTGGACCAGCTCGTGACCAAAAACCAGAGTGTCATGTACAACTTCTTCAACTGGCCAGGGCTGCGACATAGTAGGCTAATTGTGTTGGCTGTAGCCAACACTATGGATCTTCCCGAGCGCACGTTGAGCAACAAAATTAGTAGTCGCCTAGGTACGTGCAAGAGTGCATGGATCCTGATCCTTCGACTCACCCCCCATCCAACACCTCCTGGCAGATCGCAGCCTACAGGCACACAACCCCTCACTCTATATACGCGTATAGGGCATGCGGTGGCACCACACATGCGGAATCCTTCGAGACTGTCACACCTTTCTTGTTCTACTCTTTCGGCCGCCGGGCTGCCCACAAGGCTGAAACGAAACTAACTTGGCGTTCTCTAGGCCTCACCCGCATCACCTTCCCTGGCTATACTCACGACCAGTTAATGCAAATCATCCAGTCTCGTCTCAGCGGCGTCCCCGGCCATGTCGTTCAGCCAGATGCAGTCCAATTTGCCGCACGAAAGGTTGCCGCCGTGAGCGGCGATGCACGGCGTGCTCTAGATATGTGCCGGCGAGCTGTCGAGATTGCAGAAGCCGAAGCAATCGCTAAAGAGCAAGAAGCTGAAGATAACGATGCAGTTCCCGACACGCCAAGTAAAAGCAAGAGTCGCCGAGGTGCGAAAAGCGCACTCCCAGGTAAGGATAAAGGTAACACTGCAGAAATGCACGACAGTCAAACCCCGAGCTCGAGGCAGAAGCAAAGCAAGCCTGTCGGCGTCGTCACTATCGCCACCATTAAACAGGCCATCAACGAGGCTACGTCTAGCCCGCTACAACAGTACCTCCGCGCGCTGCCGCTGGCTTCTAAACTCTTCCTCGCGGCGCTTTTGGCGAGGATCCGGCGGACAGGCGTCGGTGAAGCACTGATGGGTGACGTGGTTGAAGAGGCGAAGCGCCTTGGTCTCATGAGCCAACTGCAACCGGTGCAGCGATATCTCCTCGCCGAGAACGAAGAAGTCACGACCAAAAGCGCTAGCACGAGGCAGATGGATGCCAAGGCTGCCCGCGCGCTTGGGCTGGGCAAGGCGGCTTTGGATCTCGCCGAAGCAGGCATCGTTGGTGTGGAGAGTCGGCGAGGAGAGAGGGTGGGCAGGGTTCGGTTGGGGGTTGGAGACGAGGAGGTGAGGCTAGCGCTAGGGGAGGATGAGGAGGTCAAGGGGCTAGGCTTCGGATCATGAGTGAGTCCATACACCTCCCTCTAGTCGGAACAGCGAACCGCTCGATCGGGTTTGTGGTTTTACACGGGCGGTGAGCGTATATACCCTAGGAACTTTATGATATCTGAGGTTCTATAAGAATTCGAGGTCGCCGAGACAGCTCAGAAATTAGCCTTCTGGACTTTCCTGCGGATCTTCCATCCAGGCTCTTTCCGAGTAATCGCTATAGAATGCTCGCGCCCCTGGCAGCTTTTAGGCAATGATTGCTCAAACGTCTCAGCATTTCAACACGCTGTACAAAGCAAAGTAAACCTCAACAAACCCCCCAGATAGGTATGTATTTACCATTTCGTTCCTCAAAGCTCTCCATGTCCCAAACCGTCTTGTAAGACCCAAACAATGAAAGTGAAACTCCTCTCCATCTATACCCCTTCACCGGTCCTTCACCAACCCACCCAATTGGCGAAAACACCGTCACACAAACACCCTCCACAAACGCCGCCCCTACCGATCGTTTCAGGCCCTCCCCTCACGTGTCTCTCCCATTCCACTAACGAAGCCCGAGTTTCCCGTACTCCCCTCCAACTAACCCACCCCTGCGTGTTCTACCGCACCCTTCTTCAGCCCTACACACCACCCCTGCCTCTCCCAAACTCCACATGACCCGCCAACGCTGCACAATAAACCCGCCATTATCGCGCCCGTACGACGAACGTGCGCGATGTGACGGGTGACGCGGGAGGTGACACAACCTGCATTCCAAATCGTGCCAAAGGGTGCCACGCGCATCCCAATAGAGAGTTTCCCCCTCCTCCCCCCCCTCCAAGAGCTCGAAACAATCGGTGAAGCGCAAGTGACCCCATCGCACAAGCGCTGAAGTTTCTCGCCGGAAGTGTGGATGCAGTGACTTGTGATGGCACTATTGTAGCCACCGGAGAACCCCTGTCGTGATTTCTCATCATAGCGCGGTAGGTAACGTAGGGGTTGTAGAGCCAACCAACGAAAAATGGAAGCGTGGGCTGAAGGCTTCCTCCGCACATCACCAACCACCACCACCACCACCACCACCACCACCACCACCCCAAAATTCTCCACACGCCGCGACGACGCGGCTGCTGTAGGGCTGAATGCAAGATGACGCCAGCATTCAAATCGCCGCCCCGATCCCGCACGCTTTTGCTTACGCAGCACCGAGCGTGCGCCGAAAAGCGTCGTCCGGCCACAATCTGCTCCCCCCCATGTGCTTGATTACTTATATCGCAGATTACAGTGCGCGCAACCGAGGGGGGAGAGGTAGCGGGTGATGGATTTCTCATCGCGGGGGTGGGGGTTGCTGATTGAGGTTTGTGGGCTAGCCATAGGGCGGGATCGACAGGTTGGTGGGGCAATCTGGGGTGAGTCACTAGTGGTAGATGCAAAGAGTGAGCTTAATGTGCGCGGCCGAACAGGGGAGTTGCGGGTTGCGTCTGGGGTTTCCTAGGTGGGGAGGGCGGTCCAGCCGAGATGGTGGAGTTCTGCGGGATTTGGGAAAGGGGGCGGGATATGGGATGCTTGAGGATAAGGCCGGCTCTGTTTTGGGTTAAGTTCTTGGTGGCGTTGGTTCGATCGGTTATGCAAGAGTGGTATCAAGGCGGTGGAGTGTGGGTAAGGAGTTTGAGAGGGGAGGTGGGAATAGAAGTGGCTGAAGAGCCTAATTACTCATCTCTTTTGTATTTTGTACAGTGGTATCGTAATGAAAAGTTTTTCTCGATAAGGCGTTGGTATGCCCAGTTTTGCCATGAACTCCTTGCTGTATCAACCTACACTCTCATTCTTAGAGAGTCCGTCCTTGTATCCCTTGAGATGAAGTGACCTAGAAAGAGTTGTGCCGATAATTCAGAACGCCAATATGCATGACGCGAGCAAAACACATATGTTCAGTCCCAAATGCTCGCATGAACACCCCAGTACGCTATCAGTGCGAAAAGGATCCCGATCGCGGAACTATCAGCTACTTTGCTCATTCCGAGCATTATCGCCTCCAAGACTGGCCGAGTAATTGCGAGGAACTTTTAATGTGACATTTCCAGTGTGACATTTGGTAGCATCCGAAGATCTTTAGCACCACAATCAGCCATAGGAAGAGGTACACAGCGGCGGCGAATGCGCTGGAAGTATGGCCTTATGGGAAGGGTGGATCCTTGGGCTTCTCGGATTCGGTGAGGGTTGCTCGTGCAGGTTGCAACTTCTCGCTGGTCCAGATGACATCCTCAGAACAGCAATTAGTCGTTCCTCGGACTGATTTTTCCTAGAACCTAGAACTTCTGCCTCCCGAGCGTCGGCTTCCAGTCCAGCGGGTTGGTGTCCTCCGTCGCGCTGTCATCTTGCTTCCAGATCTTGATAGTCTTGTCGCTCTCCCCCGTGATGAGTCTTAGGCCCGTCCGATCAAACGTGCTACACATGATACCCGCCTCGGCATCCAAACTACCCGGCTGAGCGACACTGTTAACACTCTGAAATTTGTGGCCGGTCTTCCAATCGAAGAAAGCCGTGGTACCGTCGTCGCCACCAGAGAAGAGCACGTTGTCCTCGTTAACAGAAAGCGTGTTGACGATCGCGTTATGGCCCTCGAAATTCTGCATAAAGGCACCTTCAGGACACTTCCACTGCTTGATCGACTGCGATGATCCTGATGCAAATGTGAACTCTTTCGGGTGAGTAGCCAGAGCTCGCACACCCTTCTTGTGATGTGTGAGTACGCCCATGGTCTTGCCGGCCGCAAGATCGTACATGCGAATCGTACTGTCCAGACTGCCGGAGAGAATTTGAGGGTCGGCTTCTTGGCATTTGACGGATGCGCAGGTGCCCTTATGACCGCTAAGGACGTGAATGTTGGCGCGAGTTCGCATATCCCATATACGAACAGATGCGTCGCGACCACCGGTAGCTAGTACGTCGAGGGTAGGGTGTAGATCGAGTGCGTACACGCCGCTGAGATGGCCGTGATAGTGCCGGATGACTTTGTTCGTCTCCAAATCCCAGCACTTGACGGTCTTGTCCTCGCCGCAGGAAAATAGATATGGATGTCGAGGGGATATCGCTAGCCCACGTACAGCCGAGATATGTCCAGTGAGGGTCAGCTTGAGGGTACCTGACGCAAGATCCCAAAGCTTGATAGTCCTGTCCGCAGCACCTGTGACGAAGAATTTGTTGTCCGGATCCATGGCGACGCTTCTGACCCATCCCATATGCCCTGATATCACCCGGAACACCTTCCACGGTGCATGCCACTCCGGCTTCACCTGCTTTACGGTGTCTTTCCTGACCAAAGCGCTAGACGGCGTATTCCTCTGGGGCGTAGGTCCATTCGCATTCGGCGCTGCTCCATTTCCTCGCGGGCGCACTGTCAAAGCCTGCGACGTCCTCTCCGCATTGGAGCTCTCGGCAAGGGTTCCGACTATTTGGCGCAATTTGGGATCTGATGGCTGATCCTCTTCCGTAACCTTGCGTCTCTTGCGCTGTGCGGTTGCCGCTTGCATCTTCGCTTCCAAGGCCGCGGGCAGCTCTGTGACGGCGCCATACTCCTGATAGATGCGTGTCGCGACTCTCGACTTGTGCGCGAGGTCGTTGGTATCGGGGACTGTGCTGTATTCGCCGCCGAACAGCTCGCGCGTCTGCTCGCGGTTGGTTTCGGCGAGCGTGGTGAGTGAGACTTGGGCCATGGCGATGTCGTCGGAGCTGGCTCGGGGATTTGGTGGGAGGGCAGCTGTCGAAGTCGTTGAAGAATGCTGTTGGAGTTGAGGTTGAAAAAAGAGCTATACCGCCTAGCGCATCGATATCACGTGCATCTCACCTCGAACATGACCTCACCGAGAAAGCCGACTTGACTCAATCGTCTCAGCTCGCTGCCTTCAACTCTTTCCTCTATGATCACCTCGGAGCGCACCATGCTGAGTCTCGAAAGCATTCACTACTTATAACAATTTGTTTCATGCAAATCCTGCAATGTCCGATGGCCGCAAGACGCGCTCGTCGTCGTCTTGTATGCCACCCATATCCTCCCCCAATTATTCCCCTCTAACAACTCGCAGTCCACTTCGTCGCCGGCCTAAGCTCCGGCATCCTCTCCGCCGTGCTCCTCCAACCCGCCGACCTGCTCAAAACCCGCGTCCAACAAGCCCGCACCACCACCCTCCTCTCCACCATCCGCTCCATCGCCAGCGCCCCCCACCCCGTCCGCAACTTCTGGAGGGGCACCCTCCCCTCCGCCATCCGCACCGGCTGCGGCTCTGCAATCTACTTCTCCACCCTCAACGCGCTGCGCCAACGAGTCGCCTTCGCGACCCTCGTGCGCAACAACGCCAATGGCACCGCCAACCCGCAAGCCGGCGGTGGGGGCCACTCCTCCTCGCTGCCCAAGCTCTCCAACACGCAGAACCTCCTCACAGGCGCCGCGGCACGCACCTGGGCCGGCTTCATCCTCATGCCCGTGACCGTCATCAAAGTGCGCTACGAGTCCTCGCTCTACAACTACACCTCCCTCTTCTCCGCGATCCGCGCCATCATCGCGTCCGAAGGCCCGCGCGGCTTCTTCGCCGGCTTCGGCGCCACCGCCGTGCGCGACGCGCCTTACGCGGGCCTATACGTGCTCTTCTACGAGCAGAGCAAGCGGCGGTTGTCCGCTTTCGCGGCGCGGTTGCAGTACCAAAAAGCCCTGAAGAAGTCGGAGACGGGCGCCGTGAGTCCGGAGATAGCGGCGGGCCTGTTGAGCGGGCGTACGGCGGCCAGCATCAATTTTGCGAGCGGGGTGGCGGCTGCGGGCTTGGGGACTGCGATGACGAATCCGTTTGATGCTATCAAGACGCGGTTGCAGCTGCTTCCGCAAAAGTACGGGAATATGGTGCAGGCTTCGAAGCTGATGCTGAAAGAAGAGGGGGTTAGAGCGTTGTTTAACGGCCTGGGGATTCGCATGGCGCGGAAGGCGGTTAGTAGTGCGCTGGCGTGGACGCTGTATGAGGAGTTGATCAGGAGAGCAGAGGTGAGGTGGAAGGATGCCCGGGATGCGGAGGAGGTGCTGTAAATACAATGTATGATTTGTGTGTCATGTGAGCCTGGCGTTTACGGGCTTGGAATATTGGGGTCAGGACGAATACGGGGATACAAGGCGGCTCTCTACTACAAAGTACCTGAAGGCGTTGGCGCATGTCGCAGTCCCCGAAAGGTTCAACTCATAATAATAAGGACGCCTACACCTAGACTTTCTTGTACCTTGAAAACAAATTTCAACTTTTCGTGTGAGAGATTCGAACAACTTCAAATAGCGATTTTGTTGTTATGCTTTGGAGATATCCATAGAGAGTAGGTCTTTGCAGGCTAATGCTGGCACTAGCACCATGATAGCACGGCAGTCTTCAATATAATTTCCTCGCTAGGAACTCAAAGCATAACCTAGCTCCATTCGCTATTCCGCAACTTAATCTGACAGAGGTGTGGCTGAAACAGACAGAGCCTGTAACAACGTCGTGAAGGAAACAGGATTTGACGAGTATGAGGACCGATAGGGGTGAGTAGTACTAAACTTCCAACAACCTGATGGCCACCTGGACATGATTCGTAGGAACCAACACTTACTCCTCGCCCTCGAGAGGAGCCTCCTCATCGTATCCCTCCTCTTCCTCGGAGACCGCAGCCTCCTGGTACTGCTGGTACTCGGAGACCAAGTCGTTCATGTTGCTCTCAGCCTCAGTGAATTCCATCTCGTCCATACCCTCGCCAGTGTACCAATGCAAGAAAGCCTTACGCCTGAACATAGCAGTGAACTGGTCACCGACACGCTTGAACAGCTCCTGGATGGAGGTCGAGTTGCCGACGAAAGTGGAGGACATCTTGAGGCCACGCGGGGGGATAGAGCAAAGAGCGGTCTGGACGTTGTTCGGGATCCACTCAACGAAGTAGGAGGAGTTCTTGTTCTGGACGTTACGCATCTGGTCCTCGACCTCTTTCATGGAGACCTTGCCACGGCTGCGATTGTCTGTTAGCTCATTGCCCACATCCAGTATTCAGAGGTTGCACTTACAAGATGGCAGAGCAGGTCAGATAGCGACCGTTGCGGAAATCAGACGCAGCCATCATGTTCTTAGGGTCGAACATCTGCTGGGTTAATTCCGGCACGGTAACGGCACGGAAGGAGTGGGCGCCACGGCTGGTCAGAGGGGCGAAGCCGACCATGAAGAAATGGAGGCGAGGGAAAGGAACCATGTTGACAGCCAGCTTGCGGAGATCGGAGTTGAGCTGACCAGGGAAACGCAGGCAGGTGGTGACGCCCGACATGACAGCGGAAACCAGATGGTTCAGGTCGCCGTAGGATGGGTTGTTCAGCTTAAGAGTCCTCATGCAGATATCGTACAGAGCCTGATTGCGTTAGTATAGGTGAAGAAACTTCCTATAGAGCTACATACCTCATTGTCAATGCAGAAGGTCTCATCAGAGTTCTCGACCAACTGATGAATGGAGAGGGTAGCGTTGTACGGCTCGACAACGGTATCGGACACCTTGGGGGATGGCACAACAGAGAAAGTGGCCATCATGCGGTCGGGGAACTCCTCGCGGATCTTAGAGATCAACAGCGTGCCCATACCGGCACCAGTTCCACCACCTAGGGAGTGGGTGATCTGGAAGCCCTGGAGGCAGTCGCATCCCTCGGCTTCACGGCGAACAACGTCAAGGACCTGGTCCACCAACTCAGCACCCTCAGTGTAATGGCCCTTAGCCCAGTTGTTTCCAGCGCCGGATTGGCCGAAAACGAAGTTGTCGGGGCGGAAAAGCTGGCCGAAAGGACCGGCGCGAACGGCGTCCATGGTGCCAGGTTCCAAGTCGACCAGGACGGCACGGGGGACGAATTTGTTGCCAGACGCCTATTCATGTTAGAATGCAAGCGATCGAATGGGACAGGCTTGCAGTAACATACCTCATTGAAATAGACGTTCATACGCTCAAGCTGAAGGTCTGAGGTGCCATTGTAGCTGCCGGATGTCAGTCCGAATTCTTCGAAATTTTATCGAAGCGAGTGTTTCTGTGTACTTACACCCCAGAGCCATCAAGGCCGTGCTCGCCAGAGATTGTTTGCCTGTGAGTTGAGATTCGTTAGTCTACATGGCCAATGTTGATGTTGGACGTGTTTAGCGTGTACGCACCAGAAGGCAGCGCCAATTTGGTTGCCCTGCGAATTGTCAGCTCTGTGCACCAAGATATCAATCAGGGAGGGCATCTTACGCATTGGCCGGTCTGGAGATGAACCTGCACACGGGGAAAGGTGGTTAGCAGAATGTCCAAATGTTATGGGTGGTGCCTGGATGAACGCGGGGCAATCAGGGGACGCGCGAAAACAGAGACTGCTGGGGGGCGTAGACGTACGATTTCGCGCATGTTGACGGGTTGTGAAGAGTGCTAAAGTTGTTTGTGGGAGCTGAGAATGGCGGTGATGGTGGAATGGAGAGCTGTCGAGTGGAGCGAGGTGGAGGAGAGTCGGGTGGAGCAAGCAAGCAAGCGGTGAGAAGTGTTGTGGAAAGAGGTCAAGGCGCTTGCCGAACGCCCTGACCAAAACAACGCGCGCCTAGCCTGATTGGGCGCCCTGGCGCGTTGCACGCGTGAATTGCAGACCACCTCGGGAGCAACAGGCTGCCAGTTTTTGTCCAGTGAGCCCAGAGACAACAGGCCATGGCGAATTCACTGTCTCAAGAGCAGAACCACAGCTGCCGAGCTTTGCAGACCGGTCCAGGCTGCGTATGATCTTTCACAACATGGTTACTTGGTAGACCACGGCGTCCTGAGCTTAGTAGAGTTCTGATATTGCTATATGCTTCAGATATAGTGATTAGATTGGCGTGAGAACCGTAGCTTATCTACAGCCTGGTTGCGACGCAATACACCTCAATTACTTCTTGACTTCGTTTTGGCATATCAGCAATTCAGACAACATTCTGCATTATCAACTTATTGGCCAAGCGTAGTGAGGCGGCTTCATTCTCTACAACAGAGCTCTTCTTCAAAGTTTGGCATTCATCATTCTTCGCAATCATACAACCCTTCAGATGCTTCAGGGAAGCACCCTTTGGATGCTCTATTCTTTCATCATCTCACTTGTCCTTTTTGGCGCTTCCAACCAGCCCATTTGAGGGCGAGCTCTGCTGTCGTACAACGGCAGGAAGCGAGAAGACGCTTGGCCATTGCAGTTCGTAGTTGTCTTGCTTATCATTGAGACAATGTCGCAGCCATATGCCCCACTGGATGTAGAAGTATGCTCCAACACCCGTCATGATATGCCTATGCTGTTTAGCTGGGAGACTGTGACTGGATTTGAATCACTCACCACCATCCATGTCCTTCCAACAAGAGGCCCCAAGGCAGCCCTATCTGTCTCCGCCAGGCCCTCAACGTCGAACAAAACTCGTTGTCCAGAGTCCAGATACCAAATCCGCCAATGAATATACTCAAACCGCAGGCGATCAACGTCCACATTTGACGCAAGATATCTTTGTCCCGCTCGTCCTGTCGGTCCTGCTCTGCTTGACCAGCTCTTGTCGCGCGTTGTACCTCTCTTGCCGCCTTCTCTTTGAACTTGGGTCGGATGTTCACTTCCATAACATGCATACTTCGGAAGACGACAGTAGCAGTTAGAAGTGCATACGCATTCTGGTGGAACGTGGGATCCTGGAGATAATGGTAGTATAGTGTGATAAACAGTGACAACGACACCAGGGATGCGGCTAGAATTATCGAGTATAGCTTCGACTTCCCGTGGGAGAAGGTTGCATAGCACATGAGACATGTCGTGTATATCATGGAAAGCTCATCCACGAGTTGCATAGGATCTACAGCACACAAGGCTTAGATGGGCACACATGGAAGAGGATGGGCCTTGCATTCGTCCAAACATACATTTTAACGTGGCATGGAACAGAAAGCTGCCACTGCCCACAAGAAGATATCCAATAAACGTTACAACAAATATCCGGTCGTGGCTATTCTTCAAGCAACCACGGATTCCCTGTGCGGCGAGGTACATGAACAAGAGGTTTGTGAGGGTGTTCACGATTTCGGCCGAGTAGATGGTCGCGTAGTAATCCTGTAAACTGTCAGTCCCAAGTTCTAGACGTCGCCTAGTTTTCGCAACAGTGTCGAAGCACCCCAACCGCCGTCAAGTAAGTATATTGAAACCCACCTCTTCACACCAATTGATAGTTGATGTCACTGGAGACCATCGGCCTTCTTGTGCAGGAGGATATGGTATCGATGGAAGCCAGGACAGCGTAGGGTCGGCCATCTTTCGTTCAGGGAGCCAATACGGGTGGTGGGAGAAAAACGAAGGTCGTTGGAGCTATCTTTAAGTCGCGGGTATGGACGGAAGTTTGGGAGTAAGAGCCCACTACGATCATGTCATAATGCGGCTGGACAGGAGGAGCCACGTAGACATACATAAACGAATCCGCGCGATTTTGACAATGGGATCATAGCCGCATGCGCAGTTGAAGTTGCTCACACCGCAAGGATACGCCTGCCTGAGGCGCAGACCGCCCTGACCGCGTGCTACCTACCAATCAAATGCTAGCCCGGATCATCGTTTTGCCGTCCTCGAAAGTGGCCGCCATCAACTTCACCTATTCCATCAACAGCGAATCTTAAACTGAGATCAGTAAACATGTCAATCCCCAATGAAGCACTGCAGAAGGTAAGCAATATAAAGCTTCAGATAGCAGAGAAACTTCCGCCTCAATAGTTTCTAATCTATATGTCCTATTTTCTAGCTTCTGCAAGAGATCGAGGCGAAGGCATCATTCTCCCAACAGCAACTTGGCATAGTCAAGGCCCAAATCGTGGCGAAGAACCGGGAGAGCCGAATGCTCCAGTTGACTACGAGCGAGGTCGTGTCGCTGCCAGAGACGACTAATGTGTATGAAGGCGTCGGAAAGATGTGAGAATAATGCCACCTCACCTCGCTGTAACGTTCTAACGACCTCTACTCAGGTTTGTGTTCAGTCCTCCAGCAGATGTGAAAGAGAGGCTCGCAAGCGAGACTGCGGCGCTGGAAAAGGAGATGGTCAACCTTGAGAAGAAGCTCCACTACCTGGACACGACATACAAAAACAGCCAACAAGGCATCGAACAGCTTCTGCGATCAGGAGGTGGTTGAAATCGAGCTACGAGTGCAATGTTTATGAGTTTTACGATACGCCAACTTCCGAAGTCTAGGAGCGAAATCAAACATCAAAGAGACACTAATCACCGCGTCCGCGGCCAGGGGTTGAAGTAAAGGCTTCAGATAGGAATTATGCACCGATTTCACAGGTCTTCTAGGGGCTTTTTATTGACTAGCAGTGCCGCTATTGAATCACAGTCACTGTCGTCAATCTTTCCAATAGTCATCTGTATACACACTCTTTCCACTATCAAGGATGCTTCAACACGCTTTTGAAATCTGAGAAGATCAAAGCCGCCCATTTTGAACGAGCCATAATCTCACTGCACCACCACTTCAGGCAGCGGTATATGCAACTTCCTAGGCCAAATAAATCGACACCCCACAAGGCCGAATATAAGCATGCAAAACCCAGAGAACCTCAGATTCCTTCCCCCCTTTTAGTGTTCCAGAGGCCACAATCCTTTCTCCTTCCACCTCTGAACCTTCATCTTCGCTTTCTCCTCCGAAGCCGCCCACCACCACACGCAGCCCTTGACGTCTTTACGCCAATTGTTCCACATTTTTACCCTATCAAGCTTTCCCTTATACCCCTTCAGACTTTCAGCGGCCAGAAGAACAATCCTTTCCTGCAGAAATATGAAGTGCGGGTCGTCGTGTGTCACCCCCCTATATATGGAGTGGTCATTGGTAAAGGAACCCAGCCTGACCCACCTATGCTGTCGATCCATGATGCAGTCGGAGCTGGGCACCCAGGCTGCAAGTGAGCTCGACGGCGGAGTAAGGAGTGGGTAAGGAGGGTGCCGCATGAGATAGTCCCGAATGGTGAGATCGATTATGTCGGCTGGACTGAGCGCGGCGCAAGCCCCCAGGTAGAAAGTCTTGAAAGAACCTACGGTATCAAGAGGCCTGACCGCACCGGTGCCGTATCCGGCCCTGCTCAGCGTAGGGTTGACTGTCAGGTGGGAATGGGTATTTGGCGGAATGTTGAGTGATGGTAAAGCAGTTGGAAATAGCCTTTGGCCGTCATCAGGATAAGAACCTGAAGTATGTGAAAGATATGTCATGGATGTATCCTGATCTGCCAAGGTACGAGCATGACGTGGCAGAAGGTGTTTGTATAGGAAGCTGTAAACCTCGAGGAGGTCGAAGGTATCGAGCAATGGTGATGTGCACTGTAGGCCGAGAAAGGTTAAGATGTCGTAACGGAGATTACTGCCCATTGATGGATAAAGGTAGCCGAAGTGACACTGTGTCCATCGTACAATGTGCAAGATCCAGTAGTGAGTGACTGCGGCGTGAAAGCGCCCACGCTGCGCAGAGTCTAGTACTCTTGTGTAACCAAGGCGTTGAGAGGCATTTGATAACAGGTCCGCATCGGCAGGTTCTGGGTTCCGTGCTTGTACAGCATCTGAGCTGCGTAGAAGCTCATTGTCTTGGAGGTTGGGATCGAGGAAAGGTGCTGTTGGAGGGGTGAGCAGATAGAGACTTTGGAGGGTGCGAAGTCCCTTATAGCGAGCAACGATATCGTCTATTTGATCATCAGAGATTCCGTGGACAGCTTCCAGGATACTGTCGCGTAGCCGAAGCTCGTTGGCGTCTCGAAAGGTAGCTACGGCCAGGGGGGCGTCCCGAGTGATATAGATGCAGGGCTGAGTCGCAGACAAGCTATTCGGTAGATCCTTTTGTAGCGCTAGAAGCCTACACAGCTGAACATCGAAGCGATGAGTGTGTGAGGAGAGAATTACAGCTCGCATGATGGATAGGTAGAAACCACGAGTGTTTATGACTTGTTGGGCGCCAGGAAAGCTCTGAGATAAGTTGATCACATCGTCGATGCCCCCTAAGCGTGAGAAGACTTCGACAAGTAGTTCGTTTGGCAACCCGTTGAGAGACGCCATGACGATTTTTGGAGAGGCTCAACGAGGTTAGCAATGGCTCGAGGCAACCAATTGTCAAGTTGTCCACACTTGCGATACTGTCGACAAGCCTCCGGCGGCCGCACCTTGACGGGCGTGAGTGCTTTCCCTCGGAACCTCAGAAGAGCATAGAACTAGACAAGGTCATGTGTGTCTAGGTGTCTGTTCAGCTGTGAATGGAACATGTGATCAGGCTCAAATCAGGCTCGCGAATCAGTGAGATGTGAAATAAGAGCACCAGAAGAGCTTCAAGGTTACACTGACACCTAGCTGTGTGGAAACGCGCGAGCCGCTTATGTGCGCATTCAGCACAGGCTCCAGTTTCGAGTTCTCAGTTATCTGCGGTTAGTTGCCAGTCCCTCCTTCGAGGGCATATCTATTTAAATGGTGGCCTAATGTGAACCTTGGAAAAGGTCAAAGCGATCTGCGAGAAATGATTCGTTCGGGAAAGATCGGGCCGAAGGGCCTTGGCAGTGCGTGCTGCCCGCAGCGCGATTCATCGTCAAGCCTCCAACAACCTCACTGTATTTGAGGGTGTCTGGTCCACGACTTTCCTCTCATTACCCACCCACTGGAAAACCCACCTCGACCATGGCCGATCAGACCGCTTCCCAGCCGGCCGGCACCGACCCCAACGCCGAGGTCACTGATGATATCGACCGATCTATAGAAGCTGAGCTCAGGCCCAACGACACTCAAGCGGACCCTATGAACCTCGATGGCGCGAATGACATGGAACCTTCGACAAGCAATGGTACGGGTGTGGGTGCTGGGGCGCTCGAGGCGCGGATATCGGCAAAGAAAGATGCAACTCTGCGCGAGTTCTTGGGCAAGATGGACGACTATGCGCCTATCGTAAGAGTGCCCTGGTTCTTATATGACATAGGGTATACGGGCATTTGGCTGATCACTCTGCACATGTAGATCCCAGACGCTGTGACGAACTACTACCTAACGCTCGCTGGCTTGCCACCTCCACCCCAAACATCCCCGCATCTCGCCCGTCTTCTCGCGCTTGCGACTCAAAAATTCATTGCCGATATCGCCGCTGATGCCTACCAATTCTCCCGAATACGCGCATCGAATACGACAAGCAATAACCCCATGGGAGGCCTTGCTGGAGCGGTTGGGAGCGGTGCCGGACCTCAGGGCGCAGCTGCTGCTAGCGGCGCTGCCGGTGGTAAAGAGGGAGGACCTGCCGGTAAAGGTCTCAATCTCGGGGTCCAGAGGCCTGGGTATGGTGGTGGTGGCCAAGGTGGGAGTCAAGGGCGAACCGTCCTCTCCATGGAAGATCTGGGAATGGCAGTTGGAGAATATGGGGTCAACATTAAAAGAGGAGAGTTCTACCGGTAGTCATACCAGTATCGAAAGATCACCTATCGAAGCAACAGCTTGCGGGAGAGATCCGGCCGCGCAGGGACGGCTGGCCGGCGCATGGGGGTCGACAACTTGCTATCATTATTCACACTTTCTCGCATCCAAAAGAGCATTCGGGCCATGGAGACAAATCATCCAAAGCAATGGCAGGGCGAGTGACTTTGGGTAGGATCCCAACTTGGACTGAAAAATGCGCGCCGGTCGAGGGTGGCATACTGGCGTTGGGACTGCGTTTACTCTGGCGGACACGGATCTTGCGAGCAGGACAATCACGATGGCTTAGAGCGAGGTAGGCTTTATGGTGCAAAGTTGTACAATAGAAGTACAAGAAAGGCATATAACGCCGCCCAATGATACCCATTCTCCTATCCAATGACTGCCTTCACTTGTTCTTCGTTTGCTTGTAGGTGAACTTCTTCCTCGTCCTAGGCGCACATTAGCCATTGTGTAAGATGTGTCAGCTATCCATCGAGAACGCTGAGCACTCTAGATGAAGCTTGTCTTACGGAGAGAACTCTCCCAGCTTGCGCCCAACCATATCCTCCGTGATGGTTATGTCGTTGTAGATCTTCCCATTATGCACTTGAAACTTAAGGCCGACGAAGTTCGGTAGAATCGTCGCAGCGCGGGCCTGTGTTTTGATCGGAGGCACTTTTTCGCCGGGCTTCGGTCGTATGATTGGGAGACTGTATGGTCAATCTGTCAGGGTGGTGAAGATACAACGGGATGGAAGAGCGGGCGTACGGGACAATGTGCGGGCCTGTTCACATCATTAGCAGATGTTTGAGTTGAGGAGTCAGGCAGAGCATACCTTTCCAGACGGATCGCGCCCAGAGCGCTCGTGTGGGAAACATTGATGATAGACAACGGAGGTGAGATTGCAGCGAACCATGAATGAGGTTGCTCGAAAAAGCCGGGCACGTGCGGACGCCCCAAATTCACTTGGCAGCAGGCTGCAAAGCGCGTTTTGAGCCGCGTCTCGCGCTTCATCCCCATGAACGGTCCTTCTACAAGTTCTCGAGGAAGAGGCACCGCCGAGGAGGGGAAGCCACCCTGACTTTCATTTTGCTTGCGTTCTCACGTTTCCGGTACTGCCCGCACTGCCCAATATGCCTCCAGCTACTGGTAGGTGTTCCATCCCAAAAACACATGTATCCCACGCTGAGTATGATATCTAGGCGCGGATACCATCCGCATTCTTGTGGCGACGGACAGCCATGTAGGCTACAACGAACGCGATGCGGTTCGTGGAGATGACAGCTGGAAGAGCTTCCACGAAGTAATGTGCCTCGCAAAAGAGCAGGATGTAGATATGGTATTGCTGGCTGGAGACTTGTTCCATGATAACAAGCCCTCGCGGAAGTCTATGTATCAGGTCATGCGGTCTCTGCGGATGAACTGCTTCGGCGAGAAGCCGTGTGAGCTGGAAATGCTCAGCGATGCCAGCGAGAACTTTCAAGGGTAGTGTATTTCCACAGTCGCTCGCCGCTGTTGATACTGACATAGGATGATAGTGCATTCAATCATGTCAATTACGAAGATCCAGACATCAACGTAGCAATACCGGTCTTCTCAATACATGGCAACCATGACGATCCTACAGGAGTACGTTTACTCATCAACCTCTTGAGATGGAGTTAACTCACGTTATCTAGGAGGGCCATCTTGCTGCACTCGACCTCTTGCAGATATCTGGCTTGCTGAACTACTATGGAAGAACCCCTGAGTCAGATAGCATTGCTGTCAAACCCGTCCTGCTTCAAAAGGGGAGCACAAAGCTTGCTCTCTATGGAATGAGCAACGTGCGAGATGAGAGACTGTTCCGCACATTCCGGGACGGGAATGTAAAGTTCTTCCAACCTGGCACTCAGAAAGATGACTGGTTCAATCTCATGAGCGTGCATCAGAACCAGTAAGTCTAACATGTTATTGCCATACGCACTCGCTTATGTATTTGAAGCCATGCATATACCGAAACTGGTTACTTGCCAGAAAACTTCCTTCCGGAGTTTATGGATCTGGTAGTGTGGGGCCACGAACACGAATGCTTGATTGAGCCTCGATATAACCCAGAAATGGGTTTCCATGTCATGCAACCAGGCTCGTCGGTAGCTACCTCCCTTATGCCGGGCGAAGCGGTTCCAAAACAGGTTGCTATAGTCAGCATCACTGGCAAGGAGTTCAAGTGTGAACCAATCCGACTGAAGACAGTCCGTCCTTTCGTGATGAAAGAGATCGTTCTGTCCGAGGAGAGAGCGTTGAAGGACGTGTGGAGGAATGACAACAATCGAACTGTCATTACCCGGCATTTGATAGAGATTGTCGAAAAGTTAATTGCAGATGCAAAGACCGAGTGGCTCGCGTACCAAGATGAGGAGGAGGATGAAGAGATAGTAGCACCATTGCCGCTTATACGTCTGCGCGTGGAATACACAGCGCCTGAGGGAGGCCGATATGATTGCGAGAATCCTCAACGTTTTTCAAACCGATTCCAAGACAAAGTTGCGAATGTCAGCGACGTCATTCAGTTCTATCGCAAGAAAGCAACAGCTAGACGTATGTTTGGACCCAGATCTTATATGTAAACATCTGACATAATGCACAGGAACGGCCAATGCTAATGCGGAATTGCCCGAGGAATCCATTCTTGCTCAGTTATCGATTGACACAGTCAAGGTCGAGAAGCTGGTGCGCGAATTCCTCACCGCGCAGTCTCTTACCATCCTGCCTCAGAACTCCTTTGGAGATGCTGTCAGCCAATTTGTTGATAAAGACGATAAACATGCAATGGAGATGTTCGTGAATGAGAGCTTGGCGAATCAGGTCAAGCATTTACTCGAGTCAAACGACATCGAGGAGGATGAGATCGTCGATGAGTTGCAACGCCAAAAGTCAAAGCTAGAAGAGCTGTTCTCTGCTGGGCTTTTGAAGAAGACTGTAAGATTCCTATTGATGACTAGGGGCGGTAACTAACTATAGACGCAGAGGAAAGCTAAACTAAAGCCGAAGCCCGACACTTGGGACACCGACCTCGACGGGGACTGGGCGGATCAACCGGGAGCCCTCATCCACACGGACGGAGAGGCTGAAGATGACGAAGACAACGATACTGCCATCGCTCCTGCAAAGAAACCCGCTGCTCGCGGACGGGGCAAAACGGCTGTGACTACTCGCAAGACAGCTACGGCAGCACCTAAGAAAGCTCCAGCTCCTCGGGCTGGACGAGGCAAGAAGAAAGTTATCGAGGATGATGAAGTTGAAGAGGACGATGACGTGATCATGATTGATGAGGATGACGAAGAAGAGGATGAGGAGGACAGTCTCTTCGTGAAGCCTGCTAAAGCCCAGGCAAAGAAGCCTGTAGCTAAGACTACAACCAAAGCCGCTCCCAAAGCACCGGCGAAGAAGGCGCCCGCTCGCAGCTCGAGGCAGGCAACAATAGACTTCTCTCAGGCCGGGACACAGCGAAGCCAAACGAACGGCAGGAGTAAAAAAGCCGTAGAGCCGGTAAGTACAGCCGAAGACTTAAAATCTTCTCTTCTTTCTGGGACGTCCGGGCATACTAACAAGCAAGCAACAGAGCGACGATGAGATCTCCGATGACAACGACGCATTTGAGACGTTGCCGCCGACGAGGGGCACACGCAGCAGAAGATGAGGCGATGATTTCCGGCTCCTCGTGTGTACCTACCTCTTTCATAATGTGCTCTTCTCCCTTTTATGAGCGACTTGCATAGCGACTGGCGTTTATGCAGGTAGGACAGTAGTCGCTTGCTTTCTTCAATGTGAAAAGAATCTGAAATTTCCTCGTCACTTTCTCAATGTACACTCAATTCCGCCTGACTCTCCTTGGTGACACGCTCTTGGTAAGGCGCAGCATCTTTCCATAATTATGTGCATGCTCCTTTGCTATTGCTCGAAGCTTTTAAAACATCACGATTTGAACAGGGCGTAAGTTCTGTCAGAGCAGAGTGTAGGTGTGATATCATGTGCTTTTGATCAATGCGCCGCTTCCTTTGATCACTCCAAGCAGCTAAGTAGGGGCCTTACAATAATCAAGAATAGCACTGGAGCAGTGGATAGTGAATTGGGTTCTTAAATCATTGACCTGGTACCTAGTCCGGTCGCTGAATCTGCCACAACAACTATGTAACACGTCCAGGCATTGATGAGAAGGAGCGTAACACTGAAAATAATCCGGGAATACAAGATGCCATGCTTTTTCCATGGCAATTTCAGAAGGCCTCTAATGCCCACCGAAAGTCTAGGATCGAGGTCGCGTGTGTGCCCCTATCCGAATACGAGCCGCATTCATTTGACCTGCTGTGAGCTTGACGATCTCAGAAGCCTTGGTTATGCAAAAAGGGGCTCCAACATCGATGGCAGGTATGTTCCCCGTCTAATATACTTCTATCTTTTCGGTAACGATGTCAAAAGTCCTCCAGCCGGTCACGAATTGTCTGGCCCCAACCTCAATTACACCAGTCCTCGAATACCATTTCTCGTCCTAGGGAGCTAGTGCGTGTAACGCTTCAACATACTGATCGAAACCTAGAGCAACGATCTGCTCTTCTATTTGCGTGCACTCCTCTATCGTTGTTGAGGTGGCCTCGCGAGTTTAACAGTCGTCCATAATGCTGAACTTCCCCCTGATTCACAGATCTTAGGCACCACAAGCAGTTACAGGAAGGTGTACGGATATCTGTGAAGGAGACAAAATAATACCTAAGAAGTTTGCAACTCTACTTTCTGTCTATTCCGCGTTCCTTGGTGGTTACACGCGCTTGAACCTGCTTGGGTATCTGGAGAATTCACCTCCTTTAAGTCCATCCCCTCAACCTGGAACGCTCTGTACCTGGCTAAGCTACATCAGGAAGCGCCTATAGACCAAGAGCTGCCTCGCTCAACGTCATAGGCACCTGCTACTCCGTGGTGACCTCCTTAAAGCTTGCACCTGCCTCTCAACCGCGCTTCCACCGGCTCAACGCCAAAGAGGTGAAGATCGCGGACCAGCTCGGGGGCTCCTATTGGCTGACAGTAGCCCGACCTCTTCGCTTACAGAGCCAATTGAACGCCCCTGGTGAACTTTCGAGTGAATGGAGGAGGCACGTGCGAGCAGAGTGAAGCGAGAAGGCTCGCTCCTGCCCACTATAAGAACGTAGCCACCCCCAGACGATCGTTCCTACACCACCATCTCTCTCTCATCTTTCCTCATAGCATCAACATCTACTGGCAGGAGGGCCTGGAGGACAGCCATTACTCTCATCCATCTGCAGCTCATCTCTCCTCTTGACATCCACCAACTCATCCACAACAATCTTGCATCCAGCTCGATCACCGTCTTCTTTCCTTCATTGCTGCAACCAGCTTGGACTCTTGGATAGCAACACGCTCGCTCGACAACATCATTCGACAACCTTGTTGACAGGTAGGGCTGAGATCTTCCCCTCTCCCCAGCACCACTCCTCTGCCCACCCAGCGTTGCGTTTCTCGCGTTTGTTTCTTGACGTTGCTTGTCGGTGGGAGAGCTTCACATTCTAGTCTTCTTGATCATCCCAAGGACACCCGTGGTCCCTTGGTTGGTCGATTGACAATGTGGCAGATCTCTCCCCTCGCTCCGCCTTTCGTTCCTCGCGCACACGGTCATCACCTCGGCCGTCAAGAGAACGACTCTGCTCGCCAGCTGTTGGAAACAATATTGGAGACAGCGGAAGGAGAGATGCCTCAACAAGCGTACAAGGTCGAGGAACTGCTCGCCATGCGGGACTCGGTGTCGGAGTCGGCCGTGTCGATCGAGAAGTTCCCCAACGAGGACGCCATCAAAGGTGAGTTGTTGTCTCCCCGACAACCAGGGCGTCCTCGTCTCCCCGACAACATCCCACTGCCGCGGCTGCCCGGCGCCCGGCGCATGCTCCTATATCTTTCGTTTCCCCTCGAGCTTCCTTCCTCTTCCTTGTCGCTCGTCTCACCACGCCTTGCCGGCAGCTCGTAGCCACGCTTTCGCCTTGCGCAGAAACGTTGAAACACCCGCTAACCAGCAAATTAACTACAGAGCACGTCCTCCGCGGTTCTGCATCTGTCTCCTTCATCGGCAGTCGCTCCGACGGCAACAGCGCGCACCTGTCGACCGCAAGCAAGCCCGCCGCCATTGCCAACAACACCGCGGGAAAGAAGCCATCGCCCTCGCCCTCAGTCAAGCGCGGCAAAGCAGAGGCACTCCTCAAGGAGCACGGCAGTCCGCCCGGTCTCCGTGTCACGGCTGGTGGACGCATCGTTCCCAGCGACCTTCCTCCCCTCGGCGGACCGCGCTACCCGTACGGCAGCTTCAAGGGCCAGAGCTCGACTCAGCAGTTCTCTCCACCGCTCACCTTCCCGGCACAGCCTGCGACCGACTTCCTGAAGGGCCTTCCCTTCCCCAACGCGCTCGCCTACGACTCGTTTGGCCAGCCCTGTGTTTACACTAACGACCAGATCATTCCCTTGGCCGCCTTCGACACGTTCAACTCAGCACTCCGGACCGCGAACAATTGGATGTATCCCGTCATGACTCCTGCTAACGGTACCGTCAACCACGGTGGCAACGCCAACCATCTCACCGTGCCCGCCTTCGCCATGCCCGGCAGTCGCAACGGCTCCTCCACCAATCTCGGCATGGGCGCCCAGCCCGACTCGCTCCTCGAGCTCCCCCGTCTCAAGAAGGAGATGGCCACCAAGCAGGCTGAGCACCGCTACTTGGAGCAGACCCAGGTTCTCGAGCGGGATCTGCACACCGAGGATTGGAACAGTAATCTTGTCACCAAGAAGAAGCTTCTCGTCACTGAGATCGACCAGCTCCGACGACAGATCAAGGCCCTCGAGGCCAAGCCGATGCCTGCTATGAGCCCCAACCACCGCGGCGGCTTCAACCCGCAGTATCAGCAGCCGGCTCACTCGAACTACTCGCAGATCGCGCTCCCCGTCAACCACATGGGCGCGTCGCAGAACGGCATGTTCAACTCCGCGACCATGCTCTACCCCAACGGCTATGTCGCACCAGGCATGTCTACCGACCTGGTGCCATATTCTGTTCATGGTGCTGCTCTGCCCATCAACAATGACGCGACCAACCACGCGATTCAGATGCAAGAGTCCCCGAATCTGCCCAATTCCGCCACTCGTCGATCCCATGCTGTCGAGATCAAAGCTCCTCGCGATGGCTTCAAGCAGCCTGTCACTCAGGGTTCCAGCCTTGATCCGACGAGCCCGACTTACGAGCCAAAGGGCAACAATCAAGCCGGCAACAACGGAATGCATGCGCCATTCATCCCACCCACTCCTTCACCGATTCCGTCGCCAACCCCGCATGAGGGTGTCTCGTCCAAGCACGCCTGGCTGTTTGAGAACAAAGATTCTCCCGAGAAATCAGGAGCCACTCGCAACAACTCCCAGCGCACCGTCCGACACAAGAACAGCGTCTCGAGCGTTACCACTGCGGATTTCTTCCCCACAAATACGCACGAGCACTCGTCTACTAGGATGGCGCCCCTGACGTCTACCGAGAACTTGCAGGTATCCGTGACGAAGAACGCTGGCCCGACCACTCCTGAAAAGAACTGGCCAAATAGCCCATGGAACAGCGGTGCTGGCAGCCGTGGAGAGAAGCCCCGATCTGCTCTCTCAACCCAGGTCTCGCCTTTGACCAATCGTGTATCGTCCTTCAACCAAGACCTCATGTTACAGGTCTCGAATGCAGGTTCACAGCCCCCAAGCTACATGGGCACTCCCAATGCGTCTGTTCGCGCTTCCAAGGCCATGGTCCCAGGCCAACTCAGTGCTCCTGTTAACTGGCCCACCCCACTCAAGTCGAAGCGCGGGAAGCACATGTTGACTACCTATCAGGAAGGCTACCAGGCTGGTCTGATGCATAAAGGCCTTCCAGACGTTCTAGAAGTTATACAGGGGTACTCAGAAGGCCTCACAGAAGTTCTCCGGGAGCCGGTCGTTTTCCTTCGCGGAATGGCTGTGCGAAATGAAGGTAGCGACACCCAGGCCTCCAAGCGCTCGGCGAAAGAGAACACCGGCAGCGGCTTGACCCCACACGACTCAGCAGTAAGCTTGTCTTTCCCTTCCCAGCAACAGTTTGACCAGAATGCTCGCTCGCAGGAGAATGTTCGCATGGGACCGCCGAGCGCCCTGTTCAGCCCTAACAAGAACATCTGGGAGGATCAACAGCCTTTCAACAACCGTACCATGGAGTTCGTCAACAAGGTCATTGAGTTTCAGAAGGTTGCAGAGCAGTCTCCGGGTCCCAATACTTCCGCCGCATTCTGCCAGAACGTCATCGAGCTCCAGAAGCTGCATCGGCGTGAATCAGAGCGCGAGGCGCGTCTTGGACTGTCGCCTGTGACGAACGGCAGTGATTCACTCGCCGAATCGCAGTACGGCAATGGTCACTCGATGGCGCTGCAGCGTTCTCCCGCCGAGAACACGAATCATCACTCGCTTCCACGTGGATTCCAGATGGGCGCGTTCAACAAAACTGGCTCCTCTACCGGCCCTCAGCGTGTCTACCCGGGCCACTACGACTACGTTCCGCCAACTCCAGGCCACAACCCCGTTGGCACCATTGGCGCTGGTCGTAGCAAGGACCAACGTGTTTCTGGTCTCGACGGAGCTATGGACGAGCTCGCTGAGATGATTGAGCCGGTCACGATCACGAGTGTCGACAATGACAGTGCTGAGGCCTCCTGCTTCAGGTCCTCTTCCAATAAGGCTGGCAAGCGGAAGTCTTCCTCTCCAACCAAGGGTCCTGCTTCTTCCAACAAGGCCAGCAGGCAGTCTCCCGCCAAGGCCGGTCTTGAGAATGCCTTGAACCGGGTCCGCTCCCACAAGCAGGAGGACACCAAGGAGGAGAAGGCCAAGTGGCGCGAGGACTGGCGCAAGCGCTTCCGCCAGATCAAGGCCAAGGAGGCCGAGGAGATCGAGCAATACAAGAAAGCTAATCCGCTCTCGAACTAAGCATCAACGGCACGGGATGACTGCTTGCGGAACAAAAGTCTTACCTTACATCGCTTCTCGCAACCTTTTCATCTCGACGTCGACGACGCACCTTTGGATGCTGGCGTAGCCATTGCCTCTGGAAATTCTCTTTTGGGACTGCGGCGTACAAGTCATTCTGCATATCCGTTTCACTTGGAATGGACAGGAGTTTGATCGACACGACGACTATTCTGTTTCACGGCACAACGACTATTCTGTCTTCGGACGACTCTCTACGTGATGGGACAACATGTTCTATTCGAGTATATCTTATTTGACGGACCACTCTCTGCAAGGACCTTTTGGAACGGCTATCCTCTTCTGTGATGGACATTTGCAATGGTCATGCTATCGGCGGCGGACACTCGGAGCGACCGTCCTCTTCTGCGATGGACTTTCTGGATTGTCTACCCTCGACGATGGGTTTCGTCATGGAGTTTTGCTTATGGTTTCACCCTGCTTTCACACTTCCCTAATGCTCCTTTCCCAACCCCATCACCCTGCTTTCACAAAATCATCACAGTGCTTTCATCTTGCTTTCACACCCCATCACACAGTCCCCAGCTTTGATTTCCCTTTAAAAACCCACAAAACCATACTTCAAAAGTTGCACAATCTGTACAGTCCTAGAGCAATAGGGCTTTTCTCTTCTATGATTCTTCTCGGCGGGCATGTACCTAGGTACCAGATTCAATGGGAAGTTCAAATATGTATTAAACCGAGGCCCCTATGTCGTGATGTCGTCGTGATGTGTTGAAGTGAAGCAAGGAACGACTGACGTCTCTAACCATGGCGCCGATCTTGGAGCGAGCAAATAGCAGCTCGCCAAGATGCGGCAGCAAAGCTGGCAGCGGAGCCATGGCACCAAGGCGAGATAGGTATCGTGCTTCCGCAGCTGAAGGTCGCTACTACAAAGGTACAGTTAGTCGACCAATGGCGCAGGTCTCGAATTCACGGTAGAAGATGCAGCAGATATTGCAGGCATGGGCGGTCCAGAGCGGACGCGTTGCCTGCAGCGTCCCGCCCCCAGTTGGGCAGTTTTGAGCGGAAACATATCAGCATCGGGGTGTGGATTATTATCGTGTGCAATTGCGTGCCCGGGGGTTTTGCGTAGCTGATTGGAAATCAGCGGAGGTAGCCATCCCGCTCGTCAGGGCGTGGGATGCTTTGTGCGAGGCGCAGCAGAGGCTCCAGACGCCCCGGCCGGCGAGACAGAGCCAGCTGCTATTCACATCAGGCAGGTCGTGTGAGGGGCCAGAAGAGGGCGCTGCAGGTGGCCACGGCGGGCAATTGGTGCGCAGCCGCAGTGTGGCATGGCGAGCATGAGCAGATGCTACGGCCACTGTCAAACCTGCTGTTGTATGCCGGCGCTGTGCCTGTAGAACTGGCCCGTCGTGGCACGGTGCTGGTTCCCCACCAAAGGACGCCCGTGTACGCTGCTCCCCAGCCGGTGCTCAGCAATCACCACCGCTCGCATTCCTGACCTGAGCGCCGCGACATACTTCGACTGCCACCCCATTCTTCTTACTCGTCCTCTCCCGCACCTCGACATCCTCGCCCGACCACCCTGCTTCCAGCCGGCGAGCCCCCGCAAACCCACTGAGAGGGGACATGGCTATCTGACCAGGGCTCCTAACCACCAGCCTGATCACCACCACCGCCTTCTCACTGCAACCCGCGAGCCTTCGCCTGAGCCGCTCCTCGAATGCACCGCACGCCGTAGCCCGCCTCCATGACACAACTCTTCAGCTCCGCCTCGGGGCACTCGACGCTGCCGCCCGAGAAACAGCGCTCCTTCTCCGGCCTCCCTTTATCTTCCAACAAGGCCGTCAATGGCTCCAACAGCCAAGTCTCCCAGAAAATAAAAAACTTCTTCCGCATCAACAGCCTGGGCAACAATGACAACAAGGAGCGGAAGCAGTCCGACGATGGCGTGCCTCCGCCCAACAAGTCCGAGTCCAAGTCGTTCCGCCAGTCGAGATTCTTGCCACACATCAATCGGAATCGATCCACCACTGTAGCTAGTGAAGGCAATCCTCTCGATGAGGGCCTGTCGCCCACCGCTCATTCCAATCCATACTTCATTCACCAGGGGCCGCCACCCCTGCGCCATCACAATGAGGGCAGCGTGCCCCCATCTCCGCCAGACACGCCGCGGATTACCACAACCAAGGTTGACGGCGTCAGTGGAGCCAATGACCAAGCCACAACAGCCGGCAAGGAAGAACTCGCTCGGAAACTGCGTCGCGTGGCATCTGCCCCCAACGCCCAAGGCCTGTTCAGTAGCAGCAAAAACGACGGCCGGCCTCAGACCGCAGAGCTCGGGAAGGAGCCTCTGGTACAACATGCCAATTCATCGACATTAAGCATGGTCGAAACCCTGACGGATAATGGACACCTCATGCCAGTCGTTCCTCAAAATGGCATCCCGTCGCCTGGACAGATCCGAAATGCCGTAGCATTCAGGAGAACGTACAGCTCCAATTCGATAAAGGTGCGGAATGTGGAGGTTGGGCCCGCCAGTTTTGATAAGATCAAGTTGATTGGCAAGGGAGACGTTGGGAAGGTCTATCTCGTTCGAGAAAAGAAGTCCAGCAGATTATATGCTATGAAAGGTGGGATCCTGCTTCCCAACTAAGGCACCAATACTAACCATATATAGTTTTAAGCAAGAAGGAAATGATCAAGCGGAACAAGATCAAGCGCGCTCTTGCAGAGCAAGAGATTCTTGCAACCAGCAATCATCCGTTCATCGTTACTCTATATCACTCCTTCCAGTCCGAGGACCATCTATACCTGTGCATGGAATACTGCAGCGGAGGAGAATTTTTCAGAGGTATGCATTTCAACGAGACAGAAAGGTTCTATGCTAACAGATCTAGCTCTTCAAACTCGACCGAACAAGTGCGTGGACGAAGATGCTGCGAGATTCTACGCTGCCGAGGTCACAGCCGCTCTAGAATATCTCCATCTCATGGGTTTCATTTACCGTGATCTGAAACCAGAAAGTGAGCAACTCATATCGTTACTTACGTCCATTACTAATTCTTCCAGACATTCTCCTGCATCAGTCAGGTCACATCATGTTGTCAGATTTCGATCTCTCGAAACAGTCAGACCCAGGAGGGAGGCCCACAATGATTGTCAATGGCCGAAACGGAACCTCATCAAGTAACCTACCTACGATCGACACGAAGTCGTGTATAGCGAACTTCAGGACGAATTCGTTTGTGGGAACCGAGGAATACATCGCGCCGGAGGTCATCAAGGGCTGCGGACACACAAGTGCGGTGGATTGGTGGACGCTGGGTATATTGGTCTACGAGATGTTGTATGGTACGACGCCATTCAAGGGTAAAAATCGGAACGCAACATTCGCGAACATTCTCAGAGATGACGTGCCTTTCCCAGAAGGCTCTGGAGCTCCGTCTGTCTCAAAGTAAGTCTATCCCGCGCTCTTTGTCGAGCCTTGAACTCGAACTAATCTTTCAAAGTCTTTGCAAATCCCTCGTCCGCAAACTCTTGATAAAGGACGAGCTTCGCCGCCTCGGATCGCGTGCCGGCGCCTCAGACGTAAAAACGCACCCCTTCTTCCGCACAACGCAGTGGGCGCTACTACGACATACGAAGCCCCCCATGATTCCACACCAAGGACGCGGCATTGATACTGTCAACTTCCGCAACGTGAAGGAGAGCCAGAGTGTAGATATAAGCGCAGCGAGAGCCAAAGGCGTGCCGTTAGATTCCGGTCTCTCGACACCAGGCGCTGAGATTGCAGATCCGTTTGAAGACTTCAACAGCGTGACATTACACCACGACGGCGACGATCAGAACCAGCAACAGCTTCAGCAAGAGGACTACGGGCAGAGTAACAGGAGGTAGGCGTAGCTAATGAGGTTGGCACGCGCAAAAGGTGTTAGGGGATGTTGAACAGAAAAAGAACTGTGTTATACCTTTATCTCTTTATCTGACGCTCTACTCGGACTTATCATAGCATGTGCCCGAGACTTTTAGGAGCCATTAGCGTGTTGGCTTTCCTTGAACTCACTCACTCCTTCGTAGAGCAGGGTCAGGCAGGCGGTGACGGCGGAGAACTTGTTTTGTGCATCTCGTTTTTTATCCTTCTCATCCTCCTGTCTGGGGCATTGTTCGACTGGCATGGGGCTTCTCTACTGACTTGCTCTCTCTCTCTCTCTTTCTCTTCATCGAATCAGCATTTGTTTAATCATCCACGAGGAGGAAGAGCGTGTTATTTTTTTCCATTTGGGGGGCTTTTAGCATCGTGGCGCTGAAACCTCGTTCACGTACGCTTTTTTGCTTCTTTTTGCGAGTCACTTTCTCATTTACTTGTGGATATGTTTCAGGCGTTTTCCAGTGCTGGGGCTTGGGAGTAAGCGGGTTCTTTTGCGGGAATTTTTTTTTTCTCTGGTAGTTATAAAGTGCGAAAGTAGCGGATTAAAGCGGTTTTTTTTTACTATTTGAGAAGTTGTGTTGTGTGGTGTGGAAGTTTTGTCCGGTGATTGAAGTGAGCCGTGGTTAGTGTTGGGCAGCCACTTTCCAAGAACTCGAAATTGAGGATCTCCTCAAGTTGACACGAAACACGATTTCTACCTGGTAAGTTTGCCTTTCCAAGAATTCGAGATTGAAATCTCTTCAAATTGACACGAACACGATTTCTACCTGCTACGTTTGCCTTATCAAAAGCTTTTTGAGGAGATCATGGCTTCGAGCTCGGAGGACACTATGGGTGTGCTCGACGTACCCGATCTTGTTTACGATGAAACCGACTCCGACGATGAGGACGACGACGATGAGCACACCGACTCGGAAAACTCGTCCGACACAGACTCCTCTGATGACGACTCCGACGACGACGGCGACGGCGACGTTCAAGACACGAGTCCAGTCTAGTCTCGGGCTTTTCAAATGTCGTTCTGACCAATGCTGACGCTCGAGGGCGAGGAGTTCATTGAGATGTTGGAACGGTTGGCGGAGGCGCGGAGGGTGCGGGAGGCGGCGTGGGAAGCTGAGCACGTGGAGCGGACGGGCGGGGAGGAGGCGGAGGGGGAAAGGGGGGGCGGGGATGAGAAGAAGGAGGAGGAGGAGGAGGTGGAGGAGGAGAAGCCTGATTGGCCCAACAAAATAGGCTGCTCCAGTGACAATCTCTCCTTTACTTTCTTCGCAATCGATGAGGACAGAGGATCTATTGAATAGTACGATACTAATATCATGGGATGCTTCAAATACTTAAACGAAGTTTGCCCCAAAGCTGGATGGGCGAGCAAAATGATTGCGATTATGATACAAATATACCCCGAACAACAATACAATGCCTGAGCATCTGAGAGCTGGCGTACGTTCTTCCGGTTCGACCATATTCTCCAAGGAAAGAGGCCACGAGGGGCTTCGGAGACGCTCTCACTGCGAATGCTTGATGCTTCCAAGCGTGGTCAAATGCGTAGGAAAAGTGAGACTGATTTACTAGCCGTTGCTCGGAGACTGTACAATGCGCCGGACCTGCAATTCCGGGTCCCTGGCCAGCGGAATGGCGTGCTTCCCATTATGGGGCCTCAGCCAGCCGAGCAGGTGGTTCTGGTAATAGGAACCGGCTCCGGTAAGACTTTGGTCGTCATGATTGGGGCCCAAGTAAATCTCCAATTGCGTCGTCCACTCCGAAGTACGCAGCTAAGCGCAGGCCAGTTATTTGCTTCTATAAGTAACTAGGAAACACCGCACTCTAAGGAAAATTTCTACTTCTTAGGCAAATCCAAAGTAAGGTTCCAGAATGTTGGTCGTTATATAATTGCAATCTCTTGTGGCTCAACCTCGTCACGCCACTTTGTGAGAGCACTGCGTCTCTGGGCTGCGTCGCTGGAATTCAAATACCAGTGAAATGTGGCTAGTCCGACACGCTGAAAGCAGTCGCCGGATGGAAGAAGGAATAATCCGGTAGAGGTAAATTCTGAATGATACCACCCTTGTTTTGTATAAAACTCCAAATATTGTACTCGTATAAAGTCGATGCCGTTTTCTTGCTCTACTAAGGAATCGAGTTCGATCTCAGTAATGTCCCAGCTTATATCGACGCACACAGGTTCCCCTTCAGGCATAAAAGAATCCTCGACAGTCTCGGAACTCCCCACAGTGTCTTCGCTAATACGAACTTCGTGTACTTTGTCCGGGAAATATTTTTGAGGTTTTAGACGTCCTCTGACGACAAGTTAGCCGGATTCAACAGCACCGAATAGTAAGTTAGAGAATTTCAGCTGTGTCTCGCACTTCAATACCTCAACTTGGAAATCCCCCCCGGTGTCATGATTGGTCGAACAAGAAACACAATCAGCTAAAGCCCATGACCACGTTGGTGCTATACATACAATTGCCGTTTCTTTTCAGGCATACCGCCAGACCCAGACGGACCCCTCCAGAGTAGTCCTTCAGGCATTGAGCCCCACCATATACCGGCTAGGTAACGATCTCTAAGGATCTTTCCTGTCTCCTCGGCGATTGCTGCAACAGCGACAAGTCTATCCCCAGGCACGGCAACTTTTCGTCTACTGTATTCATTCACTAGCTCATACCACTCTTTCAATTCTTTTGGTACGCTATCGATTGTCCGGCCCGAGTTCACTTTACCTCCGTCCATATATTGGCTGCGTGGGTACGAAGACTTACAAACCCATAATAAAGCCTGTGGTCCGTATCGTAAAATCCGAGGAGAAAGCAACTTTTCCTGGAGCGTCCAACCCCTCTCTTCTATTGGTTCTGGTCTTATGTTCAAGACTAAGCCGTAGAGAATAATAGATTCAAGTTCACCATTAGGGTAAATGTAGCCGATTTTAAAGATTTCATCAGGCCGGAGAAGTAAATCGCCTAAATCTCTTTCTCCTAGGAACCCAATATGGCTTCCCCATGCTCGCGATGCCAAAATAGTTATACAAGCCTGGCTATATATCTGTGGCATAGAGGAGATAATTTGAGCACAATCGATAGGATCATCTTGAAGAATGCATAAAGCATCAACCCAAAGGTAACGTATCCGCAATTCTCGACAAGTGCGAACAGCATCCTATAGCGTCCTTGGAAGATCTTTATATTCAACATTTGGTTCTAGACGTTGGATATTCCGGGCCAAGGCGGTCAGGCCTGGTACTGGTCCCGAGCAATAGCTTAACGCCATGTAAGGAGCTACTTGTAAGCCCGATGTTTCCACAACCTTCAGCGTTTCTGGGAGCTGTTCTGTTCCTACGTCCAGTACTCTGGAGGGCATCTGAAGCGGTTGAAACCCTGGGCAGGCGCCGTGGGGATTTTGGCACTCAGCCATCCAACCGCGTGCCAACCTGAATGTTTCCTCCGAATCGGGGGAGGTATTGAAGGGGCGCTTCTTGATGTATCTGGATGCAGGATTGTCTAGCGAGGTTTTAGTTGGTTCTATGCCTTTAGGTGATAAATAGACGCATATCATCGTTAACAGGTAAGACCTTACCTTTGGCTGCATAAACACTTAGATGTTTTGATCCACTCGAGTATTTAAAGCGACCCTGGCCCCTAAGCTCTCCTGGGGCTACAAAGCTAGTTGATATACTATTGTAATAGTCGCCTCCGTACTCCCCGATACTTAAACACAGCTTCAAGTACCAATCATCTTCAGGCTCGATGTAGCCTGGGGGCCGACTCAGAGCAAGAGCTCGGGTAGGTGTTATACTACCCCAAAGTGCACACTTTCTAACCCCCACTGTTCACGTGACCCTATGCCGGTGTGGCTGAGTTCGGCCCAGGCCTGGCTTAGCTTCGGCTCAGCGGCGCAGTCTTAGATGTACTCACTAGAAATTGTCAAGTTCGAGCAAGGGGCCTCAAATCTATCCTAGGTCACGAATTTGGGCCCCATTGTTATGATACTACGCCAAAAGAACAGAACAACTGCAGGCAAATAAAGGGCTACATATACCCCACATGTGTCACGGTATCGACCCATGACACCCTCCCACTAAAGCCCTATCACAATTTGCGGCAAAACTCAGCATCTTACTGCACCACAACTTGCGGCAAAGCTCCGGCATTTTTGCTGCACCACAATTTGCAGCAAAATGTCAACCTCTATTTTTGTCACCTAACTCCGCAAGACCTCGCGCTATGCGCACGTCCCTCGCCCATTTACCTTCGCGTTCCCTGCCCTTGTCTTCCCGCCCCTTACACAACGTCTTAATTCTTCACCTAGTACTGTACTTAGCACCTAATCAACGCTCCCCCTTAAGCCCTTAAACCCCCTGCTTGTAGCACTATCGTGACAGCTACCTCCTATTAGTGTGGGGTGAAAGTTCTTATATAGATCCGCAAAGAGCATGCGGCCGAGCCCGTAATAGGCGCCAGAAGTAGTCTAATCGGCATGACGGGTCTGGAGAACGTCCTCGTAGTAAGATGCCGCCATCTTAAGGCTATGCCTGTCTCAAGACCATAGCCGTCTTAAGAATCTGCCGTCTTAAGAACCTGCTATCGTAAGAACCTACCGTCGTAAGAGCCTACCGTCTTAAGAACCTTAAGACTAACTTACCTAGCTCATAGCCTATTTGTGCTCGGAATAGAAGTGGCCTAAAAACGGTCCCCTCTGGCTCTGGCTACTACGCTGGCGTTACCACTTCCCTAACAAATCTGACGCGCCAGCAACCATGGGGCCTATTCTAACCCCCTTTAAACACTAGCGCTTACCGGCGTCATGGGTCCTGTTCTGGCTCCCCTCTGGACATCGAAGACTCTTTCAAGGAGTTAAATTAGCAAATACGGCTAAAGGTGGGGCCATAGGCAACAAACTAAACGTGCAACATGTACATTTCCTCGTGCGATCCCCGTCTTCGTGCGATCCTCATCCTCGTACAATCTCCTCCCACAAATGCTAGATCATTAGCGGGCGCAGAGAATGGACTTATATTATGATCTAGTTTTTAGATTATAGGTCCAAATCTAGTCGCCGTCAACGTTAAAATTACAGGGCTCTAGAAGCTGCACAGTTCTAAAAGTAAGACGGTATCCGGCGGCCGGAAGCGGCGATGGTAGGATATGTTTAAGCTCTATACAATGACAGCTCGTCGGCAGAGCGTTGGGGCCTTGGCGCAGGTGTACGCCTGAGATTGCTAGGCCCGTAAGCGTGAGTAGGACGAGCTGGAGTGGGATATTGGTTTGTTGTTGACGGTATTATCGACTTTCTAAGGGCGGGAGGGCGGTTAGGCTTTCCTAAGGCAGTCTAGCTGTTGCAGTCGCGGATTGCAATCGCTGCGTACGAAGGTTGACAGGTAATCGCAGTCGCTAAGTTGATGTTGAGCTGAGTGAGGCTCACGGAGAGGGGAGTTGGTGTCGAGGACTCCTAGGACGGTGTCATTGCGGAAGTTGGCATGGATAGCCTGGTGATGGAGGATTCATCTTCGAGCAAGACGACTTGTTGAGCTACCAAATGGTGAGATGGTCAGTAATTTAAGTGAAAATCCAAAGCGCGGCGGGGTGCAGAAAGGGCAGGAGGGTTCGGGACTAGTTAAGTTAATTAACGTAGTATGAGTGCAAGTGGCCATTGAGAGCATGTGGCCACCCACCAAAATCGCGCGACGCGTTACACAACAACAACCTCAATGGCCTCCCCACAACAGCAAGAGCCCCTTTCTCAAGAGGCTAGACTTGTTCTAGCTATCAATAGCTTCAAACAAGGCCAATTTAAAGCCCTCTAACCTGCCACAACAACGTACAATGTGCCCCGAACAACCGCCAGGCGCCGCATCGCCGGCATTGCACCAAAACGCGGTTTTGTCGCGCCAAATCGCCGTCTCACACCAGCACAAGAAGAGAGCCTCAAGCAGTGGATTCTATCAATGGATAAACGCGGCATGCCACCTGGAGTACGCACTGTAGGACAGATGGCCAGCATTCTTGCTACCCAGCACCCTGGATCACGACCGGTCAACAAGGAATAGGCATATAACTTTGTTAAGAGTCACGACAACCTAAAATCTAAATGGAATCGCAAATAATGGTTAATTGGTGTTAGTAAGAATAGCTGGATAACAAATAAGATTAGCCTTACCTGGCTAAATCTATTCTATAAGCATACAAAAGATCGCACAGTTGGCACGCATCGGATGCTTATTCTGGACGGCCACAACAGCTATGTTGCCCCCGAATTTGATCAGTTCTGCCTAGAACACAATATTATTGTTGTCTGCATGCCTGCACATTCAATACATCTGCTGCAGCCGCTTGATATTAGTTGTTTCTCTGTGCTGAAGCGGGCCTACGGACGGCTTGTTGAGCAGATTATATGCTGCTTGAAAGCGAAGTTAAGAAGCTGCGCATGGAGAATTAACGCTAAAAACAAAAAAAGGCAAGGAAGCGCACGTATATAGCTAGAGGGGGTGTTTTATCAGGGGCAGAAGCAGCCGTTTGTGCATAAGGTGCACAGGAAGGGGCTGCAGAGGGGGCAGCAGAGGCAGCACCCGAGCAACAGCAACGAGTAAAACCGAAGTGCAGCATGTGCGAATCAACAGAATATAATGTACGTACGTGCCCTAGGCGGCAGGCAAGCAGATAGTAGATAGCCACATCAAATAGAATTGCTGGTGGTTAAGCAATTCGCATTATTTGGCCTCGGTCGCTTGGTGGGGTGGCCACATGCTCTCAATGGCCACATGCTCTCAATGGCCACTTGCACTCATATTACGTTAGCCCCGTGCACCTTAGTCAGCCAGCCGGCTCGTCCATCCTACTGACCCGTGTCTTCAATCACTCGCCGTGGCTGTCGTCCAATTTCTCGCCTGTAGGGCGTAACTTAGTCCATGGCTTGCGGGATGTGAGTCGCGGCTGCGATTTTTCCCGTCGATGCTGGCCTGTCACATTCTGTTTTGGCTCATTCGCTGACTCGTGGCCAGGCTCACTCAACCGACCCTCCCTGCTCCCTGCTCCCTTAAAATGGTCGGCATCGTAGGCAGGTCAAAGTGGAGCCCTCGCGGCGAGGCGGGCTTACAGCCAGATATCCGGTATTTCGACGTCTTGAATTTCCTTGGTCAGCGCACCACTTGTACTGAGGACATAATCCACGCCCGCATGCGCATGGTTCTTAATCTCCTCCACGATTCTGACGCGCCAGCGTCATGGGTCCCGTTCTGGCTCCCTCTGGAGTCTGGACGCTGGAGCTCACCTTGCGCTAGGCTCTTTCCTTAGAAGCCTTGAAAAAGCCTAACCTATTGACTCAGGTTGCAGCACTACAACCTAGGATCAACAACTCATATGCCAGAAAGCTACTCTCCGAACATCAGCTGTAGAGAACCCAGCTGAAATCTCAGCTGTAGAGAACCGAGCTGAAGCCTCAGCTGTGCAGGGCTCATCTGAACTTACTAGCGCGCCACCCTGGGGGTGGCCCCCTTCCTTCCCCTAGTATATATACAACTAGCTAGACGTCTATAGAAATCAGAGTTCACATCAATTTCAACCTGAGTCTTCGACTTTGACTATGCAAGTATTCGTATTGACTGCTCTGGAGACATGGCTGCGAATACTGGACTATCAGCGGGTGCACCCAACCTCTGCTATATAACATAAGGGCTAGAAGTTAATTCTGTATCCTGGATAGAGGCGGCGGCATGCGTAGAGAATGGACTTGTATTATGATCTGGTTTTCAGATTACGGTTCCAAATCTGGTCCCTGCCAACGTCAAAAATTCCAGGTCCTTGAAAAGGCGCCCAGCCCTCACAGTTCTAAAGGAAAACTCACTGGAAATGGTACAGGGCACGCTAACTCAGGGCTCGGAGACAGATACTGGCTCTATGTTCTATTCTAGGGCTTTCTCCTTGTCCTGGATGTGGGCCACATACGCCAAGACCTGCCAAGGCAATGAGGTCCCATTTTCGGGCACCTGCGAGTTCGGCTGGCCTCTTCGAGTTCGGCTAGCCTCTTTGAAGTCGGCTGGCCATTTAAATTGTCTGCCAATAGCACAGTCCCGGCATCCCGTAAGCGTGCTAAAGACTCTAACGTAATTGACAAGCATGTGGCCACTACTCTTGTATATTTAACAATCTCTATAGTACCGCTCTTGAGTAACCCGAAGTATGATATTCATGCATACAAAATGTGCTCAAGAACAATGAAAGAAGGCAGCCGTAAAAGGTTATGATGGTGAGTCCCAGGTTCCAGCCCTCAGTCCCTTTGCATCAAGTTTCAAGAATATCAAAGAAATTCTATCTACACTGCATTTCTTGCGGAGGTAATCAGCGGCCGTCGAACGATAGCGAACGCCGAAGTAGGGAGAAGATTGTGGAATAAAGTGCTTCAACCGTTGTCAGTAAGGGTATCTAAGACGCCGCCTCGATATGGGAATTTGTGACTTCTCCTCCCTTAACAGCAATTGTTTTGGAGTATGACGGAGTCAGTCACACCGTCTTCGCAACCAGAGTGCAGTGTGAAGGGCCAAACAGTTCTACAAGGCATCCTTCTCGAATACCTTGCCAGCTGTGTTACTGTGTAGGTCCTAGTCGAGCTACGTTACAATGAGGTGCTAATGAGTGGCTATCTAGTTGGAGGTTCCAATCATTGTGATACCGCTGGAAGTGTCATACTCTTAGTCTTTCATCCCGCCTTCTAACCATTGCGTCAGTGTTATCGCAAACAAACAAGTCCCATCTTCGAGCTCAGCAACGACCTTAAAAGTCCACGTTCCCGTCCGTATAAACATACCCGGAAGTTGGCAGTCGGTTAGGATATCGTTGTGGCCGCTGCTGCTCAGATGCTCCACGTACGCGCCCGTGGAATTGCGGATTGAGAGTTGACCCGCGAGGCTAAATCCTGTGGTGCGGAGGGGCACAGTGTAGCTCGTTTCGTCCTCATGCTCACCATTCGATAGGATGGCGGAAAGGGTTATGGTGAGGGTCGCGCTGGTGAGCAGCTTGTCAAGATGGGCCGGGTCCTTGTTCTTGGATGGAGGGATCTCGCCCCGGAGGAGCTGGAAGAAGATTCGGTCGCTTTAACGAGTCTATTAGTTGTAACCTACTTATTTCGATCATGGTCCAGCATGGGTTGAGAAGAAAAGAAAGACGTTATCGACTTACGTGGGAACGGGCGATGGAGTAATCTCGAGAAATTCAATCTCAAACAGTTGCGAGGCCTTGGGAACTGGACCGTAAGTAGCATTATTGTGGCCGGGAACTTTGAGCGCGCCCTCTGGTGCAGTCATGTCTTCGACCTGGGCTATAACTTAGGCTTCTGGTGGGTGATTGAGCTTAAGGGGGTAGCGGCAGCGAAGACAGCCGGGATGGCGCAAAGAGCAAGTGTTTGTACGAGAGCTGGCTTCATTGAGAGTTGGCCAGATGTCCAGTCTGTGCGATGTGAATTGAAAGCTATGAGCTGAGGTGTGATAAATTTTTGGATGTCAAAGTCGATGGCGTTGGAATGAGTGAATCAAGTTGCCACGTACTCAAGATGGCTAGTAGCGCTTGGTAGTTACATAGCCACAGATTGTTTCAGGTTTGCTATGCTGGGAATGAAGGCAAGCTAATATACCGCCCTTCCATAGGGTCACGTTATATCCTGACGCTCAGCGGGTCGGACGTCGGCCCGAAGGCTTAGCGCGTGCCTCAACACCACGCGCATCCGATCCTCCTTCTCTCACTGTATTTACCTTCTTATAATCTCAATACATGGATTCATCCTACCTCCTTTGAGCCCTTGCACCCCCAATGTTGTAACCAAGCCTCCAACGTGGTAAAGCAACCCCCCAACACTTCTCACTTTCGCCGCAGCCGCATCATTCACATCCTGAACCTCCCGTCTCCGCGCCTCCCCCAGCCACATCCAGCAGCATCAACGTCGCCCCAGCATCGCCTCTAACGTTGTAAAGAATCCCCCAACACCTTTCACCTTTGCCGCACTCGCATCACTCGCATCCTTCCCGATCACTCCACGTCCTGAAACTCCCATCTCCGCGCCTCCCCCAGCCACATCCGGCGGCATCACCTCCAACGTCGCCTCAATATTGCCTCCAACGCCGCTCCAGCATCGCCCCTAATGTTGTAAAGAATCCACCAACACCTTTTACTCTCGCCGCACCCACATCATTCGCATTCTTCCCTGTCCCTCCGCGTCCTGAAACTCCCACCTCCGCCCCTCTCCCAGCCACATCCAGCAGCATCAACTTCGCCCCAGTATGGTCTCCAGCGTCACCTCCGCATCGTCTCCAACGTCGCCCCAGCATCAACCCTATGACTGCTCTCCTCACTCAACGGACTCGGTTTCTGTCCCCCGGTTACCCCCCACCCCCCCTCCCCTGCCGCCACTCTCCTATTACCCTGCCCCCTCGTAGCTGCTGCACTCACACTTCGCCTCTTCCTACGCTCCCTCACCAAGGCTCCCTCTTGTCCCTGCCTTTTAACCACCGCACTAGCAAGCTGCTGCTCCCGTTTCAAAATCCTCCACTACCATCCTCAGCCCAATATTAGGTCCTTGGCTTTGCCTGTTTCGTGATAGCATTGTCTATTTTTGAGAGCATCAGACTATTCTTGACATTGCAACACTGAAGCTGAGACAGAACGCCCCAAACCCAGTATGAAAGTCTCGTTTGTGCTAACCTGACTTCCCTCCCATTATACTGCGCCCTGAGATTACATTCAGCTAAGAAACATCATCCTCGATCCATTTAACAGAGTGGATATGGGGCGCGAACCCTGCCGAATAATCCTATAGAGACATGCCAACTATGAGTAATTATAGAAGTCTTCATGATTTTGCTCTTTAATTATCCCTTTACCACAATTTCCTGACAGTGGACCAAAAGTAAGGCTTCAATTCAGTCTTAACACTTTTAGTTTCATCGCTCTCCCCTTTTTTCTATTGTTTCAACTATATATAACACCGAGCGCGATGTCTTTGAGGGGTTTCTCCCTCTTGGGACTTGTCGCCGCCGCTTCGAGCCAGAGCGCTGTACCAACCAACTTTGACTTCCGCGCAGCAGCCCAATCCATCTCGGCTGAATTGAGCTCTCCATCATTTGTACCATATTCCAGGCCAAATCAGAAGATCGAGGAGTTCATTGCTATTGGTGACTCGTATACAGCGGGTGGGTTTCTAAGACCTTTTTATCGGTACTTATCTAATAGTTGGCACTCAGGCACGGGCGCCAACGGGAACACGGAAACTATGGCCGGAGACGCTTGTCGTTGCAAACGATCCTACCCGATGCAAATGTCCACCGATGCAGATAACTGGGAATTCATCAATGGGGATAGGACACTTCCCCGCTTCAGCTTCCCCGCTTACACTGGCGATACAACGGTCGAAGTTGTCAAGGAACAACTGAAAATGGGGGATTATAAGGAGAACAACAAGGATCTGCCCCGTGCTCAGCCCTTTGGAAAGCCTCAGCTTGCAGTTCATGACGATTGGAGGTAACGACGCTAAGCTGTCTAAGTGAGACACCCCATAGATGTTTCAACTATCTTTGCGATGTTTTGTTGACATTGGGGAAAACAGAATCTTGAACGACTGTGTCTACCGTGATTGGAAGCCGGGAGATTGCCAAGAGACCCTCCAAGGCCTACAGAAGGAAATCGACGACGGCAGCCTTCGCGACAAGATCAACGTTGCCTTGTACGCAGTTGCGCACGCGGGAAGACAGGCAGGAGGCGCCAATCCGAGAGAAAGCTTCCAAGTCTACGTTCTCAGCTACATCACCTTTTTCAACAAAGTTACAACGGCTTGCAACAAATTTTCCTGGGCCTACTGGTGGTGGATGACTACTCCCAAGCTCACCACGGATCTCCGCAAGCAACTTAATGGCTTCACCAGGGCTGTCAACGCAGTAATTAAGGCCGCCGCGCAGGATCTGGAACGCATGGGAGTGATCTTTATCGAAGATATGGATAGTTGGTACAATGGCTATTGCTATTGCGAGAGTTACCATACTACCTATCCAATGGTCGACTACGATACATGATTCTGGTCCCCTTATGCCCATTTCGGCACTCCATCCGAAGGGCCAGGCGACCCCGATAACCCATACGCGGCCGGGACCGAGTCCCCCGGGCAGGTGCTTCTGGATTTTGTCTTCCCTGCGCAAAATAAGGACGTCGCAAACGTGTCCGAAGCATCACCGCCGCCATGGGAGTGGGAGGGTGCCGACAAGTATCCGACGTTCGAAGCCCTCCTGGCCGCGATTCAGAAGGAGGGAAACTTCACTACATCGGGAGGCGATGCCGTCCCATTCAACGTGGTGCGGTCCTTCCATCCTAAGGGCACGGCATACGGGAAACACAGTGTTGCCGTGTTCAGCGCCATGGTAGAGAACAGGGATGTCGTCGCAAGTGGTGCTGGTGGTAAATACACCGAGCGATGCAAGGATGTGAGCCTCCCCATTTCTTGAGTAAGTACTATGATACATGACAGAATGACTGACAGTACCACAGGTGGACATCAAGGGCGACCACCTCCTTGTGGCAACCTGTACCAACAAGGACGGACAGGAAGTGCGGACCCAGGAGGCCCTAGGACTTTGCCTGCGTTACGACGGTGGAGCCCTAATACCCGCAGACAAGTAAGTTTTTCCCACGGCAGTAAATGGGTATTCCTGGAGATTGGATAATACTAACCTCGAGCGTTGCAGTGGACAATATACACAGAATTGCCATGGCTGCTTTTTCAATGGTCCAGAATCGCCTGATCACAATACCACGCTATGGTGTGTTTGCAAGAATGACAAGGATCCTTACATCAAATCTGCTTCTGTTAAACTGGATGATTTCATGACAGTTAAGGATGATGGATATGTCAAGTGTTTTGGTCATATCAGCGCCCCAACTAGTCTCAAACGGTGGGAACGTGGGAGTTGGTGAAGAAAAAGATGTGGGATAAAGAAGAAGAAGCTTGAATGGTGAAGCAGCACATCGAAAAGAGCCTCAAGTTCGATGTGACAACTAGTTTCAGCACATGCCTAACATCTCGAATACCCAAATGCCCCGCGGACCCCGACCTCCGCACGCACCGCCTTCTCCCCACCAGACATCCTCCAACTGCAGCTCGAGAAACTCGTCTCCAACACCGTCATCAACCCCTTCACCGTCTCCTCGACGCCCGCACGGCGCCATCCTCTACAACTACTACCTCCTCCGCGTCATGTGACTCCTCCTCGCCGAAGCCTCGCTCGTGATCGGCTCGCTGCCCGAACTCAGCCACATGCCCAACGTGGAGCAGCGGCGCCGGCCGTATCGAGACACTCGTCGTGGGTGTCGCGAACGCGACCAGCGAGAACATATCCAGCATGCTGGTTGACGTGCGCGCGGGGAGGCGGACGGAGGTGGAGTATATGAATGGGTGGTGAAGAGGGACGAGATGCTGGGTATGAGCTGTGTGACCAGCTTTATGATCAAGGAGATGGTTAAGGGGAAGGGCATGATGATTAGTCGGGAGATTAAGGATACTGTACCGCTTGTGATGTCTGGCGGGCCTGCAAAAAGTAGCACGGAAGATGATTATCGATGCAGAGATAGCTCGTATATGTGTAGTTCTATGTTGTATATAACGTACTCCACAAGCGAGCGGTCCACCCAAGCGAGCGGTCCAGCCCAATATACACCAAAATATCAATATTTCATAGCAGAATATCTCAACAACTACTAAATAATAATTTATAAAAATTTAAATATAAGCTATTCTATATATAATCTATAACATGTCAGGATGTTAAAGCTATTTATTCAGTAATTACTAAGATATTAGGCTAAAACTAAGCAAAACTACTAGATCTTTATAACTACTAAATAAATAGCCTTAAAATCTTAATATAATATAGATTATATATAACATAGCTTATACTTAAGATTTTATAAGTTATTATCTGGTGGTTGTTGAGATATTTTGCTATGAAATATTGATTTTTTGGTGCTGGATCGCTCGCTTGGGTGGACCGCTTGCTTGTGGAGCACATTATCGATCTTTCATGCAGCACTGTTTCCATCGAGCTCCTTTCGAGCTTCGTGAGCTCCACGGAGGTGCCGCGTCCTTCTCTTGCCAGTCCTCATGTCGTCATACTCATTGGCTGCGGACAAGGTCCAGAGTAAGCATAGATTATCCAAAGCGACTACAGTGGTGGTACAATACAAGTCTGAATGGCATGGATTCTGCAAGCATTGCGTGCTAGTAACGTGATCGTGTATATTATCAATCAACGCACCTTTGTAATGTGGAGAGGGGTTGTACTGCGTAAGGCGGGGTGCAAGCATGTAGTATTCAAAGCTTTCATACTCCGTAGATACGCTCAATTATCTTCTTGGCTCAACCTCAACTTCAAATTTCTTCAATTACTCCGTGAACACATTTCAGACATCTCGAATCTTTCTAGTAAACAAACCCAATAATGGCTTCCGCAGCTGTCCACAACGCTACGGCTTCAAGCTCCAAGCTGGACCAAGTCATCGAACCCCTAGCCGCGGCTCCCGCGACCAAGCCCGCAAAGCACAATGTCGCCACTGAGCTGAACTACTACCAAGATCCTGGTGATGGATCGCTTCCTGCTCCCGTTTACGTTGGGTGCGTTGCTCTCCCCTCCTCCCCTCCCACGTCATACTCTTCAAATATTGAAGACGACCTGAGACTAAGCAAACCACAGCCGAGTCGATAATGTTGATCGTCCTCACGCCGCTGTTTCTACTACAATCCACGATATTTCCGGTGACGAGGAGAAGTACACGCTCGATGGGAACGGGTTTCAGTACGTGAAGCACGAGACCAAGGAGAAGGAGTTCCGCGACGATGAGAAGATAAAGGCAGAATACTACCCCGAGGTGGAACAGCTGTTGAAAGACAGCACCGGAGCCACCCGCGTCTTCGTCTTCGACCACACAATCCGCCGCGCTCCCACCGACAACCGCGGTGCCCCGGGCGAGGAAATCAGACGCGGTCCGGGAAAGCGGGTGCACATTGATCAGTCGTACAGCGCGGCGAGGAGTCGCGTAACTCATCATCTCCCCGACGAGGCGGAGGAGCTGTTGAGGAAGAGGTTTCAGATCATCAACGTAAGTCCCGTTCCCCATCTCCATACTCTTCGACATCAAAATCGAGTTGAGCGCGTGCTTACGGCTGGCAGGTCTGGCGTCCCATCAAGACGATTACGCGCGACCCCCTCGCGCTCGCAGACGCGCATACAGTACCGGACAGCGACCTTGTTGGCGCGGCGTTGATCTATCCGAATCGCGAGGGCGAGACGTATGTCGTCAAGCCGAATCCAAGCCATCGGTGGTACTTCAAGTTTGGGCAGAGGCCGGATGAGCCGTTGTTTATCAAGTGTGAGTATTCTACTTTACTGGAGTGAGATGCTATGGGGAAGGGTTGGATGTTAATGTTAATGATGAGATAGGTTTCGACTCGATTGATGATGGAAGTGTCGCAAGGAGGGTTCCGCATACGGCATTTGAGGATGCCGAGTTTAATGGGGAGCCGCCGAGGGAGAGCATTGAGGCGAGGACGTTGGTGTTTTACGATTATTAGGGTTGGGCTCAAGACGGGGCCATTCTGCAGACAATCACGTTCTTAAGACGGCATGTTCTTAAGACAGCCATGGTCTTAAGACAGCGGCATCTCAAGACGAGGACGTTCCCCAGACAATCACGCTCCTAAGATGGACCCGTTTTGAGACGATTATTCTTAGGACATGCCCTCATAGTCGGACGTAACCCTGCATCACTGTCTTCGTGAGTTCCTATGTTATTTGCCTCCGAACAGTAGTTACTCCTTTAATTGTTGTAGTGTTTGACAACGATGCGGCCCTAGCTTTAACAACATCAGAGCCCGTTAGCCACTCGAGGTTCTACCCTTGCATGGATTATAAAGCAGTGCTTTGAAACTGGATCATGGCAGCCCTAGGGGCCCGGAAATGGGCCTTCCGTGGCAGGGTGAGGACCCCAGTCTCAACTCATTCTCTCGAATACAGGGCCCAAAACTGGGTTCCAACGAGCTGCTCAGTCTCGGCTCAGGATGCGCTCACTCCAGCACAACCACAGCTTAGGCTGGAGCATGAGCAGCTCAGTTCCCTGAACGGGAAAGGAAATTGCTTGGGTGCACATTGGGATAATGTACTACCTGTTATACCACCCCAATGTGCACACCCTCCAACCCTCGCTGCTCACGTGACCCTATGCCGCTGTGGCTGAGTTCGGCTCAGGCCCGGCTCAGCTTCGGCTCAGGCCTGCTCCGGTCTGCTCACCCTTGCTCACCCTTGCTTCTTGCTTACCCGCTGCGGCGCAGTCTCAGGTGTACCCACTAGAAATTGTAAAGTTTTAGCGAGGAGCCTCAAATTTGGGCCCCAGTTTCGTCTGCAGACGGTCGCGTTCCTAAGACGGCGCGTTCTTAAGATGGCACGTTCTTAAGACGGCATGTTCCAAGACGGCACGTTCCTAAGACGGCATGTTCCCAAGACGTCATGCTCTTAAAACGGCCATAGGCCTAAGACAGCCATGCTCTTAAAACAGTAGCATCGCAAGACAAGGAAGTTCTCTAGACAGTTACGCTCTTAAGATAGGCTTGTCTTGAGACAGTTGTATTCTCAAGATAGACATGCTTGCAAGACGGTGACATACCAAGACAGTGACGTCCTTAGGACGATTATGTTCTTAGAAAAGTTATCTATACTATTTGCCTTCAAATGCTTACAAGACTCGGCGAAAAATATATGAATCAATACGCAGTTCTGAAGCACAGCTGCTATCCATAATCCGTAATCTTCGGGTCCTTTCATGCTTCTAGAATAACAACTCTAAATTGATGTGATTGTTAAAGTCGCTATACAGCCAAGTTCCGCTCCATTGGCTATACTCTTCTACTAAAATTGACGTAAGGCTGTTAAAAAGCTGTTGTACGGAGTATTCGTCTGTTTACCTACCTAGATTAAGAGAAAATTGGCAGCATGCCGCCTAGAGGTAGCTTGAAAAGTTATAATGTAGATGCGGATGATTTTACCCTAAACTAGAACATGTCTTTCTAAGAATAGGTACAGCAAGGAACAATGCTAATCATGGCTTATCTGTGCTCGGGAATAGAACAGTGGCCCAAAAACGGGCCCCTGGAGATAAACTTCTGTCAGGTTGTGAAGAAGCAGTTCTGTATTGATTTGAAGAGGCATAAGGCCCGTATATATAGCCCCTGAAAGGGGGAGTACTCCCCTGTTCTCCCTTGTTACGGATATGGAAGGATGTAACGTCACTAACACGCTAGTAGTGGCAACCTGAGTGCTTCCCACCTGTAAAACGTGTTTGAAACTTGTTAACCTACCACGACTTATACTCCGTACTAAATTCGTGCTTGTAGTGTTAAGGAAAGCCTGGTGGTAGAGGGGGAGGTAACGACGAAACTGGGGGAGGTAGAGACGAAAGCAAAGGAGGTAGTACACGAACTGTTTGGCAAGCGTCATTTCTGCCTATGTTAGCTTGTGGTTACCTAGTGCGAAACTGCCTAAGACTAGCACGAAGCTAAATCACCCCTTTTATATATCTATATAAACACATAGTCCTCAATTAATACAGCTCATACTGTTCCTATTCAATTACACCTTCTACTAGAAGCGGTGTGTAACAAATCAGACTTTATATGCGTGAGGTGATTGCCGTTAAGTAGATAACAAGTAGTGTCAAGTCAAAACATGAATTAAGTACGAAGAGCAAAAGACAGTAGGAAATCCTCTAGACTTCATACAATTCAGTCCTGCTCTGTCTGCTCTGTCCCATTTCTTGAACGCCAAGACAGATCAAGCAGAGCACCAACCTGACACGCTCGTTACGTGCTGTGTCTCATCGTGCTTTCCATAGTAGGCTTTACCTCCCTCCTCGGACGTTGGTAGCTTGCCTTTTCCAGTATTCGTAACTCGCGCCTATCTGAGCAGCAGGATGATTCCACAGAAGCGAGGGGTCATAATATGGAAGCGTGTCAAAATCGCAACCAAGCAAGCCTCTGCATATCATCACGGCTTCCTTCTTGCCCAGACATTCTGAAATATATATTCCACCCTTGTTCTGTTCCCAGGTAATGGCTTCGATTTGCGCACGACTACCGCCGTCGCTTGGCTTCACAGCAAGTATGTAGTGTTCCTTTCCTGTCCAGCTTCGACGAACGCGAATAGATATGTTGCCACTCTGATCTGGATCCGTGGCTGAAACGGCCCATTTGTCATCCATATCTCTAGGCTCGAAACCGGCTCTGAGCTTCTCGAAGTCTGCATTGCTGATACTCAGACCCCACGGTGCTGTCGCCGGGTCGTCCATAGTATGTACGTGATCTATAATTCGCTTTGCAAAATACATTAGCTATAAGCCTTTAAACACGTGGGCTGTGTTCTGAAGTTGGTACCTAAGGCTGGGCAGAATCTGGCTGGGTCTAAGCAGCTAGAGGCACAGAACGCTGCTAACAAGGAGATCCGGCGGGGCTTGGAGGTTACAGATAGCACATGCGAGTTCAGAGACAAAGAGCAAGCTGCTGCGGCATTTTTATGGCTTAATGATGGTGTTGTAAATGAGCTTATCTAGCTATATAGTTTACGCAGGTGCCTGATGTTCAGAGGTCGACATTTCGGCGGAGGTGTCGGCCCGTTGATTTAGCCAATCGGAGCGTTCCGCTCACTCAGCACAGCCACAGCTCAGGCTGAGCTCAGGTTCCCGAACGGGAAAGGAAATTGCTTGGGTGCACATTGGGATATCGTACTACCTGTTATGTATTGGATGAATTTGCATCCATCGCTGCTAGCTTCGTAAGCAGCCTTCAAAGATATATGCTTGGTTAGAAGGCTTGGTTCTCCGGTCTCGTTATCTGAACTCAGAGACACTCTACTCCAAGAATATGCGGGGGAGTCTGGTTTGGAATCGACTAGCTCGGAAATGTCCGGCTCTGAAGGGTCTGGTTCTGGGGAGTCCGGTTCGGAACGGTTTAGTGCGGAAGACTCTGGTCTAGAAGGGTCTGATTCGGGAGAGACTGGTTTGGGAGATTCTAGTGGTGGTACAGGCAACCACAGGAGTCTCTCCTGCGGATGCACCCGAAGGAGGTCGACGAGGCCAGCCCGAGGACCATCAAGTAGGACAAGGAATATCCGTGTGGAATTTGGAATCGAGTCTAGAACCAGTAACAGCGGGTGCTGTATGTATAGCTTCTCCACCAATTCTTCAGCATGCTCACTTCTTCAGGATTCTACGTGGCCGGCCCAGGAGACGCCGCGTTCTATCCGCATCACGTACAAGATACGCGTTTGGGAGGGCATCTCATAGCCTTGATGTGGATCCCTCTGATCCATCCGAGGTTGAGCGCGTGGCGGTGAAGTATATGAGAAAGCAGGTGAGGCTCTTCGATACTGAACTGAACTCATTGACTCCGAGAGACTGTTTCGAGGCAGCGACCGCCCAAGGAAGCAACACTATCCTCCTAATCCCAGAGACGGAGATCAACATCAGTGAGCAGCTAGAGAATTCCGTCCCTAAACCGGCACCCGAAAGCGAGCCCACTCAGGAGGAATCACGGAAACGAGGCCGCCGGTGAAATTAGCAGCACTGGAAAGTGCTGCCAGATATACAACTTCTCGATGATTGCAATAGGAGAGGTAACAACCCCAGATAGGTTGTTTCAGATGTTTCCATATTCTCCGTACTGTTAAAGATGCGAAAATTAGTAGACCATGTATTAAGTCCATTGGCACTTCACCGTTTGATTAGCTAATAAAGAATTTATCAAACAAGTCTATTCTAGCGATCTCAAGGCGCTAGGAGATGAATAAAAGCGGAAAGATTACGAACGAAGGAACGAAGGGGAGCGAAGAGCTTGTTTTGAAATATAGTTTGACCCATTTCATATATATCGAAAGCTTTGAGGAACTCCCAGAGTGTTACTAGCTTATCTTACGAATGATGAGATGAACTTCAATGCGCCACTAGACGTCTTTATCAATTTTTTATTCAGCGGGTGAAAATCTACCTTATGTCCTAGAATTCAGTATCTAACACAGAATTGATCGCATTAGTAGTTCTGGCAACAATATTCTCTATTTCAGGCATGGCCGGTATTGTGTTTGAAGAAGTCAAGTCTGCGTACTGGCCAATGTCGATTAAGATGTTGCCGAGCTCAGCATGGTTGCACCAGACTTGAGTTGCTAGCGCGCGGATACTCGGGTCTGTGATAGAATTGTTCTGTCTTGGCAGGATCAGGCCCGAAGAGATGGCGAAGGAGAGGAATATACGTAAACAATTGTGTCTGCTTTGCGCGAGAACGTAAATAGTGAAAGCAGAGACGGCCCAGCGAGTACAGACCAACGAGATGTTGGCTTTCGGATGCGGACACTTCGGTAGTGCAAATCGAATCATCGGCTTGTGTCAAGAGCGTGTCGGAGACTGGTCCTTCGCGGCCTGTCCGGCAGGCATTGTTCGATTCCCGACGTAGGTCTGCCAGCTATCCTGTAGAGATGAGGGCCTGCGTAATGTCGTTCCACGCCAAAAAGTGTTCATTAGGACCCCGGTTTTCAACAGTCCAAGAAGAGAATTGGGAAGCGTGCTGTCGCATCTTGGAGGTTGAATAGACGAGAAAGCGAACCTTTCGCGCTGCTTGGATGGAAAGCGACGTGGGGCTGGCCCCTCACTTCAGCTCTCCCTCCACGACGAGTCAGCTGCGAACCGCTCTCCCGAACCTCTACAAAACTGAACCATTCTGCAAAACCGCAATGTCCACCTCCCCCACTCACCTCACCTCCTCCACCTCCGCCGCCGGTGGTACGCCCGCCGGCGGTGAAACCCTCACGCCGCTCGAGCAAGAAGTGTTGGATGAGTATGCGCGGTTGGTTGGGAACCTCAACAACGTACGCCGCCCTTCTTTTCAACCCGCACCCAATCATATCAAATATGGGCGGGTGCATGAACAGATAAGTGGTAGGCTAACACGGTTCAGATGTCAACGCTCCTAGCAGAGCTCTCGACCACACCCTCGACAGAGATCCTGCAAGCGCTGCGGGGACTGGAGCGGAAGACGAGTCTGGTGTTTACGCTGCTGAATGCGAGTGTGTATTCTATTGTGCTGCAGCAGCAGATGTACGGGCAGGAGGGGGGCCAGGGGGAATGAATGTGCAGAGAGCAGCAATGGAAGACAATTGGGCTGGGTTTGGTGTTTTGGTGTTTTTGATGATACCCCCGGACGACAGCATGCAGATGGAGATTATTAGAATCAGGCGGTATACAAAGTTGTTTGGGGTAGAAATGTCTACAGATCCAATAGTACACAGCCATGCGCCTATGATGCGAATATGGTACATGCAACATGCTTTCCCCCTCTTCCTTAACGCTTCATATATAGTACAGGTCTCCTACACATCTAGCCTATTGATCCACCGTAGTACACTTTCCGGACGTCTACGAGTTTCTTTCCCCGAGCGCGCGCAATGTCCTCTGGTAGCTTTTGTGCCGTGAGGGCCTCCCAGGTAGCTTTGACAACGTTCATCTTGTTTCGCGAGCGGGGGACGCGCGCGGCGAGGTCTTTGATACCGGCGAGACGGGCGATTTCGAAGATGAGGTGGTTGGTGCGGACGCCGAATCCTATGAAAAACTTGTTAGGACATATTCAAACGAAGACGAAGTAGGAGACTTACCCGGCGGTCTGGCCTGCAATTGCACCCGCACAGCCCCAAGCTTCTTCTCAATATCGCCAAATATCGTGCGGTTCTCGTAGCGCGGGATCGGCTTCATGTTCTTATACGCATTACTGATAGACGCCGCCATTGCCTCCTCAGAATCCACCGCCTTGCCCTCACCCACCCCCAGCAGCCCATTCTGGTTCCCCGCAATCGTCAAGACGTAGAAACTCGCAATCTTGCCCAGCCGCGTGTAATTCGAGACGAAATGCTGCACAATCGCCTTGTGCAGGAAGCCCCTCTGCCGGAGATTCGTGTCCTGCGGCCAGCCCAGCTGATGCAGCAACCGCTGCTGGCGCTCGTCGACGACCTCCTGGCCCTCGAACGTCGCCGTCGCCTGCACCACTTTGCTGTCGATGCGAGGCAGCTCCTGCATGATGGCCGAGTGCCGCGGGTCCGCGAGCGAGTTCCACGCCGCCGCATCGTCGGACCAGAAGCTCGTCCGCGGGTCGAGATACGCCTGCTGGATCGCCGTGTGGATCGCCTCCTCCTTCCGGTACTCCTCCTCGGGCGTGGGGTTCGCGGGGAACCCGTCTGGGTACATCTTCGCCAGCTGCTCGTTGACGATGAGCGCCAGGGCGGCTTCGCGCTCTGCCTCGCTGGCTTCCCGCGCGCTCGCCCGCTTGCTTCGCCCCGGCGGGCCGTGCAGCTTCTCCGCGTGGTCGATCACGCCGTCGACGTGGCTCAGGTCATCTTCGTAGGGTAGCTTCCAGGGGTCGTTGCGTTTCTTGCCTTGCAGCGTCAGGTCGCGCGGGTCAATGGTGGCTTCGGCGGCTTGGATAGCGGCGAGCTGGCTCGGCGTGTATTTCTGCGACAGGAGAGCTTCGTCGGCGGGGGCGTAGTCGGGGTATTTTGTAGCAGCCTGTTCCTTTAGATAGGCCATGTCGGCGGCTTTGACACTAGGGTAGTGAGGGCGGCGACGGGCGGGCCGCGAGGGGGTGGTGGTGAAGGCGCGGCATTGAGAGGAGGGTTTAGGGAGGGCGGCGGCGGAGGTCTTTGCGAAGAGGCATCGTGCTGGCCGGCAGACGCTCATTGCGGCGTCTGGATAATCCTGATTGAGCCCTGATGAGGGCGAATTGGCGCGTTGTAGGGGGTGGAAATGGGTGAGGTGAGGTTGGTGAGGTTCGGGATGGACAGCTGGGTAGCGAAAAAATTAAGGTTTGAGCCTCATCCAGTGAACGGCTTTCTGATGCAGATGACCACCACACCCACACACGAATGTTTTTGGCACCCGCTGCTCGCACTTTCCGGACCATCTTGACGGCCGGCCAACGAACTTCTATCAAGTATTTTAGTATGGCTTCTTCGGCTGCTGAGGTGGGTCCTGTTGAGAGCAATGGCTCAAAGAAGAGAGCTCCAGATGGAGAAAGGGGGTCATACCGATTCAAGAACAAGAAGAACAAGACCGGAAATATCCTCACAACCACCGGTTCAAACGAGGAAGTACTTCTAGCTGACGTGCAGACATTGTTGAAGAAGCACACACTCGAAGACTCTTCGACAGACGCCGAAAATGGAAAATCTGAATCATCTCTCCCAGAACGCTTATCAGAAGTTGAAGTTACTGTGGCAGAAATTTCATCTACTGGAGATGGCCTTGCGCTATCACCGGACTCTAAACATGTCTACGTGGTGCCTTTCACAGCTCCTGGCGATGTCGTCAAAGCAAAAATCTTCAAGCATACCCCGAATCATCATTATTCCCTTGCAGATCTTATTAAAGTAGAGAAGCCGTCTCCTCATAGGGATGACTCCCTCATCAAATGTCCGTACTTTGCATCTTGTTCTGGCTGCCAGTTTCAGATGCTGCCATATCAATATCAACTGGCGCATAAAAAGACCATTGTGGAAAAGGCGTATCAGCAATTTTCTAATTTGACGCCTGGAATTGTCCCTCCCGTGGGAGATACCATTGGGTCGCCGCTTCAGTATGAGTATCGGACGAAGCTTACGCCGCATTTCGATGGACCTCCCGACTCACGGCGAAGTGACGGAAGAAAAGGGATCAAACGGTCCTTCAAAGAGGTCCCTCCCATCGGCTTCATGAAAAAGGGCACGAGGATAACAATCGATATCGAAGACTGTCCTATTGGAACCGAAGCCGTGCGAAAAGGGATGAAGAGTGAGAGGAAACGTGTTGCGAACCAGATCGACACATACAGGAAAGGAGCCACAATTCTTCTTCGAGAAGACACCAAGCGGATAGCGAAGAGCGAATTCAACGCAGAAGAAGCGAAGGAGTCTGCCGAAAAGAACGGTGCTGTCATCGAGGACCGCGGAGACTACATCCACGAGAAAACATGCATCACGGATCAAAACGGGAAATCCACAGAATATATCGATAACTTCGCCTTCATAAACCCGGCCGGCGCGTTCTTCCAGAATAACAATTCGATTCTTCCCACGTTCACCTCATACATACGAGATCACATCCTACCGCCCGACCAACCGGACCACAAGATCAAAAACCTCATCGACGCCTATTCGGGTAGCGGTCTATTCACCATCACGCTCTCCTCCCTCTTCACCCACTCGCTCGGCATCGATATTTCGCCCTCTTCAATCGAGTCCGCCGTATCCAACGCCCGCCTAAATGGGCTTCCGGAATCGCAAGCCAACTTTATAGCAGCAGACGCTGCGAATCTATTTGCAAGCATTGAGTCGAATGCAGACGAGACAGTTGTGGTCATCGACCCACCTCGGAAGGGCTGTGATGAGAGCTTCCTACGGCAGCTACTTAGGTACAGCCCTGCTAGGGTGATATACGTTAGCTGCAACGTGCATACGCAGGCTAGGGATGTTGGAGTTCTAGTGGGAGGCATGAAGGATGTTGACGGAGGGTTTGGACCTGGGAATGGCGTCTACGAGATTGAGAGTCTTAGGGGCTTTGACTTCTTCCCTCAAACCGGTCATGTGGAGGGTGTTGCGGTCCTAAGGAGAAATGCGGCCGAAGATAAGGCTGATACCAAGGGAAATGAAGCTGCAGGAAGCTGATAGCCTGTGTATCCCCTGCAGCCTTGCGAGAGAACGCAACATTCTGTAGGGCTCTGGTAACAATGGCAAATACGGGCATAGCCCGCATCTTGCGGACTTCACGAATTCAGCTCACCGAAGGACACGAATTCTTCTAATGACCTAAAGCTTTTTCTACAAAAACATCACGAGGCTCACGGTACGATAACAGATGTATGGATCTCCCGGTATTGAGACGGACCTCGAATCAAATCAAACTAGGATCTCAGACCAGGATCACCTTACTGAGGCAATTTCCAATCATGTATAAACATTCAATTACTTCTACAATCTTCAAAATACACTCTCACGGTCTAGGGTACTCATATTTGACCTTACTCCCGAACATATAAAATTCCCATTATACCACTTCATCGTGTCCCTGCCTACCACGCCCATCTCCCTCCAATTCCTTATTCTTTTCGTTTTCATGCTTCTCTACACTATCTCTTTCCACCCGTTCTGCTCCAACAGTTCCCTAAAAGTCCATTAGCAACATTCACACAAGATTTGGCAAGAGAACATACCTTTGCTAAAGCCAGCAGATAAGACCCATAAATCACTCCTCCCTTCTCATTCTTGTCCCCGGATCCCCCCTTCTTAATCCATACGTTACCCAACGAGGCCGCGGCAATAATCGAAAGCAGCATAAACGGCATAATGCTGATGAAAGCCCACATCACAGCTCTTGCGCCCGCGTTCTGGATCTCCTCCTGCACACCCGCCGGCAACGAAGCAATCGTCGTCAAGTTCTGCAAATCGTGTCCGCTGTACGCCGAGCGCCCTGCCGGCGGCGCAATCTTCCCCACATACTCATCAAACTTATTCGAAAACACGCTGCCCATCATCGAAATCCCAATCGTGCCGCCGAACGGGAACACGAAGCTCATGAGGCTCATGCAAGCCGCCAACCGCGTCGGCCAGATGCCCGCCACGTGGAGCGTTTGCGGCATAAAGCGCAGCCCCGTCCCGACGCCCGCGATGGCAATCATGCCGTTCACCAGCGCCCGGTGCCGCACGCTCACGGCGTAGATCAGCGCGGCGAGCCCGGCGCACTCGGTGACGCTGCCGAAGAAAAGGGGATAGAAGGTTTGCGCGGGCCAGTAGTTGCAGAGGAACATGGCGGAGTAGACGCCGACGCCGAGCCCGGGGGTGTAGTAGAGCAGCTGCACGCCGGCCTTGCTGGCCGAGTAACCCTCGGCGATCTCCCAGTAGATGGAAATGAAGTAGAAGGCGCTGTATAGGGCGGCGCCGGACGCGAAGTTGATGGTCATGAGGTGGAAGGTGTCGTGTCTGGAGAAGAGGTGCCACGGGATCATGGCGACGGTGCGCTTGAATGTGCGAGCGAAGACGCGGCCGGGCTCGAGGAGAAATTCGTGGGTCCAGAAGAGGATGAAGAGGACGGCGCCAATAGTGATGGGAGCGATGAAGGCGGCGGAGGACCAGGCGTATTCGGTGCCGCCCCACATGATGGCTAGGATGATGAGCCCGACGCCGAAGATGAAGAGGACGATTCCGACCCAGTCGAAGGCCAACAAGCCGCGGGTGTAGCCGCCATAGCCCGTTCCGGAGACGGACCCCTTGACTAAGTCCTTGCGCATCAGGAAGAAGATGAGCAGGTGCGAGACGAACGCCACGGGGATCGAGACGACGAAACAGTACCGCCAGCTCGCTTCGGCGAGATATCCGCCGATGACGGGACCAATTGCGTAGCTGATCCCGGAGACTAAGCTGAAGATGGAGTTGTTCTTAGAATTGTCGGCCAGAGAGACGTTATCGGAAAGGACTAATTTCGTGAGCAGCATGATGCCCGCGCCGCCGACTCCGGTTAGGGCGCGTCCGAAGAGGAGCATGCCCCAGGAATTGGCGGCGGAGCAGAAGACGGAGCCGATCATGATGCAGAAGATGTGGAATTGGAGGGCTGTGTGGCGGCCGTAGATGTCGGCGATTTGGCCAGAGGTGGGCGCGAAGGTGGTTAGGGTGAGGGTGTATGCAGTCACGATCCAATTGAACCCACTGCCGAGGTGGTCTGGTGTCTTGATTAGAAGATGAAGTTTGAAGAGACTCGCGGTTTGAGGATGGATGTTGAAAGAATACGGTTGTGAAGCGGAAAAGACTCACTGAAATGCGACGATATAATAGGCACAGCCGGCGCGATTATAGTCGCATCAGCCGCTGCCAGGAAGTTTGGAAGTATCAATCCGATAACCATTTTCCAGCGGTACTTCCTCCTCGCTGCCTTCTCTGCTTTGACGCGTGCTGCTTCCTGTTCATCGACGACAGGCTGATGATTGATCGAGTCTGTCGTTGCGCTCCCTTCTTGGATAAGGCCATTGTGAGTCTTGGCCGGCTTCTGGTGTTGCGCCCCTGGAACATCAGGCGTGAAAGAGCCTGTCTCCGCTGTGGCAGCAGCTTGGGCAGCCTTGCGCTGAGCAGCCTGCTTCTTGATGTATTTGTAGAGTAGAAAGGCCATAGTGCTGCTGGATTGGTGTGCAGCAACACTTCAAGAGTCGGAAAAAGCAGCGAGTCTGTCTGATCAGATCTGATGGAATCTATATCGAGGATCTCGGCTCCTAGTTATACCCCCGCTCCTCGTTAGCAGGACCCAACATCCCACCTCTTTGTGAAGGCTGTGCGAATGCAGTCGTGGCGCTGGCCAATCACCGCAGTAGAAGCTAAACTCTTCTCGGAGCCATTGAGCGATAGAACGCTAAACTGTTCTGGGATCCATTGGGCGAACCAATCATCACGAGCTTGCGAATTTCTTCAGCTCCGCACTGACCTGCTCGGACTTGCGCACAGCCATCGGATCGGAGTTATGCTATGACAGCCTAACTGAACGGAGATTGCCTTGCGAAATTTGTGTAGGGACTAAGCAAAGCCATGACGACACTCGCTGTTTCGAGACGTATTTAGCTGTTGTACAGGAGATGTAGACGCGGCTGCGTTGCCAGGACTAATATGACTGGTGTTAGTGTTGCAGGTGAGCCAGTTCGGAGGCAGCCCTGAGCCATTTGGGGAGTTGAGCGTGGAGAGATGTCTGCCTGCGGTGCGGAAAAGTAGAAAAAGATGGGACTTCAAAGCGAAGGGTTGCGGAGCTTTGTTCGGAAACCAAGATTCTTCTCGGAGATCTAGAATATTTATGTGTAGCATCAAAAGGCTTGAAGATTAGAGCATATAGTAGTGGGAATATAGTACGTAGTCCCTGTAAGAGATCTAAAGCAACCCTGCGCGCTCTGTTCTTAAATTGCTTCCGGGGTATGGCGATATCCCTGTATCATGTCCCTTCGAGTTGCTCTTTTCAAAGCTGTAAATGCAATGAGCTTCAATCTAGTCTTCTATTATGTTTATGAGATCTAGGCCTCCGAGGGAACATGAGTAATAGAACCACGCCAATGAATGAATGATTCATCCTTTTCAATTCCTCTTCTTCTCACTCCCCCTACACGGATAATACTCCGCCCCAAATTCCAAACTCGCCCCCTCAAACCGATCCTTACACACAAGCCGCCACTGTCCAAAACCAAACCAACTTCCCCATCCAACCTTTCTCCAAACTTCCACCTCCACCGTCGCAGCAAAACTCTCTGCGAGAAAGTTATCCCGAAAGCCCTCAGCAAACGGTGCCGCGAGCGCAAAAAAGGTCCCCGCCGGTGCAGTCGCTTTAACCGCAACCTTCTGCCACAAGCCCTGCACGCTGAGTGCGAACCGCCGCTTCTCCCAGTCGTGGGTCACCGACATGAACGGGCTCAAACCAAAGACGCTGAGTGCGTAAGGCGGCGTGAAGTCAATGCTGTGCAATGGGTTGATCCCGCGGTAACCCAGTAAGTAGGCCGTCATTCCTAACACTTGCCCGCCTGCGAGGCAGATGCCATGAGCGCCATCGCGGTCGTTATCGCGGGCTTGGATCCAGATGTGCGCTCTAGGGAAGCTGTTGGCCCAATTTTTCTCTTGGTGCACGGTAGCTTGGCCGGAGCGGTCAGAATCAGGAAGCTCTGATAGACCGAGCGAAGGTACTTGGAGCTCGAAGTCGCACTCGGATGCGAGGGATTGCACGTGCCAGTGAAGAGGGAGGGGCAAGTGGACAAGGAGGCCCTCTGGGGTGGACTTCGATGAATGCCACGGCGTGTGGGTGCGTGTTTTGGCACTGAAAGAGAAGGACGGGTGCGAGAATTGGTAGGAGGTTGCAGAGTCTGGATCGCATCGGACATGACCGATGCCAGGGACGCGGAGTTCGAATGCGTTGCCCGGGCCTGTGTGGAGTCGTTCGATGTTGTCCACCCAGAGCTCACTTTGGAAGATCTTTGAGGCATCTCTAGGCACGTATGTGAGGCACACCATGTGTGGTTTGCGCGTGGCATTAGGAACGCTGCATACTATGAGAGCTAATGAAGCACCGGATGGAAGGGTGAATTTGGAATACCACCCCTCAAAAGTAGCGGAAAGGTGAGGCGCGTTGTGTTGCATGGTTGGTTCTCATACAAGGGTTAGTTGAATATATGAACTACCTACAACGAAGATAGTGATATTCCGTTATTTGAATTCTACTTGAGGTGCCACGACGCTAGATGCTCGGCTGTTCAAGTCCCCGCTAGTGATGACGTACGCATTTTTCCTTTTCTTCATGAAGTCTTATCAGATCTTGAAGATAGATAGAGAGTGTCTCCACGATGCCGTTTTTATAATCAGAGTTCGTCTTTTGGACGCTTTTCGTCTCCAACTTCTGAAATCTTTGCTTGGTCCATCAGTCCACGTCGAACAATACTAGTCAAGATTTCAAATCCAATCTGAGCAGCTGCCATTGCAGTAGCTTCTGTGCCTCCGTCATATGCAGGACTGACTTCGACAATGTCGGCGCCTATCACATTGAGGCTCTCGATGCCTCGAAGAATCCTAATCAACTCCCGCGTAGTCCATCCACCCGGCTCAGGCGTTCCAGTCCCTGGAGCGAGACCAGGATCAATAACATCGATATCGATGCTAAGGTAGACGGGGACTTCAGTTCCTACCGAGTCCAGGATTTTCGAAATGACGCCCTTGACGCCGATGTCATCAATATCATCCGTGGTAATACGTACCCAGCCTTGTTGTGAATCATCAGTGTAGTCAGCTTCATCGTCCCCCGACAAACGGGTGCGAAGACCTGCGTGAACAGATGAGGAGTTGGCAATCAGTCCCTCAGTAGCAGCAATCCAGAACATGCTACCGTGGTTGAAGAAGGACGGAGTGGACTCGTCGTCGGGGTCAATCCAGGCCGAAGGATATTTGGCTGGGTGCCAAGTGTCCAAATGTGCATCGAAATGCACCACAGCAATTGGCTGATTGTAAATCTTCTTGAGAGCTCGGAGAGCTGGCAGAGCAATGCTGTGGTCCCCGCCTAGGGTAAGCAGCTTGGGCTTATGCTGGTAAGTCGATGAAGAATCCAGAGATTCTGGCGTCGGAGGCCGTTCGCTAAGTTCAATGAATGCTTCGCTCATTTGGCGAAGGGCCAAGGCATTATCGAATGGAGTTACTGGAATGTCACCACAATCGATGATACGCGCCCATGAAGTGTACGGGTTAAGCCCAGCCCGTGGATTAAATCCGCGAAAGGATGTTTGGCCTTCAAAAATATTGTTAAAATTAAACATGGTATCGCGGGGCAGCACTCACGAGATGAACCAGCTCGAATCGCGCGTGGCCCGAACCTCGCACCAGGCCGATAGCTCACGGCCGTATCAAAAGGAGCTCCAATGATTCCAATATCAAAGGAAGTCTCGGGATGACTTAGGCACCTAGTATATGGCAAATGTGCGAACGTTGAGATGCCAGAAAACCCCCACTATGATGAGCGTTAGTCATAGAAGTTGTGAAGTAGAAAGCTAGAGCCAACGTACGTCGGTATCCCATTTCTTCTGGAGCTCCTCTAGACGATCCTTCGAGAAGGTCTCCTGATGCTCACGACGATGTGTTGAATGTGCGATGATGGTACAGGGCAATGAAAAGGCCAAGATCGACAGGATCAATCGCATGATGTCTCAAGGAAGTACCGGAGAGGTGGTTGAGCAATAGTGGTTTCAGAAGAATAGGCAATGGAGAAGGTGATAGGCCGCACGGAAGAATGATGCCTTACAAGATCAAGAAATCGACGAAGGGCGCGCATTATGTAACAGCCTTATCAAGCTGCAGGTAACGAAGCCGAAACCCGACAGGAAAGTTGTGGGTCATTTTAGGCTCAGCTGCTACCATTGATCTGCTCAATAATCTTTATGCGAGAAGCTGCATTAGAAGTTTCATCCGGAGGGGTGTTTCGTGAAGGAATGAGGAGAAGTTGAGAAAGGGCTGTGGCTGCGCTAGAATAGAATGACGCCCTCACGTGACGACGCGATTGAAATTGGAGCCAACTTCGCGTCTCCGGTGCTGCCTTGATCACCACCTCTCATCAATCCAGCAACTCCACCCTCCCAGGATCGATTCAAGCTATCATGCCTGAGGTGAGCGCAGATCTGATTGAGGGCCAGCCACAAGTCTAATGGTCCTTAGATCGGCGAAATCGCACGCATCGTGCACTTCCTCAAGAAGCATGTCGTAGGCAATACCATCTCCGCCGTCAAGACACAAGAGGACGACATTGTCTACGGCAAAGTAGGATGTTCAGCGACGGCATTCTCAGAGGCCATGACTGGAAAGAAAGTGCTCGACGCGCGCCAACAGGGCAAATATTTCTGGCTTGTCATGTCCTCGCCCCCGCATCCCCTGATGCACTTTGGTATGACTGGTTGGATCAAATTCTCCAACGACGACAATGCGCACTACCGCTCCAACGGTGTCGTCAAACCTGGGGACGCTGAATGGCCTCCGAGATTCTGGAAATTCATCCTGCAGATCAAGGAGGAGCCGGACTGCGAAGTCGCGTTCGTGGATGGTCGCAGACTTGGTCGCATTAGGTTGGTGGATGTCGAGGGCGACATGATGAGGAAGACAACCCCTTTGAAGGAGAACGGCCCTGATCCTGTGGTCGACTCGGACATATTGACGCAGGAGTGGCTGGCGAAGAAGCTGAGGAGTAAAAAGGTTCCTGTGAAAGCCCTGCTTCTTGATCAAGCAAATATCAGCGGAGTTGGCAATTGGGTCGGGTAAGTCAGAAGTGTCACTTGAGTGCTCCGCAAAAGCAACCATCCTAACAATAAACAGTGATGAAGTTTTGTATCAAGCAAAATTACACCCCGAACAATACAGCAACACGTTCAGCGATGAACAGATCCAACGACTTCATGACTCCCTCATCGACGTATGCACTACTGCCTGCACTACCCTAGCGGACTCTGAGAAATTTCCCGAGAACTGTAAGTCTGCCTCTGCATGTTATAATATATGTTTCCTAACATTTTGTTAGGGTTGATGCGCCACCGCTGGAACAAGGGCAAAGAAGGAGGAGACCGGCTTCCAAATGGAGAGAAGATAATCTTCCTCAAGGTTGGCGGACGCACTTCCGCAGTCATCCCAAGCGTCCAGAAAAAGACTGGACCCGTATCAGCTGGCATCAAAGGTGAAGGCGATGAAGACGAAGATGGCGCAGAAGAGAAGAAACCAAAGAAGGCCAAGGGACGTGGCAAGGCTGTTGATGACGATGTGTCGCCGAAAGCACCAACTGCGAAAAGAGCAAGAAAGACCAAACAACCAGAGCCAGAAACCGAAGCATCTGACGAGGAGGAGGAGGACGAAGTGAAGCCGAATAAGAAACTAAAGCTAGCAAGCAATGGCACTGGGAAGAAAACTGCGAAAGGCAATACGTCAACGAAGATCAAGGAAGAGACTCCCGGCAAGCGACGATCAACACGGAACTAGGCAGGCTAAACTTCACATCACTTAAAGCAGAATGCGTGTGTACGGAGTAGGCTTTGTTTGCGTTTAGGCGTACAAGAGTTGATGCCTGTCCCTATCCTACAAAGTAGTTTTCGATGTGTGTTGGCGTAGGAGTTTGGACATTTTTTATAGCATAATGGTTGACCCTGGAACTGTACCGTGATCCTATCCAATTGATTGCACATCTGTGCTAAGTAAACATTGATATACAAGTCTTGCCCTAATATACATTTACTCTGCCTTCGTCTCTTCCACATCCTTCTTCTCCTCCGGACCCTTCTCTTCCTCTTCCATCATGTACCTCCTTCCCTCCATAGTAAAATACAAACTCCGGCTAACACCCTCGAGTGCATTCGTAACGCCGGCACCCATATTCTGCAGCATGCCTACCAGTTGTGCTCTGAGGCCATCCAAGCCTCCAGGAATGCTACCGACCCCTTTTGTTCCCTCCTGATCAAACGCCTTGCCATCAACGCGCGCCCCCAGCATCATAAGCTTCTGAATACCGTTTTGGACCGCGGGCTCATGGTAGCTAGGGCTCGCTTTCCGCTTCGGCGCAGGGAAATTAGGCGCACTCGGGGAGAGGATGGAGAGGGCCGCTTTGAGGTGCTGCGGCGAGACAGCAGGGAACGCAACGACTGCGATAGGTCCAGACAGCAGGGGAGCCAAATCCAGCTTCTTTTTTCTGTCCGACGCCGCCTCGTGCGCCCGCCGCGAGAGACCATGTGCAAGCCTTGAGTCCTCAGGCGTGGGCTTAACATTTGGAATCTGCGCCGAGCTGGCTGTGGCAGGGTTGGAGGGATGCTGTGTTGGTAACTCGGTTGTTTCCGGATTGTAAAACTCTACAACTCGTAGCGCCGATGCGAAGATGCCTGTCTGTATGATCTGGATCTTGATAGCGTCGGCGTAGAGATCCTTTTGTCCAGCCGCGGCGAGCTCCGCATCGACCTTGCGGAGGGCAATAGCCAGCTCGCGCCGTATTCCCATCCATTCTACCGCGCGGAGGTTGTTGTGTTGGAAGATGAGGATCAGGGGCGAGGACTTGAGGAGGGATTGGTATTCTCGGTGAAGCTGGGACTTTCGGACTTCTGGAGGTTTGTGTGAAGGGGGTTGTGTGGGAGGGAAGCGGGCAATGGGCGAGACGGAGTGGATTGTCTGCTCAATTGGAGGCGCGGGTGTGGTAGCTGTTGCTAGAGATGCGTAGAAGCATGGCTGTGAAGGTATCTGGTGATGGTATATGCGGACTTTGAGCTGTCGCGTCTGGAGCCGTATTCGAGGAGGCATTGGGGGCGACAGATGAAGGAGCCTGTCCGAAAGCTTAGATCAGTACAAAATCTACTAGATGGATCTCAGGCTACTCACGAGCTGTGGCCGGCGCGTCCTAAGGGTTTCGTAATCGGCGTGACGATGAGGTCGCTCGAGAAAATGTCGAGATGCAAAGGGCGCTCGGACGGTTTTCGGATTTAACCTCGTTGAGCAGTCAAGTAAGACACTTCAGACGTCTCTCATCTTCTCAAATACATCAATTGCATATCATGTGTTGCTAGCGGTGATACCCATTCTCTGTACCTCATTCTCGTTGTCTTTGTTAAGAAGTCTCTTCGTTTCCAATGTCTGTTCGCGCTTTTCCTGGGTTTCTATGTACTCTGTCACGTCGTCAAACCCCCGTGAGAAGAGCCAACATCAACATCAATCGTTTCCGAACGCGAAGATCTCTTTGGGTGAGCCCACCAAGACCGAAATCATCGTATCTTCCGTTTTCTAATGGAACAATTCATAGGTTGATAGCCGAACTCGATTGACAACTTTCTGGGCTCCGACAGGAGGCATATCAGCCAAGACCGGAGAAGACGGTCCGTCTTCTTTAACCACGATTTATAGCATGTCTACATATAGTCGCTAATGCTCTTCTAGATGGAGTCAATTCCTTGTTGATACGAGCCGGATTCCTTCGCCAGGTAGGCTTTCATCTAGCCCGACCTTAGATCGGTATTGATAGCTTTGCAGGCTCATTCGGGGATCTTCCATTTGCTGCCACTTGGTCTTCGAGTTCAAGAGAAGCTTGAAAAACTAGTAGATAAGCACATGCGAAGCATTGGTTTGTCCCAAACTTGGCATTTCTCATGAATTGGTTCTAAATATGCATAGGAGCATCGAAGGTGTCTCTATCTTCTATCACCTCAGAGGATATATGGCGGCGAAGTGGAAGATATTCTGAAGACTCAGAGGTAATGAAATCTATACCTTGAAACAAATACAGAGTTTCATTGATGACTTTTGTATCAGCTTCTCCGATTGAAGGACCGGAAAGAATCCGGCTTTCTTCTTTCCCCAACACACGAGGAAGAAATCACAACTCTAGCTGCTGGGATTGTGAAATCGTACAAAGACCTCCCTCTCCGAGTTTATCAGATATGTAAGGACCGTATCTTGGCGCCTGCGTCGCAAAGGCTTACTATCGAGCAGCTCGAAAATACCGCGATGAACGACGACCGCGACAAGGTCTACTTCGAGCAAAGGAATTCCTCATGAAGGACCTTTACACCTTTGACTACTCTACCGAGATGGCTCTTGAAACTTACGAGAGTGTACGCAAAGCCTATGCGGCATTCTTCGATGAGCTGAAGATACCATATCTGGTCGCGGATGCCGACTCAGGAGCTATGGGAGGAGACCTCAGTCACGAGTACCACTACGTCTCCCCATTAGGAGAGGACCATGTTATCTCATGCAACAATTGCGACTATGTTGCGAATGAGGAGCTTGCCGAGAAAGGCGGCCATTACTCATCCGACCCCAGGCTTCATACGACAACCTGGCGTGGCATTAGTAAAGATGGCTGCCCAATTAATGTGTACATACCAGCCTCTCCTTCTGCCACCGGAGAACATCTTTCAGCAAGATGGCCCGACCATCTCAATTTGCACGCGGTGTCAGCTGCATATCCTGATCTGGATACGACTATCGAAGAACCCTTGACAGGTTCCTTCGCTAACACCGGAAAAGTTGTTCATATAATTGATCAGAGGCTCTCCTTCCTCGCCGACTTATTACCACGCTCAAGCAGCACAGTCATAGTCACCACCCATCCCAAAACCGGCAAACCTCTCGATCTCACCCGCATCCAACCCAACGACCCATGCCCCCGTTGCTTTTCTGGAGCCCTCAAAGTCCAGCGCGCAATCGAAGTTGGACATACCTTTCACCTCGGAACCCGCTACAGCGAACCATTAGAGGCAACCGTAACCGTTCCATCAGAAGGCTCATCAAGTTTGGTGGCGTTGCAAATGGGCTGTCACGGTATCGGTATGTCACGTCTCATGGCCGCGGTCGCCTCCAAAAAAGCAACCGAATCTGGACTCGGCTGGCCACGCGCCATCGCACCATTTGAGTGCGTCATCATCGCCGCCAAAGGCGCTGATAGAGATGCCGAGACGTTGTACGATGAGCTGAGTGGTGACATCGACACGATATTAGATGATAGGCCGATCAAGGACGTCAACTTTGTGTGGAAGATGAGCGATGCGGATTTGATTGGGTATCCGGTCTCGATCAAACTGGGTCGGGAGTGGAAGCAGGGGAAGAAGGTCGAAATCGAGTGCAAAGCGGCTGGTGTGAGACTAAATGTAGAGTTCTCGGGGGTGAAGCAGGCGGTGCTGGAGCTGTTGGCCGGCTTGTGAGATATGTACTCTAATCTGTATGATCCATCCTATGCGGACTTTTATGGTATACCGGAGTCCTTCTGACAGTGTCGTCGTGCTGTAGGACCTAATTACGTGAACTGCACTAGATCTGAAGGTCTGTGGATGTTACATGTTTACTCCTAGTATTTTAGTACTTTTAGAGTAGTCTTGACGTTATATGTAGTCTTGCAAAATGGAAGTGGAAGTAGCACAATCCATGAGCACTAGACGCATATATGCGCTTCAAGTTATTACGTGAACTGCACCAGATTTGAAGGCTTGAGATTATGGCATCTTCAGCTCTAGAAATCTGCCATAGTCAGTGTCATCTCGGTACATTATGAGACTGTGCAACAGGAAAGGCAGAGTCAATACGAACTACAGGCACTGGAAAAATAGACGGACATCAAGAGATACGATATATTATCGCCTAACAGTACTTATAGTACCGGATATCTAGTCTCACAAAGCCCCAAATTCGACTACATTATGTAGCACAATACCGCCAAAGCCACCATAACCGCCAACACCGCAAACTATTCCATGACCAGCATGTTCTAACCGCCACGCCTCCTCCCCCTATCCACCCCCTCTCTCTACATCTCATACGCCCATTCCTGCTTGAGGCTCACCGGCCTCGCCCGCATAACAACATCGAAGTACACAAGCTCCGTCAGGTTCGGTGGCGTCTCACGCTCCGCCCAGATATACCCCAACTTCTCCATTCGATCCGTCCGATACCCGATCACGCGGTGGTACACGTTGCGCACATTTGCCATCCCATCTGCAGATTCTGTGATCTCAGTCGACACCCTGTAGCCCGAAATCGCCTCTGTGATGAGCGGAAGGCCGTACACGCTGTTCCTCAGGCTCCTCCGCGTCGAGGGATCAAAGTCCGCACTTTGTATGGCAGGGTCCGCCAAGAACGTCGTGGGGATGGGGTGGTCAGCGTCGGGGCGATGTTGCCACGGTGACTCGTCGCGCCTCTTTGCTTTCGAGTAGCCGTCGTCCTCGGCATCCAGGTACGCGAGGTGGTCTTTCCGCACGAAGATGACGAGGTAGGCCTGCGGGGTGGTGAGGCGGCGCGCAGTGTCTAGGACGATCATGCACGTGATGTCGGTGTTGTGGAAGGCTCTGACGATGCGCTTGCCCAGGAGGAAGACGGGGTCTGTGCCGAGTTCTAGGTCGTGGAATGCGGAGATGGCAATAGGTTTGTTTGACTCGGTGGATTCGGTGGCGAAGGGATTCGAGGGAGGTGCGTCGAAGTCGAAGTCCTCATATTCTTCGTCCTGGTCCTCGTCCTCAGCGCCGTCTATGTCTTCGTCTGAGAGGTCCTCGTCTGAGATATCTTCCAAGTGGCCGAACTCGAACTGGTGGATGCCGGCTGGGCAGAAACCGTCGCGGCGATCGGGGGAAATCAGTTTCATCGCGCTCGCTGGCAGTGACGGTAGCTTGAAAGGGGAGTCTGGTGGCGACGGAAAGAGCTGCGTCGTGGATGCCTCATTTGAAGCGTCGAGAGTAAGGCGGTCAAAGTTGGCTGGTAAGTCTTCATGCCCTTGTCCTTGTCCTAGCTGCATCGTGGGCAAATCACCTGTCTTTACGGCCTTGCAGGGCAGCGGAAGCGAGTACTGAAGCTGTATCTGACCTTCGGTGGCCGGCATGATGTTGGTGGTGTACGTGTTAGTTGTGGAAGAGCTCTTTGAGTGTGTAGAGTGTGTAGAGTGTGGGAGGAATATTTGTCGGAGAGGTGAAATAGGTGGCTGGGGGGCAGCCCGTAGATCATTTGTCTGGTCTCGTGATTCAGAGCGCTGGAACCACAACTTCACACGTTCGCATCTTGGGAACTGATGACGCGTGTTTGACAAAACCGCGCCGAGCCTAACCTGTTTTATCTTTCGGAAACGATTGAATAAAAGACGTTATTGATAGAGAAAAACAGATACCAAAGCATCTTGGCGGGAATAGCTGAGAGAAGGGTTTTGAAGGGGTTGGAAAGTATAGAGGCGTAGGGACTTAGTCTTACAGGCTGGCAAAGACAAAACCTGGCCATTCGCCGTATGGTATCATTGCTCTCCATGGTTAACATGGTTTTTTCTTGCTGGCTCTCATGGTATCGCAGCCTCGGCGACCCTTTCGCCCTCACTCAGGGCGCTTTCGTCTCGTGTTTAGGGCCAGTCATCAGTACCTCAGAAGTCAGCAACGCATGGAGCAGATCAGTTCATATACTACATACAAGCAGAAAATGCCCACTAGATAACAAAGAGACATTTATCAGCACGTTTTTCTCTTCTGCACGCGATCGTAGTCAAAAGGGGATGCCGGTCACGTGATGTGGAAAAGCTGAACCATAGCATACGACATATCTGCGTCTCTACCTCATGCACATACCTCAAATTTCCAGCTCAGCACAATGATTTAAAAAAAATGCGTGAAGCGATCTTGAGGAAAACGAAGTCTAAGCAGCCTCTCTGAAGAAGGCAGCGAATCTGGAAGTTGGATTTGAAGGAGCGATCTGAGCAGGAGGTAGTGAAATGGCCTCCTGGTTTCGCGGCATATGAAAAGGAGTCTCTCCAAGCCCATGACGAAGAAGGAGAGCTTTGGAACTATGTACCGTACTAAGAGAAGGCCCGAGGGACCCTGAATTTAAGCCCTTGAGGTTCTGAGACGTTCAACTCCAAGGCTTCCGAGGAGTGATCAAACCTTCAATTCAATGCCATTACAATGGGTTCGTGCGTCTAAACTCATGTCTAATAGTCAGCCTACCTGCATACTCGAAGCTCCTATCACAGTTTCTCTGCAGGCGTCGTGCTCTTCCGCTGCAAGCCGTCCTGCATTGCTACCAGCAGCTTGATGTGCTTCTCGCTCATTTGTACTCTCTCTACTCCCTTTTTACCTTCCCAATCCTGTTCGGTCAGCTTCTCTGCCGCTCGCCACCGATCCATCTCGGCTCCTACCCATTGAGCCATACTTTCCGCTGTCTCTCCGACCTTTTCCATGGGAATCAGATGACCTGTCTTCTCAAATAAAACCTCTTTGACCCGCCCTTCTTTCACTCCTCCACTGCCTCCAACACCGACTCCCGTCATCGAGAGTTTGTCCGCACGAAACTCCGGCGTTGAAAGGTCAGAGAGTTCCCCGAATACGTAGAGAACTGATGGACGCAGATGAGGCAGTTGGTAGAATGTCTGTATTGGTTCAGGTCGGTAAAACGGTGTCTCTGGGTTAGCTCTCGCATCAAGATCGGGGTGAGTTCGCCGGTCGGGTGGCGATGGTGAGAGGTTTGGACGTAAAAATGTGAAGACCTCTTGATGTTTTGTGGTGGTGAGAGTGACCGGCCTAGGCTGTGGTGGCGTCGGAGTCAAAGTCGGCTCCGTGGTAGATGTGGCAGGATATGGAATTGTGGGCGTTGAAGTAGAAGTTGGATATAGCTGGGTGGGCAGCTCCCGCAGACCGTGTTTGATGAAACGGTCCAGAACTCGTGGATCCCATGCTTGGTAGAATTTGCTCTTCTTAAACGACTTTTCAGCGGCCGCGCGTGATGGCCAAAAATCTCTCCGTCTGGCGGATGCCTGGGCTGGGGCCCAATTACCCTTGGCAGAGCTCACACGTTGCACGACCGGATCAACTAGGATCAGAGTCTCGAAGAGGCGGGGATGAATGAGGCTGAGGTTAACAAGTTGGCATCCACCCATGCTGTGGCCAAAACCTATTATTGGTCGAGGCATCTGAGCCCGGAACTGGTTGATCATGCTGAGGAGGTCTCTTGAATGGTCAAACCACGATGCTGTCGCGTTGTTAGACACCCCGCTATATGAAGGATTGAAGAATGCGTACGGTCATTGCCAAGTTTGCCTTCATTAAGTACTCCACTGGCATTCTGTTGGGCAACGTCTGCTATCCATATACCACGGATAGAAAATCCAAATTGCTTCGACCGTCGGAGCACGTCGTCCCATAGTGGCTCATACAGCTCCTATAGGACGTCAAGAAGGATCTGTCATAGGGACGAAGCATCGTTACCTTTGGGAAGCCGTTGGCGTGTGCTCCGATTATTGTGATGTCTCCAGGCTTGGGATGTGGATTGTCTAGCGGGGTATACTGCTTGATGGCCAGATGAAGGACTTCTTCTTGCTCATGTACGGTTGCGTGCGCATAGCCCCGTATGTGCTGACCAGACAGCGTGTGCTCATCGATACGGAAGAGAGATGTTGACATAGTGAGCGATTGGTCCAAGGATCTCCAAACGGCGACCAGTAGCAGTTTCAGATTATATCCCTATCTGAAAATGTTGGATGCCGCGTACCAAAGAAGTAGATGGTTTAACCTCTTAGACAGGGGATGAAAATCCGTTATTTGCGTATAAGATTATATGAGAAGTAGCTGTTGAATTACCTGATACAGCTGCCGAGGACTCAGGAGCCGAGGCTATGCGGATACGTTGTCACTTAGGGGAAGTGGTGAAGAGGGGAGGTCAGAGAACTCATCGTTCCGAGTAATGATGGTTCCGAATAGTGATCGTTCCGAGTAATGAACATAAGAAGATAACACGTGAGCTTTAATTGAAGGCAGAAGTCGCTACGTGCGTTGAGATTTGTCGATGATTGCAAACATGTGACCTCGCCCGGCGGGAGGTTCTCCGCAGTGGCGGTGAATGTGGCGCGCTCTGTGGCTGGTGCTTGTTAAAGTCGCGTCGGGCATCCATTCTGGAACGCGACAGCCCACCTCTGTCAACACAGCACTTCTTCCCCCACCACATACCCACCATGGAAGACACTACTATGATGGAGGACGAGAACCGGCCTGTATTTCAGGATCTGGTGTTTGCTGTTATACCCAATGGCAATGCTGAACGAGAGGAGCAGGTCAGTCCAAGTGCAGTCTTCACGCGCCTCTTTTACCTATGTACTGACCTACTTCCAGATAAAAGAAGACATTTTAAAGAACGGAGGGCAAATCCAGGAATTCGACCTAGAGAAGGGTCGTATCAAGGACCTCGCCGAACTCACCCATATCATCTCCAGCACCTCAGACTTCCCAGACTTTGAGGCTACTCGCGACCAGTTTACGCCCCACGTCGTCAAGCCGAACTGGATACCACAAAGCATCTACAGGAACAAGCCTGCCAACCCCCGGTCTTTCAACCCGGATCCAGCCCTGTTTATGAGCAGCGTGACCATATGCGTCGGCAGCGATCTCCCGGAAGCGGACAAGGACAATATAATTGGTCTGGTGATAGCGGTGGGAGGCCAGGACTCTCCTCTGCTCCTGAAATCGGTCACACACCTAATCGCCTTGAATATGGATGACCCGAGGTGTCAACTCGCGGACAACAAGAACCTGAAGTGTAAAAAAGTCCTGCCTCACTGGTACGTATTTTGTTCTATGTTGCCACAGAATTGGGAGATCGCTAACGTAGAAGCTAGGATTGACGATTGCTTCAGACTTGGACGGATGCTGCCCACAGGGCCCTACACGCTACCTGACCCCGACATTCTGAATAACTCTAAAGACCCTGGTCCTATTGGCCACTCCGCAACTAGCCAACATATCCGAAACGCTACAACTCCTTCTCCGACCGAGATACCTACCCCCATCAGCTCGCCAGGTGCCAGACAGGCCCGATCTATACCTGCGTTCAATGGCAAGAAAATTATGTTGTCTGACGACTTACAGCTCCAATCACGTATGAGGACAACGATTGAGGAGCTTATCAGCAACGGAGGTGGTCAGATGACCTCCGATATCGATGAAGCGGATAGCTACGTTTGCCACTACCGAAGCGGTTTGGACTACATCAAAGCGTCACAGGCCAAAAAGGATGTAGGAAACCTTAGTTGGTTATTTCATCTCATCACATACAACACCTGGACTTCTCCGATGCGGCGACTACTTCATTATCCAATACCCAAGGATGGGATTCCCGGTTTCGAGAATCAAACGATGAGTCTGTCGAACTACGCTGGCGACGCGCGTGTTTACCTGGAAAATCTGATCAAGGCCACGGGAGCGCAGTTCACTAAGACATTTCGACAAGAAAATACGCAGCTTATCACAGCTCACGAAGGAGGGCAGAAATGTGACGCGGCCAAAGAGTGGAACATAGATGTCATTAATCATCTTTGGCTTGAAGACAGCTATGCTAGATGTAAGATGATGGCTGTTACAGATCCCAAGTACACGTATTTCCCGCGGAGAACAAACCTGGGCGAAATCCTCGGCCAAACCCAGATTGACAGGGAAGCGGTTGAGATGCATTACTACCCTTCACATGACACTGCAGTTGCCAACATGAAAAAGCTATCCAAGAGGGGTAGACGAGCAACAAACGGCGACAGCACGGAGCAGGCTACTACGCCTCTCGTTGCTAGGACCAAGGGGCGCATTCAGAGCGAGGCAGACCTCACGACGCCGGTAATGGATCGTCATAATAGCGAAAAGGAAAATGAGATGCCTGGCACATCTGGTAGTCGCGGAGCAAAGGCGAGGGCTATGTCGAGAATAGCCGAGTCAGCCACCGATATTGCTCTATTCCAGAAGGAAATGAAACGAGCCGGAGGCGTCCTCCATGGAGGAAAGAGGGAAAACAGCGCTGGAGATACGACAGAGAAGACCAAGAAAGGTTCTCGTGAATCTACAGGTAGCAAACGATCTTTTGATGAGATGAGTGTTGACGAACCGTCGATAGAAGAGGAGCTATTGGAGGCACCCAAAAAATCTAAGAGAGCCAAAAAAGAGAAGGAGAAAATGCCGCCTATTCAGTATCGCGTGGTAGTATCAAAATACGATCGATGGGCTCACAACGCGAAGAAAGAGGCAGATGACAAGGTGAGTAATTTAGGCGGCCCAATTGCCACACATTGACTAACTGTTGCTCTAGATTAAGCTCCGCGAGCTTGGTATCGCTATCACGGAAAAAGCAAGCAACGCCAACATGCTATGTGCTCCAGTAATTGTTCGAACCAAAAAGTTCGTAACCGCCCTAGCTGTATCGCCCACCGTAGTGCACACATCGTACCTGGACTACGCCCTCGAAAACCACGAGCTATCACTGGTAGAGGACCACCCTTTGCTGAATCCGGAGTTCGAAGCTCTGCATGGTTTTAGGATGGACGAGTCACTAGTGCGTGCTCGCGAGAACAAGGGGCGGCTCTTAAAGAACTGGACCATTTTCTGTACCACCGCGGTCTCTGGAGGGTTCGACACGATGAAGGACATTGTCGAGGCGAACGGGGGAGTATGCTTGAAGTGGGAAGGCCGGAAGTCGGTTAGGCCTACCCATCGCACCGTCGACGCACCAGAGACCCAGGATATGAGCCAGAATCTAACGGAAGACGACGGCAACACATTGTACCTGATATCCGAAGGCAAAAAATCCGAGGTCCCCATGTGGAAGAAGTTCAGGGAACTGGCTGCTGAGCACAGCATGACACCCCGGATCGTCAAGACAGAATGGCTACTATTTGTTGCTATGGCGCAGTATATCCACTACAAAGAGGAGTGGGCGCTGGACGAAGAGAAGCTGAAGGAGGCTTAGGCGAGGACCGGGAGGTTGTTACGGTGGTCGTTCAAGGGCGTGATACTTCGGCAAAGTTTCCGGCTCTGTTCCTTGGTATTGGAATTGCTTTTTCGCAGATTCCCCATACAGCAAGCATATCCTTCTAGCTTTACTGTTTAGGGATATTTTGTCATGAGAGGGTGCAGCGACTGTAAATTATACCTCGATACCGGGTTGCTTTCAGGCTGATATCCTGTATCCTTACAAGCGTTTCTCGAGTCCTGTGAGGTTATTAGCATCTCCGGAATGAGCAAAGCAGAAATGACCACGTGGAATTCTCGCACATACCTGGTGCACGTCTTCAATCAAGCGTCCTCGCAGCATCGCTGCCCAAACTCCCCCAAAAGCCCAACGACTCCCCAGATAGATCCGCAAGATCCACTTTAGATTTATCCACCAATGCCTCTCCACCGGCATATCTCCAGCATCCGATCAGAAGAACTTGACGCCCTCCCCGCCCTCGGCCCCAAACACCTGCGCCCGCCCCCGCTTCACGCTAACCCCGAGACACCTACTCAGCAGCTCGGCCTCCATGCCGTGGAACTCCTGCCCGCGCGTCGCGTCGCCCTCGGCGAGCTCGTACAGCGTCAGCACGACACCCTTCTGTCCCGTGCTGTCCACCCACCCCTCGATCAGGTTCGCCCACTCGTCGGGCTTGCGCCAGAACACCCAAAACCGCCCGCCGCCCTCCTCGTCCGCCCCCCCGCCACCACCGCTCGGGTTGCTCTTCTTGAGCACGTTTGAGGACGTGGAGGGGGCTGTGACCCATTCCGCGCGGCTGTCGCCATCCTTGGAGCACATGTAGTCGATGACGGCGCGGGCGTCGCGCAGCGAGAGGCGCCGGTTGAGCGGGCGGTTGTGGAAGAGGGGCGTGGCGAGGGCGTCGATGAGGGACAGGCTGAAGAGGGCGTGGTGGCGCGTGTAGGCTTGGATGAGGAGGGACCAGGAGAGGAGCTGGGAGTGGCGGGTGGGCAGGATGGGCTGGAGGGTGAAGAAGGGGGGGTAGTTGTAGAGGGCGGGGAAGGTGAAGGCGGTTGGGTCGGTGGAGGAGGGCGCGGTGGAGGAAGAGGTGGAGGGGGCCACGGAGGGCGCGAGGGTCGTGTTGGAGGATGCGAAGGAGGTCATTGTTGGCGGTTAGAGTAGTGAGTCGGGAGGAGGAGGTGGGGATGTCGGCTTCGAGGTTGAAGTTGTGGTTGGTCTGAGCTTCGAGGTTCAGCCCTATGACAAGCATAGTGCCCCGTTTGTTACTAAAAGTACCAAATTTGATTGCTGTAGAAGAAAAACCTGAACAATCCTATGTTTGGCTACTTAATTTTTGAAAGAAAGCTCCTGATAGAAGTTCGGATCTTCACGTTGCATGGATTTCAGACCATAGTTCCATCTTTGGCTACAATAAAATATATCCTATATTGATATACACTGACATCTTAATGTTAGTCCGCAATGCTTATTTTGACAAGAACGCCAGCTCCCATTATTTGATCACTTCATCTGCACCAACATGCTCTCAACATTCTCCAAATATGACCTCACATCCTCCGCACAACGAGCTGCCGCAGCACCATCCACGACTCTGTGATCCGCACTCCAGCTGAAGACAGCTTCCTCCTTCTTGATTAGCTCTCCACCCTTTCCAAAAGCTGGTACAACTCTCGCTCTACCAACGCCTAGGATCGCGACTTGAGGGCTGACGATTACAGGCGCTACTGCCGTCCCACCAATGCTTCCGATGTTGCTCAGGGTGAAGGAGGCTCCGCTCAAGTCTGCATTGGTAAGCTTCCCAGAACGAGCGAGAGCACCCAGTCTTCCAATTTCTGCGGATATAGCCTCAATCGAGAGCGACTGCACATTTTTCACAACCGGAACCAGGAGACCGCTCGGCGAGTCAATTGCGATGCCAATGTTGTGTTGTGCTTTTACAACCATCTGAGGTTTCTCGGCGTTGGAGGTGTCGAGATGCGAGTTGAGAAGCGGGTGCTTCGAAAGAGCTAGAGACACAGCTTTTACGACGAACGGAAGGGCGGAGAGTTTCTGTGACTTCTCCTTCGAAGCATTGAGGCTCTTGCGGATAGAACTTAGGCCAGTGAAGTCTACGTTGTCGGTGTAGAGGAAGTGCGGTATGGAGAGCGAGCGTGTCATTTGCTTGAACATGCCTTTCTGGATCGGTGTGAGCGGTCGGATCTGGTCCTCAGCCTGGGGCTCCGGTGCAGCTGGAGTCGACGACTTGGTAGTTGTGGGTGTCTCTTTCTGAGCGGCAGCATACTTCTGCACATCTTCTTTGGTAACACGGCCCTCTTTGCCTGTTCCTTCTATATCTTCTATTTGTACGTTCAATTCTTTCGTCAAATGTCGGACTGCGGGTGTTGCTAGGCTAGCATGTTTCCCTACCGCTCGTGGTGCTTGCCCCTCAGAGGGTGTGGACGTTGTCTCTGGCTTCGCCGGGAGAGTTTGAGGTGGGGGTGGTGGTGGTGCGTCTCCAGTAGCTGCCTTAGTATCATTTCTATCCACCTCTAATCCCGCCTCCTGACCCCCCGAGGGTGTTGGCCTCAATGTAGGAACGTTGGAGTCGTTGTCGTTAAGAAGGGCTTCGTCCTCGGGAGATATGTCGCTTTGGATGTCGATGTCTACTAGTGGCTTCAAGAAGTTAGAGCTTGGTCGTGCAATACGTGCTGAGTACCATACCTTGCCAACCTTGGCCATGTCATCCTGCTCATAGTACAGCTTCTTTATTACCCCGTCGAATCGCGATGTGATCTGCAGGCCTCTTAGTATGTCCCACAACATGCTAGGCACATAGCGTACCTCGACTGACGCCTTGTCAGATTGCACCTCGCAAATTGGGTCGAACTGCTCCACGCGCGCGCCTGGCTGCACAAACCACTGTATAACCTGGCATTCCGTGATACCTGCGCGGGGTCAACAAATGGCTCCATTCCTGCATCATCAGGTCATAGCATACCCTCTCCAATGTCCGCGAGCAGATACGGCTTCACGACGTCCAGGGCCGGCGTGCTGTGGAACTGCCGTCGGAGGTGCTGTCGAGGAATTGCGGAGCTCTTGAAATGCCGGGACGCATACGAGACGCGGGTGGGCGCCGTACACCGCGAGAGCAGGCTCCCGACCTTTTTGGTGGCAATGTGCTTCATGGTAAAGGCTGGCGGAACGAATGTCAGAGGCCCATCTAAGGTTATAGGAACATAGGGCCCCGAGGTTACTCTGACGAAGCTGCAGTGAATGATATCTGTAAGCCGACGAGAGCCGAAGAGCTGGTGGGATAGCGCGGTTGCTGTGTAGCCAGCGAAGACGCTCGCTTTGTGGGGAGTGTTTGACGAAATGCCCAGGCGTCGCACAATGTGCCAGAAGCTCGCAAGTTAGCTAGATGGGAGCACTGTCTATTATCAACCTCTCCAGACTCTTTTCACACGTCAAACGCTGCCGTGCACCCCCGAGGCCCTCCGCCGAGAATCAGCGGCTCAGTCCGGCGGGCACAGTTAAAGGAGCCGCACCTGCGGAACTCCAGGTTTCTCTTCCGGGGCTAGCTGCAACAGGAATGCTCGTCTCCGCAATCCCATCGTCCAGGAACCACACGTGCTTGGTTATCTCTGCGCGGGTGGAAAAACAAAAGGGGGCTTGCCTCTCCACATGGAGATCGCTCTCCGACAACGTGGCTATCGTAGCATATTCAAACGTCACGTCGAGGTCTGCTTGGCGGTGAATGCTATTTATTACTCTCGCTATGACCCGCAACGCGGAGACACCCCGCTGATCAACTGGCTGTGCACAGAAGCCACAGCCCCACCTCCGCAAGTCCTTTTTTCAGTCCCGCAGAGCCATGCAGTCGATCCCTCAAGAGATTACGAAAGGAAAATGGAAACCACCCCGGCCGCGAAAGGGGTATAGAATTATTCAGAAACAAGAGTACGCCGTTTTCGTCAAGTGTCCGGATCCCACGGTGAACGCCAACCATGCCCAGCGCTAAGAGCTAGTTGAGGGAAATTATAATCGCAAAAGGGAGAAAAAGCAAACAGGCAATTTCGGGGTCATGACGATTTCCCCACCATGTCCTCCGCCAGCACTTTGCTCACGGCAGACAGCGCCAGCTTCTGCACCTCTGCCATGCTGCCGGAAACATCGACACAGATTACGTCCTTCAGTCTGTCGCGCTCCTTGGCATCTGGCTCCTCGAGGCTGTTCAGCTGGCTGATCACCATCGAGTCTTTCATGTAGTGGCCTTGCCTGGCCTTGACGCGAGCCAACAGCGTCTCCTTGTTCGCGCGGAGATAGATGAAATGCACCGCCACTTCGTGTTCTTGGTCGTACAGCGGCGCCAGGCGGATTACATCTCGGTACTTTTTCTTCAGCGCACTGCAGGTAACGACGACACCGCGAGCACCCTGATCCAGCGAGGCCAGCGCCTGGTCACGAAGGAGAATGAGCCAGTCCCAGCGGTCTGCGTCGTTTAGCGGGGTTCCGGCAGCCATCTTGTCGATATTGGCCTGAGGATGGAACTTTGCAAGGTTAGCGTACATTCCGCCTAACAAGTAGTAAGACTCACGTCATCACCCTCAATGTACTTCAAGGCATACTGGTCGGCCAGGAATTTGGCAACGGTGCTCTTCCCGCAGCCAGCAGGGCCAGTCACGATCCAGATGTGATGGTGGTTGTAGGTCGTCATGTTGCCTATGGATCTCTTGGTCGACGACATGGCGGACGAAGGACCGTAAAGTAGCGGCGGCTGGTGGGACTGGTCGTATGTTTGCAGCATGGTGATGGCGATGGTGCGAAAGTGTTGGCTAATTGCAGTGACGTGAGAGGATGCGATGTGTAAAGCGTGTGCGAGGAGGCAGCGTGGTCAGGCCTGGGGTGGATTGGTGAGAGGTGGCGATGTAACAAAGGGCGTCGTTGGGGAAGTCATATAGCGGTCCGACCAACGGTGGGGCCGGGCATCTTTTTAAAGAGCGCCCTCCTGATCTCGAAGCGTCCAATTCACCGCACAGGGGCGCCGCATGACGGCAGGGAGTGGGGAGGGTTCTGGCGCAGCCATGGTGGCCAAGCATTTGATGTCACGACCCGCCGCACGCCGCCTCCAGAGCGTCGGAAGAGCCCCCCAGCCGACTGGAACCAGCAAGAGGCCTGCGCCCGCGAATGAACGGCAGCAGCGGACGCCGCGCACGGCGGGCTGGGCTCGTGGTGTCGGCGTTTGAAGTTGAGCAGAGGCTGGCGCAGGCGGCGTGGGATGCAGTGGCGGATCATGGTCTCATCCGTGGGCCCTCCCCGCACTTTTTTGTCACGCTTTCGCCAAAAACCCTGTCCGTTGTCAGGTACTGCTGCGAGCGCCTGCAAGGCCGCCAGCACATCGTCTGCCCGCTCGGTCCCGACGTGCCAATTGCGCTCTGCCAGCGGCCGCGCCGTCAGCTGCGGGGGCGGGCTGCGCGGAGCTGGCTGCAATCATCTGGACAGCGTCGGCTGCGCTGCGTGAAGGGGCTCGAAACAAAATAATACCGCGTGGGGGTTCGTGAGAGGCCACGCTGCTTTCGGACCGTGCAAGGCAAGTCGGCACGCTTTCCCTGGCGGAGAACCTGCGAGCTTGCAGTGCCGGACGGGCAACTCGCGGCAGGACTTGCTAGGGGCTGAAACGAAAAAGAAAGCATCGTGGGCGAACAGGTGCAACTGCTCGTGTGCTGTACGCGCTCTCGAGCAGAGCTGCTGCATGGTGCGTCTGCAGCGGCTGCGGCCTCGAAGGTCGGAGAAGCCCTCGCGACGGCGCTGTTGCCCGAGACGGGCATGACTCTGCTGACGCAGCCGGTGGATTCGCGCGTGTCGCACCCAAGGAAGAGGAATGAGGAGCGTGAAGGTGCGTGTGGCGGCGGTCGAAGAGTGGGTGTCGTTGGAGCCCCGGCCCGCGTCCATCGTAGGGCTGGAGGTGGCTTGGCAGTGAAACAAAACAGGATACAGAACGTGCTGAGTCACGCTGCGCTTGCCGCGTTGGGCAGCCGCTGCCAGAGAGCTCAACTTCGCCGTGACGGAGGCGCATCGAGGTCACGGCATCCCAGCAGCCCACACCAAGCTATCACCCCCTCCGCCATCGACGCACGCGCTCGGACGGCTCGCAGCTAGAATGTCCTACTTCTTCTCCACCCCCGTCGACATCGACATTGTGCTGGAGGACGGCGACGAGCGGTCAACAGTGGACGTCAAGCTCGAGAAGGCCCGTAAGGAGAAGGTCCCCTTGTACCTCGATGGCGAGTCTGTTAAGGGCGCCGTCACCATCAGGCCCAAGGATGGAAAGCGCCTGGAGCACACGGGGATCAAGGTGCAGTTCATAGGAACAATTGGTGAGTGGGAGACTCGCATCATGTCCAATTGCGTGGCCCATCAGGCACCCCATTCAGTGATATAGACATGTTGCTAATATACTGCTCAATGTAGAGATGTTCTTCGACCGCGGCAACCACTACGAGTTCCTCTCCCTTGGCCAAGAACTGGCAGCGCCCGGCGATCTCCAGCACCCCCAGACCTTCGAGTTCAACTTCAAGAACGTAGAAAAACAGTACGAGTCCTACAACGGCATAAATGTCAAGCTGCGCTACTTCGTCCGTGTGACGGTGTCGCGGCGGATGCAGGATGTAGTCCGGGAGAAGGATCTCTGGGTGTACTCGTACAGGATCCCCCCGGAAACTAACAGCTCCATCAAGATGGACGTCGGTATTGAGGACTGTCTACACATTGAGTTCGAATACTCCAAGTCGAAATATCATCTGAAGGACGTAATTGTGGGCCGGATATATTTCCTGCTGGTGCGGTTAAAGATAAAGCACATGGAGCTGTCCATTATCAGACGCGAAACCACGGGTGCTGCGCCGAATCAGTACAACGAGAGCGAGACTCTGGTCAGATTTGAGGTTGGTCTTAGCTTTTTGATAGTGTCTTTTGCCACGTGCTGACGGCTTGCAGATCATGGATGGCTCCCCCTCAAGAGGTAGGATTTAACTTCGATGTGTTGGCCCAGCGCTACGACACTTGAGTGGATGATTGGTGTGCTGATACCACGACAGGAGAAACCATTCCCATCCGACTCTTCCTGGGCGGCTTTGATCTGACGCCAACATTCCGAGAGGTCAACAAGAAGTATTCGACGCGGTACTATTTGAGCCTGGTTCTAATCGATGAAGGTATGAAACATTGGATATTTCGTCGTTTGCGTTGTCTCACTTTTGCATAATCCATCGTTCTGAACGCAACCCCTGCAAGGGAACAACCACTGACGAGCTACTCCAGACGCCCGACGCTATTTCAAGCAATCTGAAATTGTCCTCTTCCGGCAAGCGCCGGAAGGGCTGACACTGGCGCAAGAGCAAAACAAGCTGATGGCGGTATCGTGAAGCTCCTCAGGACATTTAGGCTGAGCGGCTCCCGCTTTACCTCCCGCTAGAGTTACCGGCCCACTTCCGCAGACTAATGCCTAGCGCCCCGTCCCATAGAATGAGGAACGAACCATATTGGCAATAGAGCTTGTTCTGACATGGGCATCGGGAACCGACAGACGACACGCTTGCAGATGCACGATTCAGAGCGTGGGAGTGTACATAATTAGTTACGAGCAATCCTCAAATCTACCACCTCCATTCCATCGCCCACGATTCATGAGCTTCACCGCCGCGCCGCTAGAAGCGTTAGAACAGCATTTTCCTTGCCGGGAGCAATCTAGATGGGTTGCAGTCGTATTTTGGTCGCAGGTCACGAATCCCGCACGACGTAGTGAGGCAGGCAGTGTTTCAACGCGATTCCCGTCACCCACATAGAGGCGGTGTGCCTCGGCATCAGGACCACACATCGGCCTTTGATGCCACCATTCCATATGCCGACTGCACGGGCTGTATCTGACTAAATTCTCGGCCAGGCAGGTGACCTGATTGCATGTGAGCAGGCGCAGGGCGCATCACGACATCAGGCATTCATACATATCGATCTGCCACTGCTGCCACGTACCGCATCGCGGAGCAGCATTGCCCAATGCTTCACGCTGACGTGCAGCTCTGACGCTCGAGCAGGGTTCTCCACAACATTGGCCATGCACGGCAGGTGACTTTGACGCAGGCAGTCGTCGAACGCGTCGAATCAATTATCCGCTTTCGGAGGCCAACATCCGCCCATCCTTCTGCATGACATATCGTGGCCAGGCCTCCGGATCGTCCATGTCGTTATCGCCAGCGGCGTCGGTAGACGAACCCTTGCATCCGGGGCGGTAAGCGCGCCGTGCCGAGGCGACTCGAGGGAATTTACGACGGTCCTCTGCGTGGCCAGCATTGCCACGTTTGGCCTCGAGGTGGTGGTCCAGCATTTCTTCGTGTTCTATTGGCGTGCAGATGTGACGGACAGCGCAGCGATGGTATATTCCCCAACTGACCTGTCGGTCGATGCTTCCGGAGACGAGACCGCGGTAGCGACATCTGACAAGTGCAACATCTGACACAGAATTGTCACTCCGAATGCCATCGAGTTGGGGACGCTTCGGAGCCCGTTCAGAGGTTCAGGCCGAAGCCTGGCTTCAGACTGAGGGGTTGGAATCACCGTTGCATGCCCGGAGTTGCTTCACGATCCCATTGAGATATCGGACACGTCATTCCCTTCGGAATCGGATACATACGTGGAGTACATGTTGTGTAGCTTGCAGACGTCAAGCCCGAAGCAAGTATTCCTGCCAACGCTCCTCACATGGGTACGAGGTCATGTGGAGCAATGTGATGGTGACCCCGCTTCATCCCCATCACTGACCGATTACACCGCCCAAAGAGCAAGACATGTACTAAAGCCTACTTCACCGCACGCTGCCAATGCTCACCAACAGGACACTAGTAGTCAATTCATTATGCAGTGGGGTGAATGAGCAAACATCGACCCACTGACGTCCGCGAGCTCACCTGAGCATAAAACCTTGGAAGTCAATTACTAACACGCTGCCAATTACAGGCCGTATATTACCGCAAACAAGACCCATTCTCGGAGATCTCCACGGCACCGCCACAGCGACTGAAACGCGGACGCTTGCCCGCCTGGGGAGGGAGCGGCCCGACTATCGCGAGAGTCGCCGACGGTGCCCCCACGTCGAAACTATCTCCACATGGATGAAGGTCGAGCGCACCCCACGCGCGCAAGATCGTCGAGATATTCTTTGCACCAATGCGGCCCTGTTGATCACGTTCAGGGCAGATCCTCTTGTTGAGGTTCCTGCGTCTCAGCAGCAGCAGCGGCTCCAATGTATCCGACATTTTACCCGGAGCTAATGGGGGTTTTGCGACCTGCCGATTGCGGATATTTTTCGGCATCGGGTTCTGGATCACACGATCCTTGAATGTCGTTACGTGTTGCGCGCGTAAGGATTGTGTTTTGTTCCAATTTTCCCGTGGTTGCCTGACGGGAGTGTTTCCGTGGTGCTACGGGCGTCAGTACCTAGTACAATAGGTGCACGGTGCTAATCCACTGGGATGTGGTGTGTAGTCAGCGGAGTTGCAAGTCCTAACGTCGTCGGTGACGCCTCCGAATCTGGACGCCGTGGTTTTGGTTCTGGTCTCGTGAAGGGTTATACACTACTCCAACAAGGTCATCACGCGAGCAGATCGGCCCAATCAGTGCGGCCTGGCATACTATCGTCCTCTTGCTGTGAAGTACATATGGTAAGAGGAGAAGCTGTCCATCCCACTGGTCATATACTGCTATCTACACGAGGTAATTGAAGCGATCGGAAATGTAGTCATCCAACGGTAAGCTCCATTGGGTAGGTCGTCCAAACAATCATTGCCTGCATTCATTTCTCTTAGCATTTTAGTTGAAAGCCTATCTTCATCCCACCTTTCACTATTCTCCCAGTGGCTTATCAGTCCCACTTTCTTTTAAGTCAACCGCAGGGAAGATGCTGCTTGTTCTCGATGAAATAGCGAGTATCTCCGGTGCACAAAAGTTGTGATACTTCAGCAAAGTTTCGAGGGAACAATGGACGCAGCTGCGTGCATGTCGCATGCCCTTCGCGTCTTTCAAAATTGCTTGGGCATGGTTGATAATGTTGGTACTCACGCCGAGGCCCGCATTCTAGTGATCAGAGACGCCCCAAGATCTCCCCGCAAACTCTAAATACACAAATAGGCCTGACTCCGGATCCGAGTTCGCGTAGTACAGAGGAACTATATACGCGACTTCCTCTCCGCCTATACAAAATCGCGTTTTATGCGGTTGATTCTGTCAGAACTTGTAACTAATCCAGCAATTTCCTTGGCAGAAGCGCCTCACCAAGTTTCAACCCTTCAAAGCACGAGGGTCTGATTCTGAGCCCACGGCCGTGCAGTGAAAGGGAGCAGCAACGCGCGCACGCCGCGTCCCGTCGCCTTCACGAAGCGTGGTTCATTCTGTAAGAATTAGTAACTAAACCGGCGGATTCGTGACCTGAGGCACCTCTGAGACCTCTTAAAATTTCGAGGCCATCCGTCTGATTTCAGAGCCGTGTTTTTGTAGTAAAAACAAACCACAAAAAGTGCGCGCCGCGTCTACCTACGCGTCCCCTCCGCGTGCATCAAATCTATAATCGCACGGTTGGTTCTGTCAAAACTTGTAACTAAAGAGAGCGAACTTTTTGCGGGAGCACCTCCGCCCCTCTTCCACATCCTGATATCGACGAGCCGATTCTGCTCCTGTAGTCCGAAGAAAGGAGTCGCTACGCTGCGTGTACCCTGTGTCTACGCCGCGTCTGCCAAAATTGGGTTCACGCGGTTAGTTCTGTAAGACCTTGTAACCGAACGGCACCATCTTTCTACGGCAGTGCCCCAGCACCTGATCCTAGAACCGTTGGCTGCGGCCTGATTTGAAGCCCTGGATTGAACGGCAGATTTGATTGTCTTGGTATTGGACCGCGATGTGTTGCTATTTCCTACGTCTTTACCTAGTCGAAGGGATCGCACGTCCCTTGCCCGAGTTCCAGTGAGCATGATATCAAGGTCTGATCTCGCTTGATATGCAGTGACACACCGAAAGAGAGTCGAGATCACGCCAAATGCTTTGACCTGGAACGCCCATGGTCCGATTCTCAACCTCTCGACAATGGAATCGGAGATCTTTTTATGTCGACCTGAAATCCGACCTCAGGACTTGGAGTCACATTTCGACACACTCTGAACACAACACCTTCACGACCGCCAAGTCTTTCCACTTCGGCCCCCTATATGCTTCTGATCACTCAAGCTTCACACAACACACTAATATTCCATCATCAAGGGAAAAAACCCATTTCAATCCTCCTAGCAACTACCCTAGACCACACGTCCATCAACTATCCATCCATACGTCCTCCCCCCACGACTGAACCAAAAGAAGGAAAAAAGCCCAATGCCACAACAGCGTCGCCAGAACGAGCTCAGAGAACGGTAATTAAGCTAAACCAAAAAAAAAAAATACGTCCTCCGTGATACAATTTTGATTCCCGTCAGCAGCTTTTTCCCAACCCTCTCCACCAACACGCTGCGTAACATCCCATCCAACTTTTCGTTATCCTCCATCCACCTTCCGAAAACCACGCTTTGTAGCGCGCCATTTCGTGTCCTCCTCTTGAACCATCGGTGCGCGTAAAATCCCCTCCCTACAACGGGACCCCCGGCACCGCCAAGCCCAGCGAATGCAAAATCGTCAAGCTCGCCGCCGCCTTCAGATTCGTCACCGCACCCGGCAGCGCAAATAGGTTATCCGCTAGGTTCTGGATCGTCGACACCAGATTCGTCGGGTCCGGGGTCGCCGGCAAGCCCTTCACAACGCTCAAGTCCGCCGGCGTGATGGTCTGCGCGGCGCTCTGCAGCGCGGCGAGCGACGAGAGGCCCGTCAGCCCGCCGAACTTGCTCGGGTTCAGCACGGGCAGCAGCGCCAGCACGGCAAACGCGGGCGACGCGTCCTGCACGACGGGCAGCGAGAAGAGGAAGGGCGGCACGCCGCCGCCGAGCACGCCCGTGATGCTGGAGATGACAGGCCCCAGGCCGCTGCCGCCCGCCAGGTTGTTGGCGATGCCGCCAACGAGGAGCGGGAGCAGGCCGCCGCCGCCCAGCCCGCCGAGTCCTCCCAGGCCGCCCGTCAGACCTCCAGTGACGCCGGTCACGGCTCCAAGACTGCCAGTCAGGCCGCCAGTGACGCCGGTTGCGCCTCCGAGACCGCCGCTCAGGCCGCCGACGCCGGGGAGACTAGGAAGACTTGGTAGCTGTCTCTCGTAGAGTTTGTCCTCCAGACGGGGGGCATCGCGCTTGACTAACCCCTTGATCGGAGCCACGGGGCCGAAGAGCGCGGCCGGGTCCTTCTTGAGGAGAGAGAGGAGGATGGCGATGATGGCGATGGGGACGGAGGAGAGCGGGTCGATCGGGGGGAATTGGAGGGTTGGGATGCCTGGGACAGCAGATGGCAGTCCTCCACCACCAACGATGGGGAGACCGGCCGTGGGGAGGGGAAGACCCCCGACGACCGGCAATGAAGGGAGCCCACCACCAACGACTGGTAATGAAGGGACCGCGCCACCGCCAACTATTGGGAGGCCGGCCGTAGGAAGGGGAAGTCCACCGACCACTGGCAGTGAAGGCAGCCCGCCACCAACAATTGGTAACGAAGGAAGCCCGCCACCACCAACGATCGGAAGGCCGGTCGTGGGAACGGGAAGCCGCCGAGGCCTCCGCCACCGACAATCGGGAGGCCGGCGGTAGGAATAGGAAGTCCACCAACGACTGGCAATGAGGGGAGCCCGCTACCAACGATTGGCAATGAAGGAAGTCAGCTACCAAGAACTCCGGTAGGCACAGGAAGACTGCCTAGAACACCAGTAGGTATAGGGAGACTGCCTACAGCGCTGGTAGGAAGGGGCAGGGCACCAAGAACCGAAGTAGGGAGAGGAAGGCCGCCCAAGAGCGGGAGATCAAGCGGCTCAGCTACCGGGGCAGCCTCACGTTTCGTGAGACCAGGCTGGGGGAATCCTGAAGCGCCACGGTAAATTAGCGACAAAATGCTATAGAGAACCGTAGCACCGAGACTGAAAACAGAGCTGAGCACGCCAGCTAGGTTAGGGAGGGAGGGAACGCCAGGGAGGCTGGGAAGTCCAGGGAGAGAGGGAACGCCGGGAAGTCCAGTTGGGGGAGTCAATCCTGTTGGGAGAGGGATGCCGGCCGTGAGACCGCCAATTGCGCCGATGCCACCACCAATGCCCAAGTTAAGTCCAGGCCCTTGGGGCAAAGAAACAAGAGTCGTTGGAATGGGTAAGCCTGGGAGACCAACACTAGGAATACTAGTGATGGGTAGACCAGGAATGGGCAGCCCAGGAGGGCCAGGAATTGGAACGGTCGGAAGCCCAGGAAAGCCAGGTGTTGGCAAGCCAGGAAGGGGTAAGCCTGGAAGTGGTAAGCCCGGAAGCCCAGTTGGGAGGCTAGGGATGCCAGGAGCTCCCGTGATATTTGTCGGGGAGGCAGGCAATGAGCGAAGTGCTGGGATGGGCAATGAAGGCAGAGACGGGACGGCAACCGATATAGCGATAGTTGGGATCGGAAGACCGCGCAAGCCTACTGACGGAGGTGATGGAAGAGCAACGGGCGGTAATGAAGGAAGTCCAGGAAAGGCGATAGGAACGCTTGGGACAGGAAGCCTGACAGGAAGGCTAGGAAGCGAAGGAGCTCTAGATGGAAGTCTAGGTACCGAAGGAGCTCTAGGGGTAGGAAGAGCAACAGGGAGTCCACTAGGAAGTCCCGGTAGCGGTAGCGAGGGAACCGCAACGGGTAGCGAAGGAAGCCCAGGGACAGGAAGGCTGGGAAGGGTAGGGATTGGGAGACTAGGGACGCCAACGGGTACGCTCGGAATTGCAACTGGAATGCTTGGGATTGCAACAGGAAGACCGGGGATGGGAAGACTCGGCGCCGAGGGAATCGCCACAGGAAGTGAAGGCAGCCCAGGGATGGGGGTAGACTGGAAACAGGAAGTACAGGCAGCGATGGGATCGCAACGGGAACTGAAGGAATAGCAACAGGCAGTGAGGGGACTGTAATTGGAAGGCTAGGAATAGCGGGGAGGGCGGGAACAGGAAGTGCAGGGAGCGAGGGGACTGCAACAGGCAGTGAAGGTACCCCAGGGATCGGAAGGCTGGGAATAGGAAGTGCAGGGAGCGAGGGTACTGCAACGGGAATTGAGGGGATTGCAGCTGGAAGGCTAGGAAGAACTGGGAGAGCAGGAATAGGGAGTGCAGGGATCGAGGGGATCACAACAGTCACTGAAGGAATTGCTACAGGCACTGAAGGAATTGGTACTACAGGCACAGGCAGTGAAGGAATCGCAACGGGAAGTGAAGGTAGCACCGGTATAGCAACTGGAAGGCTGGGAAGAGTGGGGACCGGAAGTCCAGGAACTGGGAGCCCAGGAAGAATAGGTATGCTAGGGGCAGAGGGAACCGTGGGCGGAGTGGGAACAGGAAGTCCGGGAAGAACGGGGATGGTTGGAGCTCCGATAACGATGCCACCTTGACGGAGTGTGAACACAAGGCGGGCCGGAGTGGAGCAAAGAGCTGTGTAGTGTAAAAGTAGAAAAAGTGAACTAACCTCCGCCAGATGCTTGAACGTTGCCAAGCGAAATAGCACCCGACTGCGCAGTGCTGAAGGGTAATCCTGGGATTGGAACAGGGATTCCAGGGACGACGGGGAGGGCGGGCACTGCAGGCCGCACTGCTGGCAGCGCCATAGCATCCATGGTGTTCAACATCGCGAGGATGAGAACAGCCATTTTAGCGTCCATCATGGTAGCGACGGGAGCTGATTGAAAGAACGAGTGGCGATGAGTAAGAATATCTCGATATATTCTCATATAACGAGGGAAGAAGAGCCGCGACGCCTCGTAAAAGGACCGGCGACTTTGCGAGAATAAGTACTATAGCCAAGGTGTATAACGATGCGGGTTGAACCCAAGAGAGACAGAGGTGTGCATTCTTCATCGATGCGCAAGGAATCCGTGGTACAACTGCCTATAGCATTCCATCCGCTTTGCGAAATACAACTATGGGGCCCAACTGTAGGATGCTATAGTGCCCCTTGCCTTGATGGTTACCTATTTTCAATGCCCATGGAATGTGTGGGAGCGATATAGAGATGCAACTCATGACGTCTTTCGAAGTCTATATGATGCACTCAATTCTTTGCTAATTGTGCGCGTCCGGTGTCGAAGCTGTGTCTTTTCCGCAGTTAGTAAAGAGTGCTACTTCTATGATACGTAGGAGAATTACCACGGTGGCACGCGCCCCCTGGCCGTCGTAGTCTTCATATTCCACCCACAGAGCAAATCCAGCTCCAAGGAGTGCCCCAAGCACTTTCTAGACAGCGTGTGTATGACGGTTTAGCCTCGCGAGGGCACCCTGTGACTTGCATCTAGAACCTCGAGAGATTCGATAGGCTCAAGGACTGAATGAGCCCATTGGAGCAACTGACAATGTTTCAAGCGGGGTAGCTACATGAAGCTGGGTTTGCTCCAGTCTGCTTTGCGGATTCGATTAGCCAACCCGGATTGCGTGTCAAGCGGAATGCTCATCTACCGCTCTGCAGGACCTGGAGTACCGGCTTGGTATGCAGCAAGGCATCACCCGGGCAGGATCATCGCATCGTGTGTTTTCCGAGCCAATTGAACTACGCAGTGGCTCCTCCCCTGGGCGCAAATCCAAAGCCCCCTCGTCCACTCGAGTTCGGCCCACGAGGCTCACGGATTGGCTGTAGTTCATTTGGCGTGGCCGGCCGACTGCCGGGTCCACTATCTGCAGCCTCTTTCTTCTGGATGTACACGGAATTCGGCTTGATCGAGTACGCCGGATCGTAAAGCTGTCTCCTCTGATTGTTCCCGGCTCGGGCAGGTGACTGATCATTGCTGGACGATGGCTGGCTGTCCCGCCCGCCTCTTCCCTTGCCCTTGCCTCTCGACTGCCGGCTAGGAGACGCGCGACCTTGAGATTCCTCGGCTGGGGTGGCTGAGGTCCCGAATAGTTTCTCGCGCACCTCGTTGTACTTGCGCTGCTTCTCTTCACGTTCGCGCTGAGTGCGTACGCGTTGCTCGGCTACAGACTCAGCCCTTCTCTTTCTTGCTTCCTCTTCACTGTCTTCATCGTCATCGAGCTTCAGCCCACCCATTCCCGAGGTCGCGTCGTTGCGTGACAGCACTTTTGGCGGCGGCTTGCGACTAAGCACAGTGACGCTCGGCTTGAAAGTAGACTTCAGGGGAACATTGTTCTTTGCTTCCAGGAAGAGGCGACTATCGGCGTTTTCACTAGAGATATGCTGTTAGCCCAGAGCTTGAGTAATTCATGCGAGACGTACGCGGAATCCCAGAGTTGCTTATTCAGTTCCTGATGCTTTGCTTTGCGCTCAGATTTAGATATCTTAACCTCGGCAGGCGGGTCTTCAGGTTGGGGTACAGAGTTCTGCTTCTACCAGGCTGTCAGCATTCTCTTGCACGAAGTATACTGGTACATCTCCAGCGCTCACATCGGCAAGAGACTCCCAGTCGTCGTCCCAGGCGTCGGGCACAGCAGCTTTCTTGCTCATTGCGAATTGTAGAGTAGTACGTATCTGCGGATGCTGATCTAATGTGTTCAGTGGTGTTAGTGCGGGAGTAGATTTGGTCTCGAGTGTGGGCTGGATGGAGTTGAAGTCCCTTGGTTCTCATCGGAGTGCAGGGGTCGTGAGGGCCGAGCCGCATTTCAATGCTTGAATGCCCAAAGCTTCAGCCCTACGCAACAACCACCCTCCCTCCCACTGCTGCCTCATTGAACCCCACTACACCACACTCCTGCATTACTACGCACCGTTGAGCTATCTCTGAGGCTCTTTAAAGACAGCACTACACTTCGTCTACACGTACACATAGACACGATGTCAGGTATACAGCTTGGCCCCGCCACCCTGCGACGTCAATAAGTCGACTCACCTCTCCCAGCAGACGCAGACGGCGACTCCCAGATGCACAGTTCCCCCGAAGTCGACGTCGACGATGACGAGATGTTCCCCGACGAAGCAGACGGGCCCAGCACGCCCACAAGACCCACGTCCGGTTCCCAACTCCCAGCCTCCGAGCTGTCCCCGCCGAACTCGCAGGGCCCATCGAACCTAGGCGGCCGGGAGGACCTGCTCTCCACCTTCAACCACAGCCCCTCGACTCTGAACGAGAACGGGAAGCGTGTGCTGAACGCGACACCAGCCTCTGGAATGCCCAAGTTTGCGGCGACGGGATCGGGGGAGCATCAGCACAAGCCCTCGGGCTATACGTGGGACAAGGCTGAGGACGAGCCGGGCTACGCGTGGCTGAACAAGAGGGCGATGGAGGAATACTATCGTGCCTCGGAGCAGATAGTAGACAAGAATGCGATGATTAGGAGTGCGTTGCCGTGATTGCCACTTCATGGAGTTGTATGCTGATAGGCTATAGACAAGTACGGCGATCCACTCGACACGAAGAGCTCGGCGAGAAAGGGAGGATCATAGTCTATTCTCATCTATGCTGGAGCTCGATTTCTTGAAGGCGTTTAGGCGGCATTGGGGGTCTGAGCAACCAAGGGGGGTTTATACGATTCCACGATCAGAGTTCTATCTGACATTTGCGAATGCGTTGATCTCAGAACTCTTAGCATGGATGTGGACTGTAGGTGCGAGGTTCTGGCTGGGAGTCCGGAGAAGAATAGTCTTGGTCAAGCGCTGATATGGCTGTGCTCCGTCCACACTCGCTAGCCTCAAAATGACGAATATTCGGGCTGATTGTTCTGTGCTATTATCTACAAATATAAATGCTCAACTTCTTGTCATCCGATTAAGTATTTAAAGTGAGATATTCAAGACTTGCGCATTCGCAAACATCACGGTGTAGAGACAAGTTTATGAAGAGGTACTGTAATTCAATTCCACCTTCTCGGTGCCCCGAAGTATTAAACATTACTGCCCTAAGCTACTTTTAAAGTAGCAATCTGATGCAGTCGTCTTCGTCAGCAATAAAGACGGTCATTCGGCCATACTATCATTCAAGCATATCCGAATCAACGTCCGTGTCAACGTCTACATCAACGGAAGACGCCTCCGTACCTGCCCTCGCCCAATAGCCCTCCCAATTGAATTTCAGTACTTCGTTGCCCCAAGAGGCCCACCCGGCCACGAGGTGCCTAGGAAAGATCTCGAGCGCGCTGTAGTCATCCGGATCCGGCATGAACGGTGCGATCAGGTCCTTCAAACACGGCTTCCTAGAATGCATATCCGGAACCCCTGCAATGACTCTCCTCTTAATTTCTTGAGCTGGTTTTGCGACCGAGTATGACGTATTGGCTGCTCTACCTAGCAGCAAGACTTCATAAGGCTTCCTCCAGACACTCTCCATAGAAAGAATCGGCTCTCCCTTAATAGTAGTCTTGATCCATATCCACTCCTCAACAAGTCCGACATTCAACCGCTTGAATAGCCCACCAGGCCCGAGGACTAAGTCTCGCAGCGCAGGTTTGTTGGTGATCCAGATGCCGACCAGGGCGTCGTGTTCGATGTAGAGGTCGAGATCCATTTTCAGAATCATATGTTTGAGTTTAGGAACGCTGTAGTAGGTAGTGTAGGAGCCTTTCCGCCTGGCTGAGCGGTTCGGCCATGGGGGATCGAGGAGGACGAAATTGAAGTGGCGTGGGAGCCTGTGATCCTCTGTGATTTCGCGGAAGGCTGTGCGGAATGGAGTTGGCTCGACGCAATCGTGCAAGAAGAATGTAGACTTCGGAGGGATTTTGAAGGTTAATTTGGGGGGATCCGGCAAGGATTCGCTTGCGGCTTTGGAGACGACTAGTTCAAGAGGTTGGCCGTAAGAGTTATGGAAAGCCCAGTCCCATGTCTCCTGAATGGACTTTGGCTCTCCAGGGTCTCGGGAGGCTTTGGAACCAGATGCATCATGGGGCTCCTCGTATGAGACATTCCAAGGTGCATTTGAAGGCCCGCCGGCGAGAGAGACGTTGAGAGAAGCCATCCTGGCGCTGAGGTCATCCTTGGTCTCCTCCTGGAGGCTTCTCAGGTGTTGGTCTAGGGAAGCTTCAGGATCCATGACTGGTGGGGTGCTTGGAGCTTCTCCCTTCGCTCCTTTCGCTTTTGAAAAGGGCTGTGCCATGACCTTTCGAGGAAGACACCAGTCTCCAGAGATGTTCGCTTTGATTTCCGCAAGAGCTTTGCTGACTAACTCGGCATAAATCGCGTGAAGCTCCTCGTCATACTGCTTGCCCACTTTCGCCTTTGCGGCCTCGGATTTAGGGTCATTGACTGAGAAAGGCTCTGCAATAGGATTGGAAGAGAGAAGTATGTCGTCGCTGATGCCCTGAGCTGTGGATATAGACAGCGGGATGTCGATGAGGGTGATATCGCGTGCGTCGTTTTGATAGAGAACGGGCGTGGGCGTCATGATGCAACTCGTCTGTGATGAATCCCCATTCTTGCCTTCATCGCCACCCAGATCTATGTGCTTTTGAGAGTGAGAAGCCATGGTTGCTGCTGCGAGGCGGCCTGGTAGCTTTAGGTGAACCGTTTTTCGACGCCTTGAGGTTGAGCCTATTACTTTGCCCACTCGTTGGGACACCTCAGACAGTGCTAAACACGTGTACCTAGATTTAGCTACAGTTTTGAGGGTGTGATTAAGTTACGCCAGCAAGGCTGATTCTTACAAAGTCTCTTCACGGACGCCTGACTGCATTGTCGAGAGTTGCTGAAGGCGAATCAATGTGTTAGTGATGTTGTTGGTGAGCCTGATCGATAGTCGCTGTGGCGCGCGAAACTTCTGGGTCACGCGACACAGCCAGGGTGAGTGCAAGCATTCACGTGCCAGACATACCAGAGAGGCTACCGCGCACAAACGGGTGAATTGCCAGCAGGTGATGTGAGAAAAGGACGAAGCCAATGGCGGTCGACGAGACGACGCTTTTCGTCGGGTAAGCTTTCGGCGAAAGCGGCGGACCGAGGCCAAAGCCAGGAACGTCATCCAGACCTTGAGGCTGATTCCTCCTTCACGCCGCCAGACACCGCCCGCATGGCCTTCATGCCTCGAGACAATCCCAGCGCACCCTGAACTCGGCCTCGTCTCCAATGCGCTAGCACCCTGGAGACACACGATCACACTGGGATGCCATCGAGCATCCTGGGCAGCCATGCCTCCGCTCTCCGCGAGTGGGGGGACCCGAACACGATGACCACCGTCCAAGTTGCGCCTGCACGGCGGTCGCGTGAGCCTGTGATATGCCCAACCGACGAAGAAGCCGTGGTGCCAAAGAAGCCAGAGCCCGCGCGCAAGGCCCACAAGAAGAGCGCTGAGTACATCCTCAAGAGCGGTCTTGCCGGAGGGCTCGCCGGTTGCGCCGTACGCCACCCCTCTCAGCGTTGCCGAAATAGCACTAACAATCACTTCAACAGGCCAAAACCGTTGTAGGACCGCTGGACCGTGTTAAGATCCTCTTTCAGACCTCGAATCCCAATTTCACCAAATACGCAGGCAAATGGAGCGGGCTACCGGTTGCCATAAAGGACATTTACATCGCCGACGGCCCTCGTGGGCTGTTCAAAGGCCACTCCGCCACACTTCTCCGCATATTTCCTTACGCTGGGATCAAGTTCCTCGCATACGAGCAGATCCGCGCACGCTTCATCAAAGACCACACCCAAGAGACGTCTGTGAGACGGTTCCTGAGCGGAGCCTCGGCCGGTTGCGTCTCCGTCTTTTTCACCTACCCGCTCGAAGTCATCCGCGTGCGTCTAGCCTTCGAGACGCGCAACGAGTCTCGCTCGACTCTCCGTTCCATTTGTCGAATAATCTACAACGAGCGTCCCCCCCCAATCCACGTCGAGGCCAGCCAGGCGGCCGTGTTAGCCCCTCTGACCACCGCCACCGCTGCAGTCCAGAAGGTTGCGCCGCGTTATGGCCTCTCGAACTTCTTCCGCGGCTTTACTCCCACCCTTCTCGGCATGCTTCCGTACGCCGGCGCATCATTTCTCGCCCACGACACCGCATCTGACATCCTCCGTTACCCATTGCTCGCTCCTTACACCACAATCCCCAGTTCGGAGGGTAGCGCCGTGGATCCAAACAAGCCTGCACAACTGCGGTATTGGGCCGAACTCGGCACAGGTGGCTTTGCAGGCTTTACCTCCCAGACAGTCTCGTACCCTCTCGAAGTCATCAGGCGGCGAATGCAGGTTGGCGGCGTGGTCGGAGATGGGCACAGACTAGGCATGGCAGAGGTGATAAAGAGGATAAATAAGGAGAGGGGGTATAGGGGCTTTTTCGTGGGCTTGACAATTGGATATGTCAAGATTATTCCCATGTCTGCAGTGAGCTTTTATGTTTATGAGCGGGGCAAGTATTATCTAGGGATATGAGATCAAGCGGCTGGCATTTTTTGTCTACATTGTCTGCGGCATAGGCGTTTATTCGGGAAACCAATAGACGGATCCTGCTCTGGGGCCTGGAAGAGCGCATGGTGTGGTAGTCTAGCATCATTCGATTGTAGGTCGTCTGTATATATTACAACAAGATCTGCGTATTTCCGAGGCCTGGTGATCTATGTCACGGGGTAAACCAACTCGACAGCGGATCCGCAAAGAATCTAACGCCCCTGGCAGTGTCGTAGATGTATATACAAGCTCTATCGGACATCCAACTCAAAGTGAAGATCATGTAGCCAACGCTCCGGTAGTCAATCCAACCCCCAATTTCACATTCCATAAAACGCCTCGTACACCAAATCCCACTTATCGCAGCCAAGAGCACCGGATAACCAATCTTCTAGTTCGTTATAGACGATTCCGGCATCTACCGGTCTGTATGTGTTGTCTCTCGTATCGGACTCTGCTTGTTGCACGATAGCTAAGCGACGTTGGAGGGCTCTGGAAAGACGCCACCATCAGTGAACCGAACAACATGACTGAGGAACCATTGGACAATTCTTACTTGTCTGCTCTATCAACACACTTCAACGTATCGTAGACGAAGGTCGGGCCCTGCCACAACACTTCTTCGCCAAACGCGACCTCAACTTGGCGACGGAAGTCTGCGTCATCGGCACGATGCTCATTGTCGACAATCCCCTTACTCTGCTCACAAGCCTCGTCGTGGCAGAAATACAGCGCCAGCCAGAGCGAGACCAAGGAGGTAATCGACATTTTGTGCAGAAGGCGGACCTTGTCGCTGTACGAGGCTATGCCGAAGTCAGCCACTTCGAACCGCCAACTCATTCAGCGTTGTACTAAGACGCTGAGCTTACTTTGGTCAGACACAGCATATATCAGCTTCAACCCCTCTTCGAATCTCGCCACGGCCAGCTTCGGCTGGGCCTTGCAGCTGCTCTTGACGATGTAGGACACGCCACTCATTATCCATTTCATCGTCGCGAAGCGCCGGAGAGCCGTGTGCATAGAGGGGTAGGTCGGCGCGGCCAGGCGGATCCCCATGCGCTCGAGGGTTTCTTGGGGGTAGCGCGCCATGATGTCTTTCACGGTCGAGGCCTCGTAGTTGGCTGTGAGGTTGCGGAAGCGGCGACATGTCTGACGGAAGGATACCCAGGATTTCGTAGAGGCTAGGCCTAGTTGTGTGCTGATTTCGAGGATAACTTCTGGAGGCACTGCATCGAAAGGGTTGTGGTTGGCTACTTGGATGTCCGACATGTTTGGGGGGGTGATGCGTTGTATCGATACTGGTACCAGGGCTCGATGAGAGCTGAGGCGTTTAGGGAGGTAGAGAAAACGTATAGAGGAAAAGAAAATCTGACGTACGCAAATTGTATGATGGTTGACTACAGGGTAGGAATAGAGTGTAGGAAGGTTGACTCCAGAGCACAGCTTCCTAATTTGGTCGCAATGGTATGATCATCCAAACTGAAATATATAACGGTTTCTTCGTTACCAGAACGATGAGAAGGTCTTCTAAGACTGAGAATTGATGAGCTGCTGGAAAAGATCCAAGAGGTCCCAATGTCACAATATATGGCTAGTGAAGGGTGCAGGTCACCCTGCACTCGGCATATGGCGATGAGCACTGTGTTGTCTACCTACTAGTTCTCTACTAGGTCATTCAGGTATCTAGCTACAACGAACTCCGCTAACAGCCGGCGCTTAGGACCGCTCGAAGGGACAATATGATCATGAGGCTATGGAGATGCCAGCGTTGCTCTGAGCTGTGCAGAGGTATGACAGGGTGTCGTCAAGAGCGATTGGTTCATGGATGACGTGTGATAGTTGAAAAGTGAAGACATTGTAAGTCTAGATTTCGCATTCGACGCGAAAATCGCGTGACAGCCCTACCAGCACAGTCGTTAGGAATCGTTGGGAACTTTGGCGAGTACCCGTTCTAGCTCAATGAACAAAGAGTACCTCGATGGTTCGGCAGAAGACTATACGCGTCCCTTTAGTGGTTTCTCGACAGTGTCACACTAAAACTGACCAAAAGCTTTTAACATCAAGAGCACGGTACAATACATCTCAACGAATGAACTTGCGACAACCAACAGGCTCGAGTACTACGTCCATGCTATAGTCGGAATCAACAGAAAGCGGTGATGATGCTGGATGTTTGAAAGAGATAGTACTGTGCTGGCTGCAGCATGCCTGGGACCGAAAGACTCCGAGTTGCTGCTCGGATTGAGAGTATTCCAACATCAAAGCTATATGGACTGCACAAAGGCCACCTGAAGCTCGCTCTGGCGCATCAGCGGCGCTTTGTTGTAGACTACACGTACGTCGTACGTCGTACGTTGTTCGTACATGCCGACTTCAAGGGGTTCTTTGGCACGGGAATAAGGCACACCGATCACTCAAAAGGTGGAGGATGAAGCTGAGTCACAGGGATCGAGACGCGGGCGAAAAGGTAATCATCAAGACCAAAGTCGGTGAAAAAGGGTGAATGGACACCCGTGACAGCTAACCGGGCTCCCGCACTCTTCGGATACTGTGGTAACTATTGAATTGTATGTAATCGGGTGTGCTTGTCACGTGCTGGTACCTTGCAGATGCCAAGCCGTCGATCGCCGAACTCATGCCCGTGAAATGTCGGCCGAAAGAATCGTGCTGACCTAACATGCAGCCCTGTGGCTCCACACAGTGCATAAGCAGTATCGGGATGCATGGTCGACGGGGTCGGTGAACTCGACCAGAATTGATCAAACGGTATGGGGAGGGGGGAGACTGTAGCTTTTTGTCACATGCTGCAGGCTGTCTAAAAGACATATATTTGCCGCTCACGGCCCCTTCTGCTTATCACTTTCCAACTTCCAATTTACTCACCTTGTTTACATTCGTCATGGGCGTGAGTGATCTGATTCGAGATTCCGCCTTCGGTCATCTTGTTCGCCTTGCTACTGGCAACAAATATCTCACATACGCTGAGGAACGGGACCCCAGCCTATGGAAGAAGTACGTCAACGAAGTTAAATCGCGGAATTTTGCGCACCATGGTCATGCTGGAGACGTATCTGACGATGATGCGGGGACACGCGAGGCTCGACATGTGTCTGAGGATTCAGAGAAGGACCTATCAGATTCAGAGAGGCCAGGGCAGCCAAAGGAGGGTATTCCTAATCTCGCCAGCGGAGTCAAGCTTGATCCAGAAAAAGGGAGGGATATCCATCTCATAGATTGGTATGGGCCTGATGACCCGGAGGTGAGTTCTGTCCTTTATTCCGCTACATCCAAAAGCTGATGTGAGCCAAGAACCCGCGCAATTGGTCCCACGCGAAGAAATACTTTGTCACTTTCGAGATCTGCTTGCTAACTTTAAGTGTTTACATCGGATCGTCTATCTATACTGCTGGCCTGTTGGGCGTCATGGAAGAGTTCGGCGTCAGCCAGGTCGCAGCCACTCTTGGTTTAACCTTGTTCGTCGCCGGTTATGGTTTGGGACCCGTAAGTGAAGTTGCCTATCAGACGTGTTCGCCGCTCATATAACTATCAGATGGTATGGGCGCCCATGTCCGAGATCCCCTTTATTGGCCGGAATCCGGTGTACATTGGAACCCTAGTCATATTCGTGCTCTTCCAAATTCCTACCGCTTTAGCCTCAAACTTTGGCATGCTCCTTGCCTTCCGTTTTCTCACTGGCCTATTTGGATCACCAGTCGTAGCCACCGGAGGCGCCAGTATCGGGGACATGTATCGACCACAGAAACAAGCCTACGGGTTAGGGATTTGGGGCATCTCCGCAATATGCGGTCCCGTTCTTGGCCCGCTTGTCGGAGGGTTCGCTGTAGAAGCTGAAGGCTGGAGATGGTCCATCTGGGAACTGATGTGGCTCTCTGGATTCTGCTTGGTATTCCTCTTCTTCCTTCTTCCAGAAACCAGCTCCGCCAACATCCTCTACCGCCGCACTCGCCGTATCCGCAAGCTCACGGGCGACGAAAAGCTCAAATGCGAACCCGAGATCATGGGCGAGCAAATGACTGGCAAAGACATCGTATGGATGGTACTCATCCGCCCCATCAGCCTCAACTTCACCGAACCCATGGTCTTCTTATTGAACCTTTATATTTCTTTGATCTACGCACTCCTCTATATCTGGTTCGAATCTTTCCCCATCGTCTTCGTCGGCATCTACCACTTCACACTCGGCGAGCTCGGCCTCGCCTTCCTCGGCATCCTCATCGGGGTCATCTGCATCATCCCCCCCTTCTTCTGCTGGCTATACTTTCACCAAGAGAAGCAATTCAACGAGCGCGGCGAGATCCAGCCCGAGAAGCGCCTCCCACCAGCCATGGTTGGCGGCTTCTTCGTCCCCATCTGCCTGTTCTGGTTCGGGTGGTCCGCGCGCCCGGACATTCACTGGATTATGCCCATCATTGGCTCCAGCTTCTTCTCCGTGGCTACCTTCCTCCTCTTCCAATCCGTGTTCGGGTACCTCGCCGATGCGTACCCGGACTACGTCGCCAGCGTGTTCGCCGGCAACGACTTTATGCGGTGTGGGTTCGGCGCTGGGTTCCCGCTGTTCGCGGCCGCGATGTATAATAGGCTGGGCGTGGGTTGGGCAAGCTCGCTGCTGGCTTTTTTGGGGATCGCGTTCATCCCGATTCCGTATGTGTTGTATGTTTATGGGGGGAGGTTACGGAAGAGGAGTAAGCATGCGCGCAAGGACTTTTAGATTGGGCGCCTGGGAAGAGTTTTAGAGTCGAGAGCATTAGACGGTTGGATTTGAGAAAGCTTTTGGCTAGGCAAGTGGTAATGGATTGATGACTGTAACGGTTTGGCGCTCATAACGGTTTGCGGAGTTTATAAGACTTTGTAGACCTTGTGTACGATATTAATGCTTGGTATTTCATGCAGTTGTCTTCTATGAATTGATTAGAGCGCAATGTTCCTCCTCAGATATCGATCATCGTACCCGTTATGGGCTCCTCCTGCGAAGTTTTGGCCGTTTTGTGACAATGTCGGCAGGTCTCTGATGACTCTAGTGAAACTCCATTCCGTTGTTAAGAACAGTCGACAAGATGACGGCGAATGATGTACCTAAGAATTGCCATATACACCTCACAAGAGATGGTGTACGTCGGAAGTCACGTCGTTCTCCGTAATTTTGCGAGGGTGTCAGAGCTTCGCGTCCACTTATCTATGTCGAGCATCACTGGGTGACACATATGCGGGAGAGAGTGTTTCGTGGAGCAAGTAATGATATTGCTACCTATGTAGGTCCACTGAGTGGCCTTCCGATGAAGACGAAACCCCAAACACCTCTCATGAAGGTGCATCCCATGCCAGCCGGACCGTCTCCGCGAGGGATACGAGCAGTGAGCAAATCAAGAGAATAAAGAGAATCCAGAGAAGAGCCTCTATGCCGAGTCCTCTTTCGGACAGATAGCCGGTCCGCATGTCGAGCAATGGTCAAGCTCCTGGAGCAGCACGTTGCACTGTATGCACCAGCGTCTGTCGTGGGGTTTAACCTGTTTGACATGTTAGTGTCTGCTGCTAGCAACAAAGAAGCGAAAGCAGACATTGAGGCACTGGATCAAGGCGTTGACGCATGGGCGGCAATCCTGGGCAACAGTGGCCTCGTTTGCGATGGATGGAGCGGTGGTGGCCACCTCTAAAGCCTTGCGCGCTTCGAGTGACTTACGCTCTTCTATGGCCTTGTCGGCATCACGCTTGCTGAGGCAGTCCTTGTATCCGCAATCTTGGCACTACACAGATTTGAATGATTAGTGTCTAGCTCTTCAATGAAATGTAGAAATAAGGATAACTCACCACCTGGCCACCCCAAAAGCAGGTGAGGTAGGCGCAGTCCGCGGTATGCTGTTTGTTGTTCGGGTCTTGCTATATACCAGTTAGTTTCTGTTACAGCAAGGCAGACAAGGAAGACTTACAGCACAGCAATCGACGTAGGTATTGAAGCAGTCGCCGCAGGTCTGGGTGGAACGATCGCTAAGACCCTGGAAGGCATCTGGGGCCTCAGCTGCAGTGGGAGCGGCTGAGGTCAGCGCGACGAGACCACCAACGACAGCAAGGATGGAGTTGAGCTTCATGATGAATGCTAGGGTCCGAACTGAGAAGTTGGAGTTGTTGGAAGAGTGTAGGATGTTGGTTGATGATATGGTGTGGAGAGGTTGTTGTGGTAGGAAGATGGTGGAGGAGAGAATGTGGAAGGGATGGAGAGGGCCTCTTAAGCAGCGCAGCTTGCGGGCTCTAGGCCGCTGCACCTGCGTTCACTGCTGCTCGTGAGTGAGAGCGCGGCCTTACACACCGCCTCTGCCCAAAGTGAGAGAGGGTGACTTCTTGGTCAGGGTGGCGACAGAGATGTGCCGATACAGTGTTGATACACGGCAGCGTAAGCCCAGCTTGATCGGCATATTCACTATCTGCGGCAGGATAGCAAGCTGAAGCCTATCGGTAATCTCATTCACCATTCACGACACACATTGCAAGCTCGCCCCTGTGCATGGAATGAAGAAGAAGCCTTGTGGCCAGACATTTGAAGTGTCGGATCAGTTTGATACCGTAGACGAAAGGGTTAAAGAGGCAACGAGTCAAAGACGTGAAGGGGCAGAAGAAGCAAGAAGCCTGTTGGAGAGAGGGAAAAGGGGGGAGGTACTATTGCCACTCATTTGATCTCTGGGTATACATCTGTTCTCCGCAAAAGCGGCATCTCTCTCCTTACCTTCTCCAAGTAATCCAAATCGATGTCTGCTACGGCTATCTCCGGCTCTTTCCACGACCCATCTTCGGCAGCACCCCCTAGCTCCGCTATCACCTTGCCCCAAGGATCAACAATAACACTGTGCCCATAGCTCCTTCGTGTCCCCGCCTCATTATGCATCCCACACTGGGCCGCTGCAATAACATAGCTCTGTGTTTCCACGGCCCTCGCTCTTAACAATGTACTCCAGTGGGCGATTCCCGTGGGGACTGTGAAAGCACTTGGATACAACAGCAATTGCGCGCCCCTTTTCCTCAACGCAAGCGAGATCTCCGGGAATCTGAGATCGAAGCAAATCATGCTCCCAACCTTGCCCACAGCGCTGTCGAATGGCTCTGGGATCTCCATGCCAGGCTCGACCGAGTTACTCTCTTTAAGGATCGGGCCGTCTTTGATCTCGACGTCAAAGAGATGCAGCTTCTGGTACCTGTGGGCAATTTCGCCGTTGGCATCGATCCAGATGAGGATGTTTTTCACGCGTTTGCTGGATGTGGAGGGTTCATGGATGCCGACGGAAATGGGCAGGGACGCGGCGCGGGCGGCAGAGCGCAGGCCGAGGACGAAGGGGGATGTGGAGGCGGGCTGAACTAGGGAGATGGTTTCAGCGGCTGTGGGCGCAATGTAGTCGCTTGCTTCGGGGAGGAAGAGAGCCTAGCATGCAGTTAAGAGGGGTTTGGGAAGAGTAATGGGGCAGTGATGGGAGTACCTTTGCGCCAGCGGATGCGGCCTTCTGGATGAGAGTGACGCATTGAGAGAGATTATGGGTCATGCTTGCTGTCGAGCATATTTGGCCGACTGCCTGTTTGGTGGAGGAGGAGTCAGTTGGCGTGATTTAAGTATAGATGGGTAGAATGGTTATGATTTTATTCCGAGGAAGAAGGGGTAATTTTATCGATGGGACTGCAGAAAACGGGCGAATGTGGACCAATGATGTAACTCTTTTCTAGCTGAGGAAATCAGGACTCTAAGATGGTTTTAATGAAATTGTAGTGCCAATGACTATAAAATAGAAGCGTCGCTTTCTGCTAGGATGTCAAGAACCTAAAGTACAGAGAAACTAGAAGGGAAACATCATGTATGACAATGAGAATCTGCCTTACTGCTATAGCCATCCTGGAAAATCTGTAGAGTTACAACGGGCCTTTGAGAGGTCAAGGAAACATAGAAATCGGTGACGGCGGTGGAAGTTGTACCTATTCTAAAGATGGGGGTGGAGATGTCGTCGGGCTTAGTAACAACCGTCGGAACAGTTCCAGCCCTGGAGACGTGTTTCAAGTGAGCAACTGGGAGTTTGCAACAACCCACCGCCCCCACGCCGTGTCCTCCGCCCTGGTCTGACGTCCCGTTTGCTCGAATTAGCATTCCGCACTGCCCACTGCCCCGGAATCCTGCACACGCGCGTCTAATAATACGAACACCTTTGCCCATCCCGCCGCACCACCTCCACCACCGCTAACCTGCTTCCTACAACCACCACCCCGACTATGCATCTCTCGAAACGCCGAAAACCTCCAGCGTAGACCTATCATCGAATTCGCGAACCTCACATTTGGTTAGAAGATACGGCGCAAGATGAGTGCTCCGGCACAGAACCCAAAGCAGACCTCCCGATGGGGTTCTTTGCTCTCAGGCGCCGTTGCGGGCCTCGAGTCACGCTTAGACACCATATTGGCGGAGGATGACCAGGCGTCGGCACGGGCGAGAGCTGCAGAGGCCAAGGCGAAGCAGGAAGCTGCGGAGAAAGCTGCAGCAGAGAAATCGAGGCTGCAGCCAGAGCCTGGTACGGAGCAGACATGAGCAGCTACTAGAATTATCATATGGGAAGCTGACGTGAAGTTTAGGCATATCACGAAATCCCTCGAGAAGCAGACCCAATTCACGGTTACAAGATCGGCTGGCAAAGGCAGTAGTCAAGGGAGCAGACAGGCCCAGGTCGAATAGCCGGACGTCGTCAGACCTGCCGTCAAGGACTGCTAGTCCCGCGCTGGGGAGTCCTGCATTGGCTGCAGAACTGGGTCGCACGAGCTTGGACTCAAAGGTTTCGGACACGACATCTGAGCCTGTACCGCAGCAGCTGCCCGAGAAGACCGATGGCCAGACAGCTGAAGATGCAGCAACAGAAGAGCTTCCCCGAGCCTCATTTGACGCTCCCCCCTCAGATGTTGCTACAACAACGCCATCCACATCAGTGCCAATACCCGAAATTAATGCACCCTCCGCCCCTTCACCACGAACATCTTTCGACTCAAATCCGTCTCGGCCCTCCTTCGACCTTTCTACCACCCAAGTCATCGAAAATGAGGAATTATCCCCACGAACCATATCAGAGTATGAAACAGAACTCTCCTCCCTCCGCAAAATCCACGATCAGACCCTCTCCGAGCACCGTGAAGAGCTGCATTCCCATCTCGAGCGTATCGACGCCCTCCAATCGAAACTCACCTACCTTTCTCAGTCTCTTGCCTCCCAAGCAAAAACCGCAGCAAAGTCTGCAGATTCAAATGACCCGCTTGAGAAGAAACTCGCGGATAAAGATACGCAGATTGCCGCGCTGATGGAGGAGGGGCAGAATCTTTCCAAGACGGAGTTGAAGCACTTGAATGCTATCAAGAAGATGCGTCTGAAGGCTACAGAGACTGAGAAGGACATTACGAGTCTCAAACAGCGGCTTTCAAGGGCGGAGAAGAGCATTGGCGATACTGTTGAGCGTGCCAAGCGTGCTGAAGCAGCCGAGAGGGCTGCACAGGAGAAGCTGAAGATTGTGGGGCGGATAGAGAAAGATGTGGATGCGCTGCGAGCAGAGCGTGAGGAAGCGGGGTTGATGATAGGGGAGCTGAGACGGCAATTATCGGATGCGTTGGCTAGGGCTGAAGAGGCGGAAAGAAGAGCAAAGTCCGGGCAATTGGAGGCCGAGAGGAGAGTGACGGCAGACCTTCGCGAAGACCTTGAGAATACTCGAATAGAGAAGAAACTGGCGGAAGATCGATTCAAGAAGGAGATCCAGGAGGTCAGAGAGGATGCTGCGAGACAACAAGAACGGGCCAAAATTGTGGAGCTAGAGCTACGCGGAGAGATTACAGTAAGAAGTCCCGACAGTCCTCTCACAGATTTTTCATTAACAATATCTCCAGAACCTCGAAACCAAGCTCGAGCTCCTCCGGACCCGAACCGAAGAAGTCTCATCCTCTGCCACTGGTGACTCCCAAGCCAAGCTCCTTCGGCAGATTGAAACTCTGCAAAGCCAATACGCCTTTGCGTCCGAGAACTGGCAGGGCATCGAAGGCACCCTTACATCCCGTGTCGCTGCATTGGAGAAAGAGCGCGACGAGACCGCGAAGCGTGAGAGCGACATCCGCCGCAAAGCCCGTGACGTCAACTCCAAGGCTCGACGACTAGAGGACGAACTCGAGGCGATCAATGACCGAGCTCGCGCCCTAGAGCAAGATCTGGCCGAGCAGCGAACACAGAGCCAGAAAGCCCAAGCGCGGCTCGCACAAGCAGAATCAGCAGCGCAAGAAGCGCGCGAAGCGGTGGACCGAGAGAAGAAGATGTGGGAAGCAGATCTCCAGCAGAAGCTCGACGAGGAAAAGATCAAATGGCGGCTAGAACTGCAAACGAATCACCCAGATGCGAACTACTTACGCGCTGATTCGCCTTCAGCACCTGGGTCCACAAACCGAAAGCATTCCAGTGCTGATCCTCTCGGCATCCACACCCGCAGAAACCTCAATCGGACCACGTCAAACGAGCTCTCACTCTCCCCCATGGACAGAATGCTGGATCAGAGACCCAGCAGCCGTAAATCTGCTCAACCACTCCGGACCCCTGAAATCGGAACACCGACGCGCCACGACTCCATTCCACACTCCCTCTCCACGCTCAATGGCGCAAGCATGTCACAGACACCATCCATCACTTACGACCACGATGAAGGCTTCGACAACAATTCGTCTCCCCACCGCACAATCAATGACATGATCTCCGTCAGCACCGTTGGCGCAGGCCCCACCGTCCAGCTAGTCGAACGCATGAGCGCTGCCGTCCGTCGACTAGAATCAGAGAAAGCGACCTCGAAAGAGGAAATGGCACGACTGGCAGCACAGCGTGACGAAGCGCGCGAAGAGGTCGTCGCATTGATGCGGGAGATCGAGGAGAAGCGGGCGGCGGACGAGCGGGTCGACAAGCTCGAAAAGGAGCTGAAGGAGATGGACGAGCGGTACCAGACCACGCTTGAGATGCTGGGCGAGAAAAGCGAGCGCGTCGAGGAGCTGACGATTGACGTGGCGGATTTGAAGAAGATCTATAGGGATCTGGTCGAGAGGACTATGACCTAGGATACCCCCGGGTTTGGATATTGATATCAGTTCTTGCTGATTGAATGACGCTAGCTTGCTTTATGCGCGGTTTTAAGGATACAGGACATAGTCTTCGACTGGCATAGCTACGCTGGGTGCTGACGGCGTTTTATATTTGCTACAGGGCATTTTTTGGGATAGCACAGTGTTAGCTGGTTATTTGTTAGTGGGTGTTCGCTTCTTGGTTCTCTCTATTCCCGACCCCCTGATCACTTCGAAGGAAGCGATTCTGTAAGATTAGCTATTCAAGATCTATGCCTTCCCGCTCTGCGGCTTGGAGAATGAACTTTCTGGTCTGAGTGCGTTAGTGTCGCTTTTTCTAATCGAGTGCATCTGGTGTGTCTTACTTTCGCATCAGGCACCAGCTCAATAGCCGTATGCCCATCCATGTCTTTCTTGTCCGTCTCAGCGCCCGCCTGCAAGAGGAGCAGTGCCGCGTCGCCGTGGCCTTCTGATATAGCTGCGTTGCTTGTTAGCACGTCTGACACAACACACGTCGACAGAATGTACAAAGAGCGTACCATGATGCAGCGCAGTCATGCCATCCATATCTGTGGCATTTAGCGGGCTCTTCGCGTCCAGCAGCAGCTTCATCATCGGCACTGATCCCGCAGCAGCGGCGCGGTGGAGGGCTAGCTGGCCTCGCTTGTCTTTTACTCGCGCGGAGGCTTTGTGGGAGATGAGAGTGCGGGCGACGTCGAGGTTATTTTTGGAGGCGGCGAAATGGAGCGCGGTCTGTGGTAGAGGTATGAGTACGGTAGATTTGGTTGTGAGGGCGGAGGAGGGGAGGGAGTGTGTACTTGGCCGTTGTTGGCTATACATCGCGTTAGGTTTGGTCTTGTAAGAGTTCTAAGGGGCGATTGTCTACTGACTCTTCATGTTGACGTCCGCATCTTTCTTGAGCAAAAGATCTACGATTGTTTCTGCGTCTTTGCGGCTCGTGGCCATCATGAGCGCTGTCCAGCCTGAGCCGTCCTGTTGCTTGTCTCAGCTTCTTGGACCCTCTATAGTAAATGGTTCTTGTATGGCTGTACCTGTGCATCCACATCGAAGTTCTTGCGCTGTACGAGCATCGTGACGATCGGTAGGTGGTTGTAGGAAACAGCCCAGTGGAGAGGGAGGCGGTCATCTTCATCTCGTAGGGTGTCAAGCTTGGGGTTGGCCTAGTTGAGAGGATCAGTCTAGTTCTATCTAGCTGGGAAGTCATTTAAAGCTTACGTTGAGCAGTGATTCAGCGATGTTTGCTGAAGGCGGGGGTCAGCGGAGGTGTGATGAGCTTTAGGCGGTGGCCTACGTACCATGTCCTTCACGGCAAGCTTCGTGGAGCGCATATTTCGATTTCCTTTCGTCGTTCATAATGTAGAGAAGGCTTGACAGAGCACAGTATTGTGAGGAAAGACTGTTGATTTGAAGTGTAAGCTGTAGCTTTTGCCCCGCCACAGCAACACTATAAGATATATTGCCGGGCGGTGAGCCAGAAACATGGAATCAAGCTGAACAAGTCAACAGATAGTTATTTTTGGATGGTTTTTGGAGGCTTCAACTAGACAAAGACTATTCTGTCAATTGGCAACCGGAATATCTTGTAGTGAACAAGTACTAACAGGTTTCATAGGCTTTCTTGGACAGGGTTGTACACAGATATAGGAGGAACGTTTTGATTCAGACGGAATAGAGACTCTCATAAAAGGTAAGCAAGCTTGACTAAATGAAAGCTTCGCTCTTCCAGTCATTAATCCACCAATACCGGCAGCCAGTCCATAAACGCCGGTGTCATGCAATCAAACCAGCATCAAACCACAAGTAGCTCGCCGGCTCTTTTTATACAAGAAGCATATTCAACATAGAACGTAGCATCCCTGCTCTCACTCCTGTCATCGCAGCATCTCGCCTGCCACACCAATTGCCACCACTGCAGCCATCCCATATATGTTCCCACACCCATTCCTCCTAGCGTTATTCCCCTTGCCGTTGTCGAAGTTCCCACAAGCCGCCTCCTGCAGTCCATAGCAAGCCTGCGAGCTCAAGCTCTGGCAAACCTGGCTAGCTGATGCTGAATCCAAGGTGCCTGTAATTGCTGCAACGGTAACGCCGCCATTGGGCGCAGAGACCGTAACGCCGTGTATACCTCCCACGAGCGCCGCAGTGCAGCTCGCGGCGTCAGTTTGGCAGCTCGAATAAGCTGAAGAGCAAGCGGCTGCATTGGTGTAAGTGGTAGGTATGTAGGCGAAAGGATAGTACGGGTTGGATACCGTAGAGCGGACACCTTGCGCGGTTGCCGCGGCGGTGCCGACGACGAAGCCGCCGCCGGTGGTCGTTGTCGCGAAGACGAAGGACTCGGTAGTTGTCGTAGTTGTTGTTGAGGCAGTTGCTGAGGCTTGCACTCCTCCGCCGCCAATTGTCCCAGTGCAGGCAGCATTCGTAGGACAGCAGGCGACGTGACCGGCAGCATCAGCGGAACAAACACTGTTGGAACCGCAGCATAATCCGGGTGCGCCTATGCCCGCGCAGGCATTGTATCCGCTCGCACATCCACCATCGCGCCGGAAGAGTTCATTTGCCGGAATTGTATCGTTGCTCTCTAGTGGTGATGTTTCTTCTAGGAACGATGCTTCGATGAAGGCTGCCAAGTTGCTCGGTGAGGCGCAAGCTGCCGCGATGAAGAGGAGAAAGACGGAGACCAGAACATTCCGCATGTTGATCGGTTGTGAAGCAGTTCGAGGAATGTGGAGATGGCGCCTTCCGGCGATTCAGCTGATCGACGTCCTCTCGAATTGTTGAGGTTGCGCAGGCGGGCAGACCGTCGGGTAAGATAGCTGCAAACAATTGGTTAACAGCGCTATTCAGACCAATTGCGACGGCGACGGGGTGCGAAACGCTTACTTTGCTATTGGTATGTTGTAGTTGTCTTTGCAGGGCAGCTTTGGGTGGTTGATGTGGAGAGGAAGGCTGAGCCAACACATCGAATCCCATCCCGCTCTCGTTGTCCAGACGATAGATTTCGCTTAGCACAACACGTTACACGTGATTTCGCGCTCCACACGATCTAAAGCTTTACATTCTCTTTACAGATACAATAGTGGGCTGGAAACCTTCGTACAGCTGCAACACGGTGCACTTAACCAGGTTCTAATTCACGCGAAAGCACTTTTTGCATTGGATTTCTCATTTTGTAGTGTGCTGTGGGACTCGATACCGCATCACAAAGATGATACACATGACGCAATAACAAAGGGCAAAAGCTGATAGTAAGCTGAAGTACTTCACATAGCGCCATCGTGCTGTACATAACATGATGCATTATAGGCATTGGCCGAATTTCTCACAGAACCCTGAAGAGGCATCTCATCATCAGGCACAGTCATAGAATATCATGATCACTTGCTCGCAGGCAGTGATATTGTTGATTAGCTAGTGAGGCACTCAGACATTCACCATGAATCGTAGTAGTCGTACCCCATGCCCAGAACTCCTCTCCACGAATCCTTTTCCACCACGCCAAATATGATGCAGTACCTCAATGAACTCCGATCTCCGATTCCCTCTCTCAGAACTAGGAAGGGGTAATTCCTCCGACGATCTTTAGTCCTTGGGTGTCGGCAGAGTAAGCCAGTGCATATCGGTTCGGGTGCCATTGGACGCAGGGCGCTGGGTGGGTGGTATCGATGTGATGCACATATTCTCCGGTCTCGGTGTGGGCAATGGAGAGTCGGTTCCCTTCGTCAGATCCACCAACCACGAAGCTACCGTCGAAAGAGAAGTCCACGCTGCGGACCGGGCCCGTCATGTCGTCAAACGTGCGGACACAGATCCATTCTTCGGTATCCCAAAGAGATATCAAGGCGTCGCCCCCGCCAACTGCGAGATACTTGCCAGTTGGCGACATGCAAAGCGTGTAGCAGGATGAGGTGTGAGCATTGAGCTCGTGAATCAATTCGAATGAGGGGTAGCGCATAATCTTCACCCGACCATCGCCCGTGGTGACGAAGATGTGCTTTCCAGCCCAGCCAAAGACGGTCTGGTTCGACTGCACGTCCTGCTTGTGAGTAGCTACCACCTTTGTTGTGCTTCGTGATACAACGGCAAAGGTATCGTTCTGCGGTGTTTGTTAGCTAGAGTCTCTCATGGTGCATACCGACCTATGTCGCAAGATACAGATACCGAAACGCCGAAAGAAGCTTGAGGAGAATCGCCAGAAATGCGCTTTCTGACCTTCATTCCAACGAGAAGATCATCACCGTTGGGCTTCCACGCCAGCGTAAATGGTTCACCGCGGAGCTTCAAGTCGCTAACGACAGCGGGAGTGTTTTTTCTCAAGTCCCAGATTCGTAGTAATCCATCCGCACTGCAGGTCGCGAGTTCCGTGTCGGAGGCGGGGCTGAAAGCTACGCGCTCGATTGGACCCTGGTGGCCTCTCAGCTCGGTGGAGTCCTGGGTCTTGGGACGTTCGGGATCCCACACGCGCAGGGTACGGTCGGCGGCACCAGTTGCGATCTTTTTGCCAGTTACATTCCAGGCCAGAGTTCTGACATTGTGGAGGGGGGTAGGACGAGCAGTGTCGGCGTAGGTCGAGGTCTTCAGTTTGGCGAAATGGGGAGAGAAGGTGGTGCTAGAGAGCGACCACATGGAAGTGGGGGGAGCCATTGAGGCCAGAGAGTGCACCAGAGTTGAACCGAATTAATAGCGTCTGGTGCAGCCTCCGACAACTACGGCAGCGGGTCGGTGACGGCGACGACGAGTCGTGGCGGTGACGGCGAAAGAAGAAAGAGTCGCGTTCGAAGCGCGAAGTTGGGACTACAAAGGTACATTGTCGCCCAGGCGCTAGGAGGTAGCATTGGACACTCGGGCCCCTGGTCCTACACGTGCCTCGGCCGCATCTACTTCATCTACATAGTACATACCCAGGAACACTGCTCCGAACAAGGACAACATCAAACACATACTGTCGGGTCCCCGCTGCGCTAAGCGGTCACGTCTGGTCCTTTAAGTATTCAAGGTTTCAAGTTAATGAACATAAGGAAATCCAGCTTTCTCTTGTTCAATTCCATCATCTATCAAATTTTACAAGTAGACGCGGCAACGCATTTTATTGTTCATTACTGTATTCATGGGGGATCACACATTATCAGCAGCCCGGCTTAGGACGTCAATGACATTGGTTCGAAAGGCTTGTTGCAGTTTCATGTCATCTTTGGTATCATTGACGACTCCAAAATCGTTGCAGAGACATTTGAGGACGACAGTTTTATACCTTTCGCCCATTCGAGATTCAAGGTGCTTCTCCACTTGTCGGATGAGGTATCGCTGGACCACCATGGGATCCGTAACTCTCTCGAACCGGTCTTTATCAAGAGAGACCGCTGATTGCCAGAGCCCTATACAAGTTACCATTTGATGTAGACTACGATGGGCGGAAAATTTATTACCAATCTCGAGAAGCACCACTCCAAGCGCGTATATATCATGTATCTTGCTAAACGGCCGGGTCGGTTTTCTTTGCCGTTCAGGATGACGATATACGTCTCTTGACGGGCAGATATCCTCGATCCCATTAGAAAAGTCGACTTCAGGGCGGCTGAATTCATATCCGAGTACCCACGGTTAGCTATAGTCGAGTGCAAACTCTGGTTTAGTTGGATTGAGTAGAGAGCCTCCTTCCTTAGGAAATAAGAGAATGTTCTCACTCCGGAAGCTTTCATGGACCCATTTGACAAGCTGCAATTGCGAGATACACCGAGACAGCTCATGAGCAAGTCGGAATTTCTGCCCGAGCATTGGCTTCTGGCCCGGAGTATTGATGGCTCTCAAAAGACTGCACGGCGTGCCTGTGGCATTCGGCACGGTGAATACGAAGGCAATCTGGTTTTGCAGCGGATCCCGGATCCATCCCTTGCAGGACAGTGTCCTAAATATTTGCTCCTTTGGTTGATGCAGAAGGCGAGCTAGGTGCTCAACCCTGCCTTTCGTGCAGTCGTCCAAATCGACGCATATTGATGCTTCCGGGGCGTACTTCCGATACTCTACGAGCGCTTGCACACCATCCCAGTCAAAGATGGAGAATCTACCTTCAGTAGTTACTGCCTGTTGTAGGAATAGCTACAGAGATCTATCGCGAAGCTCCATGCTCTCGTTGTGGACCGCAGAGTCGGCTGATGCTAGGTGGAGCTTGGCGTCAAGGTCGAATCCAAGTTTCTTCGAGTTCTCATCGTCCTCGAGCCGCTTCAGATGCTGCAAATCGACGCCAATCGAAGTGCTAAGACACCATAGCTTGATGTTATCGTGAATCCGATCGTTAAGGCTACTGAAATTCCGGATGACGGTAGCAACTCGCTTCTTATCGAGCAGAGTCCATCTCCAACGGTGAACAGATTTGACAGACTTGAGCGAGAGGTCGGACGATTTCCAAGATACGAGAGTGCTAGATCTTGATATGTTTGAGGGTTTAACGAGAGAATACTGCGATTCAACGGCCGTGGCTTTAGGCAGGCTTCCATGGCGTCGCTTCAGGATTTGGTAGGCTTCTTCGATGACACCCACAAGCTCCTCGAGGAATATCTGAATTTGGTTCTGGATTTCTCCATCGAACTGATCGAATAAAGTTTGTCCTCCGTAAGGCTGGGCCTATTAGCTTTGTGTCCAGAAAGTACTGAGTGGAGCATGATCGTACCGCTGCGCTCTCAAAAAGTAATAATCTCAAAGCCCTTGTCCTGTTGTTCTCATCTTTTATCACATTTTGGATTCTTCGGGTCTCCTGTGCGTAGCGTTGAATTAATGTCGCAGATTGATGATTGTTGGAAGGGAGCACTGACGTTGTCGAAATCCCGGAAGTCAGACACAAGCTCGGCTGTTTTTTCTCCAAGCTTCCACAGCTGCTCCAGAACAGCTATCGTCAACCCAGCGAGGCTCAGCGGGTCTATCATGTTTTCTTGGACCACTTGATGGGATGCGTCCAAACACGATGGATATCGAGCAGCACAGTCGCCCAAGGCTGGGAGGGCTGCCACAACAAGGCATATCTCAGCCTCGCGACGGCAACCTCAAAAATAAGCCTCGTAGTAGCCTACGGCCTTTTTCCATGTTGTTTAGCTTGACTTCTACCGACCCAAGTAAATTGCTATCCACTTGGACTTCCTAAAATACATCTCAAAGTCTCTATGGTCCAACGTTGGGAGGGTCCCACGGCAAGGCATATCTCAGCCTTGCGACGCCAACTTCAACCACGAGCCTTGTGGCAGCCTACCGCCGTTCTTCTGGTCACTTGGCTTAACATCCTAGTAACTCAAGTAATATCTGTACACTTGGGCTTCTTGCGGTTTCTCTCGAAGTCTCCATGGCCGTTCTCGATGGAGAGCTTTCCAGGCTGTACCAGCGTCATTGGAACTGAGGTTCGCTCTAGTACTGCGGTCTTATTTTCACCGAGACCGTATACAGAGCTGTCCAGTCGGTCTCGGCGAAGGAATGCGCATACAATGCTTTGCAAAGGGAAACCTTTCTTGGAGAAGGAGAAACATTCGTAGTAGAACGATGTCTCCACCAAGGGCAGCTCGTTGCTGTGAAGCATTTGAAGCTGAACTCTTTAGCAACCAACACCCCAAAGTTCTTATCCAGACTAAACGCAATCCTGTTGGAGCTCCGGGTAATGTGCTACGAGCATTTGAGGGGACATCCAAACATCATATCAATGCTTGCATATGGTTGGCGGCACGAACGACACGCCATACTGCCATATATCATCGTCGACTACAGTCCGCATGGCACGCTTCGTGATTATCTGACTAACGAAAAGTCGGTTAAGACGTATCGAAAGAGGAGGCTGGTGATGGATGTGGGGAAGGGTCTTGAGGCCTTGCATTCCTGTGGTGCAGTTCACGGAGATTTGAAATTGGAGAATGTCCTTGTTTTCAATCGATCTGGAGATCCGCAAGCCGGCCGTATTGCCAAGATATGTGATTTTGGACACTCACTTCTCTTATCAAACTACGAGGAGGAATTGAAATATCGCGGCACGGCTTTGTGAGTACACACTGCTCTGATGATGATAGTGTATTGACTTGAACCAGATACAATGCACCCGAAGTCCGAAACCAGCGACAGGCCCCCATACCTCGGAACATGTTACGAAAGTGCGACATCTGGGCATTCGGCTTGCTAGCCTGGGAGGTTCTTCTTGACGGAGAGATATACTCAAATCGCATACACAATGACTATGAGATATACGACAGGACCCAGCTCAGCGGCGAGAGTCATGCAAAACAGGTTCTAAGTACCGCACTTGGCTCAGCCAGGGAGGTCCCGGATGAGATTCCAGCGTTGTATTTCCGAGGTGTATTTCTCATGACATTGCAATCTAAACCTCAGGCTCGGACGGCTTTCCTTTCTTCCAACCGCCCGGCTGCTCGACCCCACCTTGATATGGGAAAGTCCGACTGGTCATTCGATGTGAGTATGTCCCAAATTTAATCTTTGCGCCTCGGTTCTTATAAAACATCAGATGTTCCGGCCTGAACGACAGAAGTAATACTCCTGGGAACACCAGAAACAGATAACCCAGTCCTTCGAGAGGTACTACCAAAAGCATGAGAGGAATCCTACTCTTTCGGGATCTGCAGCGTGGCAAATCGGACTGTGCTACTTCTTGGGTTTCGGTGTCCCAAGCGACGAGAGCACTGCTCAGAAGTATTTTCAGATTGCAGAACAGTGCAAACAACCTGTCGCGATTCTTTTCAGGCCCTTGATCCAAGATTCTGTCCACCATGGCTCCCAGCAAAAAGTTTACACGGCTACCGTCATCAGAGGACTCAAATCCCAATTCAATCGACCAATAGGACTTCACAGCAACATCTTGTTGCAGAATTCGGATGACCAAACCCTAACATTCCCTGATTACAAAAGTTTTAGAGATTGGGTTCTGATTCTAGCTTCAAACGACTGGAGCTCTCTTTCCTCGGAGCGCGATGCTTGCGAGAGCGCGTCTTGGACAGGCGCATTATCCCTGCAGAGCTTAGAAGATCTCCAAGACTGCCATGTAACTCTTGGTGGCCTTGACTCGCAACGAATGAACCTTATGGAATGCGCAATATGGTTTTGTGATCATGTTCTGCTGGAGATACTGTCAGACAACCAGAGCTACACGTCATGGAGCCAGTCTATCAAGTCTTCCGAACCTTTATTGATTCAAGCCTGTCGAACTGGTCAACTCAAGCTAATGAAGTCACTATTGCATATAGGAGCGGATCCCCACGAGCAAACGCCAGATTTCTGCACCGTCTTCCACTGGCTTTTCATGCTGGGAGACGACGTTGAACCCTTCGCAGATGTATATCTCAAGGATGCTCAGCCTGAACGAAGCATCAATCTTCCAGCCACGAAGATGCGGCAGATCCACCAGCAGTGGCCTCTACAGCTTCTTGGGACCCCACTATCATTCGCTGTTTGTGCTGGCAGTGTGCCAGCCGTTGCCGCGCTGCTCCGACTTGGAGCAGATCCAGCTGCGCCGGTATATTCTCGCCATATGAACACCACATCGGGAACACTGAATTGGACCCCACTTCATCTAGCAGCCAAACTCCACCATGCAGACATCTTGAATCTTCTTGTCAAGAGTGATAATCTCCCAGCGTACCACGGGCGGAATCCGTTGGATCATATGGAAAAGGTGCACCCCGACGTCATCACTTGTGCCTTGAGCTATTCTTCGCCGGTCGAGCGAGTAGCTTTGCACGGATGGTACCCAGCGCGTGCCCGGGCGCTCTCCGACACGATGTTGATATTGAAGCCACTGCCACTGCCTGGCCCACGCGGGCTTCCTCGCCCGCTACGTCAAAGGAATAATCAATCAATCGAGCAATCACCTCTTGCCGGTGCTATTGATTTCCATGATCATTCGGTCGTCCGCGCGCTCCTGGAACGTTCTCCCCGTCTGACGAATACCCCACTCAAGGACCCTAGCCCCGTAGATGTCTATACCTTTCCAGCACATCTAGCTATGCAGGCTGGGACTAGACGAGCTACTGCTGAACGCCTCTCGATACTTGATCTGCTTCTTGAATACGACCGGAAAAGCTTCCTCCTTATTGACAGCAATGGGCGCACTCCGTTGCATGTTGCGGCAGCGGAGTTTTCCGACCAGACAACGCAATGGCTGGTAAATCTTCATCCTTCGCTCGTGAATACTGCCGATCGGAAAGGGCGACTTCCGCTTCACTATTGTGGTTCCAGTGAAAATACTAAAATTCTTGTCTCTCGAGGAACTCGTGTAGACTATGCCTACAAGGACGGCTTGACCAGCCTTCACTGCGCAGCAAAAGCGGGCATATCCGGGGTATTACAGGCTCTCATCTGCTGCAATGCCGACGTGAACGCGCGAGATAGAAGTCTTTCTACTCCATTACATTACGCGGTCACTAACGGCTCCTTGGAAGCGATCAAAATCCTGATTGGGTTTGGCGCCCAGCTGGATGCGCGGAACCAGACTAGCAATACTCCACTTCACTTGGCAGTGCAGAAGCAGTGTGAGGATGTCATTACATGTCTCGTTGAGAGTGGCGCGTCTATTTCGATCCAAAATAATCAAGGCTATATCCCACTTCATACAGCAATCAACTGTGAGGGTTCGAATCCTCGCAAGCTTCGGTCGATATTTCTCCCAGAACTCGCGGTCATATCCGATGAAGACGGCAATACCTCAATCCACCACTGCGCGTTCTCCTGCCGGATGGATTGGATGGAGGTCATCACAGCGCAGTGCAGCAGCGGGGATATCAGCGTTTCTAACGCTGCTGGGCAAACCCCTCTGCATATCATCGCGGCTAACATGAAATTTGATCTCGCGATGCATGTTCTAGAGAAAGGCATAGACGTGCATGTGAAGGATTTAAAGGGCAACACTGCTTTGCATACTGCCATCAAAGCCTCTGGACAAACTGTCTCGGTCCGGGCCGACCTCTGCACTTTACTGCACTCCAAAGGAGCCGCACTCAATGACCGAGATTCTGACGGTCAAACACCATGGGAATTTGCTCTTCAATCGAAAGATTCTTTTTTATTAACTACACTCACCCATCTCGGCGGTGTCTCAACCTGCCCGGGATTATTATTCGACGAAGCTTTACTGCAAGCTGCTCTTGGAGAAAATGACCCTGAATGCGCAATGGCCTACCATAAAAATGGCACCGTTTACGCCATTACAGAGTTCACGAAGCGATCTTTTGAAGAGTCCATGAAGGTTGAAGATCTCCTCGAAATTCTTCGTTGGGGCCCGCAGGATTGTGGTTTACATCTTCGCTTCCAGAATTCCCCGAAGCACTGGAAGTTGAGATCATCGAGTCGAGAACGTATACGAAAGCCAGGGAAGGTTTCCGCCGGCATGATGATCTCTAAAATGAGCAAGGGGGCGGAATACGCAGGCCTAGCTCTACTGATTGTGTCCACTTCTCCCGTTTCTATTCCTTTCCGTAAGTCCAGGATGAGGCTTTATGAAGTCTCTACTATCACTGTGACACGGCACTGATAATTTCTTAGTTTTGTACCGCAGGCGCTTAAAAAAGCGTATTCAGGAAGTGGTTGAGATGAGTAACATCAGACCATATCCTCTCCGCCGTATAGCTGAACTTCCTGCCAATGATTGGACGGACGACACTTCATATCCCATTGGTATAATAGCCGAACTCCCTGGGAGTGGCATGATAGCCGAACTGCCTGGGCACCCGAACCCTGATTCACTAGCTATCGATATGTCTTCTGAACCTGGCATCCGTGTCATCGAAGGCCTTTTCGAACTCCCGGGTGCAGATGTCCCAATTCTATGGTAAGAGCACTCAACATTCCAAGCATGTGAGAAATTATTGTCAGAAGACTTGCCTCCACCGCACCCTTTTTCCATGCCGGCGTCCTTTAGTCCTCTGGGAACCAATATGGTTGAGGTACGCGCGTACCAAGTGTAATGCTATTTTGAGTTTTGATTTCCGGCTTGAAGACGCGGAAAGAGCGGGGTTGAGGCGGGTGCCAGTTAAGAGATTTATGGCGTGCGGAACAGAGAGCTTGCAATGACAGAAGATGGCTGGATGGATGGGATTTGATGAGGAACTCTGCCCTACTAAAACCAAATATACATCTTTATAAGTTAGCAAGTGATCGGCCAGTCAGGAAGTAGCCTAATATTCACTGCATTGACATAAGTTTAGGTACACGGACATAGAACTGTTCAGGCTCCGCTCTTGGTCGCTCGATACCACTGTAAGGAGTCCCCCAGCAAAAGGCAAACTGATTCCCACCATATTCACCTTTCCATGCTGACCACGGATCTAGGTCTACACAGCTCTACTTTTGCTCACTTAATACACTGCAAGAAGCGGCCCTGCTAGAAGGTACGTAATCAGTCAAAAGGTGGCCTAATTTCTATTCCATTAAGCTTTGTATGATAACCACGTATCTAGATCTACGTGGCTCGACTTTCGCTCCCTTGATACCACTGCGAGGGGTGGCTCCCCTAGCAGGTAGCCGGACAGTCAAGAGGCTGCCTGGTTTCCACTACCTTGACCTTTACATTGTGTCGCGGAATATCAGGCCATACCGATAACGCCGATCTTCAGATAGTCCGGGTTACTCTCAATTCGCTCGCGAATCGGTCCCTTCATGAGCTGCTCCACGTCCCAGCCCGCCCACACGAAGCGGCCATGGAGGAACGCTGCCTCTAGAGACGCTGCCCAGATACCGAAATGGCCTGGTAGTTTCACTGTCACGGCCAAAATTAGCCCTCATTGCTACGTTTCGTGCCGAAGAACGTGTTGTTCAAACTCACCATCGTCCCAAGGGAGATCGGCCGGGTAGCCTGCACTCTGAACATTCTCAGTGTATATGGCTCCAGGGTGGTAACTAACGATCTGGACCTTCTCAACCGGCGTCTCCGCAGCGGTCAACTGAGTCAACAGCGTGCTGGTATTCTTCGTAGCGCTATAAGTGGGCCTAGTGGCATTGATCTTGAAGTCATGAATAGACATCGTCGACACGTTCAGGAGCGCCTATAGATTGAACGAGTCAGCATTTTCTCCAAACGTAAGAATTCTAGTATCTCCTCACCTTCTTCTTCCCATTCGGAAACGCATCAATATGCTTGATGAACTTCTCAGTAAGGAACACATTCCCATGAACATTCGTCTCGAACTCCCTCCACACCTCTTCATGCCCCAGCTCGACCATAGTAGCCGGCCGAGTAAGCCTCACAGCACTCAACACGAGCACATCCACCACGATCTTCTCCTTCTCCAGACTCGTCCAGAGCGCCTCGACGGCAGCAAAATCAGAGATGTCGCATGGTCGTCCGATGATCTCTGCCTTATGGCCTGGAGTCGCCTTCAGTTTCGCGACCGCAGAGTCGAGGGAACCGGGTCTGCGAGCGACCAGAATGATTCTGGCGGCTGATGCAAGTGCGAAGGCTTCACCTGTGGCATACCCGATGCCGGTGGCGCCTCCGGTGATGAGGACGGTCTTGCCTGCTTGCGAGAGCTCTGGACGTGAAGGGGAAATCGCAGGGTATGTGTTGTGTTTTAGAGGTCCTGTGAAGGACGTTGCAATTTGCTCTGGGATGCCCGCGAAGGCTTTGCTGGCCTCTGATGTAGACATGATTCGAAAGTATTTGGGGACAATGGTAAAGGGCAAATAGATAAATGTAAATGTAACTGGGATTCTGAAAAAATGCAGATGGATTTCTGGCTATGCATGAGGGAACCTTATATACAATTCGAATGCCTAAGTAAGCTCGCACGACATGCTCAAAGCCCATCCTACTGCGGAGTTTCTGGTGGAGTTTCAAGCTCCTCATCAATCAAGCCTCGCCAAGCGGAATGCTGATCGTGTTGCTAAGCACTGTGGTCCGATGAGGCGTGTCCTGTCGAATGAGAGCCAGTCGCAAAAATAGCACTCGATTAGCTTGTATGCTCTAAACTCCGCAAGTGTCCACCTCCACCGGCGGAGTTTTAGTAAGCCCCCCAAACTCCACCATAATATATCGATAGCTCTCCACCACATTTTCCAAAACTCCACTCCTTGGAGGTCCACTCCCCTGCCAAGAATATACCTTTGATTGGCTAATGCTTGATTATACACCTTTGCAATAATATTAGATATGTCTACTCCTATTACCCGCGCTAAAGCCTGTAAAAGCTGCATCAAAGCCAAACGCCGCTGCACCCGCGAATACCCCATCTGCAAGCGCTGCATAACCAAACAACTAAACTGCCACTACGACAGGCTCCCGAACCGCTCCACCGCTTTCCCCCCTAAATCCACCTCCCAAGCCAGCCTCAACACCCCCAGTGCCACAGATGAATCTCACTCCCCCAACGCCTCGCTGGCATCAGCAACAGAAATCCTCCAACCTCAGAACATTCCCTCAATCATACCGCTTGAAGCTTTCACGTTGCCAGATCAGGACCCCTTCTTCACCCCTGAGGACCTCGGCCTCGCCATCTCTCACGTCACGCTGAAGTTCTACGTCCGCGAGATTCGATCCTGGGCCGAGCAGTGGATAGCGCAGGGCCGGACCCCCTTCATCCACTCGCATCTTTACCATTCCCACCTGCCTGCGTGTATCCAGGACGCGTACAGCGGGTGCACGCTCTACTTCGCCAAGAACGAGCGCAACGAGGACATGACCTTCCAGATTCTCGAGGGGCATGTCGAGCGCCTAGTCCGCGCGGACGCGGGGGAGATGAGCGTGCACCAGCACCTCGCGCGCGTGCAAGCCCTCCTCGTCTCGCTCATTCTGCGGCTGTTCGACGGGGACATCCGCCAGCGCGCCATGGCAGAGCTGCAGCTCCCGCGGTTGGAGAGCTGGACGAGCGACATGTGGAATGCGGCGCTGGCGACGTTGCCGGGGCTGCAGTCAGACTCCGCCTCCCAATATTCCATATCGAACTCGATTGAGGAAGAGTGGCGGGACTGGGCGCTCCAGGAGTCCGTCCGCCGTACCTGGCTCACCTCCAGTATCACCGCGTGTGTATATCTTACCATGAAACAGGGCTGGTCCGGGTGCCCCGGCGGCGTGAAGTTCAACGCCCAACGCGCGTTGTGGGAAGCGGAGAGCTCGTGGCAGTGGGCCAGGCCGTTCAAGGATACTCAGAAGGCGAATCTGTGGATAGATACGTGGGACATCGCGAGCCTGATGGAGCGGTGCGGCGCGGAGGAGGTGGATGCATTCGGGCGGCTGATTCTGGTGATTTCGATTGGTTTAGAGAAGGCGGAGGCATGGACTGGGGTGGAGTCAAGGAGAAAGGCACTCCATTGATAGTCGGGGGTGGTGAGGTGGTGGATAGGAGGTAGGAGAGTGGGCGAAGGCCTGAGGCATCGTTGTTCCGCCATGCTCTTTCTTGCTATTGCCGGAACCTCAAAGCGGCAACTCTTGGTAGCCGCGAGGTTGGAAAAAGGTGTGGAGTCCTGTAGGACCCCCTCTAGCGTCATGACGCGGAGCAATGTCTTCTCTAAAACCTGTTCAAAAATACTACTTGGCCTGGCAAACTACCTCCTGGTGTCAGATTTGAGATAGGAGGTGTGGTTGTTGAGCTATTCATGAAAAGACCACAAATCAACGGAAGGCTCGAAAATTCGGGTTCTGAGGGTTGAACATATCTGGCAACTCTTGGCAGCCGCGACGGCCCACGCGGCCTCCGCGGCCTCAAAAAGTGTTGAAGGCCGCACACCCCCCTCTATGTCGACGACGCGGAGGAATCAGCTCTCCATAAGTTCCTCAAAAATAGTACTTAACCTGGCGAATTACCTTCTGGTGTCAGATCTGCGGTAGGATGCGTGGTTGTTGAGCTATTCGTGAAAAGGCGATAAACTGACGAGAGGCTCGAAAATTTGGATTTTGAGAGCTCGACATATCTGGCAACTCTTGGCAAGCCGCCACGGCCCGCGCGGGCTCGAGCTGCCTCAAAAAGTGTGGAGTCCTGCACACCCCCCTCTAAATCAATGACACGGAGCAATTTGCTCTCCAAAACATCCTCAAAAATACTACTCAACTAGGCGAGTTACGTCCCGGTTACAGATATGGGTTTCGAGGCGTGGATGTTGAGTTATTCGTAGAAAGGCGATGGAAAGCTCGAAAGGCCGAATATTTGGATTTCTGGCCGTCCGCGCCAAGGAGCCACGTGACCCTATGTTTCGCGGATCAACCACTTTTCCGTAAGGAACACAACGGCCACAAGTCCGACAATAGAAAGGCAAGAGGAATATGGTTCGCCAGAGAGGGCATGAATAGGGGGATAACGGACATTCCACTTCACTGTCTCAGTGATCGAAGTGACTCGATCTAACGATCACTGGTCGCTGAACGGGGTTTTGCGGACTACGAGCTGCGTCAAACAGGTTAGCAATCTCAGCCTAAAGTTTGATAGAAGAGAACCCACATGGTTTCCTCGTAGGGACGACGTAAAGGGACAGACGAAGAGGGATCACAGCGAGGATTGTACTATATCAATCGAAAAAAGTGAAAGGGGGAGGACATGAGAATGAAACATGAAGATATCTTTTGTATCAATCACAAACTGAACGAATACATCACCTCGAAACGAACCGCACCAGTGAGAGTGTACATATCGTATTACAAACCATCAGTCTCGACCCTCAATCATACCGGTAATGATGGCCTTAAATGCAACTCAGGATTTGTCCGTCCTGCCCATAGAAACGCCAATCATGCCTCATGCGACGCTTACCAAAGAATCTCAAAATACTAGCCGCTCACAACTCCTGCACCATCTCCTCTCCCTCGATCTCAGCCACGCCCTCAACCTCACTAGCCTCAAACATCTCCTCAATCGAGTCCGGATCCATCGTCCCCACAAACGCGCGATTCACAAACGCGAACCACACGCTTCTTTTCTTGTGCTTCCCGTGTTTCTTTTTATGCTTCTTCCCCTTCTTCCCTTTTTCCTCCGCATCTACCTCTTCTCCCGCCTCAGCCTCAAACCCAGCACCAGAACTCTTCCCCTTCGCCTCTCCAATCCGCCGCGCAAGATCGACATAACTCCGCACCGTCAAGTCCTTCAGCTTAAACACCTTGTCGTTTTTAGTGTCATACTCGACCTCGAACTTAAATTTCTTGGGTTTCGGTTTATTCTTCTTGCTCTTTTTGCCGCCGTGCTTGCCTTCTCTCCACTTACCCTGCACTTCGACGCCCTCGTCATCAAACATTGCGTCCGAAAAGTCGCGGTTTGCAGGGCTGACATCTTTCCCAACAAAGTCGTTGTTGATGTGGGTGAGGTTGGCGAAGTACTGCTTGTACCCAGTAAAGGTGAAGGTTTGGGGGGAGTAGGCTGGGCCTGGAGGGGCGGATTTTGAGGGCGGGGAGGGGACTTTGAATTTGTGCTTTTTGGGCTTCTTGGAGGCCTTTTGCTTTTTCTTCTGCTTTAAAGAGTCAGTCCACCCGGCGTCGTCATCTATGAAGAAGAAATCGTCGTCGTGGATCGGGGTCTGCTCTTGATTGGGCGAAATCGATATCGGTGCGCTGTCCTCGATGACAAGGCTTTCTAGTCCGGTGATGTTGTACTCGAATACGCGGAGCGTAGGGAAGTAGTTGGGCACCACGCTGGCCGACACGTGTGAGACGCTGAAGCGCTCTCCCCAGGGCCCTCCGATCTTGTCTAGAAATGTGGGCTTGTGGCCCTTCCCGCCCTTCTTTTTCTTCTTCTTTTGGCTCCGGAAGAGGTCTGAGACCCGATCCCAAATCCCTTCATGTTCTTCCTCGTCTGTAAACTCCTCCAGTAAGCGCGCTTTTGGAGGACTAGGCAGCTTCGCCCATGTATCCCTCAGGTCAATCAGATAATCTGACGCGCTTTGGACCCCAACCTCGCCGTCAACTGCCACACTGGCTTTCAAAGTATCCACGTCAGCTAACTTCATTCTGCCCTTCTTCGCGTCTTTTGTGATATCTTTGAAATCTTGCAACATGAAGTGGTCGATGTTCATATGCCCGTATAAAGCTCCCACAACCACGTCCCGGTATTGCCGCATGTTCAATGTGTATTTCTGCCAACACGTCTCGTCCCAACTAAGCTTATTGTCGGTTCGTGCTGGTGGTACATGGCCTATGAGGATGGCCTTCATGCCTCGTTCGCGGAGAAGTCGCAGCTGGATGCGCAGCCATTCCATGTGCTCGTAGCCGGGCTCCTTTTTCGAGGCGCAACCGTCAACCACGGAGTTTGAATCGAAGAAATATCTATCGTGGAGGACGTATTAGCCTCTTTGATTCCCACCTCGGCCCTCTGTAAAGCCTGCACAGGCAGCAAATGCGCTTCGTGTACTTACAGTGTATTCAAACTAATCACCGCCAATTTTCCCGGTATAACCTCAACATAAAACCAACCACCCCGTTGGAACTGATGTCTCTGCTCCTCCGGAATAAAATTCCGCCATATGTCTAAGTACTTCCCCGTCCACCGATTTGGCCCCTCGTCGAAGATATTGTGTGGTAGGATGTCATTATTTCCAAAGGTCGGAACGATAGGTATAGTGAAGTCATTCGTTGGATCCGTATCGTTGATGTTGTCGTCCTTCCCAAACACCTCCTTGAATTTGTCCACCAGCATTTCATTTTGCGAAACGACCTGGTCTGTATTTCGAGGGATCTGCTCGTCGTTGTCGTGGCGCGCAGAGTCGCCCGTCCATATCACGAAGTCGATCGAGCCCTTGAGGTTCTCTTCTATCCACCGGAATGTCTCGTTCACGAGGGATGTTGGGCTGTCGCAAGCGGAGGTCTCAGCGCCGTAGACGCCCGCCGGGCCTTTGCTACGGTGGCATGCGGCTTCTTTCTCGGTGGAGGAGTAGGTTTTGTAGTACGGGTCTGGGTGGAAGTCTGCGGATACCACAGACGTAGCTATTAGTACAACATTCGTATACGGTGGTGCAGCAAACGTGGAAAGGTAGGACTTGGGTCATAAATCCCATAGATTACATAGAGTCGGAAACGGCAAAAACTCCCAAAACTCGAGCGCAACCAAGCACAGCATCTCTTAGAGGCACAAAACACTAAGACGAATAAAAGCCACAAAAAACATACCGGTAACGTGCAGAAACCTCCCTGTGAGCTTCCTCCCCGTACTCCGCGGCCGCTCGCGCAACCCTGCTGCATCAGGCTGCGTACCTGCGGCAGCCCCGTCTCTTGGAACTAGGGCGGCTCTGCTCAAGCCTACCGACAACGCCAACACGAGAAAGCGCATGGCTGGAGAGGGCAGAACTGCGGCATGCGTGGAGAGGCAACAGCAATACTGACGCGTGTATATATATATATATATATGTATGGAAGACTTGGAGTAGTGTTCGAACTTGGCAAGGTCTTGTGTGCTGTGGATTGTGGGTTGTCAGCAAGGCGTGCGCTGAACTATGAAGCTGACTGGCTGAAATACGTCATCAGCAAGCCTCCCCAGATCCTCTGCCACACCCTCTCCACACCAAACTGTGAATGTCTTTCCCATGAGCCACTTAGAAGCGTCGGGCATGACACACGCGCCGTGTTCGCGTGATGGTTTCCCTTCGATGCTTCTATATTGCAGCAGCCTGCTGCCTGCTTTCGTTCTCGGGTGCTCACGAGGGACACTATCTAGGCACCACCAAGGTATTTGCAGGACGGCAGAATGCTTCAAGTTTGCTCGCTAGAGCTCCTATTCCAATCCGCCAGTATGGAGCTACTTATGCAGTTACTGCAAGAGAGGGCAGTCACATATCTAAGTTCGATGATGCTGTTCGCTCGTACAAAAACTCCGCCTTGATTCAGTGTACTAGCGACAGCATGTCGTACTCTGCCATATTTTAGTGCGCTTGCCAACGCCCGCACAGATTTGAGAAGGAGAGACGATGTGAGAGCCAAAGCTCTATCGCCATGACATGCCTGCGCCGCCCGATGTGATCGTGTTCATGCATGCAGAGTCGAAGAAAGTCCCGGAAACCAAATCACCAACACCATCGCTATGCTACTCGTCAGATGTAAACCGCCTGTAAGAAGCTGAAACACCCGTTCAATGTATGACCAGGAAAGAAAATGCCCCCTAAATGTTCGTTGCTGCTCCGTTGGACTGTCCATTCGCTTTAGGGGCAGGAGGCTTGCCGCTCTCCTTGTTGACAAGGTTGTTATACATCCCTTTGATTTGAGCCACGTTGGCCTTCTTGTTCGGCCAGTACCTAGTGGTGACCGTCTCCCTACATATTGTCAGCAACGTCCTAGAAAGTGTTCTCATTTTGGACTCACCATAATCGACTCTCGAGGTTTGGCTGGTCCCGAGACTCTGCGCGAATGAAGTTCCCAACCGCAATCAGCTCCATCTTGAGAACCTTGATGAGGCCCTCTTTGTTCGGATACGTCTTCGCGTTTGCCTTGCTAAGACGGTCGAGATGGTCACGAATCCCCCGAAGCTTGTTGTTTGCGTACTCATCCAGCTCCGGCTTCACGATGCCATTCGGCGTCGAGTCCAGACTGCGGTGGTGCTGATGGTGACGCTCCTCAGAGTTCCTGTGCTTCGAACTCTGATCTTCACTTTTGACGTGCTTGATCCGGTCGCCATGGTCACTGACTTTTCGCTTGCTTTCAGGCGTACCGACTCGGTCGTTCTGCGGTCCTCTCCGGTCACTACTTGAGCGAGGGTGGTGTTCCGAAAGACGGTGACGATGATCCATGACGCCGTGCTCATGAGATCGACTGTCGCCACGGCTCTCGCTGTGACGGTGCTCCGCGTTGCTATGCGCTCGCATCCGAGCTTTCTCGGACTCACGTGGAGCCTTGCGCACGTTGTTGCTCGACGCAGGGCTAGCAGACCCAGCAGGAGCCTTCTCAGTCCGTCGACCGAGCGCATTCTTCTTGTTGTTGCGATGATGATTCTCAATGAGTCGTTTGGCGTTGGGATTCGCTCCAGTCTGCTCCTTGAGCACAGTCAGCAGGTAATTGGCCCTGCGGACTAAATGGACTGCTCCGGGCGACTTCGCGTTCTTGTCTTCAGCCTTGCTACGTTCCTCCTTCTTGTCGACGCGATGCTCTTCCAAGTAGAACTTGTCCGCCATGCCAAGCTCGGTGTCGTCTCGAATAGCAACCCATGCGCCATACCCATGTCGTGCAATGCCCACACAAAGCATGCCGTCTTCTCGCGCACCCCATGGACAAGTGTAGTTGGCAGGCTTGATGGCATCAGGAACGCGGAAGTTTCTCCAATCAGGTGCAGCCTCCGTTGCCTTCTTAATCATGCGCATCTCGACTGGCCGTTCCATGATCGTCTCAGCGTTCAACCGCTTCACACTTTGATAATCGAAGAGTACTGCCTTCTTGTCCTTCTTTGTTAAAACCCTCTTAGCTTCCTTCTCTATTGTCTCTAGTCTTGTCTGCTCTTCTTTCAAAAGTCTCTGGCTCGTGGCAATGACATCGTCCAGCGTCGCTTTCAAGACCTCGGGGTCGCGACCGGTAAGTTTCGCGGTTCGAATCATCTCCTCGCCACGATCATCAAGTGAACCGTAACGCTCGTATGCTCGGATGAGGTTTCGGGTTTCCTTGCCGCTGAGAGGCCGCTTGGGATCGTTGTCGGTGCTAGACTCATCTCCAGATGCACTGTCAACTGCTTGTTGCTGCATCTCCCGAGCTCGCTTCTTTGCAGCACGCTGCTCGCGTTCATCTTGGTTTGCAGCCTTGCGCTTTCTGGGTGCGCTTTCCTCAAGTAACCTCTTGGTCTCTTCTTCTTCCTTGCGTCGTTGAGCTTCTGCCTTAATGGCATCGAGGTCTTCCTTCGGAATAATGTCATCCCACTCGAGGTCAATCTTGACGTCTGTATATTCGAAAGCTTTGAGAAACTCATCGCCGCCGTCCGAAGTAAGACCTGGTGCTTGTTCTGTCTTATGTTCTTCAGCATTCTCCAGGACGGCGTCGATATCAAGCTCTTCGAGTTTCTTTTGGTTGCCAGATTGCTCGAACATTTTCTGTCCACGTTTTTTGAGGATGCGGTTGATTTCATCTGCAGAGGTAGGTTCAGTGACGGCATCTTTCGCTCGTGCAATCTTTTCCGATATCTCCTTGTCAGACTTGTCGGTCACACCACGCTGTATGGTAATGAACTCAAGCATCAGCTTGTTTCTTGCACGCTCAAGGATCTCTTCTTCAACGGTGTCTTTGGATACGAGCCGGTAAATGCTGACAGGGTTCTTTTGGCCAATCCGATGAGCGCGAGCCATAGCCTGCAAATCTGCTTGTGGATTCCAGTCGGAATCGAACAAGATAACGGTGTCCGCTGTCATCAAATTGATACCGAGACCACCTGCTCGAGTCGAGAGGAGGAAGCAGAAGTCGTCGCTGCCGGGCGCATTGAAATGGTCAATAGCAATCTTACGATCGCTCGCAGGAACGGTACCGTCTAAACGCTGAAAGGCGTAGTTCCGCAGTCTCAGGTAGTCCGTCAGAATGTTAAGCATTTGCACCATTTGACTGAAGATTAGGACTCGATGGCCGTCTTTTTTTAATTTGGTGAGAAGTTGGTCAAGAAGCATCATCTTGCCGCTAGTCGTGATGAGAATCTTCAAAGTTTCGTCTTTGCTGGCGTTCGGACTGATCAACTTCGCCTCTGCGTTCGCAAAGATGAGAGGATGATTGCTAGCTTTCTTCAACTCCATCATGATGTTCAGTAGCGATTGCTTTTGTCCCTTGACGCCCTCGTTGAGAGCTTCGTAATTCCTCGTCAGGATGTTCTTGTAGTACTCGAGCTGGATATCAGACAGCTCCACACGGAGAATCTTTTCAGATTTCGGTGGAAGATCGTTTTCAACCTTTTCTTTGGTGCGCCGGATCATGTATGGTTTGATAGCGTCGCTAAGCTCAGCTATCCTCCGACTTGCATCTTCGGACTGGAGGTCAATGTTCTCATCAATGTTCATCGTTCCAGGCATGAGGAAGTCCATGAGAGCGGACAGTTCGCCCAAAGTGTTTTGTATGGGAGTGCCGGTGATGAAAAGGCGACTTGGTGCTTTGAACTCTAATAACTTGGCGTAAAGCTGTGACTCGCGATTCTTCAGTCGATGGGCTTCGTCCACGGCGAGGAATTGCCATTTCAATTGAGACAGCCACTGCCAGTCGGCAAGCACGTACTCATACGTCGTGAGGAGAACATTGAACTTCACCTTTCGCAGGTTGTCCCGGTCAACAAGAAGCTCGTAGCTCTTGATGATTTCACGGGCACTATTATTGCCGGTGTAGACAACATAGTTGATGTCTGGGGTCCAATTGTTGAAAGTATCAGCCCATGCCGGCATCGTGGATAGAGGCACCACGCAGATGAAGGGCCCTTCTTGACCTCGGTCATGACGAAGCCAGTTCATGAAAGCGACAGTCTGGACGGTTTTACCAAGACCCATCTCGTCTGCGAGGATGACATTGTTCCCGCGGCACCAGTTGTGAGCAAGGAAATTGACTCCATGAAGCTGAAAGGATCTGAGTTCGCCATGTTTGATATAGTCGGGTTGTTCCGTCAGGCGGACAAACTTGCTTCGTGTAGCAATGTTGGACTCCTTCGTGTTCGAGGAGGGTAACTTCGAAGACCTGTCGAGGTAACGATCGATCTCGAGTTGAGATAAGTTGCTAATCAGAGTAGCGTCTTCCCAGGTACAGAAGTCGTAAGTCAAAGTTTTCCCTGTGAATAGTCAGCAAAGGCATAGAGTGCTATGGGTAAGGCTTTACATACACTTGACGAAGTACTCGGTGCCCTCGTCGCCTTGACGAGAGCCGATTACACGCTCGACTAATTGGTAGTCCGAAAGCGCACTCTTCTGCATCTCCCGTTCAATCTTGTATTTCTCGTACTCCTCGGGCTCTTCTTTCTGCCGATACTGAAAACCCAAATCAACGTTGATGACCTTGCGGAAGTAGTTTTCGAGCTTGCGAAAGCCACGGTAATTGGCAACCGTTTCAAAGGGCTCCCATGTGGAGTGGTAGTGAGCCTTCCCTTGCCATTTGATCTGAATGGAGCGTTAAGGCTTTGATCTCACCAGCAGGGGTAGTATAGGAGGACTTACAAGATATTCAAAGTCTTTCTTAGTAGCCATAGCAGGATCGACTTCTATTGACGGGTTTAGCAAGATGTTATTCCGGATAGACTGGGGTACTAACCAGTCCCTTCTTGCGGCCGATGGTCCAAGACGACATCAATCGCAGGGGAAGTATCCTCAACCACAGTCTCCCAATAGGCCGGTGTAGTCTCATCATCGTCCTCTTCGAACATGTCTTCGTCCTCGTCCTCATTGTAGTTGGTGACTGGCTTGGTTTGCCTTGCCGAAAAGCGTATTTCGCCATGTGAGGGAGGTAGCAGGCCAGCTGCGACTTGCAATTGACGCTGTCGCTGCTTCTTGGTAGGGACGTTTCGCCGAGCGCCCACATAGGTGTCTGATTCGGACTCGGATTCGGCTGTTGAATGGAGGGTAGGAGTAGGTTGATGCGACGCTATGAGGGGGTTAATTAGGTACCTGGGCATGGTCAAAAGGGGGTTGGAAGCATGCACACCTTTTCGGGAAGAAGTCTTCTGCCGCTTCCGTCGAACATCTGAAGCGGCTTTATCGTCTTCATCGCTGCTTTCGACCTATCATCTGTGTCAGGAATATGGGATGAAGCATCATGTGAAGTACGTACGATGCGACGATGGTTGAGACGAGGGCGGCCCTTGAGTGATGTTAGCGAGGATGGGCTAGATGTGGTGATGACACATACGCTTCGTCGTAGGCCATATAGCTCTGGGTTCTGGGATATCTCGTCCTCTTCAACACTTGCTTTCCGCTTCGGGGGTCTCCTTTCCTCCTCCGACGATGAACTCAGCGCCCGGCTGTCTTCTAGCTGACCAAATGGCGGTGTCTCCGAATCGTAGTCGCCATCGGCTTCCCCCTCAGCATCTTCGTCTTCGGAAGTGTCGGATGTCCCGACATCTGCCATAGGTACATCGTACGAGTCTCCTTCGGGTTCGTCCTCGGAGGACAAGTCTTCGGCGATGGGATCCTTGATGTCGGAGAGTTCGCTTTCGCTGTGGGAGGCCATGTCGTCGGCATTCGTGACAGTGACGGCGAGAGGCGACAAGTGGCCATTTGTAAGGGGCATAGATGTATTAGGATACGGAGGAGAGGGCATCGTGATGGACGCGGCTGATGGAGATGATGGTCAGCAAGATTTCTCAAGAACGACACGGCTGAGAGAGCCGAGGGTAGGTGCGATGTGCAGAACGATGATACGCGACTCAACAGGAACAAAAAGCGACTAGAATGGCTGCAGTAGGTTGGAATATGCAAGGTCTGATGGGGGAATCGAGTGTTTGATGACTTGGAGATGGAAGACAAGAATGTGAATCGTGGCGGTCAATGGGCTTCAGACCGCCTAAAACAAGCAGCAGTGTGTTGCAATGATGCTGAATATCCAGGGATACGCATCTCTGGGGAGGTATCGAGTTCTATTCGATGTATAGGCGGGATATAAGATGGTGGTGATGGTCGACTTCGAGCGACGGATCGCCGCTCGCCGGCAGCGTTTGACAGTGCAGCAGAGCAGAACGGAAGCAAACAGGGGGAGACCTACAGTCCATGGCTCAGACACCCTCAGTAGAGGCGACAGAAGGCCCGCTCGGGGGTGTTGGTGGTGGAGTCGGGAGACGAGGTTGGGGAAGTGTGAAGTGCCCAGCAGGTCCACACAGACAATGTGAGCGGTGCCTCAGCCTTAATCGCACAGGCGCTAGCGGGGCCCACGTGACCAGAGTCCCGTCTTCCGCTTGCGAGCATCATCCACCAAATTTCGACCACGGCACTGAAGACGACTCACGGCTTGTCTGAGCGGTGATTCTTCTCCTGGCTTCTCGCACCCTTCAACTTGCCCACCTACTTCTACAACTGCCCCCCCAATACACCCCCGAGCGCATTCTTCGAGGACAGTCGAGGAACAGCACCCCGCTTACTATTGTTCTGCTCCGCCCAGTTGTGCGAATAGCCTCATCATGTCGGACAGACTCACCCGGTATGCGCTCCGCCTTCGAACCACTCCACAATCATCCTCTAATTCCTCCGTCTAGCATAGCAATTGTGAACGCGGACAAAGTGCGCCTCACCTCCCCCACTACCCCTCCACGTCGGCAAATCAGATCAAGGCTAATATAATCACGACGAAAATAGTGCAAACCGAAGGTGAGTCGCATACCAAATGTGTAGGACGACATGCTAATTAGGGACTAGAAATGCAGACAAGAATGCAAGAAGTCCTGTCCTGTTGTTCGGACGGGCAAGCTCTGTATCGAGGTCGATGCCTCCTCCAAGATTGCCTTCATCTCCGAGCGCCTTTGTATCGGATGCGGTATTTGCCCAAAGAAGTGCCCCTTCGATGCCATCAACATCATCAACTTGCCTACCAACCTCGAGACCCAAGTCACCCATCGATACTCGGCGAACAGCTTCAAGCTCCATAGGCTGCCTACACCACGACCAGGGCAAGTGCTGGGACTAGTGGGGACAAACGGTATTGGAAAGAGTACGGCATTGAAGATCCTGAGCGGCAAGTTGAAGCCAAATTTGGGCAGATACGACAACCCGCCGGACTGGGAGGACATCCTCAAATATTTCCGTGGCTCAGAACTGCAGAGTACGTTGCATTCGAAAAGACTGTTGGGCCCACTAACACCAGGCAGACTACTTCACAAAGGTCCTCGAGGACAATCTCAAAGCCGTTGTCAAACCTCAGTATGTCGACCAAATCCCCAAGGCTATCAAGGGTCCCAACAAGACTGTGGGTTACCTCATCAAGAGCCGCTCTCAGATGGACAATTTGGAGCAGATCAGTGACGTTCTAGGTACAGTTGCTCTATTACAGATATTAGAACACGGGGCTAATTTGGCACTACAGAATTGAACCAAGTTTACGATCGTGATGTCTCCCTTCTCTCTGGAGGAGAACTACAGCGATTCGCCATTGGCACCGTCTGTGTCCAGCAAGCCGACGTCTACATGTTCGACGAGCCATCTTCCTTCTTGGATGTCAAGCAGCGTCTCAATGCTGGTAAAATGATTCGAAGCCTCCTTCGCTCGGATGACTACGTTATCGTTGTCGAGCACGATCTGTCGGTCCTGGATTATCTCTCTGACTTCATTTGCGTTCTTTACGGTAAACCAGCGGTCTATGGTGTCGTCACACTACCCGCCTCCGTTCGTGAAGGTATCAACATCTTCCTTGACGGCAACATCCCTACCGAGAATCTTCGTTTCCGTGAAGAATCTCTTCAATTTCGCATTGGAGAAGCAGGCGAGGAGTTCTTGGCCGACAAAGCTCGTGCATACAAGTACCCATCTATGGAGAAGACTCTAGGAGGCTTCCATCTCAAAGTGGATGGCGGAGAATTCACAGATTCCGAGATCATCGTCATGATGGGCGAGAACGGCACTGGCAAAACTACTTTCTGCAGGATGTTGGCTGGTGCTGAGAAGCCAGATGGAACACGCAAAGTTCCCCCCATGAACATCAGCATGAAGCCTCAGAAGATTACCCCTAAGTTCACGGGCACTGTTCGTCAGCTATTTTTCAAGAAGATCAAGGCTGCTTTCTTGAGCCCGCAGTTCCAGACGGACGTCTACAAGCCTTTGAAGATGGACGACTTTATTGACCAGGAAGTCCAGAACCTCTCTGGTGGTGAGTTGCAGCGTGTTGCCATCGTCCTCGCGCTCGGAATCCCCGCAGACATCTACCTGATTGACGAAGTAAGTGTACAACCTCACTATACATATACATCACTTAACACCATCCCAGCCCAGCGCATACCTCGATTCCGAGCAGCGTATCGTCGCCGCCAGAGTCATCAAGCGCTTCATCATGCACGCCAAGAAGACCGCCTTCGTCGTCGAGCACGACTTCATCATGGCCACCTACCTCGCCGACCGCGTCATTGTCTTCGACGGCCAGCCCTCCGTCGACTCCCGCGCCAACCCGCCCGAGAGCCTGCTCACCGGCTGCAACAAGTTCCTCAAGAACCTGGACGTCACGTTCCGCCGCGACCCCAACTCGTACCGCCCCCGCATCAACAAGTACCAGTCGCAGCTAGACCAGGAGCAGAAGTTGTCAGGCAACTACGTAAGTCATACCCCCCCCTTTTTATCTCGCAAATCTTGAAATTACAACGAGACAATCGACTAACAAACCCCCCAGTTCTTCCTGGAAGATGAGAGTTGAAAAGGGCATCCCAAAAATGAATCAACAGCCCCCTCCCCCCAGCATTTCGGATAAAGGCGTTCTAGGTGCATCGGGAGGCGGCAGCGGCAGCAAGAAAGGCGGCATTCGGCGGCGTTCTGGCGGCTTGCCCGACGAAGAAGTCGGGTCTGATGAAGACGACGACGACGATGACTAACGCTGGCGACAGCGGCCGACCTCCTGTTCCACTTAGTCTCTACCTGACGACATGCCAGCTACGCTTGGTATTCGTCTAGGTAGGTAGGTCGCACGGGTCAAGTTAGGGGGCCGCTGTCAGTGACGAGCTTCACGTTACATCATTATCCTCGAGCGCAGACGAATTCGTGGAGTTATCTGCATTTTTCAACCTAGACTACTCCCAACTACTGCACTAGGAGAATCCCTAGTGCTAGTCCTCTCCGTTTCAATCATCCGCCTGCAAACCGCCCAGTGCCAAAAGTTTTGGAATTAAACTCCATTTAGGGGAATAGAGAACATGGGCTAGGGAAGAAAAGAGAAAGTGTTAAGTTTCTCGTGAAAGTGAACACGTACCGAAAGTGAAAGTGAATTGATCTGATCGACCCAAGCGGGTGAAGCGCTAAAGCTAGTCTTCGGCCAGTTCGCCCTCTTCGCTACCAGATCGGAGGCCTGGGTCTTCAGCTGCGGGAGCAGGTGTAGGCGGGGCTGCGGGAGTCCGAGAACGGCGCACGCGCTGTGAAAGTGTTAGTATGATATATAGATCACGTAGAACTAGGAAGTCTACCTTGTTATCTCTCCTACTGCCAGGACTGCCCACATCGCTATCCCTACGGCGTCTCATGCTTCCAGGACGGCTGTCACCATAGTCGAGCTCGCTGCCGCGGTCCCGAGGATCCGCACGGCTGACGTAGTCGCGCTCCCGTTCGGCCTCGCGCTCTCTGCGTTCGCGGTCATAGTGGCTCAAACTAACTTGTCTGGATCCCCTATCATACCTGTCTCCTCGATCTCTCGTACGATCACGCTCGCGGTCGTCTCTGTCGCGCCGGTACGGCGGGGACAGACCGGTGCTGCTTCCACCCTTGCGATACTGCTTCTCCCGGTTCTCCTGCGCCTTTTTACGGTCCTCCTGGTAGGCGTCTCGCTCTGGGGAGCGGGTCCGGGTCCGGCGACGACGGTGGGAGTCAGTATGATTATCTCGGTAGTCGCGTTCGCGGTCACGATGGCTGCTGTATCGGTCACCGCGATCCCGGGGTCGATGGTCGCGTCGTTCTTCATCGTCCCTCTCCTTGAGGCGCCGCATGGTCTTGTCGAATGCAGAACGGCGAAGCTCATCCGAGTCAAGAGCACGATATTCCTCAAACTTTTCAAGGCGGGGACGTACCTGGTCCCAAGTGTCCCCCAATGCGACAGGTGGTTCGAGATGCTTGATCTTGGAGCGAAGTTTGTCGAAGATGCGCAATTGGTGGCGTTCTGCATGATGCTTCTCGTCTTCGCTTCGTCTCATCACTTTGTCGCGGATGCGCTCGAAGATGAGTTTCACATAGTCGCTATCGAGATCAGCTGTGCGTCGATCAGTCTTCATAACAGAGAGGAACTCGTCGAAGGTAGTCTTAGGTGTGACTTCAAAGTGTTGGTCCTAACGTAATTAGTCATCGTCGTTGAAAAGGGCTGCGATACACTTACATCCAGAACGTCCATAGCCTCGTTACGCCTCAGACGAAGCGCTCTATCCTCTTCTTCGATCAAATCCCAGAAGAGCTCTAGAGGTGATGATCCAGAGTTACCAAGCATTGCAGTGTACCGATCATCATTCTCGACCAACGGATGAACTTCCGTCCACTTCGAATTGGCATTGATCTTATTCTCCGATTTTAGGTCCTTCAGAAGGCTGAGAAACCCCTCTCGGGCCTGCCTCTCCCGTCTAGTCTTCAAAGCTTTCTGCTTTTGACGCTGGTCGTTAAAGCTTCGTTCGAGTGCCTTGATGTGATTATCAAAAGCTTTCAGTATGTCCAACTTAGTAAGTGACTGGAATTTCTCGTCATTCTTGATATGTGAGTTGGATTGGAGAATTTCCTGGGCGTGCGACCATCGCGTATATGGCTCAAGGTTTAGAGCACGCAGAATTTCCATGAGCTCATCCAAGGCCGCGCTTCGGTTCTTGGCCTCCTCTGCTGCGTTTGACTTCTTGAGATCCACAATGTACTCCTCGAATAGCTGTCTTCGCTCATCGTCAGACTTCGCAGACCGGAATATGCTCTCATCCTCGATAATTGGGCGAGCAGTCTTCCAACGAGTGTAGTGTTTGATCTCAGGGTGGGAGCCCAGCATTGAAGAAAAGTCGGAACGGAGTTTCGCGAGCCTCTCTTTCTCCTTGTCCTTCTCTTGTGCGCGAACCTCAACCACGTATTTCTCGAAAGCCGACTTTCGGTCTTTGGGGTCCTTCAAGGCTCGGTATTGTGGATCCTTGACGGTTGCACGAACGGTCTGTTCCCAGCTCCACTCAGGTTGCGCGCCAACCCGCCTCAGAAGCTTCATGAAGGCCGCTTCTGCTTCTTCGAAGGAGCTGTATTCTGGGTCGGTCTGGGAAGTTATGGAAGTCAGGTTGGCACTCCGCTCGGGGTCGGCACGGTATCCACGTTCGGGGTCGGCACGATATCCAATCTGTCGGTCCGGGCCAATGCGGTCATTGCGTTCATAATCATCGCGATCTCGGTAGTTGTTTTGAGGAGGGCGCATAGGGCCACCGGCGACAAAGGCTGGAGCACTGTAGAGGTTAGAGCAGTTCGCAAATTGAAGGAATTCACTTGCTGTGCAGCTGCTGGCCGAACCGGAGGCTGAAACTTCTTCAAATTCTCAGCGACCTCTGCGGGAATCTCCCAAGAAGTCTGTTTGGTCTCGTTATGAGCGTAGTAGCGCCTGCCGGCGTCGTTCTGGTAGGCCTTCCACGGTGTGCCGATGAGCGCGCGCTATATCCAGATTAGCATTTACTGATAAAGAGGCGGGAACGGGACAATGTCGCCAGCGGAAATCAATTCTCACCTCGATGGGCTCCATGAACTCTTCTGGCGTGTCCCATCGCGTCGCTTTCGTGTCCCTATGCCAGTAATAGGTCCGCCCGGCGTCAGTCTGGGCCTTTATCCAGACTGAAGGAGGGTTTAGGTGGCCGTTCATCTCTGCGGTTGAGGCGGTAGTGTTAGTATCGAGGTGAAAAGAAGGCAGGAGTCTTGGTAGCCTCGTCGCGCATGAAGATCTAATTCAGGTGGCCCGTGCGCTCTTGGCACCACCATTCCGTATAAGGCGACGTCGTTCTCACCTTCACTGGACATCAGAGTGAATGATTCCTCGATGGACTGAGTACGCGTCGTCTATGAGATGTCGACCGTCGAGCCAGAAGAGGGAAGGCCTCGGGGAAGCGTAGAATTTGCGGAGAGCTCTGTACTCGAGGCTTTTGCCCCGTCCTCGTCCGTTAATATCGAACAACTTCTGCAGTCGTGGGACGGATCCGTGAAAGATGAGACTAGCTCTATTCTTCCGTTTGTCTCTCAGAGGCAGTTCCTCCTATTCGGTAAGCATGGAGTTTCTGTCACGTGGCTGTACTAGATCTCTTACTTATTTTCAGGCGTATAGATGAGCTTCTGCCCGTGATTGTTGTTTTGAGAACACCTCAAATCGAAGAAAGCACACTGAAATCATATCTGTCGAGGCTTGCCATCAACTTGGAGCTATACGCGGTCAATACGGCCCCGAATCCCGAGGCCGAAACGTATACGCCCCCAACGAAAGAGTTACTCTACTCGGAGACCATCAAGGATTCATATGATCCTATAGTCTGCATTCATGAGAGCGAGGCCAATACGCATGTCTATGTTGTCTGGAAAGTGGAGGTATTCATAAGTAAAGTGGCCTCCCTAATATCCCAGCTCTCTGCTTACATTCTCAGGCCGCCCAAGAGCAAGACTAAATAAGCCCGGCTTATACTTTGCACCTGCAGCATCTCTAAAGCCTCCAGCAAAGATCAAGCAAACCGTCATCCAAGATGAATATCTCCCAAGCAAAGTCCCAGCCGCACTCAATCTTCTGCAGTCCTTCAGCAACGAGCCGGGGTTGGGTGGCGTTATACCACATCTTTCAGCCATGCGAATAAGCAAGGTTGCGCCAACGACCCCCATAGCAAGAGAGCTGATGCGGCCTGTCAGAAGCGGACAACGCCGTCTTTTCAAAGCCGCCCCCGCGCTGATATGGAGGATACGGTACTCCCGGTGGCAATCATCACTGAAGGACACTGCTGTGATTGCATCCCTAGACCTTGAAATCGCGCACATCACTAGCTGCAGTGTAACTATTGACTCCGTAGAGCTTATTCTGCAAGGAGGTCGCGTGGAACCTTATGGAGACCCTATCGGCATATCTAGCTCCATACTCTGCAATCCAGGCGACCAACTCACTCTTCTTTACAAGCTCATTCCGGATGCAGTGGCCGTCGGAGCTCCTATGGAGGAGATTGGAGTACAACCATTGGATCTTAAACTCTCAGCCAAAGTCCTTGCCTCAGAAGACTGCCGCCCGAAGATCTCAATCGACTGGAGAACAACCGTTGATTTCTCTTTGGGATCCAATCCTGCACTCAAAGGCTTCAATGCGCTTGGCCGATCTGCAGGTAGTCAGCGATCAAAACCGCCTGGCCCCGATTCGTTACCCCCAGCACAAGGAGACCTCAGTCCGGTAGAAGATACAGAGCCGAAGGACATCAATATCAGCCTGACTATATCTGGTCCGTCGGGAGTAAAAGTGGGAGGCATTTTCCACTGGAAAGTCTTCATTGTCAATCGCTCTGATAAAGCTCGAAAACTGGCCGTGTTGGTCATCCCCAAACGCAGACGATCAGACCTAGAAAAACACAGGCCGCTATCATCTACCTCCTCTACAGGCAAACAACAAGGGAAAGATGAGCTTCTTGCTAAAGCCGTGATAGACGACAACATTGTCTATGCGAAACAGAAGAATGCGAGACAAGAGCCAGCGGACTTGGTCAGTTTGACAACAGATGTCAGGATAGGGTATGTTCCAATTCTTTTGGGTGATACACGTGCGTACTGACGGTTTTCCTTTAGGCATCTAAGCTCCGGGGCATGCTACACCGCTGAACCCAAATTTCTTGCTCTTGCACCCGGCGTTTTATCTGTAGATGCTCTGCGTGTTGTAGATTTAGCTACACAAGAAGCGACGGATATAAGGGACTTGCCTAGCATTATTGCAAAGGAATAGAAAGGCGCTGTGTAAATATATCGAGTTGCGTCAAATATCTCGGTGGCTCGAAACCTGGACTAAGGCGCAAACGTGACGTTACGTCTAGATCTTGAAAGCTCGTTTGGAACTAGTTAACCTTGCCCAACTTATCTATCTAGATGGTGCATACTTCTTTAGCGAACACGTGACTTTCCCGTCCCTTTTCCGCATAACTTTCCCGACGGTGCCCGCAGCTCCTATCTGCACTACAGGTATGATTCAACTTCAGATATAAAGAGATCAAGTACCCCATCTAGCTCTCAAGATCCTCGTTCTCTCTTACAAACCCATACTCCACTCAATCACTTCAAAACATCACCAAATCCAACACCATGACAGACCTCTACACCAACCTCGACCAATCCAAACTTCAAGCCAATGCTGCTTCTTCCCTCCTCACCTATGGCTCGGCCTTTTACGAAGACATCATCACCCACGCCCGCGGTGTCTACATCTACATGGCCACCGGCCACCGCATGCTCGACTGGACCTCCGGCCAGATGTCGTGCCTCATCGGCCACGGCAACCCCGAAATCGTCAAGGTCATCTCTGAGCATGCTGCGTCCCTCGACCACCTATTCAGCGGCATGCTCTCGCCGCCGCCGATCTCTCTGGCTATGAAATTAACCAGTCTCACGCCGAAGGGGCTGGATAAAGCCTTCTTCCTGAGCACTGGGGGGGGAGAGCAACGAGGCCGCGATTCGGCTCGCGAAGTTCTATACCGGGAAGTACGAAGTTGTAGGACTCAGTGCGAGTTGGCATGGGATGGTGGGTGCGGCGAATGGGGCGCAGTATCATTCCAATCGGGCGGGGTATGGGCCTCCTGTGAGTCTCCCTCTCTACTGATCTAGTGACCGAGAACGAATTTTGACGGTTGTAGTACCCGGGCAACTTCGTCCTCCAAGCTCCTAACGCATATCGATCTATCTTCCGTCACGCTGATGGCTCGTATGACTGGAAAACGGAGCTCGATTACGGCTTCTCCCTCATCGATCGCCAGTCCTGTGGCTCCCTGGCTGCTGTCATCGTTGAGCCGATCCTGTCTTCTGGGGGTATGCATGAGCTCCCTCAGGGGTATCTCAAGGCGCTAAAGGAGCACTGCGACAGGCGAGATATGCTTCTTATTGTCGATGAGGCACAGACGGCGATCGGGAGAGCTGGCGATATGTTTGCGTTCCAGCATGATGGCGATGGAGTGGTTCCCGACATCCTAACGCTTTCGAAGACGCTGGGCAATGGACTACCCCTTAGCGCGGTCCTTACATGTGACAAGATTGCGGAGTTTGCGAAGAAGCACCACTACACGTTCTATACCACTCACATCAACGACCCGCTCCCCGCTTCAGTCGGCGACAAAGTCCTCGAGATCGTCATTCGTGATGGTCTGGTCGAGCGATCCCGTGAGTTAGGCAAGTTGCTGAACGCTGGCTTGCTTCGTCTTCAACAACGGTACGGGTGCATCGGTGACGTTCGGGGTCGCGGTCTGATGGCCGGGGTCGAGATCGTTGTCGATAGTGCGACGAAGGAGCCGGGTCTAGAGCTTGGTGACAGGATTGGGAAGCAAATGACCGAGCTGGGTCTTTGGGCGCAGCTTGGAACTATGCAGAGCTTCTCTGGAGTCTTCAGAATTGCGCCTCCGATTACGATTACGGAGGAGGAACTCGAGGAGGGACTAAAAATCTTGGAGAAGGCGTTTGCGTCGACGGAGGGAACACTGCCGCTGTATCAGGTGCCTTTGGAGGGTCTGATCCATGCCAACCTCTGAGTTCCGATGGTAGAGGCCATACGAATCACAGAGAGAAAATATGAGAGATGGATAACACTTTTACTTCCAATGCATTAGTGAGTTACGATTTATACAGTGCTTTGCCATAGATATCCGTACACTTTCCTGCCACTGTCTGTGGGGCTTGAACATATTGATAGAAACTGGGGGCAGTGCGTACGATTCCAATCTGCGTAGACCCTGTTGACGTTGTCTGGGGTAGCTGCACGAGTTTACTGGTTGTCTAAAATGCCAAACTTCTCTCTTATTCGGGGTGCTGAAAATATGAAGAGGCTCCTCATGCAGCGGTAAACGAATGTACGGATTTCCATGATGAGGCATTCTAATCATGCGTGAAATTGGTAGTCCAGATGGCGTGTCCCAAAGCGCTTCCAATGGGAAATCGAAGGCAGCGGGATCGAGCAAGTCAGAGAACAGGAGAGAAGAGCCTGCGTCCAGGGCATTCAACTGAGCGTCTTCAAGTCCAGCCTCGATGGAGGTGGATATTGCGGAACCCGAAGCTGTTTGGGCTTCCTGGGTCGTCAATGAGGCCATCTTGATGATAGGTCCTGAACATCGCTCTAGGCAGACGTCTGCAATGTCCCAATCGTAATCGTCTCGAGCATGCTGTATGTATGCCATGAGTTGTTTCAAACGAGATATGGATGCATTCCTGACATCGGCTTCCTTCGTTTCTACAGTGCAGCGTAGTGAAACCATTGTGGCGAGGACCAACATGTGAGCAGTATAGGGGAGCCAAAAGTCCTGGAAGTGGCGCTTTTTCAAGTCCAAAACAAACTCAACGACCGCCGATGAGGACATACGTAGCTCATGAAGCCGGTCGTGTTCCGAATCTGGGTCACCTGTGTTGCCCACCAAAACATCCGCTCGCAGTGCTAGACGACTGAGCAGCAACTTCATAGAAAAAAAACAAAACCATAGGTTACTACTACCCGGACGGCCAGATATAGGAAGCCGGTCTGGTAGTTTGGACTCTAGCTTATCCAACACGACTTTGAGCCTGTCCACGCTCAGGGAAAGCTCCCCTGGATTTGGCCGGAGCGCGTACACTAAGGGCAGAATGTCTCCAAGTAGCTCTGTTAGATAGCAAAGGTGGATGAAGCAAGCGGATGCGTGTCTCTGGGGCAATGTTGCCTTGGCCGGGACAAGCGAGGTCACGAGAGGTATGGGGACATCGTAAAAGCTTTTGCTTATGTGTGGTGGAAATCCATAAGAAATGCTGGACCAATAGTCGTTGATCAATACACCCCACCATAGACGGATCCGAGTCGTCTTCTCATCGTTTCGAATGTTCCAGTTCGATGGATTCCGGTGAAGGCCGAAAGTTTGCGCTAGGGCAACAGTGCGACCGCATAGCGTGCTGTTGCCGACTATCGTCTCTGAAGGGCGCCCTATCAAATCGAGAACTGAGGTGGATATAGTCTCTAGGCTTGGGCTGATGAAGTCGTCCAGGAGGGCACAGACAGATGTGTTCCAGAGAAAATGGGTGTCTGGTCCAGGGTATGTTTTTAGAGACTTGGATCTCTGCCAATTCGGTGAGGCAATGGCATACACACAACACAGCAAAGCCTGTGATACCTTTCCAATCTGTTGATCTTGCAGGAGAGAGCATGTCTCGTCGTCTAGAACAGGAAAATGCGGGTGAACGAATTCGAAATATAGAGCAATGACCTCGTGCCTATAAGTCCCTAGGATTTGTTCTATGATCTCAAGCTGATGTTTCCCTGCGTTAGGGGGTGGCAGACCGGCGCGACATCTAGGTACAGAAAGATAAAATATCGGGTGATCAATGTCGTGTGACATGGACTGGTAAAACTCGGATTGATTCTGCCCAGGCCTATGATGTGAGATGTGCTGTTGTAAGATATGTACGTCTTCTGCGACCGTTGGTCCTACAATGATAGAAGATTTTTCAGACGAGTTCACTGAAACTTTTGGCAGTGTTGGAGCTGAGTGCTCAGGCGTTGTGTTCTCGATTTCATCAGCGTTGCTCAGGCGTGGCCTCTTCGAGCACCGGTCAGCACGTTTCGAAGCATCTTCGTCAGGAACGGTTTGTGTTTGTGGTTCCGCATATTGACAATTCAGACGCCTTTGTCGACACGCAAGGCACGGTTGACTGGGAATATCGATGTGACATCGAATTTTGCGAGCTCGACATCTTCTACATGCGGGCACTCTATGGGATCGGTAGGGTCGGCTCTGGATTGAAGAGTTCGTTGAATCGACCATGGAATGTGTGGATGATACTACTTTCGTTGCGTACAGAAGATGAGGATGACGATGGTGGGGGCTAGATAGACACGTGATCGAAAATATGGGTGTAAGGAAATCCACAATCTAAGTCTCCTTACCTACGGCCTTTACAGAGAAGAACTCAGATGGCGCACCACTTACATATGAATGAGATGATATAAATGACAAGTTCCCGTGTATAGAACGTCTGAACTTGTCCGCCAGATCCCTGCGTGAATGCATAGCCACTACGGCGTACGTGACAAAGGCCTGCAGGTCACGTCGGTGGACTGCTCCGCTTAGTATTACCTACTCCCGCTCCCTCCAGTCCCTTGCAGACAAAAACTTGAATACTAAGCTGCACACCTACGAACCCACCGTCCGGCACGGAAGGACATTCACCAGCGATTTGTTCGAGTTTCTGTGCGCCGCGCCACCGAGTCAAACGACCCTTCCACCTTCAAACGTCATATCTTCATCGGAGCGCACAGGCAAGATGATCGAGGCCGTATCCCTTCATCGCCTCCTACGGGCTCTCAACAGCCGCTACATCTACGGCAAAGTCGTGAGCTGAACCTACACCTTCACTTTCTGGGCCCTACTGACAACTCCGCTCCATCCCAGCCCCTCCTGCACGCCGCAGTGTTCCTGATACAAATGGCCGTCGTTTCCATCCTCACGCGCAAGTTCAACTCCTACTATGCCAGCAAGCCAGGTAACATGTTCCACGTTTTCAGAGGAGACGGACTAGTCGCTAACGGAGATGTCACAGTCCTTACAACTATGATAACCAATGCCGTACGTCTTTCACCCCGCCACCGCGACGAGCCTTCGTCCATCATCAACCCCAATACTGATACAAATTGCAGGTTCTGGGCGGTATTGCGGACACAGTCGCCCAGTCTTTGACCGCAATCAGGCAACGTGCGGTCCGGAAAGAGGGTGGACTAGGCAAAGATGACTTCGTAGCTATTGAGATTCACGAGCTGGACAGGAGGAACCCATGGCCTGCGAGCGAGATCATCCCTGATTCAAAGCGACTACCACCTCCGTTCGACTTCGAGCGCCTCACCCGATTCATGGCATACGGATTCCTGATGGCGCCAGTCCAACATAGATGGTTCGCGTTTCTCTCGAGGACGTTTCCCATCAGCAAAACCTCCGCCATGGTGCCTGCTATGAAGAGAGTTGCTTTTGATCAGTTTTTGTTCGCCCCAGTTGGTATGTTTGTTATAACAGAAGCTATGTGATAACATAACTAACGTCGTACAGGTCTCGCATGTTTCTTCACATTCATGACCGTTGCAGAGGGAGGCGGAAAGCGTGCAGTCGCCCGCAAATTCCAAGATGTCTATGTTCCTGCCCTCAAAGCCAATTTCATCGTCTGGCCAGCCGTACAGATCCTCAACTTTCGAGTCATGCCTATCCAGTTTCAGATTGTAGGTTTCACTATCCGCAGAATCTTTTCTACCCGTTGCTAACCCATTAATAGCCCTTTGTCTCTACTGTCGGTATTGCCTGGACGGCTTACCTATCCCTCACAAACTCGTCCGACGACGTGTAGACCTACTACTTCAGATTACGAATCTCCTTCTCCCACCTGTGAATAAAGACTCGTTTCCATGGGCATACCAAGTTATTGGAGGGCACATGCGCCGGGCGCCCGCTTTCTTTGATCATTCATATGGCGCATTGGAGCATTTGTTTTGGCGCGCGGATGGGATGGGTGTTTGGCTGGGAGGCCGGATTTGCTTTTCGCTCGCAACTAGAAAAACCGCACCTATGACACTTTGAGGCTTTTCCAGACTTCATCTCTCCAGTGCACGTGAAGTATATTAGACTTCTGGAAGACGTTCCGATGACCTCGGGCATGCACGGAGCCATTTGACCGCAGTCTCGTCCATCGCTTGTGTCCTATGTGTGCCATAACCCCCCCAAATCCCTCTCGTGAAAACTCTACCTGAGCAACGTAAAAGCATTTGTCCAACAAGTTACAAAGTCGTAGTCCTAAAGACGTCAGCGTTACTTTGCTTTTCGGATAAGAAAGCAATCAACTCTCGCGCGCGGCCGGGATTTGACGTAACTATTGCTAGTGGGGTGACGAGAATACCCCTCCATAAAACAAATAGCTCAGCAACGACTTCACAACCTCTTTGATCGAGACTTTTCTAGGTGAGCCGCCGTGTTCTACGAAGTTCTTCAGAGAAAGTCTTTTATGAAAGGTCGACTGATGCTAATTGGCATTGCTGCAGAACTACAATCCATCATCTACTCAACATGTCTCTCTCAAACAAGCTCTCCATCACCGACGTTGACGTCGCCGGGAAGCGCGTACTCATCCGTGTAAGCAATTGAATTCCAGCCCTCATATTCCCTTCCTGAAATCGATCCGGGATTCAATGTCACTCTTACTCTAGCTAATAATCACTCCCTCCACCAGGTTGACTTCAACGTCCCTCTCGACGGGGAGAAGCACATCACCAACAACCAGCGTATCGTCGGTGCCCTGCCCACCATCAAATATGCCGTCGAAAAAGGCGCCAAAGCCGTGATCCTCATGTCCCACCTCGGCCGGCCCGACGGCAAAAAGAACTCGAAATACTCGCTCGCCCCCGTGGTGCCAGAATTGGAGAAGCTGCTTGGCAAGAAGGTCATCTTCACGGATGACTGCGTAGGCAAGGAGGTCGAGGAGACCGTGAACAAGGCGAGCGACGGACAGGTGATCCTGCTGGAGAACCTCCGGTTCCATGCTGAGGAGGAGGGTAGCCACAAGGATGCGGACGGGAAGAAGGTCAAGGCGGACAAGGCCGCGGTGGAGGAGTTCAGGAAGGGCTTGACCGCTTTGGGAGATATTTTCATCAGTGAGGAGACCTGGAAGTTATACGCCTCAGAAGATTATAGGCTAACTCGTCATAGACGATGCATTCGGCACTGCCCACCGCGCTCACAGCTCCATGGTCGGTGTTGACCTCCCACAGAAGGCCTCCGGCTTCCTCATGAAGAAAGAGCTCGAGTACTTTGCCAAAGCCCTCGAGAACCCCGCGCGGCCTTTCCTCGCCATTCTCGGTGGTGCGAAGGTCTCTGACAAGATCCAGCTTATCGACAACCTGCTCGGCAAGGTTGACAGCCTCATCATCTGCGGTGGCATGGCCTTCACGTTCAAGAAGACGCTCGAGGGCGTCAAGATCGGCAACAGCTTGTTCGACGAGGCCGGAAGCAAGACCGTTGGTGATCTTGTAGAGAAAGCCAAGAAGAACAACGTCAAGATTGTTCTACCTAACGACTACATCACCGCGGATAGCTTCTCTAAAGACGCAAAGACCGGATATGCCACAGATGAGGAAGGTATCCCAGATGGCTGGATGGGTCTTGACTGCGGCGACAAGAGTATTGCGCTGTACAAGGAGACCATCGACGAGGCAAAGACTATCCTCTGGAACGGTCCCCCGGGTGTGTTCGAATTCGAGGCCTTCGCCAAGGGCACGAGGGCTACGATGGACGCGGCTGTTTCGGCGGCGCAGAGCGGAAAGATCGTCATCATCGGCGGTGGTGACACAGCTACTGTAGCTGCTAAGTACGGCGTCGAGGACAAGCTCAGCCATGTGTCGACTGGTGGCGGAGCATCGCTCGAGCTGCTGGAGGGCAAGGATCTGCCTGGTGTCTCTGCTCTATCGAGTAAGTAGATCACGGTAGAATTCAGTCACGGAACTGTGCTGAAATAGACTGAGACGTGACGGTATCGAGGCTGTGATTGTATCTTAGTTATCTTTGAGTCGAGCGAAAATGGAAATAAATATCTCTGCATCCATTCCGTTCGAAGAGGCTTCCACTTCGCAGTGTGGCCATCTTAATACACAAGAGATATCCCGTGAAGCCGGCCTGCTCTCATGCCTTCTCAAGCCCCAAAGCCAGATACCACTTGCTTCACCCAAACACAGTGCTCTTGTGCTAGGCTCCCAATACGCCCGTGATACCGCCCGGCTCCATTTTCAATTTGTTTTGTTTATAGTTTGGCTAATCATTTCTTTCCAACACGCTTTAGTTCCTCCCTGCATACATGTCAGATTTGCGGAAGCTTTAAGGGTGGATATAAGGCGGAGAAGAAGGCGTATGGGTTTAGGCCGCCAAATGTAGCCAACCAGACATTATCCACTCACTTCAACTGCACTGAGAACTCGTCGTTCGTGTCATCGTCGTCCCAGCTCTCTTCCCAGAGATGCGTGTTGCCGCCGGGCAGCTGTGTGTCTTCTTCGGTCCAGTCTGTTCGGCCAGTCTAGTTAGCTTCGCTCCTCTAATTATGTCTTTCCCTCTACATGCAGGGCAGAGTGTTGGTGAAAGAGCGGCGCACCTTGAACGGGGAAGTCCTCAAACTCGTCGTCTTCCTCCAGCGCGGCGATGGGCTTCTGGACGTCCTTGGTGTCGCCGTCCTTAGCGTCGCTGGCACCGGCTTTAGTTGTGCTCGCGGCACCTGGACCTGAGGCGGCCATGGTGTATGTTGGAGTGTGTTTGAGGTGCCGGAGTTCGGGGTTGGATGGAGATAAAAGTGTAGTTAAAGAGAGAAGGTAGCGAAACAGTGAATGTAGAGCCGCTAAATGCAGGGATGCCGTCTTCGGCCGCGGTTTCTCCGTTTCGTCCGCCCCGAACGTCATCACATGGGAACACGCGGAACGGAGGAGGCGTGTCTTGCTGACGAAGTACGTATCTTTGTAGGATTGCTTAGCTAGGCTGCTAGGCTGCTGCCCAGCTGTGTTCAATTCTCTTCTCTTCTCACAGTCAAGAGTTGGCTCATTTGGTTCTTTTCTACCACTTCAATTGCTTTCACGTGGAGCCGACTGTCGCCGTCCGCATTATCTGCTTGTTCGTACGGCCCCGCGAAAGAAACGCGTACGCACGAGGAGTAGAGAAGCAAGATGCTGAAGGGATGGCTGGGAGGCTCGAAGAAGCCGCTGGGTTCTACGCAGTCTCTCAGTGCGCTGGATGAGCAGGCTCAGAGTTAGTCGCGTGCTCGCTTCACTGAAAAGAATGAGTGCTAATTGAATCAATTAGTTCAAGATGCCTTGGCTGGTATGCCAGTGCTTTTAATATGTTTCCATCATTCGCGCCTGCTAACACGATCCGCTTGAAGCTGTGTCCCTGATCATGAACGATGATGTGGATGGTGCCGAAGCTGGGCTGGATAAGGGCAGCTCGTCGTTCCATAAGGTGCGAATTGCTCCTGAAATGCCTCCAAGAACAACCAAGTGGAGCACATACTGAAAATCGACCGTTTGTTAGCTCGGAAAAAGCGTGATAATCTTCATGCGGGCAACCCTAGGCTTCGAGCCAGAAGTCATGCGCGCAGGTACTACTCCAAAACCTCTCTACAACAGATACACGGTGCAAATGATATAATCGTAGCGTCCGAAGCCCTCAATGAAGCTGAGAACAGCGCATATGAGCACCAGCGAAAAGCTGCCCGAGAACCACACACCTACCGCTCGCCCATATATCCGCCTGGAGCCGAATACGCCGTGTGTCTCGCACAAGCACAATTGATGAGCGCGGTCGTCGGCGTGCTGAACGAGAGTTTGACAGAAAGCATAAAAGGCTTTTACAAGCTCAGAAAGGCATACCTGACGCTAGAGGGGGTTATGGAGGCGGAAAGAAGGTACATCAACGATAGGAGTTCGAGTAGCGTTGATTCTACTGCCACTGGGAGCACGACAAGCAGTATACCTTCATCTAGGCCTTCAACAAGTAAGACAGAGACGGGAAAGACAAGGACATCGATTGATCGTGGCGCGAATCCGACTCTGTCATCCACCACTGTCGGTTCCAAAACTTCAAAGGAGGTCGAGAATGAAAAATCGCCGACTATAGAAGGTGACGACGAATTTGTCGATGCCGATGAAGCTCACGACGACCTTCCAACGCCAAAAGAGTATATTGGGCATCTCGCCGTGGAAACAGCGGACGGGAAGACTATAGAAATCGACACTTCATCAAAGAGTCCAGACCAGTCCTCTAGCGCCACTTCCGATGCACCACCTTCGTACAGTCCCTCGTCAACCACCGACGACTTCGAGAAATTGACTCTCCAAGACACTATCAAGGAAACGACAGACATCACAGCCTTTGGCACGCATCCTGTAGACATGTTCATCGTCTCCGCTTCGAATTTCTGCTTCGGTGTCCTTATGCTCATAATTTCTCTCGTTCCTCCTGCGTTCGCCATGCTCCTCAAGATCGTTGGCTTCAAGGGCGACCGCGAACGCGGGATCCAGATGCTGTGGCAAGCCTCGAAATTCAACAATATCAACGGTGCTATGGCTGGACTGGTCCTATTTGGATACTACAACGGCCTGAATGGCTTCTGCGACATCATCCCCAAAAGTGGCGAGGGAAGCTATCCGAGACCGAAGTGTAAGGCACTGCTGGCCGAGATGCGAGTGCAGTACCCTAAAAGCCATCTTTGGTTGATTGAGGAGGCACGCATGATGGCGACCGAGAAGCGGCTCGAGGATGCGGTCGAGTATCAAGCAAAGTCCGGTGAAAGTCCGCTAAAGCAGCTGGAGGCGCTGCAGTGGTTTGAGAGGAGTCTGAACACTATGTACCTGCATGGTTATGAGGATTGCTCAAAAGCATTTCAAAAGGTATACCTTGATTAACTCCAATCGTCGTTGAATGTGACATGCTAAAATCCGGTAGTGCGTCGAGCTGAACAACTGGTCTCACGGGCTGTATTACTACATCTGCGGCGCCGCGCACGTTGAGCTCTACCGACTCAACAAGTCCACAAACCCTGAAGAAGCTGTATGCATACCTCCTCCCTCCCTGGAATTCTCTCATCTAACTTCTACAGAAACGCCAAGCAACCCTCGCACGCGACTTCTTAGCCCTCGTCACCAAGAACACGGGCAAAAAGCGCTTCATGGCCCGCCAACTCCCCTTCGACACCTTCGTCAACCGCAAGATCCAGAAATGGGAGCAACGCGCCGCGGAATGGAACTGCGACCTCCTCGACGCCGTCGGCGTCTCCCCGCTCGAGGAGATGATCTACTTCTGGAATGGCTATAAGCGTATGCGGCCCGAGCACCTGGAGGTAAGCCTCCAGCGTCTTGCGTGGTCTGAAAGCGCCGAGAACACCTTCTGGGAGAAAGAAGCCACGGATGAGAAGGCGATCCTTGCGTTGCTGAGAGCTGCGACGTATCGCGCGCTGGATCAGACGGATAAGGCGAGGGAGGTGTTGAAGGCGGAGGTGTTGAGCCATGATCGTGCGATTTTCAAGGGCGGGAATAAGGATAATTGGACGGCGCCGTGCGCGCATTATGAGATGGCGGCGTGCTTGTGGCGGGATATCGAGCTCAACGGGCAGGATCCGGCGCTGAAGAAGGAGGAGCTGACGGAGTGTGCGAAGTGGTTGGAGGATGTGGTCAATTGGGGTGGGTTTGATTTGGATGCGAGGTATGTCTCCTCTTCTTCTGGTGCTGTTCACGAGGAAATTGGCAGTCTAACACGATCATAGGATTGGCATGAAAGTTACGACGGCTAAGCAGACGTTGAGACGGTTTGGAGTTGGCACAGCGTAGGCGGTTTTGATGATTGATGTCGGAACGGGTTTGGTACCTGCATTTAATGGCGTTTTGGGCTTCACTCCCGCAAGTCGTTGGAAGACGGGAGAGATAGATGACGGTACGAGTCTGTTACTTATTACATTTGGTATCATCCTCGGTTCGTAGGATGAGCGAAAAAGTTCTCATTACCTGCACTGCTTCAACAAGAGAAGTCTCTTCTACATAGCAAAATAAGCAATACTGTTATCAGAACAACTAAATAGTTGAACAGGTAATGTGAACATGACGTAGGCTTCCAGCGTTGTCTCCTCAACCCTTACATCTTGCATAGGCCCTCGAGAGCCCATTGGGGAATCTCAAGCAGCGGTAAGCCAGCGTGCACAGACCGCGAACTTTTTGACACGGCGCTGTAAGGCTGACCTTCAAATCCTAAACATAATTAGTACCAAATGTCCAGGACATACTCCAAGACACCCCTTTATAGTCTCGTTTAGTTTTGGCCGCGAGTGGACCGAAATTGCATAGCTGACTACAGGTACTCATCCTACGTCGGAATTCTTGGCGTTTCTTCTAACGCAGGGGACGAAAAGTGATATTGCAGGTTTGGAGGCATGAGTCCTATACTTTGGTAGGGGGGTTAGGAGGGTTTAAAGAGCATGGCCTTCGAGTTTTGGAGGCGATCCCTAAAAGAGTAAGGCGAGATTACTAGGGAAATAAAAGTACTCATCCTGCGTCCAAATCTTGGTGTTTTCTTCTAACGCAGGGGGCGAAAAGTGATATTGCAGGTTTGGAGCTATAAGTCCTATACTTGGGCAGCTTTCGAGTTTAGAGACGATCCCTTAAGAGTAAGGCGAGATTACTAGGGAGATAAAAGTACTCATCCTGCGTCGGAGTCTTGGCGTTTTCTTCTAACGCAGGAGGCGAAAAGCGATATCGCAGATTTAGAGGTATAAGTCTTGTACTTAGATGGGGTGATTAAGAGGGCCTAGAAAAGATAGCCTTTGAGTTTTAAGGCGGTACTTCGAGGGAGAGTCGAGATTTCTGGGGTAGACCTGCGTCGGAATTTTGGCGTTTTCTTCTAACGTAGGGGACAGAACATGAAATCGCAGGGTTAGAGGTATAAGTCCTGTACTTAACTTAGGCAGTTAAGAGGGTCTAGAAAGGTCGGGTTTTAAGTTTAGAGGTAAAACTTTAAGAGAAAGTTAATAATTCTATAGTAGATAAAGGGAGAGTCCTACGTTGGAATCTTGGGATTTTCTTCTAACGTAGGGGGCGGAAAGTGAAATCGCAAATGTAGAGGTATAACTCCGGTAATAAAGTGAGCTAATTAAGAAGGTCTAATAAGGATGTCTTTCGAGTTTAGAGACAATGCTTTAAGAGAAAGACGAGATTTCTAGGGTAGATGAAGAGAGTGAGAGAATCACGTGATTAAACTCGCTTAACGTAGTCAACAAGCTAGTGGCCATTACAAGCAAGTGGCAATTTGCATGCTTTAGCACCCTTTGTAGCAATCCCAACAACCACGAGATACAAAGTATAGTTTTGAGGTTGGATACACTATCTAGCTCTTTCTAATAGCTATAAAAGAAGTTTTGAGCAGTATAGAGGCGTAATTCTATTGTGTTATAGGTATTTATTAATTTTGGGGGCTAAAACTGGCTAAAACTGGCTAAAACTTTGCTACGGCTAAACAGGGCTATCGAGAGATTTGAATAATTAATAGATGATATTAAAATAACCACGCATATTATTATTCTAAGTTACAGCCTAGAATATTTTGTGGTTGTTGAGATTGCTGGGGTGCTAAAACAGCAAATTGCACCAACAATTGGGGTGGCCACTTGCTTGTAATGGCCACTCGCTTGTTGACTACGTTATTGGTTGCGCTGCTTAGTCTACAGTTATTCCTCAACCTTAATTTTAAAAACTTGCGATCATGGACATCTAAGAGACGCTATTCATTTACTACGAAACTATACCGTGTAGCAATAGACATTCCTTTAGTCCTACAATGCCAAAAAACAGCATGCTATTATAGTAGATTACTCTAGGAAATTATAATACCAAGTTTCTTCACTAAAGCTCTCGAGCAATCTCGTACGCTTCCAACAAACGACGGCTGGCTCGCACACTTTCTTCTTGCGCGCGGATAAGATCAACTAGAGCCGATTACACACTATTATTAGGTCTCTTGCTTGCTTTAAGGACTTCTGAAAGACTAGGCCATAATGGAGATATCTGTCACAATATTGGATCAGTAGCTCGTGTGGACGGGCCGGCATCATCTGTTGCTGGTATTCTCGATATTTCTCGTAGCTTTCTAGATGGTGGATCCAGCGGAGGATGGGTAACTTGGCCGTCCGTAGATTTTACTTCGAAAGTGACTTTACTGCCATTTCTGACGTGCGTGGATTGACGAACTGTATTAGATTCCGATCGTACTTCTTGTGGTTCGTCTGCTGACGACTGTGGTTCTTCTGCAGATGCCGATTGCGGTACTGGTCTTTCATCTGCTGCTTCTAAAGACCGTCTTTCTTCCGTAGACTCCTCTGGTTGTATTTGGTTGATCTCATCTAACACCGCAGCGAAGCGCTGAATTGGCTCGGACTCCACGCTCTTCAGCCCCTCTGGTACGTAGAAAAGTGCGATTGCGAACAAAGACGAGATGATGAAGATGATAAGGAGACCTAAGGATCCGGAGCCAAAGCTGGGTATCAAATGCGCCGTATATACCTTTCCAAGATATATCCCGAGTCCCAACAAGAACGCGTTGAGAGAGATGTTGAGAAGGTTCATTGGTGCAACGAGCATCATGGCGGAGTAGCACGAAGCCACTTTCCATTTCTCTTCGAAAAGGATTTGCCCAAACCCTTGAAATTCTTCATATAGAGTTTGTTTCAGTTGTCTCGGCGGAGATTCCAGTTTTCCCTTTAACTTCTCCATGAGACTCTCCAGAGCTCGTAATTGGGCCCTCAGTCTCTTTTGGTTGGCAGATCGAGTGGGCTTGGTGAGGAAATCTTTGATATCATCCGCGCTATGTAAGCCGTGAAATGCAGGGTTGATGGCGCATGAGAAATAGACAGAAAGAGCTCCTGTGACGAGGCTGATAATGAAGCACGCTTGGGCCGTCCAGTGGGAGTCGGTCAGATTCGTAAGTGAAATTGCTGTGATGGCGACTTGTGCAATGATGGCGCCCTAGCCTGGTCAGCGAGGAGTTCAATCAAGCCCGTCGACTGTCCACGAAAACGTACCGCGACTCCGATCATGTTGAAACTAGCGGTATATGACTTCATGAAGGCTATAACATGCTGATCTTCCGCTCGAAGGACATATCGCTCAACTCTTGTCATTACATCCAGTGCGTCTCTGAAAAAGAGCCGGAGGGTCCAACTCATCAACAATCCATATTCGTCATCTCTAGCGTTTCTTCTCAGCGATAATGTGAACGGTCGAAATGACACAAGATCCTTCCAGTGCTCAATGCTCGAGATCAGCAGTGGGATTGACCCAAGGACTATGCCAGCAACCTCTATGCCGGACATTGTGGTAAATATGATGCTAGTTTTGACGGTGAGATGCCTGGAAGGTGTTGAAGGCTGGAGCCTGCACACCTGAGGGGAGAACACCTCCAAGGCTGAAATCAAGCACCCCTCACAAAACGCAAAAGCACCCTTGATGTTCCTGGACTCGCCCAGTCACCATCACGAAATAACTCATACAGACACGACAGATATAGTCACACGCATATAAGACTACATGTTATCAAACCCATCACCCAACCTAGAATCTTCAATTACCTTTTAAGCTTAGCGCGAAGTATGGTACACAACAGGCGAAATGTACTAGTTAAGCTACATCAGTTCTTTCAATTTCCATTGAGATGCCTCGTCATATGTAAGCGTACTATGTGAGTGTACTCAAGCTAGGCATGGCTTGTACCTCCGATCGAGGCTCAACGACCCCGATCTACCTAGCTTCTTTGATCTGGAGCTTGCGTTACGCTCCTCCGGGTTGAATTACTCGGAGAGCTCGATTCGGGACGTCAGCCTCCGGACCCAAGTTTTGTAGCGCATTCCATCGGTTTCGGGGCACCATGAATACAATTGGCAATAAAGCGATGTCGGGGCGCATTGAACAAGATAGTAAACACTGCGTTGAGATGTTGACCTAAGGCAGAAAGGATAGATTCCGGGGGAGGTGCCCGGGGCTCCGAAAATCGCGTATGAGTGGTAGAATAAAGAGTTTGAAATCAAAACGCGTACAAAACTGGGCTATTACGCTTAAGAGATTGTACAGGGTACTTGATGCTGCATAATATACTTCGTATGAAAGAAGCGATTCGTAAGCGTCAAGCTCGACTGTGAGATGGACATACCCGAGGTGCAACACCATGCACCATATGAAGCCGTGGCATTTAGAGTCCAAATCAACCGAAAGGCATAGTAGTTATGTATTCTGTAGCATGCCCACTTGGAGCGAGCTCGTGAGCTCACCACCTCGGTTCACATGGAGCGAGGGCCACTCGGCAGTCGATTGTCAGCTTAGGCTAACCCCAGCTCCGCCTGCAACGAGGGAGAGAGATATTGCACCTCCGCCGCCATGTAGAAGCTCAAAGGTAGCTACCTATCAGCTGTAGCTTGGACTCTTACATATACTCTTTATCTTTTATTCTGTTCAAACGTCGACGCGTCGGTGGCTTTGAAGCTTGATACCTCCCTTCTCCCCGCATTTCATCCTCACAGCCGCCCGTCATGTCAGCTATCAGTACCCCCATAATCCCCTTCTCAGAGCCTCCCTACCTTGCTGGTCTACCTTCCCCATACTACAGCGAGAGCCATCTGAAGTGGCAGAAAGCCTGCCGCGCCTTCATCCAGGAGAACCTGATCGACCAGGCGCTGGAATGGGACACCAACGAGACGCTCCCCGAGAGCGTGTTCAAGAACTTCGCAAAAGCTGGAATGCTGATTCCATCTCTCCCTGCGCCGCTGCCAGTAGAATGGCTGAAGAGACTGGGCATCCGTGACTTCCTAGGCGTGTTGAAGGTTGAGGACTTCGATTACATCCACACCATGATCTATTGCGACGAGGTAAGTCACGCCTCTCCCACAATCAATCGAGCCTATACTGATCCTTCCCGACTACCAGATGGCCCGCTCCGGCCTCGCGGGCCCCTCGGGCTCCCTCACAACCGGCATCTCCTTCGGCGTCCCCCCCATCCTCAAATTCGGCAACGCACAACTCCAAGAGCGCTTCCTCCCCGACCTCCTCACCGCGAAAAAGCGCACCTGCATCGCCATCACCGAGCCTGGCGCCGGCAGCGACGTCGCGAACATCTCCACCACCGCTGTCAAGACCCCCGACGGGAAGCACTACATCATCAACGGCACCAAGAAGTGGATCACCAACGGCATCTGGTCCGAGTACTCGTCCATGGCCGTGCGCACCGGCGGGCCCGGGCCCACGGGGCTGAGCATGGTCGTCGTCCCGCTGCTCGGCTACCCGGGGGTTAACATGCGGCGGCTGAAGGTGGGCGGGCAGGTCAGCGCGGGGACGACGTTCATCGAGCTCGACGACGTAAAGGTTCCGGTGGAGAATCTGATCGGCGAGGAGGGCATGGGGATGAAGTACATCATGACGAACTTCAACCACGAGCGCCTGACGATTGCGATTGGCGCGACGCGGCAGTCGAGGGTGGCGCTGGCCAGCGCGATGGAGTATGTGATGAAGCGGGAGGCGTTTGGGAAGGCGCTGATTGAGCAGCCGGTTGTTAGGCATCGGCTGGCGAAGTGTGGTGCTATGCTTGAGAGCCAGTGGGCGTGGGTCGAGCAGTTTGTGTATCAGATGACGAAGCTGCCGAAGGCGACGGCGGATGTGGAGTTGGGGGGTTTGACGGCGCTGGTGAAGGCTCAGGGGGGGATTGTGCTAGATGAGTGCGCGAGGTGCGCGGTGCTGTTGTTTGGTGGCAATGGGTATACGAAGAGTGGGCAGGGAGAGCTTGTTGAGAGTAAGTGGAGTTTTTGCTCCAGTGCTGGTCTGTGTGGGAAGTTGCTAACTTGAGAATTAGGAATATACCGCGAGGTGCCTGGTATGCGGATACCCGGTGGATCTGAGGATGTCATGCTTGATTTAGCTGTGCGACAGCTCATCAAGAACTTCAAGAACAAGACCAAGGCGATGGAGATCCCCAAGGGATCGTCGAAGCTATAGTCCTGAAGTCTCGTTGTCCAAGATTTAGGAGACGTGCAAGTTCGCCGATCTCCTAGGAACAGCTGTCCATGGTAAACTGGCAGATCCTTTAGTGTGAATCGCATAGCCAGTTCTGTAGTATATATTCGTTAAAATCCCCCTATATCCCACAGTGTTAGCAGTACATAACAATCACATATCAGATCATTTCACCAGCCACCCAGCTTAATCACAAACTCCTACTTCCACTCCCATAGTCATCGTAATACCGCCCAATGAGATATTCCAGAATTCCCCGCACAAACCCCTGCCGTTCGATATACCCGTAGCCCACTCCTCACTCATTTCAGCAGGCGGTAGCGAGACTAGCCGGGAAACTGGTGTGAATAATATAGATGTTATACATCATGCCTTCTTGGCAGTCCCCTCATTCCTAAATAATCACGGCTCCCGGGAAACCGGTCCGTCGGTGGTGAGATGTTCTTCCTATTGGCAGGTAAACTGGCCAAATTCGAGAAAAGTGAACAGATGGCTTGGAAATTGCTAGACATTTATTTGAGCTGAGGTTTAAAGGTGATTCAGAAGGTAGGTGCTCTTATACACTCTGGAAGTCGAGACGAATATATCACGATGATTATGTTAGGCTAGTCGAAGTAAGAGTAACCATCATTCAACGAGTGCTGGCCCGCTGATGCCCCGAGGGCGATCGCCTGTGCAGAAGTATGCGATTGGTCTTGACTAGCATAAGGTGTCTAAACGAACTGCTGTTTAGCCTCTTTGAAGACGGAGGCTCCCAATGGCGAGCCGCTGTCAGACGGCATATGGCATATGGCATATGTCATATGTCACATGTACGTGCGTTTCGGCAGCGGGTAATTGCAGGTCCAAAAATATGAAGAGGTAGAAATTCAGGTTCGTGACATACACGCTCTGCTTCTTTCTCCTTCTCAAATTCAGTCCGCTCAGTTCCCTCCTTGCTGAGAACTGAATTAGTTCAGTTGGACCCAGTCAGGTCAATCATTTTCCCAGTTGCCCACCATGAAGCTCCTCTATCCCGTGCTGTTTCTCACCCTGGCCACCCTCACTACTGCAGCTCCTTCTGATCCCGTCTCCAACTTCACAGACCCCCTCCTCTCCTTTCAGCTCCCTCAAAGGCTCCTTCGCCCCCTGGAACTCCAAGATCCTCTCCCCCTACAAAACAGCGCTGACATCGCCCTCGAACGCAACACCTACATCACATGCCGCGGCAGCGAACTCTTCCTCTCTAACACGCGTTGGACCGCTTCCGGCACAAATGTGTACTGGCTCGGGCTCGACGAGAACGTGATCCCGCCCGCCGGCGCCCCCTTCTACGCGCTGCTGAACGCGAGCTACCCGACCAAAGCCCGGATCACCGAGATCATGAACACGGTCGCGGTGTTAGGGGGACGGACGATCCGCTCGCAGACGCTGGGGGGTTAGTGTAGGGAATCCGCTGAGTTTGATGCCGGAGCTGGGGGTGGTGAATGAGGATGCGTTTGAGACGATGGATTGGGCGGTGTACGAGGCGAGGATGCATGGGGTGCGGTTGTTTGCGCCTTTGGTGAGTATGGAGGGGCATTGGGAAGGGCCAGTTGAGAGGGTGTGGCTGACGAGTGTGTTTAGGTGGATAATTATGACTATTATCATGGGGGGAAGTTTGTGTTTTTGAGGTGGAGGAGGGTTAATATTTCCGCGTCGGAGGCGATGCGAGTATTCAAAATCTGAAAAAATTCAAAGGCTGAAGGTGGCGTGGCAAAATCGAAGTAGAGGAAAGAAAGCTTACCCTCTTACCAGCGACCCGAAGGTTCAGGAGTTCTATACTAATCTCGTTATTATTGCGGACTTCAAGAACTACATCAAGATTCTCCTCGCACACATAAACCCCTATACTGGCCTCAGCTACGCCGACGATCCGACTATCTTCGCCTACAAAACGGGAAACGAGCTCGGTGAGCCTAAATTCCAAGCTATGAACGTCCCAGTCGCATGGACGGCCGAAATCGCGAGCTATATCAAGAAGCTCGCGCCCATGAAGTTCGTAGTCCATGGAACCTATGGAATAAACAAGACGCATCTGAGCATCAAGGACGTGGATATCTTCTCAGATCATTTTTACCCGCCGAATAACACGAAATTGACAAACGGTATTGACCTGGTTGCTAGTGCGGATAAGGTATACTTTGCGGCAGAGTATGGTTGGACGAATGTGCAGCCGGATATGACGCCTTGGAAGACTTCTTCGCAACTATTGAGAGCTATCAGGGGAAGGAGAAGCCGGTGGTGATTGCAGGAAATTAGTTGAATCGTCTCCAGCAGCCGAGGGACAAAGTACAGCTCTTTGAGTATAATATTGACTGACACCGTGTTAGATCATTTTTGGAGTCTCTTCACGCATAACGTACCAGACTGCACGACTTACGTTAATCATTCCGGTGTAAGAGCTCCATATATGTCTTACTCCGAATCTTCTCCGAAGAGAATGCTAAAAACATAGCAACTGATTATTTGATAGGATAGCTTCACCCTGCAATATGGTAACCCAGCAAAACCTGTCAACGTGACAGAGCAGGCTATTAAGATTCGCCAGCATTTGTTCAGGATCAAGGGCGAAATTGTGGATGCGTCTTTGCCGATTGCACCGTGTCCAGGGCCCGATGCCGATCTTTTGAATACTTGAGGCGTGTTGCAGTGATGTGGTAGGGTTTATTAATTTGTATACTTATTCCATTTAATGAGTAGCTTGAAGAACAGAAGAAAGGCCGTTGTCTTGTGCGATTATGAGGAAGAGAACAAACGTTTCTTCGGTTCAAGAAAATGAAGGTGTTCATAACCTTGGCGTAATTGAGTGGCGCAGGTAGCTGTAACCTCGTACTCTAGATGCGGTCTAGTGAAGTTCCTTTTTTCTGATTTGTTCGTATGATGTTGTTTGTATGCGTCGTGGCGTTCCACCCTTTGCCCCGGAACGCCTTCTCACCTGATAGCATGATGTTCTAGTTTTTTCTGGGATATCCATACAGACTCGGTGGTAAGGACGTCATTGAGTGCGGGGAAGCGGGTGGCTTGACTGTAAATTATTTGGACATCGTGGTACTCATTCCGCCTTTGCGGTTCCAAAATGGATCAGTGCGGTTCCGCTACGGTTAGCAAAGTGAATGTCGCCTTCATGAACCAAGAGATCAGTAGCGCATCGTAGATAAGCGTGAAGGCCGCTAGGATGATTCCCTGGATGAATAATCGTTTCGGAGGGAGTCCGAATAGTCGATGACAGATCGTTCATGTGACCTAGCTGTAAGTCACGTGATCCGTCCAGAACCTCCTTTATAATCGCATCGTCCCTGATTGGTTAGGGGCTACAGATTCGTGGCATCCTTGGCTTCGGGCGTGTCTAGACCGGGATGATCCTACCTGTATGCTGGGTAGATCCTTTGCGGTATCTTCCTGATGTCCACCTCAGCATCAGGGCGTATCGCGGGACGGAGTATTCCCCTCAAATTGCCAGCCGCGCCCTGCAGCAGTTGCCACCTCTTGATCAAACTTGACCTGACCCACGTAAAGAAAAATGCGGGGCTCCACGCCCACCTCTAGCGTCTGCGGGATCGTACCAACCAGGTGAGAAGTTAGACCACATTCGATTAGCGATTCGCGATTCAATGCGACTGGGATGGTGTGATTTGCCCCAAGGTTTTCCTTAAGCCGTTCTAGACAGGTCGGTATCAATAAGAGTGAGTAGATTAGGATGTCGGTATAAGTGGTGACGATAGAGAAATTGAACTACTCACCGTCAGATGGAGGAGGTCCGCCAGAAGAGACCCGCAGCCTGCAGGTGGTGATCCAGTCCGCGATCGGATTGCAGTCGTGGACAAGTGTATTTACGTTGTTCCGGCCGCGGATTAATTGGGGCATGGTTGGGCTGGAAGACAGTCCGAGTCTTCGCCGTCACCACATGCATGGCCCGCATCCTGGAGTCTGGGGATCGCCGCTGTCGCCAATTCTTTCACGCCCCACACGTTCTCGCTCGCTTGATTGGAAATACAATACATGACTGGCAGCCTCCTGGAAAACCGTTGCTGCCGGTAGTTGTGGTGGCGGTACCTGATGTCGCCATTTGCACCATAACACAGTCAAATCCTTCGATGCGAAGCGCAGAGACTGCGGGCGCGTGGAAATACCACTGTGCCATGAGTAGAAGTCCATGTCAGGCATTTCCTAGCCCGCCGAAGCGCGTCCTAGGCAAACAAGGGGAAGTTGTCGACGGCGGCGGTGATATTCGGAACCATCGACGATTCGACAGCTTTGAGTCGGCGAACGCCGCACCAGACCCTCTCCCCAGAGCAGCTTCCCAGTACGACCGAGAATCGACCGCCGAAGAGAGGCATAAGACCGCAATTTATATGCATCCAGCTTTTTTGCGTGGGCTAGCGGCTCGGCTGAGGCGACTGGCGGCAACTTGGCTGTACCATGCAACAGACCCTGGGCGAGTCGAGACCGCGAGGTGTGCTGGAAGTCCATTTCCGCAAGAGGATAAAAAGTCATAGAGCTGGGCTTTGCCGCATTGCCCTCACGATGCCTGCGGAGTCTTGACGCGCTGGAGTAGTGTGGAGAGAAGGCCGGCGCGCAGCCCGCTGCGCTTCATGACGGTGAAGGCAAAGCTGAACTGGAGCACATGACTCAGGGCTTGGCTGCTCAAGCCCTGCTGGCCACATGCTTCCACCGCAAACGGCTCTGACATGGCGCAGTGTGTCGTTGCACAAGATGTCTTCAAAATGCGCATAGAATCGGCCATTGTACCGAGAGACTATACCGAGAGACAGTACCGAGACAGATCGGGGGGGAGGCTCACTGTCGAGGAAGATCAGCTGCGGGCTGCAGGCAGGAAATGAAGACGGCACAACGGCACGCATGATATGCCTCATGCTGGCGGCTGCTGACGATTGTGGGATCCGCTCGGAGGGCTGAAGGACTGTCCGGAGATGGGTACCCGAGTACTTCCGAGGCACCGCTGGGACAATTGTGAAAGCAGCAGGGGTGCACCAGTGCCCGCCGCCAAGGCCCAATAGCTCCGATGATCCGGGGGGTTGTCGACGTTGTGTCTGGGGCGTCCCATCCCCACACGCCAAAGAGCTCCACGAGGCCTGGCTCGAGGAGAATGGTGAAGCTAGCCCGCCACTATGAGGGAGCCCGGCCCCGTACATAATCCTCACGATTCCCTGCCCTTGCCGCAGCTGCCCGCGTGCCCATCCCCATACTAATATCCCGTTGACCCCCCTCCCTCTCATCCAGAGGATCCCCAAACCGCCGCCATGTCTGACTCCAACGCCTCCCTCTCGGACCACGAGATACAGCACCATCAACAGCCTCCGAAGCGCAAGGCTGCTACTGCCCACTTGGACGGAAACGGAAATGGTCGCTCAGTGAAGAGGAGGGCGTCGAAAGCGTGCCAGTGCTGTCGAGCGCGTAAGGTACGATGCAATGTCACCGAGCACGGCGCGCCCTGCACGAATTGCAGACTGGACGAGGTCGAGTGCATTGTGTCCGAAAGCAGGAGAAAAAAGTGAGTAGTCCGCCGCCCTGAGAATCTTCCCATATCTTTTCTTTCGTTGCCCGTACGTCATCCGCGCGTACCTTCAGACCAATATCGATCTCGAAATACCCCGGTCAACTTCCATCCGGGGAGCTGCAAAGCTGCACAGCGGTGGCAATGTGCTGACGTTAGACAGGAAATGGTCAAAGGACGAGGACCAAACAACAGAGACAAATGCCTCGGCAGCCAGCGCGACACGGAAGCTCGCGGCGCGTGAGGCTCTGGACTCTATTCAGAATCTTGCAGCTGCCTCATCCCGTCGATCACATGATCCCGAGCCGAGCAGCGAAGAGCATGTGCCACATTCCATCTGTACGTCAACCTTTTTTTTCTTTCTTTCGTATTCCTTTATTTTTTTTAATGCGTCCCACATGACACCTGCCGTTTACATGTGCTGACGCCGGCCTCAGACCAAAGCCACGGTAGTCGGCTCAATTACAGTTTCTCCGAGCTAAATCGCAGACTCTCGGTAAACTCCAATTCAGCCGCGCAGCCGTCCATGCTAGGATTCAGTCCACTATCCACAGATTCCCGAGGACCGTACTTTGCGCATCTTGCTCCTAAACAGGCGCCGGTCGCGAATCTTCCAGCTTTCATCAAACCGCTACCAGCCAGGATTGGACCCGATGAAGTCTCGTACCTCGAGAAGAAAGGGGCCCTCACGATCCCCAGCACCCCTCTGCGCAACGAACTGCTTCGGGCCTATGTCGAGTTCGTACACCCGTACATGCCGTTGTTGGATCTCCACGAGTTTGTGGCTGCCCTAGACAATGCGGACGGCAACCTAGGGAAGATTAGCTTAATCCTTTTCCAGTCAGTCATGTTTGCTGGCTCGGCCTTTGTGGATATGCGCCATTTGCGAGCCGCTGGTTATGTCACCCGCAAGGAAGCGCGGAAGGACTTCTTCCAAAAGACGAGGGTAAGCGACAGTCATCTATTTCCGCGTAATTCGTTTTTTGCCCAACTCGCTTAACGGCACACCGCAATTCGTTCGGAATACTGACGGAACCAGCTCCTGTATGACTTCGACTACGAGTCCGATCGCGTATCCCTAGTGCAGGCACTCCTCCTGTTGACGTATTACTACGAAACTCCTGATGACCAGAAAGACACATGGCACTGGATGGGCGTGGCCACGTCGGTGGCGCACACCATCGGCCTGCACCGCAACCCGGACAAGTCGAATATGGACGCGAAGCGAACAAAGCTGTGGAAGCGGATATGGTGGTCGACCTACATGCGAGACCGCCTGATAGCGCTGGGAATGCGGAGGCCGACGCGGATAAAGACCGAGGACTACGATGTGCCCATGCTCACTCTCGATGACTTCGACCTCGCGCCCATCCCTGACACCGTGACATGCATCCCGCAAGACTGCAGAATCGCCCGAGATGTCGATATGCAGCGCCAGTTGGCTAACATGTGCATTGAGAAGGCCAAACTATGTCTCTGCATCAGCCACGTCCTGTCCAAGCAGTACTGCGTTCTCAACAATCAGCAGGGCGTCAGCAACGACCGGACGACGATGATGCTCCTGCCCAAGAAACTTGATCCGGAGAAGTGCGAGGTCAAAGCCTGCGACGAGGAGCTCCAGAAATGGGTTGACGAGCTGCCTGAGGACGCGAAGTACAGCGATGCTTCGACTGGCGATGACTGCATTGATCTCCACCGCGCACTGCTCCATATGGTTTTCTTCACCACGCTCTCTGCTCTTCATCGCCCCCAAGTCCTGCCATCATCCCACAGCAGCAGCGCTCCCAGTCCCAAGAACACCACAGGCGCCGAGCTGCTCGATGTATCTCGTCGGAACGTCCGTCGGGCTGCATCCGCCATTACATCCATCGCTCAACGCCTGGACTCGCTCGACTTGGTAAAATACCTCCCTACCACCGGCGTGACTGTTCTCCTCCCAGCAATAATCATCCACCTCCTCGACATCAAGGCTCCAGAAGAAGAAACCCGCCGCGCCTCCCTCCGCGGCTTCTGTCAATGCATGCAAGTGATGGGCAAGCTGCGCGACCTCTACGCAGCCGCCGACTACTCGACCGCTTTCCTCGAAGCCGCCATCCGCAAAGCAGGCATCCACATCGCACCACTGCCAGGCCTGACCACGAACCCTCTCGCGAAGCCCTCGCCCGTCACCACAGTCGAGGACCTCGTCGACGCCGGCCGCCGCCTCGACCTCGCCCAGCTCAGCCAGCAAGCGCCGCACTTCGCGCGCGCCCTGACACCACCTCCGGACGCCGGCACGACCAACCTCACCGCGCTGGAAAAGGGGCCGAACGTCACCGACGAAGAAGTCGCGCGGCGCCTCGAGACGTTCCTCGCGTCGACGCCGCCAGAGAGCGACCACCACAGCGAAGACCACGACCACCTCTCCATCACGCACACACGCGGCATGCGGCAGTACGCCTCGCACGACCACGACGAAAATTGTGACCACGACCACGACGAGGCCTGCCCGCAGTTCCACCCGGAGCACTCGTCGGCCCACGCCATGCACATGCCGAACCCGTTCAACCACCACGGCGACGAGATGATGTTCTCGAGCCTGCCGCTGAACAACGACTTCGACGACGGCGACTTCGACAGCTTGCTGAATCTGGATGCGGTGGGCGAGGCGTTTACGTTCGACGACGGACATCCGATCAGCTTGCAGGGGGAGAGCAGCGGGTTTGCGATGGATGTGGATTGGATGAACAGTATGGGAAATTTGGAGATGGCGAATTGAGAAAATCCGACGATTTGTATTGTTTTTGTTGTTTTCGTACTGAGTTGCGGTTTTGTTGTGCAAGGCGTACTGCGGAAAAGTTTACCCTAGATTTTTGTCGTTGCGCAAACGTCGTTTGCAGTTTTTTTGTTTTATGTTTTTTTTCTTTGGTTGTGGAGAGTTTCCTTTGGAGCATTTTCACTGCACAATACGATATCCATCTGCGAATATTAGCCTCGGCGCTCTTTGCACGTATATATGTTGGACCGGGGGAGGAGTGGTGGAGAAAGGGAGGAATGATTTGGAAAAAGCAGACGGATAGTGAGAATTGATGAGATGATGTTTAAGAGCTGGTGTTTTGTTTGGAGAAGTGACGGAGCATTTTACACGCTCTAGTCTTGATGCTAATCACATGCCTAGTGGCATAATCATGTGACTCGAGGGTTCTTTCGCGTATAAAGGGTTTGCTCTCATCGAAGCGAGAACTCTTCTTCATCGGTTGAGGAGTTGGGGTTTGGAGATCGATGAGCGGCAGACTACGATGGAGTGGGTTGTGGATTTTCCTGCTGGAACAAAACAAATCAGCCATCCATGGCATACATGAGGCGTGTGGGTGTGTTCAAACGGATTGTGTTGGGACTACATGGCAGGGCTAAAGCTTCAAAACACACAGCTAGACTGATCATGGAGCTAGAGGAAGGGGGGAGTCAAAGCATATTCCCACCAGCGCCATGGAGTTGGTTGGAGTTGGAGAAGGAGACTCGTGTCCACCGTCTATCACCTGCTGTCGATAATGAGCACCATTAGCCCATCCGACTGCTGTTCCATCATCCTAGGTGAATCGTATTGACGAGGGTGGTTCATCTAGATTAGCGATCAGCGCCATCTTGTCTTGAGGTGCTGAGCCACGCATAAGATTGAGGGACTGCAGATGTTGATGCCTCAGTGCGGACACAACCACTACCCATCAGTCCATTTGCATTCCTGTTTATTTCAAGCTAAAGCAACCTCGTTCTTCAGAATAGAGATCGAGTAGGAAGGATTTATACCCCGTCTGCGTTGAAGACCATATATGTCACGTGACCTGACCACGGACCCGGCTACCAGCCTATCAACGGCGGCTACAACTCGAATAGATTCGTCATTGAATGAAGTGATTCCCTGATTAGTTCCGAACTGCAGATTAGAGGTTTCTGATCCACGCACTAGGAGCTGAAGTGACGAAACCAGGGTTGAATTTAAAGACGAACGCTGCAAGAGTTACTAAAAGCCGCCTTGCTCCGTATAATGCGGATACGCTATATATAACGAGTCTTCGTCCATCTCTGGTGCCTGTGTCTATCTTGATAAGGTAAGAATCTTCCCCGAATGCACGATATCTAGTAGTCGAGACGTAATAAAAGCAAACAGCCAGACCAGCTAACCTCTTCCGGGTATCGTCGTTGAGGACATAAAAGGGATACTTTCCCACTCGAAACGGTAGGAAGAGAAGAAGAGAGAAGAAAACACAGCAAAAATCCCACCTCTATGACTTTTACCAGCCGTTGTCTTAGAGATTTGCTAGGGAAGCATGAAAGTAACGCCAAATTTTTGCAGCCGGGAGAACCAATGAGAGTTAAAGAAAAGACTCGTGGTTGTTGAAGCCGCGCATCTGTTTCTAGTCGCCATTAGAATTTAAGAGTCTATCTCAGAAATGCAGTTCGGCATTGAAAGAAGAAGGTTGTGCGAATGAAAGAGACGGAGAGTAGACAATGCTGGCAGTATTGATTGAAATAGAAGAACCAGGTGCGGACCACAATAGCCTCTTGCAGTGATCTCAAAGCAGGCTTGAATACTCCGTATCTTTCGTCTCATCAAACTAGAGGGTCCAGTTTTCTACTCTTCTTGTGCCCATCTTCGCTCCCGCAGCGGCAGTTTGCTGCCCTCCTTCTCCCTCTTTCCCTCAACCTCCGCTTTCCATGCCCAGAACTCGCCCAGTCTGATCTCGGCATAATTGGCGTAATCGAAGTCAATTTGCGAGATCTGAGCTTGAATCAGCGCCCAAATTCCCCAATAGAAGCCCGGCACGCCGCGGAAGCGGTCCACTTCCTCAAACAACTGCTCGGACTCGGAGCTGTCAAACGAGCGGTTCGTATGTGAGTTGTAGCTCGCTAGATATGCCTTGAGGAAATCGCGGCGCTGTGAGCGGGTTGGGAGGACATTGAAATCGCAGTCGAAGCCGCCCCACTCCGCGAAGTGATTGGCGAGATCGAAGGCTGCAGGTGCGGGTGTTGCATACTCGTAGTCGATGAAAGACACCTCGACGAAAAGGTCAACTTCGTCTGAGCAGGCAGAACTGCTAGATCGTGAAGAGGATGCAGATGAAGATGGGTGGATGATGACGTTTCCACAGAGAAGGTCGCAATGGGCGAAGACAAAGGGTTTGGCATCGAGGCCAGAGACATTGCCGAATGTCTTGACGAGCCATTCGAGTTCTGTTTGGAGTGTGTCGCATCGGGTCTTTTCAGCTTGTGAGGTGGAAGGGAGGGCAAGGATCCATTTCTGCATGACAGTCCAAAGATTTGGAACTGGTTTGCCAGGGATGAGTTTTTCAATTGCTTCAAGAGACGCAGTTCGCTTATTGCGAGGCTTTGTGGGGTGGCCATTTGAAAGGCTAGGGGTGGGTTCTGAGCTAATGGCTGAAATGGGGAGCGTTGCGTGCCATTCTCCCAATCGCTTCGCCACACCACGCCAGACCTCTGGTCGGCGAAGATCAGCTGGCGAGCAGACACTGCCCTCGACGTATTTATAAAGGAGCCCGTTTTCGAATCGTGCAAGAAGCGACGGTGCAAGGTTGTGGCGGGCTAGCAGGGAGTGTGCGAGTGCTTCTCCTGTAAACTGGTTAGATGCAATCAGTCCGAGCTCGTCTGAGCACCTACTCTCGCGGTCAATCAGCACATCGGTGCCTTTGCCATACGCCCTCAGCAGCACAGCCTCCCGGTCCACCTGCTTCTCTGACAGCCCTGGCAGCTTGTTGATGGCTTTGAATAGCTGATTCGTGATGCCGTCGGTAAATTTGACAAACGTTATCGTCTCCTGCGTAGCTTTCCACTCGGGTCTGAGGGCTAGTATGAGTTGCAAGGCGGAGTTCTGCGAGTCGGTGTTGTCGTAGGAAAGTTGGATATGCCGAATGGCCTCAGACTTCTGAAGAGCAGCCATTCTAAGGGTAGTATTTGGCGGTTTATGGGTCTACAAGGTCTTCAAGTCAGCTTTCATCGCTCTCACCTAGTACAACTAATGAAACCAGCAAGTGAGTGCCAAAGAGGCCCGCGACATGTGGTAATGCAGCGCTCGTTGTTGCGTGACGCGGAAACGAGCGGGAGTGTAGAGAACGGGTGAAGCACGGAGGGACCTACGGCTAGATGGAATATACTCAGAATAAGGTGGGGAGTTCTCGCCGGGGAGTAATGCGTAGTTGATCGGGTGGTGTCGTGGTGTAAGCGCAATTTGGTTGTTGAAGTTGCGTGCGTAGACACGAGACCTTTCCGGAGAACTGGCTTTGGGGATTTTGGCAGGCGGAACCCTGCCAAACGCCAATGCCGACGCCGCACAGTGACGCGAGCTTCTCGGCTCGCGTGGACCCTTCTCTTGCATTAATGCATCCGTGGCATCCTTCACTTCAGCCTTGCCGTCACGCCCTCACCACCAACACCACCAATCCATCAGCCCCATCAGCTGAAGCTTGTGTACTCCTCGTCCAAGCCCCTACCTCCTGCGCAACTAGCCATGCGTCCAGCTTGAACGAAAAGACGACCAGTTTGCCGCTGATTAATACCGTCGAACGCTATAAGTACCCTTCGTATTACATTTCCAGAAAAGGCACAATACAAGGAGGAAACCCTGCGGGCGCTAGTCTGCTATTGATCGGAGTTCTTCGATCCTATTTCCAGGAAACAACGACGAAACTCAAGGCGCTTCTTTTGAACGCTTCATAACCTCGCCCGGCCACCCTAAACGGCGATATCCGCGAACTCAGTCCCATCATAGGCTGCAACTTGTAGACTTCCTCTCAGGTTTAGATTGGACAAGTTGGTCCTAACGGATCAGAAGAAAGTCACCATGTCGGAGCACATCGCCTGCATTCACTGTCCCCTCTGTGGCGCCTTCTTCGAGCGAATGACACTCGGACAACCGACGACTTGGAACCTCGCTTGGAATAGGGAACGCTCGTCAGACTGGCATGAGGAACTCCGTATTGGTCAGTACTATGCCTTCTTAAACATTTGTATATGATTCCTTGCCGCTGTTATGGGCGCCCCGACACGCTCTCAAGAACTTGAATCAGACGAAGTTGATCATCGTAAACAGCCAGTGTATACAGACTTATGATGGCACACCATAATTTCTCTCAGTCTTAGTCAAAAGCGAGCTAACGATGACCTCTGTGGCTGCAGTGACATCTCGGAAGGGAACCGCTCCGTTCATTACCGGCGTTGGCTTCCTCTTGAAGGTCGCTCAACATACGGTCTTATTTGCGCCCCCTGATGCCGCAAACTGGAGAGACCTTGATGATCGTGGGGTCGCCGATGGCCAGTTTTTAATACTACGCCCTGCCAGTTATGAGGCCTTTGCAGTCTTACAACTTTACGATTCCGCTTGGGCATTCCCTGTCCACAAAGCGTGCTGGAATCTACTGGAGTGTCGCACTTCAGTATCAGGTTACGACGGCTCCACTCTCGCACTAAGCCTCTTCAATTTCCTAATTTCTCTCGACATCCGTCCAGGACAACACATTGAGCCCACGTCCGTCTACGGTGTTGATACCAAATGCCTAGACGCGAGCCTAGCGTCGCCTAGAATGGCGACTAAATGGAAGACTGTCCATGCGAACCCTTGCGAACTCTCCGTGTTAAACAACTTACCTCCAATCGACGATCTCATCAAAAAGTACGAGTCCGCAAGCTATCCAGGTTGGCGACGGGGGAGGTCTTCCACACATGGGCAACACACAACGAATGGTTCCTGGGATGCATTATACCACCTGCCTCCTGAGCTTCTTCATATGGTACTACTCTTGTTGCCTTCAAAGGATGTGTGTGCACTCAGACTCGCTTCACGGGCTGTCGCAAACAACACACGGCCTCAAGAACTCCCACAAGCCTTCTGGCGAAGTAAATTTCTCCCCGAGTCCGAGATGGGGTTCGCTTACCCCGAGGGTGATGTACATCCTTCAGAGATCAACTGGTTTCACAGGTATCTGGCTGTGAAGAAGGCCTGTAATTCCCGAACTAAATACTATGCACTGAAGAACAGGCGAAGAATCTGGAGAATACTCACGGAAATCTCTGAAACCTTCGAAAAATGCAACACTCGCCAGGGTGATCATATCGTCCTTCCTAATTTCGGATGGATTCCTCTGCCTCGATATCAGTCTCGAATTAGAAATACATGAGCTAGCAGTTCTCTCATACGGACGCCTGGTGCTGTTACGGATAGCTAGCCTTGGTACACTGAGATCAAAGGTCCATACTCCCTATCTAGAATGCTTTCATTTGGAGTTAAGCCACTAACAGAAGGAGATGGAAGCATTCCTATCTAAGTGAGCTCTAACTGTTTCGAAAACAGAAGCTAACGCACCACTGTAAATGTCTTGCATATCTCTGTTTTCTAATCTGTATTACGAATGGCGATCGAAAGAGCTGTCTATGGGATCGGTGCCGCGCTTGGGAGCAAGACTCTGCTTCCGCATCACTCAGTCGCTCGCGGAGATGAAGAGGGTGATGTTGCCTTCTATGTACCATGCAATTAGAGATTCGAGGTTGTAGCTCTGAATCTTCCAATGTGCTCGCCAACGAAGACTTGCCTGCTTAACTGAGGTGAGGCGTTTCGCCCAGTCGCTTACAGCCAACCAGGGCGCGAGGCCCGCAACAACAGGCAGCCATACGTCCCAAGGCCCAGGTGACATGCAAGCTTAGAACCTCAGGTTGCAGATAAAACCGCCGGCTCTACCACCGTTTAACGCACCACCGTTTAATGCACCGCGGATTCTCCTAAAATAGACGCACCAGACCGGGCTGTCACTATATTGAGATATATAGATTAGGCGTCCAGCTACGGCAGGGCTAGATGCATTTCTCGGTGGATCTGCAAGCCTTAAAAAGTCTCGGCCTAGCAGCTCTCAGTCTGCTCGTCTTGCTCCTCTTTCTCAAACTCTGACCTTGTTGTCGAACAGTGGTGCTTGATTGATCCAGCAGACCACGGCGATCCAGTCTACGCTCTGCCATTCAAGGCTAGCTTCTTCACATAACCAGCCCAGGCGAAACACTATCTGCCTCGCGAGGGTCCATCGCGTGCGCTCAAGGTATGTATATCGATGTCGGATGACGCCGTCTAGAGTGGCCTGGCAAATCATATCAGATCAGAATAACACACTGACGTCTGATTCAGGATCTGGAGCTACTGTGTCAAAGTGCTGTTGACAGCGGCAAGAGAGCATTTACGCCTCGGAAACCCAGCAGCCACGTTGAGATCCAAAGTATACAGTCTCCCTTCCCGAGGATCATGCTCTTCTTCAAGCGCCACAAACCGCCTCCCGGTCCACCAACTGATCCGCTCAGCAAATTACCTACAGAGCTCCTCCAGAACATATCCTCTCTCCTCCCACTCTCCTCTCGTGCTGCCCTCTCTTTGACGAGCAAGACGATTCGCACCATCGTTGGGCCCGAATACGAACAGCTATCGAGCTCCGTTGCAGAACGCAGCGACTTTCTCGCGCTGATCGAGCCAGACTTCCGCCACCACTTCCTTTGTCGCATGTGTGGTGCGTTGCATACTTGCAAACGCTTCGACCAATATGATGCACTTAACAGAGGACCATGGCCCTCAACCTGTTACAAAAATATCACTGCCCAGCGCTTTGGCTCCGGCTTCACGCTCCACTTCCACCACCTGTACCTCGTCATGCAGAAGCACCGACTCGGCTCCCCTCACGGCATTGGCACCTATCGCCTTGAGACATCGCTCACAAGCTCCATAGACCTGAACTGCAAATACAATACGAGGACTTCTGCGGCCATCACGGCTGCAGGAGAGCTGATTCTGCGGGCGGAGTACACATTTTGGCGTCCGAAGCCGAAGAAGCCGAATTGGCGGGAGGGCGACATCACGACTGTGTATGGGAGCAAGATCTGCCCGCACCTGTCTGTGTATGAGCTTCGAGCGCAGAACGGGATTCTGAGTGACACTATCAAGTGCCTCATCAAACACGGGGATGATGGTAATGCGCGGAATGACTGCTCTGAGTGTAATGGGATTAAGCGCTGTTTGTACTGCCCGACCGAATTCGAGGCCAGCTTTATGGAAAGCAAAAAGAACGGCCTCCAAGTGCGGATCATGGCATGGACGAATCTAGGGAGAGGGATGAGAGCGGATGACCGCAACTGGGTGGCGGTCAGTACGTCGAGAAAGGCTAGGGCGGTTCGGAGATCGCCCGCCTGGTTTTGGCAGGAGGGGAGGCTTAAGGATGATTATGAGGCCGCGCTGACTGACAAAAAGAAGATAAAAAGGATGGCAAGAGAGGAGCGGGAGCGGCGCCGGGTGCCCTGTGTGGAAACGGTGATTTATCAGGCGGAGAGATCCTGACGCTATAGACCCTCGTCGTCTCGCTCTATTTTTCTGGTGTATTAGTTCGGAAAACTACGGCGACTTCTCACTCCTCGGGGCCAGATCCGGGGACAATCTCGAAGCTTTCGATGGATCAGGAAATTGGCTGAGCCACTGCAGGAGATTGCGTGCAGCAGTCAACCTCGGCACCATACCAGAGTTGGATGGATAGTCACAGACCAAACTTCCATCTCTCTATGATTCTAGACAGATAGCCATTGGAAGGTTATATCTGTTGAGAATTTCGAACCTAGGGGGCTGTTGTGATATTAGTACATGGATCGTTTCTGGATAGGAGTCTTAGATTACGACACGTCATGAGAGCTAGTCCACCGATCGAAGACGACTACTTGAGATGTCGCTATTTCGATGAACTATTTCTTATGTGTCATGCCTGATAGCTCTCCAACTTTTCGTTAACCACACCTATCTCGCACGATTGAAAGTGCATCAATCGTCATCAAAAGCATATGTTCCTCCAGAATTGATAGGGACTGTGATCTCATTTTCATCATTATTCTTCGATCGATCTAAAGCTTAGGTCTCCATAACAGCCTTATATCTCAGCTCCCCTTTCTCCATCTTCGCCTTGGCCTCCGCAAGACCCTCAAGCGTCAGCGGGAACTTCTCAATCACCGGCCTGATCCCATGCAGCACCGCAAAGTCCAGCATCTGCCGGAACTCGACGCGCGAACCGACCGTGCTCCCAACAAAATTGAGAGACTTGACCACAAACGGAATGATGGGGATCTCCAGATTGCCGAACGAAATCGTCAGGGGGTAGACGCTCCCATAGGGCGCCATGAGTCCAATATACCTGTCAAATCGTTAGTAAATCGCCTCAGATCCCTCCCAAACCAACCCGAAAACACTCACTGTTTCCAATCTGGCACAGCACTCGTCGTAACAACCAAATGATCCAACAGTCCCCCCTTAAGCTCTGCAGCTAGATCCGTCTTCCCCTTAGTAGCCACAAACTCCTTCGCCCCAAACTTAATCGCCTCACTCTTCTTCTCCTCCGTGCCAGAAAACGCCACAACATCGGCTCCCATCGCCGCCGCGAATTGGATCGCCAGATGCCCCAGCGCCCCGATCCCCACGACCCCGACCCGCTGCCCGGGCTTGACGTTGCGGATGAGCGGTGTGTACACCGTGATCCCCGCGCACATCAGCGGCGCGGCGTCGGCCGTGCTCAGCGCGTCGGGGATGGGGTGGAGGAAGTCAGCTTTCCAGACGGCGTGGGTCGCGAAGCCGCCCTGGTCGAGCTCGTGGTCGCCGAAGGCGTGCGGGTCTACTCTGCAGTGCGGGCCGTCGCCGCGGAGGCACTCGGGGCAGGCGCCGCAGGAGTCGTGGTGCCAGCCGAAGCCGACGCGGGCGCCGCTGCGAGGGAGTAATTAGTGAGTGGAAGGGAAAGTTTGCGCTGGAGGGGAGATGGGTGAAGTATACACTTTCAAGTGCTTCACGTCTGGGCCGAGTTCCTCGACGATGCCGGCGCCCTCGTGGCCGATCACTTGGTCGCTGTGGAGATAGTGCAGGTCGGTGCCGCAGAGGGAGGCGTGGTGGATTTTGATGAGGACTTGGCCTTCTTGGAGAGGTGCTCCGGGAGTTATGCTCTGTACGAGTTGGCCGCTTGCGGAGCCTTTGAAGACGGTGATGTCGGATGGCATGGTTATATCTTGGAGTTTGATGGTAGAGAAATAGAGTGTGGTTGATGTGTAGATGGAGTGCGGTTGTTGTGAGTGTAGAGATGAAGTGAGGTTTATGTGGCTTGAGAGATGACTTTGAGAACCTCCTGACCTCCTTTATATATGAGGTTGGTATAACACGTTCCTTTGTTCGACTTCAGCTAATGTGCTACCGAAACCTCAATCTGGAAATATTGAAACAGTAACTATCGTCGCTTACCTGATTGAGGAGTATGCAAGTAATCAAGCCGCCCTATGCGCATCCTGGTTAGTGGTTAAAGAGGGCGTTTGGGATAGTATCGGAGATAATTGGGCTTGTGCTATGAAGTGGCTAGAAAGGGTGAGCTAATAACCATTTTGTGAACACGGAGTTATCGCTGTTGGAGAACCTTCTACTGTACTAGTTTTGTCACTGGAATGGATGGAATAACGTTACGTGATGGCGGCGTGTTTAGTAAGCGTTCACTGGTTGCACAATGGAATTAGTAAGAGGTTGCACCCCTCTTTACGGCCGTACCACTTCGAAAACTACCCAGACTGTAGTTTTAGATGCCAAAGAGCCAACATTTGTGGAGGTATTCGAGAATATCATTCCGAAAATGTAGGTAAAAGCTGACTGTGGAGGGGTGAGTAAAGAACGAAATGGTAGTCACGCTGAAAATAGAGCGTTTGTTGCAGTTGGTCACTTTCTTGTATAATCTTCAACCTTGCTCTAAATCATGCTTCTTGAATCTAGCTATTTTCTATAGTTTAAGTCAGGAGCTTGAACCCTCTACCTTTCCTTGCGACACTGAAATCTTCCTCGCCCCAGATCTTTCGGAAGGCTTTGTACTAATCTTTTCAATTATACGCTGTCGTTATTTCGACATGATGGCCTATAGTGAGTCGTAGCATGCGAAGCCTTGTTCTGCAGCATATTTCATGCCATCACCCTTTCCCCCGATATTTGCTAGAATCGCCCTTCTAAACTTAGGTCAATCCTAATGTAACTAAGGAAAGCCTTCAACTTCGCTGGCTTTAGAGTGCAAGCTCTCGGACTGATGTTATTATCAACGTCCCGCTGTCTTCAACTTTCACTAACCACACCCCTTTTGCGTTCCAACAATTTTCACCCTCTTTTGTGTGTACATATATACTAGCTGACTGATCATTTTGCTCCTTCGATCGATCTTCCGTCACAGTAAACCTGGCTCTTGTCCAGAAACAAATGTTAGGGTAACTCTGTGCGTTACTGCAGAGTTCGTTGTGGCTGGGTGGACATTGAAGTTGATGCTTGTGTATGGTGTTGTTGTAGAAGACAGCAATTGTGAAGCGACATGATGCCTGGGACTGGATGTTTAATCGCATTCTAAGTTAGTCAATAAACTTCACGGTCAGTTTTGAAGTCCTTGGACGAAGCGTTGATTCATGCTGGCTCTCCGAGGTTGAACGTACCTAGCCACGCGGGGCATGGAAAAGGTGGCACTCCAATTCTACAGCAAGCTGTCTCGTGTGCCACTCTTTTCACGCCTAGCGTGCTAGATAGTTAGTTTAGAATGAGTTTCGTATCAATAGGATCGTAGCTGTCTACGCTTCCACATGCGTCCTAGCGTATAATTGTGGACCAGGCATCACGTGATTACTGCGCCGATTGGTGCAATCCCTGGCCAAAGATATTGTACTGTCGAAGCACCTGCATCATCAAAACACCTTTGGTCGCCACCCGCATCACACAACTCCTCCACAATGGCGCTGAACGCGCGCTTCGTCAATTCGGCCATGCCGGCCGCTTTGCGATCATCTCACAGTCGCATATTATCACCGCGGACATCGACCATCGCTGCCCTCTCCGCCTTCAACAGCTCCTGTCAACCCATTCGTCACTTCTCCCAAACACCATCGCACTCTGCTCAAGGACCCGGCAGTGGCCTTTTCTCCCTTGCCGGTGGAATAGGTGGTCCTAGCTCTCCGACCTCATATTTCCAGCGCCAAAGCCTTCCAGCCAATACGATTATCCGCTTTGTGCCGCAACAAACAGCATGGATCGTGGAACGCATGGGGAAGTTCAACCGGATATTGGAGCCTGGTCTGGCTATCTTGATCCCATTCCTGGATCGGATAGCATACGTTAAGAGCTTGAAGGAGGCTGCCATTGAGATACCAAGTCAGAGCGCCATTACTGCGGACAACGTAACGTTGGAGCTTGATGGAGTGTTATATACGCGGGTTTTCGATGCGTACAAAGCCAGGTATGTAAATACAACGGATTAGATTAGCTGAAACCTATCTCTAATTAATACAACGTAGCTATGGAGTAGAAGATGCCGAATACGCGATTTCACAGCTCGCTCAAACAACGATGCGCTCCGAAATTGGCCGGCTTTCCCTCGACCACGTTCTCAAGGAGCGTGCGAACCTGAACACGAACATCACCGCCGCCATCAACGAGGCTGCCCAGGACTGGGGCGTCACCTGTCTGCGTTACGAAATCCGAGACATTCATGCGCCCGCTCCCGTCGTCGAAGCTATGCATCGACAAGTCACTGCTGAGCGCAGCAAGCGTGCTGAGATTCTCGAGTCGGAAGGTCAAAGGCAGAGCGCCATCAACATCGCCGAAGGTCGGAAGCAGAGTGTCATTCTGGCGTCCGAGGCGCTCAAGGCGGAGCAAATTAACATGGCGAATGGTGAAGCGGAGGCAATCCTCGTTAAGGCTACGGCAACGGCTGCTGGTATTGATGCTGTGGGCAAGTCCATTGCACAAGGCAAAGAGGCGGCGCAAGGGGCGATTAGCTTGAGCGTGGCAGAGAAATATGTCGACGCCTTCGGCAAGTTGGCGAAGGAGGGAACGTCTATCATTGTTCCAGGCAACATGGGAGATATTGGTGGTATGATCGCAAGTGCTATGGCGGTTTACGGGAATGTCAGCGGTGGGCAGGCGAAGGCTCTGAATGCGAAAACGGTGGGTGGTAATCAATCGCCGACCGCTCAAAGGATACAAGAACTGGAAGATGAGCTGGAGAACGTCCAGATGCACACGGACGATATCTCGAAGTCTGTGTTGGAGAGCTTCGATAAGACGACAGCAAAGCGGTAAAAGGTGGCTTGATGGATGCGCGTGTATTAGGATACCTTGTATGATTAGCAAAACAGCGCCCCTCGAGTCGGGTTCACTATGGAGTCTGTAAAAATTAGCCATTGGAACGATCACTTGCGTCCAACATCGAATCTTGTGATATCTGAACTGGTGAATCTGGACCCTGGCCCATGAACTGTGAATGTTGAAAGGGCTTGGCGATGACACACTCGGGACCACGCCGGGGCCTCGGAGCTTCTTCAATGAACGCGTCGAAACACGTCTACTGCTCCCACACTTTCACTCACCACCAACCTCCGTAGAGCCATGACCACATGCAGCTTCCGTATCTATTGCATGCTAGTTTACTATGTCCCACGCTCGGCCTGAAGTACCCTCGAATGCCTCGGGATTGTCTTCACGACGCGCTAGTCAATCTACAGTAGAAACTTCGAATAAGAGGAAGAGAGACAGCACTACTGGCGTACAGTCGGTACCAAGACCGTTTTTAATACGGGTAAGCATGTCGTAAACTCCCCGCATCGTTCAATGCGTATACTGACTCTTAATCGAGCCGTATCCTAAATCGATATACGACAAACCTACTATCTTCACACCCCTCCACCTAATTCCACGATCCCAGTTACCGCTCACGTATCTCGACACTTCAGTAACTACCAATCCGTCGAATCGACTGTTCTCTTCCCACATTGACGTCCTCGAACAAGACCATGTCGAAGCGCATCAGGAACCAGAAGCGCCAAAGATCCTCATCACTCGAAATGAGGCCGACAAGGCTTTGTACGCGGTGGAACGCATCCAGGAAAGCGTGTACGGACTGTGTAAATTGGCTGCCTGGCTGAAAGAGAAGGATGTATCAGACGCGTGGGATTCGAACAAGAACATTATATCATCGACGCGGCGGGAGGTCGGTAATACCCAGAGCGGGAAAGAATGGTGGCACGCTGCAGCTATTGAAAGACACGTAGAGCCGGTATCAGAAGAAAGAGCTCCCAAACGGCTTCGTATGTCGATGCTTCGTCCCAATCCCTTGAGTTTGGAGGCCACGCAACCAGGACCGACGGTCAATAGCCCCATAATCCCGGAAGCCGCACAGGATGTCACTATGGACGCTCCTGACATAGCAGCGGAGGAGCTACTATCCGCACAACAGATTTTCGAGAACCTAGTTGCACAATATCTGGACGCGCTGTATTTGTCGAAGACGTCTTTGGCGTATTTTGCAAAGGGTCCGATGTCTCGAGCCCGCGCTGCTGTTACCTCCGCTGAGGACTCTTCCTTTACGATACACAAATTTACGAGTTTTCTACGATCTAGTATTCTGAGTCATTCCGCCATGGATAGGAAGTACCGCGAAAAGCTCTCGGAAGTGGTCAAATCCATACCGCCAGGATCCTTCTCAGACGATGAGAACAGCACCACGAAACCCAGAAAGGGCAAAGCAAAGAAGGTGAAACTTAGTAGAGATGGGATGTATCCTCGAGAAGACGAGTATGTAAAAAAATGGTGGATTTCAGACAGTTCGAGTCCACCCAGATATGGAGAAGTGACGTTGGACCAGCGCCTAAAGAAGCGGGTTGGAGACCTTCGAATTCGAGAAACACTAGCACAGTTGATTTTCATGTTGGAGATCCTGGCATTAGAAGCATTGCCCACGTACAAGGAACCTGCAGTAACTGATGAGGCGATCGATGGCGAGACTCAAACCCAGCAGGAGTCTCAAGCAAAACCGAAGAAAAAGAGACAAAAGAAAGTCCAGGATATCAAGCTTCTTATTGATTTACTTCTGGACAAGTTGTGCATCTGGCAGTCTGTGGAGCAAGATGAAGACGTTTCATACCAAGCCAAAGGTTCTAAGTCTGGAGATGCGTTGGATGCGAATTCTAGCAAGTCGGCAAATGGCGATCGACTTCGAAGCTTTTGTGTAGAAGTAATAGTGCCATTGTAAGTCCCCTAATCGAACTGCTCTAGCCCTTGCTTACATCTCTGTAGCTACATGAGCAGACTTCCAGAACAAGCTGCAGCTATTAACAAAAGACTCGGCGGACCTGTTGCTGCTTCACCCGCGAAGAGGAAATCCACCAAACCGCCTACGACGTCTCGAAAGTCTGGGGAGCCAAACGAGCCAGAGCCAAAGAAACGACGAACCCTCGGAAGGGTCGTAACAGAAACTATCAAGCAGCTCGCACAACGGACAACACCGTCCCTCCACCGCTCATTCACAGACTCCGCACTCTTGCCAGGTCTCAAACGCGAAGCAAGTGAAGTTCCTCTTTCTGCTATACCCTTCCAGCGCAGTCCGTCGACGGCGTCGAATCGTCAAGCCCTATCGCAGTTCAATCGCTTGAGTAAGCGCGAAGTTGATCTTACGACGAAGTCAGCGACGGCTTTAGCTAAGATTAGCCGGCAAAAGAGGGTGGAGGAGGAGCTTAAGGATGCGATTTCTACATTGAAGAAGCCGCAACGTGGTTTGGCGGTTGGCGGATACGTGGAGGATGCGGAGAAGAGGGGCCTGGGATCCGCCAACCGATCGAGGAAATCTGCGAATCCTACTAGAAAGGTCTTACAGAACGTCCAAGTCACGGCGACACCCCGACGTGTTCGAAAAACGAAAGACATTGCCCAGACCCCGTTCAGAAGCGGTGGTTTTGACGATCTACCACCAAGCTCCTCTACCTCCTGTATCCCATCCTCCGCCGTTCGCCCTCCTGCTTCCGTCATTCCAGGAACTGAGATCCGACGTACCGCTCCTGGTGCGAGTCATGGGATAGCCGAGACACCATCGAGGGGACCGGGCAGGAAATCAGTATCTTTCTTCAACACCGATTCACAAGCACAGAAAGCCCCGCCAGAATTCAGACTCCCAGTGCCTATTTTCGAGAACAAGAGTCTAGTGGACGGTGTTATTCCGCACACGCCGTCGAAATCGAGGATGCGGAGAATGGGAATCGAAACCGAGAGTTCGGAGCCGGCTACGATCTTGTCAACACCCTTTAAACCGTCTGGGACGAATGGATTGAATGTTTCGAGACCGGAGGCGATTGTTTTTAGTACGCCTGTGAGAAAGCCGACTTTAGAGAATGCTGCCTCCGCTCTTGATGAGACGGTTCCAACAGTGGAGGCGTTAGGCGGTGGTGGTGGGGCGGCTGGCATGGTTGCAGATAAGGAGAAGTCGATATATGATGTTTTGGGATGGGATGATGATGACGACTTGTTATGATTGGGCTTTTAAACACGTTGCATGTGCGAGCGGTTGAGCATTTAGCATTTGATGGCGTTTGGGTTTTGGGGAATGCATAGCGTGGCATGAAAGGCTGGTAGCCTGCATTCGAGGACATCTGGGTTGGTTCCACGGAGATTCGGACTGGAAGCTGCATCTGCATAGTATGGGCCAAGGATATACATATAGAGTATATACGATTATGAAACGAGCGTTATTCACATACCACACCTTTTCCTACGGTGTATCTCATGCCTTCTCTATCGCAAAGCGAAAATCCATGAATCAAATGCCATCCGTAGCTTTTCTCGTCATCCTTTTTACTGACAGCCGATTCAGACCCTCTAATTTTCTCCTTTGGAAACTGCCTCGGAAACTACGCCTCTGGCGGTCGGTTCTAGTAGCGATGTCGCAGGAGTGAGGCACTCCTTGACCCATGAAGCACAAGAGATTTATTCGTCGTTTGCCGACGGGCTGGTTTGGAGTAAGGTTTCGATGTCTTTTGTCAGAAGCGTAATATCGGCCGGAATTTGATGTCTTTTGACGCCGATTCAGATCACGCCCTCTAGTCAAGACATTCAAGGCAAGCGGATAGTCACTCACTAGAGCCGTCCCGCCGCACTTAGAACTCAGCGCTTTGAGGCTTGCGAAGCTTTACTCTGCTTGGCGCGAAAGTCGTTCCACAAGAATGGAGCATCACTCCTCGCGCTGGTAGCTTATAAGATCTCCCAAGGTTGGGTAGTGCGCGGGAGATAGTGTATAGGCTTTGGTAGGCATGTCAGGATGAGGACGAACCATGGTATTGCTTGGAGAAGATCGGAGTTGAGTATGTGGAATCATGATGGATTATTGGACAAAGTGATCGATTCTTGTAACTCATCTAGACTACTATACAAAGGGAACCATATATACCCAATCTAATTATTATGTTGTAAGAAACACCGAAACTCCGGAAGCCCAGAACGTCACTTCTTTTCCAATCCAGCCCATCGACTCTCTCATCTATAATTTGGTGGTTGGGGGCCTTCGACATACGGCATATTAGAAGCCGGAGGGTAACCCATATTGGTCCCTTGATACGCAGGAGGTTCCCTGTTCATATCCCTCTCTTCTAGCAAATGGTGCGGGTTCTCCCTCCTTCTCGGGTCCAACAGCTCCCCGGGATGCGACACATTCAAAATAACCATAACACCCAGCATGAGGACACTGTCGAAGATATACAGGAATATCTCATGACTGATAAGGAACCCTTTGTTCCCCTGCGCATACTCAATCACCCTGAAAATAGATCGGACGAAGATCAGAACACTGGTCGCGTACAGCACATGCATGCAGCGTTCCCAGGGGATTCCGAGCGCCTGAATATGCGTCACCTTACGCGCGCGCATGTGGAAGACGCCGGCCACGATGACGAAGGTGCCGAAGAAGATGACCTGCAGGACTAGACCGACGATGATGACCTTCTGGCCGAGGTCGATTTTGCTCTGGGCATTTTTCGCGTCGCCTTTGTTCGCTCCGGACATGATGCCCGCGCCGCCGCCTTGGAGCAGGAAGGATAGAACATCGCCGAGGACAAAGATTTTGGTGAGCCAGGTGGCCCGGATAGGGGAGAGCTTCTCGCCGTCGACGCGGCGGATGAGGCGGCCGAGAATCATGTAGATGGTGGCGGCGAAGAGGGAGGGGCCCAGCAGGATGAGGATGGTTTGGATGATGTAGGGGTTTAGGCTCTGGGTGTTGTGGGCGGAGACGGCACGGCCAGCGTAGCCGACGAATTCGACTGGAAGCACGTTCAGTTGCTGGGAGGGGCATTTGGGGAATAGGAGGGCTTGGCTTACAGGTACCTCCTACTATGAGGGCTATCATGAAGAGCGAACGATGCTTCCAGCATTGGAAGACATGCTAGATCATTGTCAGGTTGAAACTTTTAAGATGTGTCAATGGCGTGGATGTTTTACTGACGATAAATGTAGTGATGGCGAAGAGGACAATGAATATAACAGCTGCTGGGAGACTAGGTTTGTAACGGTACAGCTGAAAGTCGCCAACGTCTCCGTGCTTCCCCACCATGTTTGCGATTTAGATAATTTTTGTTGTGGCAGAGAGGAAGATTAGATTTATTCGGTAGTAGCAGAGAGAGTTAAGAAGTGTAAACTGTCGTAGCAGAAAAAAGGGGGCAAGGTTCAATCTAGACGGATGCAAAAAGCTACGCATGGAACAGAAATAAATTGACAATGGTTCGGTGATTCGGCGGTCGGAGAACTCTAGACAAGCAGACGCCGACGAGGGAAGAGGAGTATGTGCTGACTTTCAAGCCCGAGCCTTGCCATATATACACAGTCCGATAAGCGAGACCGGACGAAGACACACAACGCCCATGGAGACGACGCGAGGCCGACTGTTTCAAGGCAGCTTCTACGTACAGAAGCACGGGGCATTGGCCCAAGCGATGGCGCCAGGCGTTAAGCCTAGTCACGTGGTCGCAACGTCTGCCGGATGAAGTTTTGGTCGAAGGCGCAGTTTAAAGGGGCAGCGCTAGTCATGGTGTTGAGTACCCGTCCCCACAAATCCATCGTTCCGAACACGCTGTGATTGACTGCGTATACGAAAGCCAGCGATTGGCTGCTCAATTTCTGCCAACGACATCCTGACATCCCGTCCCTTGACCCGTAGCGAGGCACGAGGCTGAGCCCTACCACTTACGAATCAACATTCCGGCATCCACCATTGCCTCCTATGTTTCCTTTGCACGTCCACGCCCACAATCTAGCAACTCGAACTGATCCGTACTACCGTCTCTCCGGTTCTGCCCCATAGCACAGGACTAGGCCTTCTCTCTCATGCCATCCCGCCGGCCGCACCACAAGACCAGGAGAGGGTGCACCTCGTGCAAAAAACGGCGTATCAAGGTAAGCCACCAATTCAATATCAGATCCAATCTCCAATCCACCTCAGCCAATCTGAGCATCGTATCCTGTTGCCAAAAATAGCCCCTCGTGGTCCTATCCTCCAACAGGTACCACTGTGCGGCCTTGCGGGGAGAGCTAGCTGACGGCGACCCAGTGCGACGAGCACACCCCCGAGTGCCATAACTGCACCAAGAAGAACCTTACGTGTAGCCTATTGACCCTTGTTCCCTCCTCGCGGCTCTCAAGCAGTTCGTCCCCCACACCAGTACCTCCATCTGAGGCGGTAGCTCGACGTGTTTTCGTTTTCCATCAAACTCCTGAAAACCCAACTCCGACGATCTCGGCACTGTCGTCTCTTACTGCTTCTTTCGAACGCTGCTTCAGCGACTCTCCGACATTCTTCCAATCGAAAGGAAAGGAGTTAATCCATCATTTCCTGACCAAGACCAGTACTACCTTGGCGACTCATAGCCCTACGCAGCGGGTATGGCAGGTGGCCATTCCTCAGATTGCTACGGCGCACCCGTATCTGATCCATGGAATCATTGCCGCTACCTCTCTTCACCTCTCTGAGCTTCATGAGGAAGCCGAAGCAAAGGAGGCCTTCGCCAACATTGCTGTCCGCCAAATGGACCTTTCCCTATCGAATTACCGCAACCAGCTATCCAATATCACGGCTGAAAATTGCAATGCCTTGTTTGCCTTCTCTATCTTAACCATCATTTATCAATTCCGGACGTTCCGCGATGAGTCCGCAGCACTCTTGTCATTAGCTACCCAACAAGATGTTGATATGCCATGGGTCACGGCTCAACTAAAAAATGTGTCACTTGGACTCCTTATGAACATGCGCGGAGGAGCGAGGGCCATCCTAAATCCAAGTTGGAGTTGGATCTCAAAAGGACCGCTGGCAGACATAGCTGAGCGAAACTGGTGGCCAACAGACCGGTCCCTAAAGAGCCCGCGACACTTTGAAGAGGACCACCGACTACACCAGCTAGAAGAACTATGGATGATCCCGGGACAACCATATGAGAACGAACATGATGTGTTAAAAACTGCTCTGCAAGATCTTCGCGATACATATGCTCTAGTCGCCCAACTCACAGATGACTCCACTGTGGGCGCTGTATCATGCACGTACAAGCTTGGCGCCGATGACACTGTGCTGGGTACATTGAAAGATAGGGGCGCAATATTCAAGTGGCCTGTTGGTTTGTCCCAAGAGTTCATGAAGTTGGGAGAGCAACAGCATCCCCACGCTTTCGTTATCATTGCCCACTGGGCAGTCTTACTTCACAGAATTAGCGATCTATGGTTCTTGGAAGGCGTGGCGTCGACTTTTGTAGCCACTGCAGCCTCGTTGCTGGGTAAAGACAATCGAAGCTGCATCGAGTGGCCAATACGCGAACTTGGGCTACAATTACCTGATGGGCTTTGATGTTCTCGTGTTGGGAATAGATACGAAGACTGTATGGGTCTGCCGTCTAATTTCGTCATGATCTATAAGGCCAACATGGAGTCCTTAGTTGGTCTAGCGTTGAGATAATCTCTAAGCTACCTCTCTAAGCTACTGCGCCTGCTGATCCCGTCGACTCTCGGAGAGCGACAAGAGCAAGTCTTCTATCATCGCCGAGGTCCCAAGCGAACCTCGGGCATCTGTGAGCCATAAGACCGGGGAGAGGTATACTCCGATCTCCGTTGACTCGAAAAACCACAGCGGATAAATGGACAGCAGCTCACCCTTCTCAAACAGGTTAGTTAGTTCCTTTACTATATCACACGGCCTTCCAATTGAGATTGTAACGGAGACTGACCGTCATATTCGCAGTGCTCCATATATTAGGACAACAGAATCGTTACTGAGCCCATGATGGACTACAGTAGGAGGACAATCAAGCGGTTTAATCTCGACTCCGGCACCAACGATTATACGATTTAGGCCCGCTACGGCTATCTCACACTAAACCTGGGGGGCCTCTGTGAGTCTTGAAGGAGACAAGCGGCTGGGAGGCGGAGTCGTGAGCAAGGGGGTGGGAAAAATCTTATACTTGGGTTGATCGTTGTAACTCGCACACTCGTTTGAAGTCTAGCTCGAATACGTTTGTCACGTGGGGATGTGGAACCGTCAGCCAATGCGTAACAATCAGCTGAGACGGAAGAATGCCTGAGTGCCTTTGGCGCTTGTCAACTTGACCTCCCTTTTCTTTACGCCCATAGTACTAAGGCCGCCGAGAAACTCCGGCGTGAAGGTGGTAGCCCGCTGCACATTCGGATAATCTGTACAGAGTCACATGCAAGTACGTCAATCATCTATAGACTGTAAATTGTGAGGGCCGTTGTGGTAGTGGTGGTACAGTGCCTTGCAGTAATCTGGTCGCACTCGCTCACTACGAGGTACCGTTGGAGGTGCTTCAGTGCAATGATTGCTGCAATCATTTCAGCATCATTTTGGCTTTCTAAAATGATCTGTACTGCTAGGCGCTCAGGTCAGAACCAAGGTTGGAATGGAAGTTCAAGGCTTTGGACCCCACACAGCCACATGCACCGCCACACGCCACATTTTTGATTGACGTCTGAACGCCAGGTGCACCGCCCTTTCCCCATCACTACACCAGTCACCTTCCTGACTCACACAAAAGGCTAGGACGGAGGAGCGCCCTTCTTGAGCCTGACTCATAGCATTGTCGTGGTAGCCTGAATGGGGAGGCTGCTTAAATTCGTATCCTCCTCCTTGAATTCATCCCACTAACAGCCGCACTCACCCCCCCTCCCAGCTGCAGCTCCCCCCACATATATCTTCCTTCTTCACCATAGGAATCCCACTCTCAACACGATATCTCCACAACTCCTACGCCATGGCGCACCGCGAAACCGCGCCCTATCGGGCCCAGGACCCGCACGAGATCAAGCAACTCGTCCACGCCCTCTCCTACCACACAAAGAAAGGCAAAGGCAATAGCGGCTTTTCTGTCAAGAAAAGCACCTTCACGCTTCCGACGGGCCGCACCGTAGACTCATGGAAGATGCAGGATTGGGACTACAAGAAGGAGAACCTTCCAACGTACGCTCGCGGCCTCTTCACCTACACAACGCTTGACGGCAAGGACGAGATCGCTGTGCGGGGATACGACAAGTTTTTCAATCACGGCGAAGTGCGGAAGACGGAGTGGCGCAATGTCGAGAAGAATACCCGGGGCCCGTACGAGCTGAGTGTCAAAGAGAACGGGTGCATTATATTCATTGCTGGGCTGGATGATGGGACCTTGATCGTCTGCAGCAAGCACTCGACCGGAGCGCGGAGCGATGTGGCAGTCAGCCACAGTGTCGCCGGAGAGAGGTGGGTGGAGCGTCATCTGGCGACGGTAGGGAAGACGAAGCAAGACCTTGCGAAGCAGTTGAGGGCGATGAACGCGACAGCTGTGGCGGAGCTGTGCGATGATGCGTTCGAGGAACACGTACTGGCATATGAGCCGGATGCAGCGGGACTGTACATGCATGGTCTCAACCTCAACCAGCCGGAGTTCACAACGTACCCAGGACATCTGGTGGACAAGTTTGCCGACGAGTGGGGCATGAAGAAGGTCACGTATGTCATGGAAGACGATATCACGAAGGTCAAGAAGTTCCTAGATGATATTGCCGAGACGGGAGCTTACGAAGGCCGCGATACCGAAGGTTTCGTCATCCGGTGCCAGGCCCGAGAAGGCCAGGACGGTGTCTGGCAAGATTGGTTCTTCAAGTACAAGTTTGAGGAGCCTTACTTAATGTATAGGCAGTGGAGGGAGTGTACCAAGGCGATCATCGCTGGAAAGGCGCCGAGGTATAAGAAACACAAGGCCATCACGAAGGAATATTTGACGTATGCTCGGCGGCGATTCGCCCGTGAGCCAGGCCTCTCGAAGGCGTACAATATGAACCACGGAATCATTGGGCTACGGAATGACTTTCTGAAAGGCCGAGGCCTGACTGGCGCGGAAATCATCCGGAGGGAGGGAGAGAACGGCGAATTCGAGTCGAAGGATGTCACTCACAACGTCGTACTCGTACCAGTTGCTACCATTGGCTGCGGAAAGACAACTGTAGCTCTCGCTTTGGTCAAGCTGTTTGGATGGGGACATTTCCAGAACGACAACATCGAATCGAAACAGAGACGCCCTCAAAAATTCGCCGAAGCCATTGCTGCATTGATGACCCCGAATGCAGTGGTCATTGCCGACAGGAACAACCATCAGACGCGCGAACGGGAACAGATAATGACCGATGTCTCCAGAATTAACCCAGACGCACGCTACGTCGCACTCCAATACGTGCACGACCGATATAACTACGATAACATCCGTCAAGCAACCCGCGAACGAGTCTTGACTCGCGGCGATAACCACCAGACCATCCAAGCCGGATCCAAGGGTAAAGACGAGATAGTTGAGATTATGGAAGGCTTTATGCATCGCTTCCAGCCCATCAACACCAGCGAAGCCCCGGACGACGGCTTTGACCTCGTCATTAACCTTGACCCTGTTGCTTCTTCCCGCGAAAACCTCGAAACAGTCGTGGAGAAACTTCACAACGAATACCCCAAGCTGTTCCAGGAAATGCCTAGTGCCGACGACCTCGACGCCGCCATTGAATGGGCCATGAACGATTACAAGCCGAGCGTAAAAGTGGACCTCAGCAAGGGTGGCAGCAAAGGCAACAAATGGTCGAAAGGAGAAATCCCTTCGAACAAGCCCCAATTCTCTAACTCGCACTCTACACCATCCGCCTCCTCTTCCGCCAATCAACCCAAGGCATCGAAACCCCCGAAACTAGAGTTCTTCGCCGTCCGCCTCCCCTCGGCTCGCATCAACGCCATCCTCGACGCCGCATTCAGGGACGAAGACCCGAACACCGCCCGCTTCTTCCGCCAGCTGCAGCAAACCCGCCGCGTGCAGCCCGAATTCCACGCCACGCTCATGCATCGCACCTCCGCGTCGCAGCAGCCCGAGGCATGGGATAAGCTGCTGAAACTGCACAGCACCGCCAGCGCGCTCAGCGAGAACGAGGGCGTCAAGGAGCCTGAGCTGGGCAAGTGCAACGTCCAGCTCGAGCGCGTCGTGTGGGACAACCGCGTGCTGTGCTTTGTAGTACGGTTGGATGGATCTGCACCACTGGAGGGTGGGCAGGTCGTGCAGTTCGAGACTACGAATCCGGTCGCGCATGTGACGGTTGGCACGGCGTCGAAGGATATCAAGCCGGTTGAGAGCAATGCGCTGCTGCAGCGGTGGTTGAAGGATGGCACGGGGGATGAGGTGGAGATTTGGGAGTTGCCGATCAAGGGGACGGTGGTGCTGGAGGGGACTGTGAGGGGGGTGTTGTCGAGGTTCTAAGTGGGGAGGGCTTGGGGCTTATGATGGTTATGAAAAGTGAGGGTTTGTGGGAGCATTGAGTGAGGGCGGTATGGATATACCGCTAATTTTTACGAGCATGCATATCTAGGCGTTTTAATGAGGGGCAGATGGGAATATCCTCAGTGGCATACTGTCGCCTCTGGTATCTAAAAGCGAGGTATCGGTATGATGAATAGAGATATTTGCCCAATCAACGAGTGCCATCTTCACTTTTGGTGTCTCATAGGTATCTGCTCTTATGGTTTCATCCCGCAATTTCCATGCTTCGTTGCGATGTATTGGCTTCCCTCCCCTCCCCCCCTTCCTCTTCCCTCGGACATCTTCCAATGTCCCTCGGCCGCTCCATCCCCTCAAGGCCTCAGCGAAGGTCCCGTGATCCAAACCTCTAGCACGTGTCCAATTACTCAACAGCCCCCCAGCCCCTCTCCCTCCGCTATAAAGCCTACCCAGCCCTCCTCTCTCCTTCCTTTCTCCATGGGAAAGAAGGGTCTGGAGTCGGGGATCAACATCTCAAGCAGTTCACTTCTATGGAGTGTGTCGGGCATTCAAACAGAGCTGTGTTAACGCTTGATGTGTTCGGGGCGTTGGGAGTGCAACAACCACATGCCTGAAAAACCAGTGGTTCAGAAAGAAGTGAAAGCTCGGTGTCATTTGGGCTGTGGCTGGGCTGGCAAAAGGAACACTTGCAAGCTCGAAATGGAGTGGGTGGAGGAGATCAACAAGACAGGGCTCTTATAGTAATGGTTTTGCGGGGAGGGGTGGGTATCAAACTGCTTCGAAAGAAGTATCGATGGTGTCGGGTGGGAAAAATACGGGTGGCCAGAGGGCCTTGGCACTGGAGTTTCAAACTAGGCGTGAGTTGGCGGAATGGTGGTGGAGCGAGGTGGGTGTTCGAGAATGGATGAAGAACAACTTAATGGGTGGATGGGTGGAGGAGTTGCGGATAAGTGATGATGGTAAGGAGTATTAATCTACGATGGTGCTTTATGGCGGAGTTATTTGAAGGTGGTGATGGGAATGCGGAAGAAGTGGGGAGCTGCAGTCTGGATAAGAGATGGTGTTGAGTATTATCAAAAGAAAGAAGAACAACTCCAACTCCAATAGAAAGACATTTCCTAACTCTTGCCGCACTTTACAGCAGCTAAAGCAATATATAATTACTGGCGGAATCGCTAAAAGTTTATTAGATAGATTAAATTAAATAGTTATAAGTTTATATTATAGTAAATAATTAAGCTTATATATATAACTAATTAAAAGGAGAGTAATACAACTTTGTAAGGCTATATAGGATAAAAGCTAATGCCGTATACTTATATACACTAAAGCTGTATAGATCTATACTTATTATAGGTATAGATATAGAGGTATATACTAAGCCTATAGATTATATAGATCTATATAAGGATCTATAGGTTGAAGCTTAGTTAAGAGTAATTCCAGCAGTTAACATGGGCAAATAATAGACCTGGTGTTGCAACGCCCATGGTCTCCTTCCGGATCACACTTTTGCAAACAATCCCGCGACTCTCCTGCCTTTCCATCCTTTTTCCACAGAAGGGGTTATATATACCAACCCAAGCATCGGATCAGCCTCCTCTCCTCCGACCCATCCCATCTCCGCTCCCATCTCCCTTATCACGGGCTACTCAAATCCCGTGCCAGCCCCCAGCTCCCAGCCTACATGGCCACCAGCCCTCTGACTCAGCAGCCCCCTCTTTTCGCCTACTTAATCCCGCCCGGCCCCCCTTCTTCGATTTTCCTTCTTCAAGGAGTCGGGCTGGAGTTCAAAACCCTGGCCAGAGTTGTGCGATGGTTCGGGAGTGGGCTGGGCATCACCACGGGACGACTACGACTTCGATGTGGTGGACAGCTTGTGGATCAAAAATCACCATCAAGATGATCTATGGCTTGGGGGTGGACTGTAAAAACCGGATGTCGTTTTTCACCATGGAGTGGAGTGGAGTGGAGTCTGACTTCCCTCAAGGAGTCGGAGGTGGAGATCAAAAAGAAGACGCAGAAGATTCGATAGAGCTGGTGGGGCATCAACAGGAGGAAATCTAACATACGATGTGGTAGAGAGTTTGCGGATCAAACACTGCGTGGCGAACTCGTGATGGCTTGGGGGTGGACTGTTAAAAATGACTTGGAATGCTGGGTCATGAAGTGGAATGGACTCTGGCTTCCTTCAAGGAGTCGGGGCTGGAGATTGAAAAGCGAACATCTCCTAACTCATGGAGTTGCTGGGGCGTCAACCGAAGAAGACTACGACGCAATGTAGTGGAGACTTCGTGGATCAAAATCACAATCAAGATGATCTATGGATTGGGAGTGGCCTGGTCAAAATCATGAAGCCGGGTAAGCGATGGAGTTGCGGAGGCGGAGAGGGTCTCAAAACCGGCCTAATGGAAGTTCTATGTGCTGTGGTTGTCGACTGCAACGTTGGACTGACTGATGGCTGGCATTGGTGGAGGAGTGGAGGTGGCGTCAGCGAAGGAGGGCAGTGATGGTGAGCATTGCCTTGGTGCGTTACTGACAATCTCCATGAACAAATGGACTTTAGATGAGATGCAGTGCTTACGAATAAAGACAGTGATGGTGATAGGATGGAAGGTATCCGACCTACCACCCTCCCATCATTCCCATCCCAAGTCCACAGGTACCAAGAACACTCCAGCAAGAACAACAGTTCACCGGGGCTCAGCAATAGATAGACATATAAATCCTATTAGCTAACACACTACATCCGCCTCCCTAAACACACCAACAACTAGATGCCTTTTCCCCGGCGCTATGCACATACATAAACAACAAAGAGAGGAGTGTTAAATATACGAAACCAACCGTATTACAATTTTGGTCCAACTATATGGTGGGTGGTATGGAGTATGATGTGGGTGGGTATAAACACTCAACGGAAACGAAAAAAAGTCCAATCTTCAATCTCGGGATGTTGGGGGTATTTCCGTCGCGACGCAAACCAGCGATCAAAACCAAGAAAAACAACGACGCGACGATCTTATCTTTCGATATGTAAAGTAAGCAGAGAGAGAGAGGATGCTCAAACCAGCACGAGCTTTTAACAGTATAAGGGAAACTAAAACGCAAGGAAATGGGGATCTGGACATAGGAAAATAGGGTTATTTTGAGTTCTGTTGTTGCCTTGTTTAGGCACTTCCTCCATCATCATTCTTCTTCTTCATTCGGACTTCTCTCACCGGTGTAGACCGGGTCCGAATCCCTCGAAGCTTACCCCTATCCCATCACCAGGGTTTCCATCCACCGTACTCTCCTCATCGTCGTAGTAGCCGTTCTCGCTGTATCCCTCGGCGTCCTGGTCGTAGCTCGCATTACGCAGCAACGGTGGCGTTGACGGCGCGTGTTGCTCCGCACCAGCCACGGCCTGTTTTCCTAGGGCCGGAAACCCAGCATCCGAGCCGCGGAAGGTGCTGGTGCTCGAGTTAGAGCCGGAGTATGGTTGAGGGTGGACAGACGACAGAGTCTGTGGCGTGCGGCGGAGGTTGGAGGTCGGCGGGGTCATGAGACCAGAAAGGAACGACTGTGTTGAGGGAACAGGGGCGGGGCGCGGAGCGGTGCGAGAAGGTGTCGGAGTACGTGATGCGCTAGCTGAGGCAGTCGAGAGGGAACTCGATGATGTGTTTCCGCCTTTCCGCCAGTTGCCAAATGCAGCTGCAGCTGCTAGTGCACCTGCCTTTGGCGATGAGAAGTTCGACGTGGCAAAGCTCGACAAGCTGCTGACGATGGCTGGGAAGTTCTGGCCTCCCGTCATCAGTCTTTCCTTCTCTTGCTGCTCCATTTGGAGGTTCGTGCGGATGCGGATGGCCGCATCTCGAACAGCTTCACGGCTGAAAGCTGGTTGGGCGAGTGCATTGATGAGCTCAGACAGATCATCGACGCGTACGCCAAGTAGCTCGCGTAGCCAGCCGATTTCCGTCTCGCGCTCCTTCAGCTTCGCAGGGGCCTCAGTGTCGACTTCTTCGAGCTTGTGCTCGAGAGACTCGATGCGAGTCTCGCGCTCTTGAAGCTGCTCTTGCAGAACAGCAATTGACTCGCGCAAGGCCTGAGGTGAGATCTTTTCGGGTTGTCTAGAAGCATGGCCGTGGTGCGATTCAGAAGCAGTGGGTGCCTTGGCTAATTGAGCCGCTTGGGCAGCAGCTTGGGCGGCCGACTGAGCGACGGAGACCTTCTCTTCGAGATGAGCGATCTTGTCTTGCAGATGCTCCAGCTTGGCGTCTGACAGACTCAAGCGTTCCTTCAGATAGGACTCGGACCTATCCTTATCCTCAACCGCCATGTCAAGAGCTCTGCTGTGCTCCTTCTGGAGAAGTTCGACGCGTCGCTCAAATGTGCGCTCCTGCTCCTGTAGAGCCGCGTTCCTTGCATTCAATGCTTCATCCAAAGCTTGTTGCTTGGAGTCGGCCGCCTCTTCCAACAAAAGCTCATTCCGAGCCTTTGCGGTATTGGCATCCATACGAACGTTGTCCATCTCAGACCTGAGCCTCGAGATTTCATGCTCCATTTCAGCCCGCACCATGTTGACCTGGTTATTGGCAACATCAATGTCAGCCTCCATGAGCACGCGAGTTCGCTGTACTTCGACCCGGCCTGCTTCTCTTGCCTCCTGGTAATCACGTTCGTACTTCTCGGCGGCCCTTTGGTGCTGGTCGCTTTGATGTCTGAGCGCGTTGACAGCGTCTTCGAGTCTAGCGTTGGCTTTCTGAGTCTGCTCGAGAGTAACCTTCATCCTCATTCCTTCTCTTTCTTGCCCTTCCAATCTCTCGAGCTCTCTCTCAAGTCTCTCCCTGGTACGACCCTCAGCCTCAATTCTTGCACTGAGTATCTCGTATCGCGTCATGTGTTCCTGGTCGCTCTTTTGCCATTGTGCTCTCTCCGCAGACACTTGACCAGATGCAATCGACATATCTTTCTGGATAGCTTCCAGCTTAGTACGCATGGACTCGCGAATACGCTGAGCCTCCTCGGCTTGGAATAGCGACGCATCAACGGCGTTCTTCATCTCTTCTTTCTCCGCGTTGGCTTGCTGGATTTCCTTTCGCCACTTATCGCTAGACAAGCGGTACTCTTCAAGCGTAAATTGAAGAGCTTCGTTCTCAGCCGACACTCCGGTCAACTTCTTTTGCAAGTCTTCCTCCAACAATTCAAGTGCAATTGCCTTCAGCTTTGATTGTTCGCTCTCGGCGGCCAATGAAGACAGTCGATCGCGAAGATCTTCCTCAGCATCGTGCAACGCAGCAATCTTTCCACGGGCATCGCGAAGCTCCTGGTCCATCGCACGCATTTTGTGTTCATCATCGCGTGCAGCTTCACGAAGAAGGACAAGTTCCTCTTCGGTGACCTTGAGCAGACGCTGAGTACTAATCTCACGAGCCTCGACAGCCTTACGAGCTTCAATCTCCTCGTCCACACGTAAAGTGGCCTCCTTAACCATGGACTGAAGGTCTGCAACTCGAAGCTCGCTTTCTTCCGTGGCCTTGCTTTCCCGGTGGAGTACTATCTCAGTGCTCTGGCGCTTCAAGACATCTTCGATCATTTCCCGGAAATCTTCAGGTTGGATACTGGATGAAGCTGATCGAGCAAAGGAAGCCTTCACGTCACCAAGAGCTTGGTAGAACTCAGAAATATCCACCGGCGGCTGCGGTGGTGCAGAGACCACCGATGACCTGATCTCATCGAGCGCCTTGTTGAACTCAGACAGATCTACCTGGGGCTGAGCTGGTACTGCAGCAATCGAGGTCCTGATTTCGCCAATAGCCTCTTGAAGTGCTGATAGATCTACTGGAGGTGGAGACGGTACGGCAGTAATTGAAGCTTTGATGTCACCAAGCGCTTGGTGTAACTCCGAGAGGTCAAGATGAGACTGGGTTGGTACCACAGCAGACTCTGCTGAGTGCTGTGGTTGAGAAGCAATCGCTTCCATAACGATAGCACGAATTTTCTCGAGTCTGCGGTCCTTCCTAGGAGATCGGTTTCGATAATGAACATCAGCATCGTCATCTTCGTCATCAGCATCGCTGTCTAGGCGATCGTTGGTAGACATGCTGCGGCGACCTCTCCCACCCTTCAGTCCCATTGTAGAGATGGAGTCTTGAATTAATTGAAGGTTCCTCTCCAAAGGACCCAGACGGTTTTGCAACAGACGACCGATGAGACCATCAACATGGCTATCGAAGAATCGACTACGGGTCTGAATCTTGTCCTCTCCGTCCGAGGAAATCCCCTCATCCCAATCACTGACAGGAATCTCGTCGGCGTTGTTAAGACGGTGGACAGGCGACTCATAGGCCATTCCGGCCCGTTCGTCACTGAATGGATCATGCGTGATAGACGTCGAGGAGGCATGCAGCGTTCCAGGCGTAGGAACATGAGCATAAATTCGTCGAGGACTAGGGCTTGGCGCGTCGCTGCGCATTTGAATATTCGGCTGTAAACGTTCAAAGTCATGAAGAGATCGTCGAGGGCTAGACTGATCCCATGAGTTGGAATCTCTCTCAACACCAAAGTCCGAGCCTTCCTCATTGAGATGCTTCATGACAGAGTCAATTTCGTCGAATGTCTGCACATAATCGTAATCAACGCTTTCGCTCTCCGGATATGGGACCCGATGTTTGCGAGGTTCAGGTGCAGTCTTGTATGATCCATCGTCACTCGGTCGGAAAGTCGTCGCAGGGCTCCGGCTAACGTGACGGGGAGAACTGACGTGCGAAGTATCCAGCTCGGGACTCTTAGGCAGAGAAGGTTTCTGGACATGGATACCGAAATCGAAGCCAGAGCCGAATTGAGGCCGATATTCGAAAGGCTTCGCGGTAGCTGATAGCGAGCCTTTGCTTGGATGTTTCTTTGTAAATGGCTTCGATTGCTCTTCCACAGACGGGGAGACGCCTCCCACGTCGCGCCGCAGTTCAGCTCCTGTGGGTGTCTTCGTGCCTGATGCAGTATCCGAAACGTCGTCCGTCTTCGGCGTGTGCGTGCCAGGGCCGAATGATGAACCTTCTAGTTGAAGGGCAGCTGCAGACAATGGTTGAGGAGACTTGGCTTTCGGTTGGGCTTGTTCCTTGTTGGGAGAAAGATTCTCCTTGTCCTCTGGCACGACAGCTCGCTCGGTTTCAGGAACTGGCTTCGCTCCTTGATTCCGAGGAGCCTCACTAAGAGGATGTGAAGGCATAGCGAATTGTGGCACCTGGTCTCTATCATCATGACCGTGGCGCGCTCGCTTCTCGCGGCCATCGGCCTGGGTAATACGTCCCATCTCGTCTTCCTTGTCCTCAACTTCCTTAGCCGGCTGTTGAGTAGTATCTGGCATGACTATCGGGACGGCCTTGGACCTTTTAGCGGGCTTGATGAAATCGTTAGCGTTCATATTGAAGTTGCCAAATATCTTGGACGGTCCATTAGCTCCGACACCGACGGCTGGACTTTGTACAACTGCAGGGCTAATAATTGGTGGACTAAATGCGGGATCGTCCGGCTTGAAAGTGGGTCCCTTCGATAGGAAGTCGAAGTTGCTGGAAGGCAACGCTGGTCCTTTCATATTGAAAGAAGGCTTGAAATCAGGCGCTGTGACGTTCAAGCCACTTCCGAGACCATCAATGCTAGCATTGTTGCTTCTAGGTACAGGTTGGGGACCTTGACCGATGGGCTTGCTGTTGGTGGGCTGGAATGAAAAGCCGCCAAACGAAGAAGTGTTGGGACTGAAGGAAGACGTGCTAGGGTTGAAGGACGCGGATGGGTTAAATTTGAATTCCTTGGCCTCTACGTTGAGTTTCGATACCGACGAAGTAGAAGTATGCTTGCTGTGGATAGATTGTGGTCGGCCAGAGTTGAACTTCGACTCTTTCCAAGAAGCACTAGCTTGAGACGCGTTCTTAGAGTGTTGCTTCGAGCTCGAGTTAGACTCCCGTAATTCGCCTTCCTCTAGGCTAGGGTTCGTTACTTCCGAACCGTTCGTTTTTGCGTCATCACTCAGTTCCTCGCGTTGACCATTCGTAGTCTGAGAATTGAAACTCATAGAAAGCGGCCGCTGGGGCTTAGTGAGAGAATGGGCTCTGTTATGAGGCTGCGGCTGGTGCAAGACTTGTTGAATTGGACGAGGCTCCTCCCACGCTGACTTAGTCGCTTGAGGATTGGGAGAGCTAATTTGATCTTTCCTAGCGTTTGAGTTGAATGGTGATTCTGTGCTAAACTCGCCACCTTCCTCAAGTTGCTTGTCGATAGCCTGTTCCAAATGGTACTCTGCATCTCGAATTTCCCGCTCCAGATTTTCACTGATATTATGTTGATGGCCACGAGGCGTCGGCACGGCAATCTGCGGGCCTGGTTGGTTGGCCTGCTTGATGTCGGTAACTTCATCTTCCTCAGCCTCATCCTCGGGAACCTCAGCAAGGGTCGAAGACGGCCTCATGTTGTTCAACAACTGCTGCTGTTGCTGAAGAAGTAGCTGAGTTTGCAGTTGTTGTTGTTGCTGTTGCATCTGAACCACAAGATCATCCTTCTGCGCAAAGGGGAACTGTTGGTTTGGTCTGAATCCAAATGGTGAAGCAGGAGAGGCAAGGTCACCTAGGTCAGGCCTGCTATGGGACAAAGCGGGCGATCCGCCTCGTGCAACCCCTTGCGGCCCGAAGTACTGTTGAGGAGACCAACCCTGAAGGCCTGGTGGCGTAGGTTGCGACTGTGCGAAGTTTGCTGGAGATGTAAAGGTTGAGTGGCGATGCATGTGCATACCCGGTCGCTGGTTGCCAAATGGGGATATCGGGGAAGCAATCGACCGGGTAGATGTATGGCCATGTGCTGGCGAAGGTCCATGAGGGAATGTTCCAGAGATGACACTGCCATTTTGTCCCAGTCGTTGACTCCCAGCGGACGAAGTCGGCAGAGGTGGAGAAAATGGCAATGCTGGGTATTGGGATGAAGCCTTGCGAGACATCGCAGGAGAGACCTCCTCCTCCTCTCCACCCATGCTGACTCCAAGGGCAGCCAACTTCTGTTCCATGAGGTAATTTTCATATGCTTCCCATTCTGCCTTGTTAGGTATCCGGACTCGGAAAGACCCAGTACTACGTTCTTCTTGATAGTCACTAGGCTCTGGATATACATCGCGAGCCTGCGCTAGACCGGTCGGTCCAACAACGCTTTCTCTCTGTTTGAAGTGGTCGAAACCGTTGGTATTGTAGCCTGCCCTCTCAAAAGTCTCCATGCGAGCTGCAACCTCCTGCGAGCTAAGTGGCATTGGCGGTTGTCCTGGCTTTCCTCTTGGAAGATCGGCCGGTAGTGCGATCCAACAAGCCTTCCCTTTCCATGGCAACTTCTTTCGTGGACGCGGTGCCGATGGAGGCCGAACAGGTCCTTCCTTAGGAAGAGCATTTTCGGGTTCGTTAGGAAGCTTTAGCGAAGGCACAGCATCGATTGTAGGAGGCGGATGTAGAGGTTTATCGGACGCAGGGCTGCGAAGAGGCTGTGACAGTTGACTGTTTGCAGAGCCCTTGCGTGAATGCCCAGGGTCTGCGTACTTTGAGGCCATCATCCTGCCGAAGTGTTCCTTTTGTTCTTTGCTGAAGTGAGCCCAGAAATCCTGCTGCTTCAGTGTCAGGTTACTCTTCCTCGACTTATGCCCCTTTTTCTTTTGCTCGACTTCGCGCTCAGTCTTGTCTTGCTTCCCGTCTTTCTTTACACTGGAGTCGTTGTGGCTTGACTCGTCACTCCACCAATTGGCCTTCTCGTCGTCCCAACCTCCACTCAAGAACTGGCGAACCCAATCACCAGTTGGATCGTTTAGCAGTTGCTCTGGAAGAGTATCTGCAAAACTGATGCCACTGGGTCGTGGAGTTGCTTCAGGGGCCTCGGATGCAGGGGAAAACGTAGATCTCGTAGGCGTTATAGCTGAATTGATAGGCAGTCGAGAAGGCAAAAGGTGCTCCAAGCCGAATTGGTTTGGGGAAGCGTCTTCGGTCAACCGGGATGGGAGAAGATGCTCAAGTCCAAATTGGGGATCTGAGGAAGAGTCTTCGTCTAAGTGGGACGGCAGTAGATGCTCAAGTCCGAACTGAAGGCTGGATGCGTCCTCCTCAAGATCGTCGCTGTCGGGAGCCAAATGGTCGCGTAGCGCAGAACTGATATTAAACCCCGGGGGAGGTCGTTGGTACGGAGATCCCCAACTTGCAGTGTAGTATGTGCTGTCGGTAGCTTCGTGCCTTGCAACAGTCGACGGGGTACGCGGGACGCCTCCGAGCGATGCTAACGAGGGCAGAGGGGGGAGCTCCGGACTCGAGTGGCCGAGTGTCTGGGTTGGCGAATGGGCTGTCCACAGAGTCTGTGCCGGAGATGGCACACCGCGCGCCTCTGTGAGAGGGCTTGCTTCGCCTTGGTGCTGGAAAGCAATCGGAGGCGACGAGGGCAAGGCTGGTGACGACGTGGTGGTCCGTCGAGCTTGCATTCAACGTTCAGCGCCGTGCTTTGAGCCTCTTGACGGGAAAACGCGCACCTTCCACGGTTCCAACGCGGCGAGCGAAGCTGGCGTCGCCCGCTCGCTGAAGCTGGGGGATGAAGCGGGCACCGGGGACGATGGCAACGCGTGCGGACGCTGCGAGGAGGGAGCGGAGGCGGGCCGCCAGGTGGTGACGCGATAGAGATGTCTACAAAAGAAAAGACTCGGTCTAAAGGAGCGACATGGAGTGGGCGGACAATGTACAAGGCGCCGCGGACGTGTTGACACTGCTCTGCACCATAACGTGGCGTGTGGAAGGGATAGGCGGCTGGTGTGCGGAGCTTCGCCTGAGAATATCTTGGAGCTGTGGAAAGGAGACGTGGGAGAGTGCTGGGCCCGAGCGGGCCAGGTGGACCAATGACGCCCCCCCACAGCAGCATCCACGGCTCGCACCCAAACGCCCGCTGGCCGGCCCGAGGCGACAGGGACAGCCTAGTCGGGAGCAGCCCAGGCAGTGCCAGGCGCAGGCGGTGAAGGGCGAGGGAGTGGACGGGAGAGGCGTATTTAGGTGTTCGAGGTGGCTTTGTACCATGCAGTGCATTCCGAGGCCGTCCCCCTCCATACACCTCTCTTTTGTATCGACAGTGAGTGGTATTCCGCCTTCTATGTAGTGCTCTGCTGTCACGAGTCGGAGATCCACACGAAGCGTCCAAGCTTCTTCAATTTCAGCATCCACGACCTGCTTTAACAGGCTGCATGCTTCATTACTAGGTAAAAGGAGGGAAAGGGACATACAGAGCTATGCCGCATGTCTCTCTGGTTGATGGCCTCATTGTTGCGTCCGTTGCAACCTACACCAGTCGCCATACTGTAGGTATCGTACGCTATGTGCCGGTTGGTGAGGATGGAGGTGAAACAATGCATTGAACGAGGTAAGTGATGTATTGGATGAGCATCTATCTAGGCTACGTACGCCGTATATATACTCTGTGTGTGTGGAGGCTTACGTAGCCGTACCGTAGAACTGTGTGGGCTAAGTATAGGAACCGTGTTCTATATCAAGGTAGCCGAGCTAACCGTACCATACTCCGTAGGCTAGCTGGCTAAGAATACGTACTCCGTCAGTTGGGCGTGAAGGGTAACCTGGAGTGGTGTACAGTGCAGTACAGATTAATCTCAAACATCATCTCATGCTTCCGAAATCACACAAGCAGTCTAAACCATTCCTGAACTGTTGACCATTATTTACCTAGCCGTTTCAGGCGGTGAGAGTTATATACACCTTTTCCACCTTTCTCATAGACCTTTATGCAACTCTTTCCTCTCGCCGCGCCAATGATGCAATGAGCAGTATGTACAGCTTTTCTACCTTTCTCATAGAGCTTTGTATGCGTCCCTATTTTCGCCGCGCCGATGCATGCAACAAGCAAATGTAGACCTTTTGAGCCTTGTCCACAGAATTTTCAAACCTTTCTCCACATGAACATCCTCTTCACAAAACCCGACCGCACGGCCTCACTCGCCGCCGGTTCCTCCGCGGGTTTCTCTGTCAAAGGACCGCCCGTCTGGCGCTTCGCGTCGAGAGCATCCTCTTTCTCCAGCTCACCTATCTTCCACGCTCTCACCATCCAAAGGAAAGAGGCCGCGCCAATGTACATGAAGCCCGTGAAGAGTTGGGCGCCAAGGTAGCTTCCGTTATTGAAGGACACGATCTCCAGAGCAATGGGTTCGGAAACTATAGCTATCAGCAAAATGCACCGCTTTCGAGGACAAGAAACCAAACTCACATGTAGTAGGAAGAACAAGAACTATCCACGTAAGAGCAAGCGCCGATGGCAAGTCCTTAAGCCCAATAACCTCAGACGTAACTGGCGCTATCACCTAGAAAACACATCAGCACTCAGACATCCATAAACGGAATTCCCAAACTCACCGCCCAGAAAGTCCCAGCAACACAACCCCCAATAAGCGCAAAAAACACCAACACCCCAAACTTCGTCGCGAACGTCCAAATAACCAAGCAAAACAGCCCCGCCAGGAACGTCATCGAGCTCGCCATATTCAGCCTGCCCACCGCATCGCTGAAGTACCCAATCGGCGGCCGGCCCAGCGCCTGCCCCAGATTCAGCACCGCGCCGATGATCGAGCCCTGCTTCGCCGTCATGCCGACCGACTCCGCGAAATTCGGCAGCGAGAACAGCAGCACGATGTACGCCAGCATGGACAAGAACCCAAACGACATCAGCAGCAGGAACTCCACGCGGCGGAACAGGCGGTAGTCGAACGAGAGCTGCGACGAGCCGATGTGCTTATTCCGATCTCTGACTAAGAGCGCGCAGGCCGTGTTCACCCCGAACGCAACAATACCTAAGATGCGGAAAGCCCACGCGAGGCTGATGTTCTCGATCATGGCTTGGGTGGATAGGGAGTAGATCAGGCCGCCGAGCCCCGAGCCTGAGGCTGCGATGCCGTTTGCGAGACTGCGGCGCGTGGTGAACCATTGCGGGACCACGGAGACGGAGCCGACGAAGAGGAAGCCCATGCCCCAGCCGAAGCAGACGCCTTGGCTGAGAAAGAGCTGCCAGATCTTGGAGGCGAAGGAGGCGCCGATTAGGGAGAGGGCTTCAAAGAAGACGCCAAGGAGGAGCGTAATACGGGTGCCGTATAGTCTGGTTGTGGCGGTGGCTACCGGTGATACTGCTAAGGCCATAGACACAGATAACCCCCCTATTGGAGGTCAGCTTGACGGCGATGGGGAGCAGTCGCATTGGTGGAAGATACCTATAAATGCAAATTCAAGTCTCGTCGCTCCTGGAAAGGTGTTGGTGCTCAGATCTGCATAGCACGTAAGTAGGGACCCTAAATATATGGAGACATAGAGAAGACATACAGTGAGCCAAAAAGACGCCATAAGAAGAATTGAGTCCCCAAGTATGGGCATTGATACAAAAGATCCTACGCAAATACATCAGTCTTGGTTCTTGAGGTTCTTATTCCCGAAAGGATACTCACGCTGCCACACACACCCAGCCATATCCCCCGTCCGGCGGTACATCCTCCCTCTTCACCTCCGCCCTCTCCTCCTCGCTGCCATTCTCCGACCCCGCCGCCGCGTGCTTGTCATCTGGGGAAGCAGAACCCAGCCCATCGGCGTTCTCTCGGACCTCATCCAACGATACCGCGCTCTGAGTGGTCGTCATAGAACGAATAGTGGAGATCGAGTCAGTAAGTTCAGTCAAAAATCTTGCGCAACTCTTCCAGAACTCTCGCACAGAAACAAACGACGAAATAAGAATAAGTTCGATGGAGGGAGGAAAATCCGGGGGAGTCAAGTGCAAATAAATATGGGTCCCCGCGTTTAGAAGCAAAAAACCAATTTGTAACAGCGCGGAAATAAAAACCTACCCAAGCTCGTTTTTGGACTACCGCCGGGGTATGTAGTCATTGAGAGTAGCGCCGGGGGCCTGTGCCGTTTGCCGCTTTGCATGTCATCGAGGCTCACGATGCCGAAGCCGGCAGGCGGAAGCGGCACCGCGTAGGGCGTGTTTGGGGCGTGTTTACATGGCTTCTTATAAATCGTTGCCTTGTTGATGGGAGTTTACAAAGCAGGCTGAAGTTGAGCTGGAATTGTAGCGGATGAACTACCTAGCGAGAAAGTGTATGCAATTTACTTTATATGCAGGTGCCAGGCAGTTAGTCTTCATCACGCGTAGTAAATCACAGCCACAGACCACAAGTAAAGAACTTGATCATTCTCAAATCCTTCGAGGTATCTCTTAAAGAACCGCATTATAGCCGAGAGACGGCGGAGGATATGAGCTGCTGCAGACTGCTGCCAAAAAGATTCCAGAAGCCAAACTTGATTCCCTAGAGGTGTAGTCTTGACTGACCAATGGAAAAAGGTATGCCGCTAATGTGCTAGAAGTGTAGCCATTTTGTACAAGGAGAAACCCCCAAGGAGAAACCTTAAAGTCGAGCCCTTTCCTGTGTAGCTCAATGATCACTGCAGATAATTGCATTGACTTGACAGTAGAATGAATGTGTCGCCCCACTCCTTGACCTCGACCTTACCCTCTTTGAAACCAATCTAGGACTCCTCTCTGAAGATTCCTCTGTTCATTTAACTCACGTCTCGCTGCCTCAACCGCCTCAACTTCGACGTCAAACTGTCTCATCCGGAGGGCCTCTGCCTCCGGGTTCAAGCGCCGGTCTCGCTGTCTAGGTATAACGGGATGTTGATGCGGAACTGGTGGTGGCGCGGCTGGCGCTCCATGTGGTAGCGGCGCCATCATCCCAAACCCGGGTGGTAGTGGGAAGCCCAGGTTATGATTCTCCCATTCCCGTTGTTGCATAGCAACACGCGGAGCTGGAGGATTCGGAGGCCTTAAACCTGGAGGCGGAACGTAGCGGGGAAAAGGTTCTCGTCGACGAATATGAGCATCCACAAGGGCTTCGACTTGTGCGCGTTCGCCCTGTGCATAGAGCCCTTGAGGGTGTACATGTCCAAGCCCGAGCCCTTGAGGGCGATGTGGGTGTATATGCCCAACATTTATACCCGGCCGACCACCTGCTATGGCCACCTGCGCTCGTTGAGCGCGAGCTTCCTCCTCCACCCTGACTCTGTCGGAAACTTTGACCTTCAAATCCTCCTCCGTAAGGTCTGGATTCTCAGCTTGAACCTTCGCAAGGGCCTCTGCTTCCGCCTTCTTGACATCTTCGGTATGACGTGCGTCTGTGTTGTCGTGAAGAGGGCACGGACCGTCTTCTTTGAAGTGGTTGTAGTCCACGACTGTCTTCGAGCAGACATAGCTAATTAGGAGCGGTCAGCTACGTAGGAAACTAACCGCGGATCGAAAGACTAACCATTGCTTATTGCCACAGCGGGTGCAAACCATTTTGTTGCAACCAAAGTCCTTGATGAAAGGGTGTTTACATTTACTGCCCAATTAGCGGGAAAGCTATGGAGAGCCCAGTGCGGTTGACTTACTTGCAGACCCTGATTAAAGCATTCGTCATGGCCTCCTCCACGGCATGTCGCACGCTGAGTTTGTTCTCTTTGGCATACTCCTCGCAACTCTGGGGGATATGGGTCTCTGCTCGGCACAAGCGACAGCTCACTTTCTCGCAACCTGGATTGCGACACCGAAATTCTCTGTCAATCTCAACGGGCGGACACTCCGCCCTGAAGTCGCAGAACGGACATTCAACGAGGCCTTCGATGTCGGCTGCTTGTATATCCTCTCGCTGTTGCATGCTTTCAAGTTTGTCGAAGGTAACTTGGTCCAAAAATAGCTGCAGTTGTTGACGCGCGAATCCAGCACTGCAGCCTTCGGTTGACATACATATCGGACGGCATTTGCCGTCGCCTATGAGGTGGTGGATCAGTGTGCGAGCACATTCTAAGCAGAAGAGATGGGGGGTGTCCGCCTCGCATTCAGTCATACGATGCAGTGGAAATTCTTCACAGCAACAAGCGCTGCCTCGAGTTAGACAACATTAAGTATCAAGTCGGACTAGCTTGACGTACCATGCAACGAGTCTCCCCTCGAGCTTTGCTCTCGTCATTTCAAGGGCTAGCTCTGCCTCTGCCCGTCGTTTGGCTGAGATGTAATGGGTTAATTGCGCAATGAGATATCAACAGGGTCACCTCGAGGAACTCGCACCTTCATCCTTCTGACGCTTCTTCCGAGCGGCATCCAGTTCCATTTTGAGGTCTATCCTGAGGTAGTCCATCGACGGATCTCCGATAACGTCGTTCGATTTTGTCATAACGCGTGGCCGAACTTTGGTAAAGAGATTATGCGTGTCCGGGTCGTATTCGCGCAATTGCCGCTCCAATGTTAAGAAAGCTTTGAAGAGAGTGCCGTTGGTGCGAAGAGTGGCCTCGATGTGCTTGACGGGTACGCTAGGAAATTCGTTTCCAAGGAACTTGAGTCTGTATGTAAAAGAATGTCAACTAGTGATCAAGTAATCATGCAAGTAGTGTAGAGTGTTAGGCAGGCCCCGGTACGGCGGGAGAGATAGCGAGCGGCGCCGACCACAGCCGATGGAATTAGGTGTAGTTGTGATCGAGAAAGGTTGGCAGGCAGCGCAGTGAATTCAGCAGGTGTTGACGACCTCCTGTGGACATTGCTTCGCATAGGCATCCATGGAGTCATCTGGGACATCACCAAATGCAAGGAAGAGGAAGGGTTGACTCACGCAAGTTGAGAGTAGAGACGGCCGGCGTTGTGTCTCTCCATCTTCTCAAACCTTCTGATAGCATCCTCGTCGTCTTCGGTGTCCGTGCGCTTCCGCTTCAGGTCTTTGCGGCGTTCGCTCTCCTTGGGATATGAGCCAGAGTCGACAAGCCGGGTAATCAATTGATCGCACCATACTGAGCCGAGCGCGCCATCATGTAGACCTTCTCTATAGAGATTGAGGACATGGTCGTGCGCGATGTCGGGGAATATTTCGAGAATCTTTTGAAGCGCGTCGTCCTCTGTGAACGGAGCGGGAGGTTGGGATACAGGGCGGGCGTCCAGAAACTGCACACTGTCTGCCTCTGCAAGCACCGCTGCAAAGTCATCGTCGGTGATACCAACTATGTCTGTGAAGAAGTCGCGGCCCTGTTGTGGTGTGTGTCGGTGAGGCTGCTCGTTTTGCTGCACGGAGTCGCTCTCTGACTCGGAATCATCAGACAACACGATGACTTCTGTTTGTCGGATGGGCAAACGGGTCGCCATGGTTTTGAGTGCCCAATCGGCGGACGGCGAATTGGGTGTAGTGGTAAAATAGAGTGCCTATCTGGGAACGGGCGGGGATGTCGTCGAGCGGGCGGGTAAGGGTGGAGAGCAAGGCTGAGGCCAGCTCACCGGTGAGAGTACAGGAAGAAGAGCCCACAGGAGTTTGAACACATGTAGACAATGAGCACAACTGATTTAGTGAATGCGACGGACGAGACTGATGGAAATGAGAGCCACGTAGAAACACCACCCTGGCGCGGTCGTGCTGGAGCCGCCGTGACTTCTGCCTCACCACAAACTCAGGAACCGCCGGACCTCGCGCGATCGTCCCAGAACCCACGGGAGGAGAGACGTACCAAACCGCCGCAGTCGACGTGCAAACGGCGTCTTGGCTGCACGAGAAGCTCTACGACCTCGGGAGGAAGTCCAGATGGACTGAGCGAGCAGGAGGGAGAGTGCGGCGCAGCGTTTTGAGGTTGTGACCTGGCCGCCATAGTTCGATTTCAGCCAGGTCACCCGAAGACCGGGGAACGCCTAGATGCATCGTTTGCCTTTGCGTAGCACGCAGGCTGCGTCTTCATCCCAAGCTCAGCTTTGCGTCCGTACCGCCTCATCGGACTGGCCCTTTCCATTGAAGCAAGTCGCGATGACGGACACATGACCGCCAGCTGCGTTGAGCACGGCACGCTTTCTCTCGCCTGGCGTCGGCAAATGCTCCACAAACTTTCCTATTCCTTAGTCGGATAGCCAATGGCGCGTTTGGAAGGTATACGAGACAGCAAGTATAAAGGCATCAGCCGGGTGGCGCTCGATTATGTCTTAGACACGGTTCGCACTTCCCCTGCAAAAGAGTTTGAGATTATCTTCTTTATCACAAAGCCAATTCTCGCCGGCGTCAGCCCGTTGCGACCTTAGACGCGCCAGCCTTATACCTGCCATTGTATTCCAGACCCATTCAAGGATAGATATCGGAGCATCCAGGACCGTCTAGAATACATATCCTGTCAAGATGGTGTCTGCTCCAACGAACCTACCAGCCGGGAATTGCCCTACTCTTGGCCTGGTCCATCCTACTGCGGAGGAGAAGTTGGCCCAATTCAAGGCCAATGGCGTGGAATGGAGAGGTGCTCTCTCCCTAGAGACATATCTGCGCCGCGAAGAAGTTCTCGCGAACCAGAATCAGACCAAAAACGGTGGCATCACGTATTGGGCTCTCGTTGACACAGCTGCTGAGAAGAGGGTTGTTCTGTGTGGCTGTGAGACGTACCGCAAGAAGGCTTTAGTCGCCCGCAATGGCAAAGTGGAAGAGACGATCTCTCATGGCATTGGGAGTGTCTTCTGCCCGCCAGCGATGAGAGGGAATCGCTATGCGCAACGAATGATGCAAGAGGTTGGGAAAGCATTGCGGACGTGGCAGACAGGAGATAAGGAGTCTCTCTTCTCTGTACTATACTCTGACATTGGCAAGGTGAGTTTCTAAGTACTACGGAATGGTGGGTCTTTTCAATTCTGACATTTCGAAGAGTTTCTATTCTAGACTTGGTTGGGAACCGTTCAATTCCGCTCATATATCTGTGCCTGCGAGGACGGCGAAGGAATTGCCAACCGACGGACTCCCAACAACTCGTCCTCTCTATGAGAAAGACCTCGCAGAGCTCTGCCGGATCGACGAGGCCATTATCCGCAAGACCTTGGAGTCTCGATCATCGAATAGCAAAATAGCAGTTGCTCTCGTCCCCGATATCAACACCATCCAGTGGCACCACGCCCGAGAGGATTTCGTGGGCAACGAGCTGCACGGCAAATCGCCTGAGATCAAAGGAGCCATCGTAGGCACCGAAGAAGGCAAAAGGATTTGGACGATTTGGACGAGAATGTGGTACAACAACGACCCCACCGCGAGCGAAAACAACACCCTCCACATCCTCCGACTGGTGATTGAAGAGCAGGGGGAGTTGAGCCTGGAGAGCCAGGGAGCTCATAACCCTACCAATGGTTCAAACAGCACCCCCAAGCATGCAGCCGCTGTCGCAGCGCTCTTGCTTATGGCGCAGGAGGAGGCGCGGAAGTGGAACATGGCCGAGCTTGAGGCGTGGAACCCCAGTCCCGCCATGGTATTCGCAGCTCAGATGCTGGATCCCGATGCTGAGGTGGTTAACAGAGACAAGGAGAGCATCGCAAGCTTGAAATGGAATCTTCCGCACGAGCACCCGGTGGCGGACAGCATTGACTGGATCGGAAATGAGAAGTATGGCTGGTGTTGATTTATTCATGGGCTATTAGAGTTCCGACGAGTGTAGAATCGGCAAAATTCATTCTTAAATATAAATGAAATGAATCACATGAATCATCAGTATCATTTTGAGATGCGCACGGTCTGATTTGATGCGTCATACCGTTCGTTCGTGAATATGAGATTGTTGCTCGAGCCTGTTGGATGGGCATCAGATGTGACTATGAAGCGTTTTAGAGAATAGCCAAAGGATGGCGGTGATGAGGAATCCACAAGATGCCGGCGATGCAGAGTATCAGAGCTCAGCAGTGATGAAGCGCGAAGGCACTGCGTGGGGGTTCCGCATCCTCTTGCGCGACGCACTATTGTGAAAATCTCGATCAAATTTCAATCTCCGGGCAGCGACCTCATCGGCGAGGCAGTCACAAACGATACGAGGAATCGCAGCAGTCAAGAGCACGGAGAGGTTGTTCAGTCAAAGTCTTGTATTCAATATCCTATCAACCCACAGAAGCTCCAAAATTGTATCCCCCACACACAATCGCCGCTTCGAAAAGCCTGTCAGATTTCTCCCAACGTCCTGCTGACCAGACCGACCGAAGTCAGACGCCTGAGCCAGCGCAAGATCATCGCCACCCTCGCCGAGGCAAGGGCAAAAGGCCTCACTTTGGGACATCGAGGATAAAACTCATCAGCCAGGTTAGAATCTGTGGCTCTGGTAAGAGACTCAGAAGAGGACGTTTACTAAAGAAATGATTCTATGAAGTCTGTGGGACGGGTTGTTAGCGATGAGACCTTCGGGAGATGGTGGTTGAACTCCAAAGGGGAGTGGAAAACTTACAAAGTCGACTGGAAAAAAGAACAGAGGACGGGAGTTGACGAGGCTCTTATACGAAAAATTGTCGCCAAGGCGCTAACGCCAATGTGGAGCTACGCCGATTCTGGAAGCGCGCAGAATCTTTCGGTGCGGGTCCGAAAAGCGGTCCGTGGGCGGCATCACGGGCTGCGAATCAGGAATCTATGCGAAGCCAGGCTTTGGCCAATGTCTGGAACTGTGGAACCGAGCGTAAGAGTGCCCGGCACAATTTGCTGTGGCTTTTCAAATGCAGCATCTCGAGAGCACCTGCAGGAACGACTGGCGCTTGTGCCTCTCAAAAAAAAAGACCCGATATCGCCGACCAGGGCCGATGATTCAACCCCTCTAAAACTAAAACGCTCGCACTGACTCCTACAACGGTGGGGTACCAGCTTCTGGCATATTGTGTAAAGTAGCATCTTGGAATCTGACTCAATCTTTTGCCCTATTAGACTTGCCATTATTCCCTCTACAGGCCAGACTTTTGACATTTGCGCACGCACAATCGAACTACTCCGATGGCTTCACATACTGCTTCTCAGCGCTACCTCAGCACCCGGGGAGGGTCTTACGGTGTGAGCAGTATTCCAGCCTACTCCTGTATCCTTATCCATTCGAACTGGTAACAGCTAATGATATGGTAGCTCTCCTTCGAAGAGGTTGTGCTGAAAGGCCTCGCATCTGACGGCGGCTTGTTCATTCCCGAAGAAATACCCTCCCTACCAGCCAACTGGGCGTCAGCATGGAAAGACCTCTCCTTCGAAGAGCTCGCCTTCAACATATTCTCCCTCTTCATCTCTCCGGCTGAGATTCCTCCCGTAGACCTCAAAGAGCTCATCAAGCGCAGCTACTCGACTTTCCGGACGCCTGACGTTACTCCCATTGTGACCCTCGACGAAGAGAAGAAAATACACCTGCTGGAGCTATTTCACGGGCCGACCTTTGCTTTCAAAGATGTTGCGCTACAGTTCCTGGGGAACTTGTTTGAATACTTCCTCGTAAGAAGAAACCAAGGAAAGACGGGCAGAGACAGGGAGCATCTGACGGTCATTGGGGCTACCAGCGGAGACACTGGATCAGCGGCCATCTATGGCTTGAGGGGCAAGAAGGATGTCTCAGTCTTCATCATGCATCCCCAGGGCAAGGTCAGTCCTATACAAGAAGCGCAGATGACTACAGTGATGGATGCCAATGTCCACAATCTCGCTGTAGATGGCACATTTGATGATTGCCAGGTACGTAAAGTGTCTTCACTCTCTATTCACCACACACGCTGATACACTCCTCAGGACTTCGTGAAAGCTCTTTTCGCAGATCCAATTATAAATAAGACCCACCGGCTCGCCGCCGTGAACTCGATAAACTGGGCCCGTATCCTGGCGCAAATAACGTACTACTTCCACTCATACTTCGCTCTCATCCGCTCGCCATCCTTTGTGTCAGGCGCAACTATCCGCTTCGTCGTTCCTACCGGCAATTTTGGAGATATCCTTGCCGGTTATTTTGCGAAGCAGATGGGGCTCCCAGCTGAGAAGCTTGTCATTGCGACCAACGCCAATGACATCCTCCACCGCTTCTGGCAAACGGGGAAGTATGAGAAAAAGCCGGCCCACGGCGTCGCGGCATCGGGCGGCGCGCCGGAGGACGGAGCACAGGCACATGAAGACGGGGTCAAGGAGACACTGAGCCCGGCAATGGACATCCTCGTCTCGTCCAACTTCGAGCGGCTGCTGTGGTACCTCGCCTACAACGTATACATGTCCCCGTCCTCGCCTGTCTCCACACGGCGTTCGACAGCGGGAGAACATGTCCGCAATTGGCTGGCCGAGTTGAAAACCGAGGGCGGGTTCAGCGTGGACGAGAAGATTCTCGCGGCGGCCTCTTCTGACTTCGAATCCGAACGGGTGTCGGATGAGGAGACCCTGGCAACCATTACATCCATCTACAGCGCTGTGTCGCCGGCAACCTCGCAAACATCCGCCTCGGGCACCACAGGCAAGGGATACATACTGGACCCCCACTCTGCTATTGGCATCACGGCCTCTCTCCGCTCCGTCCAACGCAACGCGCCGCCCACAACCCATCACATCTCTCTCGCAACGGCGCACCCGGCGAAGTTCAGCAAGGCCGTGGAGATGGCGCTGCAGGGGCAGCCAGGCTTCAGCTTTGGTACGGTGCTCCCGGTCGAGTTCCATGGACTAGAAGACAAGGCGCGGCGCGTCACGGTCGCGCGCAAGTCTGAAGGATGGGAGGGCGTCAGGCGCATCGTCGTCGCGGAGGTCGAAGCGGAAAGGGCTGCAGCAGACAAGCTGGCGGCATCGTAGGGTCTCTTGCTCGGTTCCAATTTCTATTTTCGTCCGTCCACTTGGATGGGATCTGGCGTTGACAGAGGATGGGGGCGGTCAAAGCGCTTCACGGCAAGGGACAGGCACCATCGAAGGCATCTATTGTAGAGTAGACACGGGCTCGAGCATGCGTCACAATGCTGCCCAGACGTCCCCGCCATGCTCCAGCGCCGTCGCGACTCCTTGCAGCCCACGCACGTGTTTCTGCCAGAACAGAGTGTTCCAGCCTCAGGCCCGCCTGGTAGCGTTGTTGCCCGTCACTGACCGCGCCGCTTCGAACGCTCCGATGACGGTTGTCTCCTCTTGCCCACAGTGCTGTCGCCGATAGCCGTGCCTGCCACAATCAGGGCACAGCTCTCCACGCTCCGCCAGTTTTCGTCCATCGCCGGCGCAGGGAGCTGGGCGTGCAGGCCTTACGGAAGCGGCAGGCCGTGCAACGACAGACGGGCACGCTGGGCTGCAGCCGCAGGTCGGCGCGTGAAGCTCCGACCGCCCAGAAGCACTGGCTGCCCGCTCAGGGCGGCGTATTCAACGATGCCTAGCTGACCTGCGTTGACGGCCTTCTCTCGCTCTGACGACTGCTCATCCTCTGCTTCTGTGTTCTGACATCCCTCCATCTGGTGCCACCTGCACCCAAAGCTGCCGCCTTGTCTTTGTCTCGTGTTCCCGCTGAGGCCCTTGAGCTGCGCCGCCCACCGCCCGCGATCCTCACATCACGTCGTTTGGCGCTTGTGAAGCGGTTCAACCACCACCCCAACCATGCCTCACGACGGCTCCGACTCGCCCAGCGACGACTATTTCAACGACCTGTCGCAGCAGCCCCTCGGCGACCAGAATGGCAGCGCCCCGCCGCCGAGCGGCCGGACAAACAGCACCGATGAGCAGAGGGATGGCGATGCTGCGAGCAAAATCAAGCGCATAGCCTGCGTGCTGTGTCGGAAGAGAAAGTTGAAGTGCGATGGCGCGAGACCGACGTGCGGGACGTGCAAAAGACTTACGCACGAATGCGCATACGATGAGGTGCGCAAAAAAAGCGGCCCAAAGCGAGGATATGTGAAGATGCTGGAGGCTCGTTTGCGTATGTCCCCAGGCCCTGAGCCGTGCAGCAGCATGTGTAGAATCTGACAGTTGCGCCTTGCAGAGCAAGTCGAGACAATGCTGAAGAGCCAGGACGCTACCGATCCCAAAGATGCGCCTCGCACCACCTCGTTCAGCGCCAATCCAATCGGACCCCAGATGTCAGAGGGTTTCCTACCCATGGGTAATCCAGATCGCATCCATGGGCCGTTTCCAGACTCCATGTCGCCCTCTGACCAATTCCCCACGCTCAATACAAACCCTTCGACAAACGCGAACTCTGGAGAGGAAGAATTCCCTTGGGAGATGATTGGCTTGGGTCTTGATGAGCCTTTGCCGCCTCAGGATGTCATTACCGAACTGTGAGTTCCATATGCGCTATTGAAGCACAAACATCACGATTCAGATCTAACTCCACGTCAGACACCAGATATACTTCACCAAAATCCATCCTTCATTACCGATTATCCACAGACCACGATATTTCGCTGCTATGAATCTCGCACACCATATGAGGCCTCCAGTCTGTTTGCGATACATTATGTGGTGTCTCGCTTCTTCCGTCTCCGACAAATACGAGGCGCTGCAAGAGCATTTCTACCATCGCGCCAGGAAATACGCCCAAATGGATGAGATGAAAGGACACGGAGAATCGATTATTACTCTCGCACATACTCAAACCTGGATTCTGTGCGCAACCTATGAGTTCAAGCAAATGTTCTTCCCTCGGGCCTGGCTCAGCTCTGGACGAGCTTCCCGACTTGCGCAGATGGAGCAATTGCACCGGCTGGACGGTGCTGGTCTCGACGTGAAGCAATGTCTGCCCCCACCAAGAGACTGGACGGAGCGGGAGGAAAGACGGAGAACATTTTGGATGGCGTTTGCTATAGATCGCTATGCTAGTATTGGAACTGGCTGGCCAATGTCGATTGACGAAAATGATGTAAGTGCACTTTTCCAAGTTTAGCAGACTCCATTTGGCTAACTTTCATCTGCTAGATAATGACTAATTTGCCCGCCTCTGAGGAGGCTTTCGAAAGGAGCAAGCCAATGTCGACCAGCTCGCTTGAACAAGCAATGCATTCCAACGGAACAGGCTTCATTTCGCCGTTTGGCGGAATAGCACTTACTGCCGCGCTGTTTGGTCGCAATCTGCTCCACTTGCATCGGCCGACGCCAGAGGATAGAGACGAGGATATCAATGGTGTGTTCTGGAAACGGCACCGCGAACTCGAGAACATTTTGCTGGGCACCTCTTTGGGCCTGCCAGATCATCTTAGGCTACCGGGTGGCCTCCCTGATCCCAACGTGGTTTTCTTGAACATGAGTATCCATACTTCCGCGATATGTCTCCATCAGGCAGCTATTTTCAAATCCGAGAAACATCGCTTGGCTGCGCAGATCAGCAATGAGAGCAAGATTAGGTGTGTCTCTGCTGCAGCAGAGATTGCAACAATCATGCGGACGATCAGTCATCTCGACCTGGGCATGGTGAGTAGTTGCGCCTTTATATCTGATACATGGGCTAACGTTGAGTACATAGATGAACCCATTCATATCATTCTGTGTTTACGTCGCTGCTCGAGTGTTCGTACAATACCTAAAGACTCGGCCCAACGATAGCCAGATGACTGCCTCGTTGCAATTTCTCCTGCAAGCAATGCAAGCGCTCAGGCGCAAGAATCCTTTGACGGAATCGTTCCTTGTCCAGCTGGATCTGGACCTTGAGAGTGCTGGGGTGTCTGGACTTCAGGCTAAGCCATACTTCAATCCTCCCCCGAAGGGTCCCGTAAGTAGCCAGCCTCGCGACGATTTCACTTCAGAGTCGGAACACGTTGGGTAAGCCCACCTCATTCATTACACATGGCTGACTTCTATTTCCCTGGCAGGAGTCAATACCAGTAAACACTGATTCTTTGGAATGCAGTCCACTCTACACGATTCGGGAATCACAAAATCCAAATGCTCCAATGAACACCTTTGGAAACAACGGCATTAGAGCACACGGCTCACCTCAGGTACCGGGCTTGTCTCCCAGTGTGGCAGCCCATGGGTCCACTTTCAACCCCACACACGTTTCACAGCACCCCTCACATGTTTCACAGCCCAATATGAACATGGACGTACAGCCAACGTCGTACTCGTACATCCCATCCCAATCAGAGGCCCACATAGAGCTTCCACAGCGAAGCAAGGCGCCCGCTTTGCCTCCAAACAGCATCCTCCTACCACCAAGCACCCGGTCAACCTTCGATCAAACCCAAACCGACTCGGAAATGGACACCTCCCCCGACGCAAGCGTCGACCAACCCACACCGTCAACGTCGCACTCGCAATCCCACCGCGGCTCCTCATCCAACACTTCGGGCTTCACTCCGCCCCAGCACCAAGACGACCCCCAGAACCCCCAGTCCTTCTCCCGCCTGCAACAGCGCACCGGCCCCTCGCCTAACAGCACCAACTCCCTCACCAATTTCCCGGACATGTCAACCACCTATCCTGCCCGCACAGCGCCCTCCCAGAACCCCGCCGCCTTCTTCCCCGCCGGCACCACCGGCGTACAATTCGACCCGGCGCTTGGCGGCATCGGCTCGAACTTCTTCCCCGAGACCCCAGACCCGGGCCAGGAGGCTGCGGGCAGCGGCGGCTTTATCATGAACAACGACTGGGACATTCCCACGGGCGGAGCGGGCATGACGCCCATGTCAGACGGCGGGTTCAACAACTTCCTCGAGAGCATCCAGATGGGGTGGGAGAGCGTGGGGCCGCCGCATCCGGAGGGGTGGGAGCATAGGAAGTCGTAGACTGCTGCGAGCAGAGGAGTGTGCGAGAAAAAGTAGTAGATATACCCGATGTTTGTCTTGCGAGTTGGATAGCTGGGACGTCTATTCGCTATCGCTTTTGCATGTTTGTGCGTTTCGGATACGCAACGCAATTTGCAGTTTCCATGGCTTTTGGTTTTACGATATTTTGCAGGCCTTGAAATATTTTCTTAGGCGCAATCATCTTTCGCTTTTCGCTTACCGTTCGTGGCTTTTTCTACGCGCTTATCTTCTTAGCAAACACCCTACATTACGAGATATCGTTTACTGTAATGTGGTCATCTATAGCTTTTCACGAGGTACGACCCTTTCCTTTATATTCAGAGCGGAGGGATTATGGATGAATGAATGCTTGACTTTTTTCATGTACTTTTACAACCCTTGCTCTCTCTCTCTCTCTCTCCACTTTGGAACTCATTCGGGAATCAGCGAGACGAAATTATGGATGGGCTTAGAAGGGCTGAGGGCTTCGACGGACTGGACGTCACGGGGCATGACAGAGAGGACTTGGATGACTCTGCTGTGCAGCAGGGTATGGAACGGTTGATTGCGCGCGGGTTAGGTTAGTTCAATAATCCTGTCTTCCTGGATATATACTTGGGCACGATGTGGCGTTTCGGGTCTGAACGTTCCTAATAGAGAGAAAATTAACTCCATTTAATCGCGTTCATGCCTAAGTTTGTTGCGAGTAACAGTCAGTGAGCAACATCCGGAAAGTCAATAGAAGGATGCTAGAACATGCTAGGTTCGATTGATTATGCTTGCTTTGCGCCTATTGCTATGCCCACGCTGCCGAGGTATGCTGATGCTGAAGGAACGGGAGAAGGAAAAGGAAAGGAAAGGAAAGGAAAGGAAAGCACGATCGTTCGCTCGTCAGAGTTCTAACTCCTATGCACCGCGCACCTACCAAGACAAAAGAGAAGTTGCAGGAGCCGGAATGCTCAGAAACTACCCTCCTTTCTTACGCCTTCAATCTCCGCTCCTCGCATCTCACACAGACCGGGTCTTGGCTATTGCCGCGGAGGAAGTATCGGCCGTCGTCGAACTGGCCGCCGCATTCCTGTTGTTCCAGTTCATTAGACTTTGAGTTTCTTTTGCGTAAAATAAGGTGTGGAAGGGGACGTAGACATACCATGCAGCAAAAGCACTGCGCGTGCCACTCCGCCCCGAGCGCCTTCAAGACCATGTCCGTCACCGGCTTGCGGCACTTCTTGCACTTGGTCGAGTAGCGGTTCGTGTGGCAGCCGACACACCAGGCGTAGCCGTCCTTTTCCACGAAGGGCGTGGTAGAGTCGAAGGGCTGTAGATATCATATTAGCCTTGCAATCAAAGACGAGGAATAGCTTTTTAGCAAACTCACATCACCACACTGCGCGCAGAAGAAATGCCCAGCGTGCCACTCCGCCCCACACGCCACAATCACCTCGCCCTCAATCGGCGTCTTGCAGCTCTTGCAGCGCGGACTGAAGAACTCGTGGTAGTCGAGGTGGCAGTAGAAGCGCATGCTCTCGTCGCCGTCGTCAGCCTCGGAGATGCCCTCGCCAATCTCGATGTCCTCCCCGGCCTGGCGGCGGCGGATGCGGTCGATGCGGATTGCGCGCGCGTTCTCGGGCTCGGGGTAGAAGGCGACGCACTCGAGGCCCTCGCCGCAGTAGTGGCAGACGAAGCATTCTGGGTGGAAGCGGGAGCCCGCGGCGCTGACGATGCGGCCGGCGATGGGGAGGGCGCATTGGGAGCATAGGGCACCTGTTCGGGGAGGGGCGGCGGGAGACCAGTGGGAACGGGTCGGTGGCGGAGCGGTGCCCACTGAGTGCGGCACAGGGCGGCCTGGGTTGGCTCTTGGAGTTGGGAGAGGTCGTGTAGATCGCTGCTGGGAAGAGGTGCCATCTACGTTTGGAATGGAAGCAGAGTTGACGGAAATGGAGGGGGCATTGATTCTGGGTACCGAGGCATTGTTGACCGTGATTGAAGGAGGCTGCTGGACATTGATAGTCGGAGGTGGCGGTGCGGTTTTCACATTTATGGTAGGGATGGGAGGCGTCGGAGAGATGCTGATACTAGGGATTGGCGGCGATGTCTTTTGATTGCGTGCCCCGTTTTCATCTGGGAAGTTGATGGTAGGAATCACCGGAAGAGTCGCAGCCTTGGCGAAAGGGCGACCTGCGGGATCTGGTCGAGGGGGTAGACCATCGGTAATAGGAGGAAGAGTCGACTGCTCTTGCTTCAGCTCGATCTCCTTTGGCTTCACGTCATCTTTCTTGAAAGAGACGATCGGTCGACCTGGACTATCGCTGACGAGTGTAGGTGTTGGAAGCTTCGGGCTCCTATCCTTAAGCTTCATGCTAGTCGCTGCCCGGATATCATCACTCCTGATCTCCTTCCCGTCCTTCATCTTTATCTCTTCTACAACATCTCTGGTGTTGGCCTTCTCCACGGGTTTCAGGGGCTCGGTGGGCAAAGAGTTGGATGTATACGCAGCATTGCGCGATTGAGTGGGTGGATTTTTCTGGATTTCGAACCGGTCGAACCTCGTCATGGTAACTGTGGGATCAGTGTTGGACCTGATAAGGCCCTCCTTGGCAAACTGGACCCTCGTGAACGGATTTCGACGAACTTGAAGCGGCAGAGTTGTTGGAGCCTTGTTTAGGATAGGCTCGGGTGCAGGCGGCTGCTCCTCCTCAGGCTCCTCGTAGATCTGATCGTCAGGGTTTCTGAAGAGACTGCCACTGGTGTTACGCTTCGCACCACTGGATCGTCGACGATGTTTTGGGTCGCTTATTGAGAAGGGCGGGTTACTCGATAGTTTCGATTCAATCTCGGTATCCTTCAGTGACTGTCTACCCCTGACATCCGTTACGGTATTATCGATTGAATCTTCCGATGATCCCTCTTTCAGTGTACCCATGGCAGGGTCGCTGGGGACCCTCTTACTGTTGCGGCTACTGCTACGACTGCCTGCTGATGTGGTCGAGCCGGTCGAGTTTCGATTTCTGGTCTTGGAGTTGCTTCGCTGTAGATCTCGCGATGTCCTGCCCAAGCTTCGGCTCCTCTTATGGCTTGAAGTCCGTGTAAGACCGGGGTACTGGTATGGTGCGTTGGGATCGACAGAAGGCGCGTCCAGGTTCTGATGCTTCCACACCAGCTCAGCAGCTTCATCACGAGCAGCGCTGTATAGACCTTGCTCCCCCTCCAAGTCAATGACCTCGAGAGCCAGTCTCAAAGCCCGTGCCTCCTCCTTCTCGACCTGTCGGTGCCCATTCTCCTTGTACGCTATGCTCGCCGTCCGACTGCTATCAGTTGTAGTAGTCGAGATGTCTCGAAGCCGAGGCTCCGGTATCAAAGGGCGGCCAGCCAAAGACTCCCTCAGACTCATTCCTGAATTTGTTCGATTGTGGGATTGGGCACTAGAACAGCGCGGGGGTACTGAAGCGGTCTCGGGTATAGAATTGTTGGCCGTAGGAGGAGAGGAGGGAGAAACAGCGGGGCTTTCTACTGCTTGGGAGGTAGTCCTGCTTGACCACGATGCGAATTGTTGAGGAGGCGGTCTGGAGCCATTCGGTCTTGGAATGCGGTTGTTACGAAGGTCGTGTAGGTAGTTTGCTTTCCAAGAATCGTCAGCACGAACTGCCACGCGAGGAGAAGTGGAACGTGACATCTCTGGAGGTGGTTGCTCACCCATTTGCTTCGAAGACATAAAGGCTGGGCCTGGCGCCGTCGCACGGTCTTTACTTTTTGATCTGTGCATCGCGGAATGCTGTTTACTGGTTGTGGTAGTGAATGGTAAACGTTGTTTATTTACTCGACTAATGCAAATGAGAGACTACGAAGGATTATGCAGAGAGTGAATAGGAAGAATGTCATGGGATCGCGTTCAACACATGTCGCTGTTGCAGGCAATAGCTGTGTGTAGGTCAAGACGGAGCGTGTTTCGATTGGCAGCGTTGGCCCGGCGACTGTGAATGGCCGAGCAAGCTTCCGAACAACCCTGCGAAAATCCCAGATTGGGACTGTATCCCAGCTTCGATGTGGAGCTCGTCTCGATGAAGTTCTTGATGCTCCTTCGTGATTGCTACTCGTACAGACCATGATGTCGCGCTCTCGCCCATTTTGGGGGAAATTTGTGGGCTCGGTCAACGTGTCGAGCCACCTCTCAGCCTACTGCATAAGACGGTGAAGAGCGTGGCATGACCGCCTCCAATTGTATGTGTCTGACTCACGGCTATACTGGATCCAGGTAGGCCTGTCCTGTGAGCGTGTTGCTGTCTCTCGGAGAGCGCTGCCCCTTCAAGGGCGCTCAATAGTGGGAGGTCTGACCCAATGAGAGCGATCTCCGCGACTCACTTATTAGTCTGGTAAATATAACGCCTCGTCTTAAGAAATCCATACACTCTTTCAGTATTTTCAGCACTCTGAACAAGAGAGAAGCTCGGCATTTTATACAACCAGTAAACTCGCGAGGCTACCCCAGACAGCTTCGACAGGGTGTACACAGATTGATAGTATGCACTGCCCCAGGTTTCTATCAGTACGTTGGAGCCCTGCAAGCAGTGGCAGGAGAGTGTACAGAAATCTATAGATTCCCGTTCACTTCGGATTTGTAATCTAGTCGTAGAGGATACGATGTTGTCACTGAAGACATCTCCCATAAAGTTCGCGCGCTAAGCCTTATCACAACGGTATCACATCACGTGACTAAGCACACACTTCATCGTGCAATCAGATTGGAGGAGCAAAGTGGTGATCGGCAGCGCGGATTTTGTGCCTCTTCTAAACTTCTATCTAATCTTTATATGACTTTGCTGCAGCAGCCCTATCGGGGGATCGCATTGGAAAAATCGAATGCAAGATGAAGAGAGTTTGGCTGCCACACATTTTACATCGCGTCTCTACTATAGAAAACTGGTTGAGGGATTACAAATGGTTGCAGAATAATTTACACAGTAGGTGATGAAGTTCTGCATTTGTCTCATATCGAGAACAAGGCAACATCTCAAGTGATGTATAGTAAGAATCGGTGGTCGTCGGAAACATGGATATGAAGGTCAGATTGCAGCACTGAATACCCGAAGCAAGTCGTAGAGCGTATGTACATAAGTGTCCAGGTCATGCTACAAGCTCTGACTGTTTCGCCGCCACCAGGCTACGATGGCTACTTACAAGCCATCTAAAATCGTTACAGCACACTCACACACCTTAGTCTTGTCGAGCCTCCCGACATCTTCATACGGTACCAATATGAACACGTTGGTATTCACGACATACGACATCATTCCCTTTAACCACCAGAACCATACTCACCCGCCCGATTACTAGCAATGGGCCGACTTCGCCTGCACTGCTGGGATTCCGCCTCGAGGTCCAAATAGACAACCCATCAACCCATTCATCCTTAATTTGGCTGTACATGTGGGCCTGGATGAATCGCCGTATCTAGAAGAGGAAAAGAAGGAGCCTTACCAGGCTTACTAGGCCACTGAACTAGTCTTATCGTGCCCAGGCTTGCCCAGGGCATGTTATTTTGGAAGGACGGAATCCAGTGGAGAGGTAATGTGTAGCTTGCGATAAGGACTAGTAGGTATCAAAATAGAGATCTTGACAGTGCTTTTACTCATGCGATCTAGCTAACCAATCTGGGGATAGTGGAATGCTCCATGAAGCTGGACGAAAATTGACACGGTGCGAATATGAGCCGGCACTAACAGGCTTAAAATACATTTAAGGGCTGAAGTCTCGGGTCGCCGCCGTGCCGTCGGATCAGCAGCTCGTATGTTATGTATGTCTCGCAGAACTCGCAACACGACGGGCCCATAACGTTTCGGGAAAATAATCGTGCAGCATTCTTGCTAAATACCAAGCTAGCATCATTCCGGAAAGAGTTCCTACTCCCTAGTTATAAGCGGCAAGAATGCCAACTATTGTGTGGCAAGATATTGCACAGTGCCCATGCAGACAGCCGTCTTTGCTCCCCTGGCAGCGAGAGATATGTGCTGCGACGGAGAGGAGGTCTTACATAACAAGCACAACGGAGGCCTCGGAGAGCAGCCAGCCCCCTGCGGAGCTCCAAATGAAGGACGCGGGAGCCCGCAATCTCGCCAACGGACCGGCCGCGTCAACGCGAGCCCGGCAGCTGCAGTTGGGCGATTGTCAGGGTAATTCGAGTGACAAATTGCGGGGAAGCATGGGCTTCTGCGCGGCGCGACGGGCAAGCTCCCAGGGCACAGCGGCGTGGGTGACGGTGGTGCAGGTGGGTGCGATGTTGAAGTGGCTAGCTGCAATCTGGGCTGCCTCTTCTGGGCGTGCGTCTGCGTCGAACGACATGCAGGTCCGGTGAACAGCCCATCCAGCCCATGTGCCCATCCGGCACCCAGAGAGCTCCAGGCCGCCGGCGCAGAGACGCCGCTGGGGGTGAAAGGTGGCCTCTGTGGTGGCCTCGCGGAGGCCCGCTGCACGCTTGGTGCCGTCTGGGTTGTCGCGGCTGCGCTTCATCTGCCTTCACCAGTGTGGCGACATCGTCTGGGACAATTGTAGGGCGTCAAAGAGCGTCGCACTGGGCCATCCCAAAGCGTGCGAAGGCGTTGTGGAGGGCTGTGCCGATCGATTTTCTGGGGGACGTTGGCCCTTGCCGGCGGCTGCTCCTTGGCATATAGGGCCGTCACCTGCTTCCATCGCTGCAGTGCTCACTCCTCTTCTTCCACCACACTCTTCTTACACCACCACCACCACCACCTCGCCCCCGAAGCCCCGTGTTCAGAGCATCAATCTAGCTCGTCGCACGGCGCTGCCCATCATCAACGCATTATCGAAACACAGCCAACTCTCCAGCCTCAGATCCCTGTGCTTTCACCTCACCACAGTATTATCCCCTTCTTAGAGCTCTTCTACCCTCCCGCCGCCGCTCCCGATAGCTCGGATACTCGAGGCGTTAGCAGCTAAACTTACATTCTCGCCGCTTGGAGGCTTCCTCCAGCAGGCTCGAAACGCCGATACCGCCCCCAGCTGCCCTTGCATCTGCTCTGGACAGCTCGAACCGCTGTCCCTCGCGCTAGATCCGCACCCCGACAATTGCTGCAATTGAGCCTCCTCCACTCACGCTTTGACGGAGCTGACTCCGGTCAAACATCCCTCTGATACCCCTTATACCTTACGTCACTGTACGATGTCAGCTCCTCTACGCTTGCGCACCCGCTAATCATGTCATGTAGAGAGATACTGTGTCGATAACTATTCAACATGGAGAATTGGCAGAGCGCAGCGGTGTCTTGGGCTGGTTTCCTAGCATTTGCCGCCGCCTATCTATACTATACTTCCCGAAAGCAGCAGCCCGCAGGGGGCAAGGACCGTGGCCGAGCTACCCAACGTGCCATCCACGTACCACGAGATGACAACAAGCAGAAGGGTCCGGGGGAAGGCACTCCAAGAGCGACCAAGAAAGCTACCAAATCCAAGCCTGCCCGAAAGGCGAAGAAAGCGGCGAAGGAGACTGAAGAAAAGGTCGCGGCTAACATGTCCGCGAACTCTTCTACTACAGGCGGCGAAGGGGATGACGATCTATCTCCGGCTGTTTCTCCGAAGCCCAACGCCACAGCTACCAAAGCTAGTGGAAGGGATGTGTCGGACATGTTGGAGCCAAAGGCCACTTCTGCATCTGTCCTCCGATTGACAGAACCTACCCAACCTGTTCGTGAGAGGCAGGCTCATCAGCCGCGGATTGCGACTCTAGAATCCAAGAAACAACGACAGAACAAGAAGAAGGTAGAGGAGAAGAAGCTCCAACGCGAGCAGGAGGAGAAGGAACGCAAGGCTCTTGAGGAGAAGCAGCGTCGGACCGCTCGGGAGGCTCGCGGTGAACCGGCGAAGAATGGTCTTCAACAAGCGAAGACACCAACCTCGAACGCCTGGAACCTGCGCAACGGCGCGTCTAACACGGCTGTGCGCAGCGTGATCCCCGAGTCCCAGCCACTACTCGACACCTTCGACCCGGTCGAGCAGGATAGACGGTCGACAACGAGCTCCAGCGAGGGAGCCCCGGCCGGATCTTCTGCCACTACCGACGACGTCGCCAACAACGACCGTTGGATGAGTGAAGAAGAGCAAATGCGTTTGGCTATGGCTGACTCCCAATGGACCACGGTGCCCAAGGGCCGTAAGGCGAAGAAGCCAAAGGGTGCGAGCGCTGAAGGGAGTGAAAACGGCATCGTTCCAGTCGAGCTACCGGCTTCCAAGCCTGCCCCTGCGCCTCCCGCGAACAAGACTCAAGCCCAATATACGACGTCGGCTCAACCGGGTGCCGTCTACCATCCTCTGGACTCGGACTGGGCTGTGTAAACAGCAACCTGAAGTGCAAGGGTCCAGAGCACCTCACCAAACACTCATTGGAGTGGGCCATCCCGTTGAAGCTTGAATTCCTCCACCTTACGCGGCTCGCCTTTCTTGGTTCAGAGTAATACTCCAACCTTAAGGGTATCAGAATCTGCACAGACTTCTTTTCGGTCGACGGTTTCTTTCTGTCTTGCAGTGGATGAGGCAGCCATGGCTATAATATGTAACATCAGGGAATTTCGCGGCTTTAGCGGGGGCAATCATCTTCGGCGCCAACAACAGCTGCACACCAAAAGGGCATCATTCGCATTGCATGGACTGCGTGGGGTCTTCTGGAAATTGGTCTGGCTTTTCTTCTTTCAATTTTCTCGGTTGGGGAGTGGTTTGCTTATTCTGATTTTGCGCTCCGACTATTACCCATTCCCTGGCTTCTCTTTTCTGGAATGGGTTGGCACTTCCGGTCATGAAGTCCATTGAACTGGCTATTGTAGTATATTCAAATATAAAACCTTCGTGGTACCCATGTGGAAATAAATCAGGTGATCTGTCCGGGATCGAGGCTCATAGCGGTCTTTCCTGTCCCTTACAAAGGTAGCATGTCTTCCGAGGGTCAGGGAATACGCCACTTGATGGTGCAATACAACAATACGGTGGTGCTGAGAATTGGGTGTATGCGAGGTCATGGAATGCCGCCACGTTGTGTGGCGGTGAATCTTGGCGAGGCACCAAAAATACCAGACGTACGTGAGATTCAGGTCATCAAAGAATCGCCCTCGAGCGCATCGCCGCGAACAAAAGCGCGGCGGAATAAGCTAGCTGGTTTCGTAGACGCCCGGCCGTTGGACGCCCCAGACTGTACGGGCACTTTAGTTGCCGTCAGAGCACACCTGTAACGTTCGTGCATTCTGTATAAGAGGCCACCTTGCCCTAGCCCTTGACAACCACCACAGTGCCCCACGCCAACACCAACGACTCTTCGCCCCTCGCCCACCTTTCTCCCCTCTTCGCCGCCTCCAGTCTCTTGCACAGCAAACATGGCGCAGATACGAGGCACGGCCGGCTACCACCTCGGCAACCAGAGTCCCTTTGGCAACCCGGGCAGGAGCTCTGCCACAGACGACCCGAGTCCGCTGGACCAGCTCCGAGAGCAGACGAACAAGGTCGAGGAGTGGTTAGACACCGTGTCAGACCCCATCAAGCCGTGAGTGTTCCGCAGCTTCAGCCATTTCGAGGGTGTGAGAAAAGTGTGGTTCGATTGGACGCAGTGCTGACCATGCACCGCGCACAATAGCTATCTACCAGCAATTGGACGATTCCTAATCGTCGTGACATTCTTAGAAGATGCGCTGCGCATTCTCACCCAGTGGAACGACCAGCTCACATACCTACATACCTACCGGGGGAGTGAGTTCGCCCGCCTGCTTTCAGCAACTTCAATAAGGAAAATCCGCTGACACCGTCTCGCTTCACAGTCTATAATGGCCTGACACACCTCTTCCTCATCGTAAACATCGTCGCCATGGTCGCGTGCTCCTTCATGATTATCGTTCGAAAACACTCGGATTATGGCGTCGCAGGGTTGATGGGCGTGGTTGTGTTGCAAGGAGTTGGATACGGACTAGTTTTTGACCTCAATTTCTTCCTCCGCAATCTGTCTGTCATGGGCGGGCTCCTCATGGTGCTTTCCGATTCGTGGGTGCGCAAGAGGTTTGCGCCAGCCGGACTACCACAGATTGATGAGAAGGACCGCAAGATGTATTTCCAACTGGCAGGAAGGATCCTGTTGATCTTCCTATTCATTGGCTTTGTCTTCCGCGGCGACTGGAGCTTCTGGAGAGTCCTAGTCAGCATTATAGGCTTCGGAGCCTGCGTCATGGTCGTTGTGGGCTTCAAATCAAAATGGAGCGCCATTATGCTGGTTATCATTCTCAGCATCTTCAATGTGCTGGTCAACAACTTCTGGACGGTATGTTTGAGTCTTGCAACTCCAGACCGCTCAATTCTGACTAGCTATGCAGCTCCATCCTCACCATCCCCACAAGGACTTCGCCAAATACGATTTCTTCCAGATCCTATCCATTGTGTAGGTCTCATATTTCGAGAACTACCCGGATTCTAGCTAACACGTCTCAGTGGTGGTCTCCTTCTCCTAGTCAACATGGGGCCCGGACAATTCAGTGTAGACGAGAAGAAGAAGGTCTATTAAACAAGTTCGATTTGAGCAGCGGGGGTTCATCAATTAGTGACAAGCAGAGCTCAGTCAGCAGAGTCACAATTTCATTTATTATTGTGAGAACGATAAACGGAGGCGAGGTATGACACCCAAAAACATGGCGTGGAGTCCGGATGGCTGCGTCGTAGATCATCGAGAAGGCGTTTATTATATCGCGAATTGGATTTCCTCTTGGTCCGCAGTGGTGCCTGTGGACTTGATAGCATATTTGCTGATGTTTTTCTCTATACAAGTTAAGTATGCAGACCAAAGAATCAAGGAGACATGTATTATGTTGAGATCACTCCTGTGATATGTCTGCCATTTCGACCTATCTCAGAATGATACGTAGATTAAGCCCGTGCTTGAGAAGTATCGGCGGATTCCGGCGACGTTTCAGTCGAAACCCTCACACACCATGACAAATTCAGAACCGCGGCCTCATTTGACCACTAATAGGTACTTTCGGACAGGTTTCCACCAATTTTCGTGAGCAGCTTCTTTATTGGGCGAAACTAAGTCCACGAAGTTATGTCATCAACCTTGAGCCAAGCCTCATGTTGTTGAGCTAATCTGTGCAGATCTTCCTTTATAAAACTCCGACCGTCGTCTTCACACCTTAGTATTTGTTAGACTTTCGACAGCGTATACGAGCATCTGAAGTCCTCTCTATTATCAACATGGCGCCACGAAACCGAATCATCATCGACACGGACCCGGTAAGCTGCTGACGCGAGCTCTCAATATCTTCACGTGTATCTAGCGACACAAGCTGATCCATCATTCTAGGGTGTCGATGATATTTTGGCTATCCTTCTTGCCTTTGCGGCCAAGCCAGAGGAATTAGAAGTTCTGCTGTTGTCTCTGACCTTTGGAAACGTTGAGGTCCAAAGGTTGGACTCCACTTTCTTTCTTCTTCATCTTCCATAATCCCAAGATTGTCTATGCTGAGTCTTTTTTATTTCACAGCTGTCTCAGAAATGTTGTCACTTTGTTCCATTATATCGAGAAAGAGCAGACATGGCGGAGGGAAAACGGCAAGCCAGAGGGGTTTGAGGCGTTGAAGGCTTGCAAGCCTATCGGTGAGCTTGAAACCACTTTTCGTTGATGAAATCTGCGGTGCTGATAGAGTTCGCAGTGGCTGTTGGAGCAGAGGAGCCGCTTGCAGATCAGATTATGCTGGCAGATTATTTCCGTGCGTATTCCCAGAAAACTCACCGTCTGCTAACCTCGATATTAACTCTTCTAGACGGCATCGATGGACTCGGAGGCATCCACCACAGCGTACGTTCCCATACCATCGCAATCTCAAATCGCTAACAAACTATAGCATCCTCACCTCACGCCAGCGGATACTTGGAAGTCCCTCTTCAAAGCTGCTGCCTCTTCCTCAGACCCTGAAGAAGTTTCCGCAGCGAATGAAGCTCAAGACCCATCCCATGCTCTCTTCACGCCCTCTACCAAACCCGCGGCGGAAGAGATGCTTCGTCTACTTCGCGAAAACGAGCCAGACACCATTACCATTGTAGCCATTGGGCCACTGACTAATCTTGCAATTGCTGCTTTTATTGATCCTGAGACCTTCCTCCGTGCTAAGGAGGTTGTGGTTATGGGTGGTGCGATTGATGTTCCAGGGAATGTGAGTATTCGCCGATCTTGTCCTAGTACCATTTGTACCCGCCTCTTCGAACCTTCAAATCTCTCTAGAAAATCTATGGGGTATGCTCTTATTTATACCCAACTAACCCCTGCCCCAGATGACCCCTGGTGCCGAATTCAACACCTATGCCGACAGCGTCGCCGCCGCCCGCATCTTCGCTCTCACATCTACCCACCCCCGCATGACCATGCCGCCAACACCGCCTGGCAACCAGGACGCTCTCCTGGCGCCCTATCCGACGAAGCTGTCCCGGCAACTGAAGCTGACGTTGTTCCCGCTCGGTAAGTGGGGTGTGCCGTTTCCGCGCCGAATCTCTCCTTCATCTCATGCACCCTCTCTTTTCTTTACTCGTTCCAACCCCAACCCCGTTTTTGCATAACCGCTTCTCGGATCGAGACTGCTCCTTTACTCCCCTACCCTAGTCGCAAATCTTTCGCTTCGAAAAAAGAGCCCAATTCGGCCAAGCCCTCCCTTCACCCACCACCCCTGGTCTCAGATCTTTCGCTTCGAAAATCCGTCCCAATTCAGTCACCCCTCCCCTCTCTCCATCCTCAACCTACCCCTCCTCTTCCACCTGTTTACTCCAACCCAATTCAGTACTTCGCTTCGAACCCCCCCCCCTCTTCCCTCCATCACCAACTTGCTCCCCGCCACCCTAATCCAACCCTCTCCCCTCCTTTACCCACCCAACTAACCCCCCTTCAACAGACATCACAACCCCCCACGCCCTCACCCGCGGCACCTTCACCGCACACACCCTCCCCCTCCTGGCACCCTCCTCCCCCCAAAACACGCCCCCTCTAACCTCCCCCTCCCCCCTCGCCACCTGGACCGCCGCCTTCCTGGCCCCCACCTTCGCCAAAATCGCCTCCCTCGACGCCGCCGCCCGCACCGCGCCCCCGGACGCCGTCGCGCTGCAGCTGCACGACCCGTGCTGCGTGTGGTACGCCATGGCCGCCGCCCCCAGCGTGGAGTTCCCGGCGGTCGTGAAGGATGTCCGGGTCGAGACGGCGGGGCAGTGGACGCGCGGGTTTTGCGTGGTGGATGGGCGGGGGCGGCAGCGGATGGAGGAGGAGGATGATGGGGGGGATGAAGAGGGGGAGGTGGAGGTGGAGAAGGAGGTGGTGGGGGATCATGGGCGCTGGCTGGGCGGCCGGGGGAATGCGGTGAGGGTGTGTGTGGGGAGTCCCGGGTTTGATGTGTTCCAGGGGGTGCTGTTGGGGCGGGTGTTTGGGACGACGACGACGACGACGACGACGGGGGCGGGGGGCGGGGAGTTGTTTGAAGTGAGGAAGTGAGTGAGTGAGGAGGGAGTGGAGATAAATAGGAATTTGAAGGCAGACAGAGGGGTTTGTTAGTTTACTTGGGCGTAAGTAGATATCAGATATCAGATCTCATCACTCAACAATAATAAGACGTTTTCAAGTAAGAGTTTTGCTTTCTTCTGATTTTGCTTCAAAAGGGGGCGGGGGGTGCGCAAGAGAGGTAATATATACAAATATCAGAACCACGTATCCCAGTAGTCCAGTTTCTCAATCTCGACGCCATTCCTTAATCGTAGCACATCCTCTGGTTCAGTCATTACCATTCCCCCGAGATTCCTGTCCACTCAAAGTCGCTATATCTAACCGAACAACGCATCGCCAAGACGGATGCTCACTGTCTTGATCTGCGTGTAGTTATCTAGCGCGGCCTCGCCCAGCTCGCGGCCGATACCGCTCTCCTTGTAGCCGCCGAACGGCAGCTGGTGGTGCAGCATGTTGTAGGCGTTGACCCACACGGTGCCCGCGCGGAGCGCGTTGGAGACCTCGAGCGCGGTGTTGAGGTTGGAGGTGTGCACGGCGGCGGCGAGGCCGTAGTTGGAGGCGTTGGCCGTCTTGATAATCTCCTCCTTGGTCTTGAACTTGGCGATGGAGCAGACGGGACCGAAGATCTCTTCTTGCACAATCTTCATGTTCTCGGTCACGTTGCTGAAGATGGTCGGCTCGATGAAGTAGCCCTTGGTGCCCTTGCGCTTGCCGCCGGTCACGACGGTGGCGCCCTCCTTCTTGCCGCTCTCGATGTAGCTGGGTGATGTTAGTGTATGTTTAGGGGAAGGGACATATGGAAGTAGTTGGGGGATCATGTGACTTACCCCATGATGCGGTCGAACTGTAGCTGGGAAACCTGGGGTCCCTGGAAGGTGTCGGCGTGGAATGGGTCGCCGACCTCGTTGGCGGCCGCTCGCTCCTTGAATCGCACGATGAACTTGTCGTAGATATCTTCTTGTACGTAGACACGGGAACCGGCACAGCAGCACTGGCCGTGGTTGAAGTAGATACCGAAGTTGACCCACGAGATGGCGTTGTCGATATCGGCGTCAGCGAAGACGATGTTGGGGCTCTTGCCACCGAGTTCGAGAGTGACCTTCTTCAAATTGGAGCCAGCGGCGGCCTTCATGATCTGGCGACCGACGACGGTAGAGCCAGTGAAGGCGACCTTGTCGATGTCCATGTGCGAGGAGATGGCGGCACCGGCAACCTTTCCAAAGCCGGAGATGACGTTGATGACACCTGGTGGGAAGCCGGCCTCGACAATGAGGTTGCATGCCACGAGGGCGGAGAGGGGAGTCTGCTCAGCAGTCTTGAGGACGACGGTGTTACCGCAGGCGATGGCGGGGCCAATCTTCCATGCCCACATGAGGATGGGGAAGTTCCATGGGATGATTTGACCACAGACACCAATCTAATAGTTGTCAGCGTTGTTTGAGACTCCATGTAGCTGCTGAGATTGTGTTCAGGGGTGTGCATTGCTGCTGACAGCTATAGCGGTGAAGTGATGCTGGTGATTCTGACGTGAGAGAAATGTGCTTACGGGCTCCTTCTTGGTGTAGTTGAACGCGTCGTGTGTAGTCTCGATGACCTTGCCCTCGATCTTGTCGGCCCAGCCGCCGTAGTACCTCAGGCAGCCAGCAGCCATGCCAACGTCGCCCTTGGCCATGGTGAGAGCCTTGCCATTGTCCAGCGATTCAACGGCGCCGAGAAGGTCGACGTTCTTCTCGAACAGGTCGGCGAGCTTAACCAGCAGCTTGCCACGGTTCTCGGGAGTCTCCCTCCGCCATGGGCCTTCAAAGGCTTTGCGTGCGGCGGTTACGGCAAGATCGACGTCCTTCTCTGTGGCCTCGTGCACCGAGACGATGACCTCTTCGGTGGAGGGGTTGATGACCTCGAAGGTCTTGCCGTCGACGCCCTTGACCCACTCGTTGTTGATGAAGCTGAGAGGGGTCAGCAATTGCATACACATTGCAGCTTTGCCAGACAGGGCTCGCCATCCATGGGGCGGCGATGCTCGGTCCGTCGGCAATTGGGGGATTGGAGTCAAAGAGGTACTCACAGGCCAGTGGGCTGCTCATAGTCGCCGCTGTGAGGCGTGTGGAGCTTGGCTGTAAGTCCCATGATTGCGGTGGTGTAGTGTATGGGGGTATCGAATTGGATCTGGTGGGGGTGACGGGTGGTGGTGGGAGTGGGGAAGAAGAGGTTCTTTGCACAGCAACATGGGGCGCCGGAGGGCTTTTATATGGACAGCACTCGACGGGCCCAGGGCCTCGTCGCCGCTCCACCTTCCCTGATCACCAAGCAGCAGCTCGCGAGGGTGCTCACTGGCCTCGGTCTCGCGGGAGATGCCCGCACGCACGCAGTCGCAGCTGTTTTGGCGGCGACAGTGAGGGGCATTGCCCCGCACCTCTTCGCAGCTCCAGCCAATGCGCTCCACGCCCTCCCCCACTGCACAAAAATTATGACCTACCGGGCGGCCTCTGGCCTACGTCAGGGCTGCCTGACAAGCATCCAATGCCTACAGTGCTGGGCGAAATACTAATCTGTCCGCGGAATGCCCCATATTCCCTTTAAACTGCCGCGCTGCTGTTCCGTATGCAGCGTTGGAGGCTGCAGACTGTGTCTTCTGCCTGCGCCCTGATACTCAAGCCCTCCCGCCCTTGGTCCCCAGATCCACAGTTCGGTCGTCGGGTTCCTTTCGAGCGAGATCCACAGCAAACCCCCCAGCTCAGGTCGAGGGGGCTGAGACAAAGTCAAACGCCCTGGCATGCATGCACTGCCATGGTACCCTCCTCATCCGGGCCAGACTGGAGGCGTAGTGCGGCTCGAATGGCTCGATATCACGCCGCAATGGCCCTTCTCCGCACAAACGGAGCTGCTGGGTCCCGTCGCTCCCGCACCAACGCCTGCTCTATCACGTCCGCCGGCCTCGCAAGCCCGCTGGATCAATGGACGCGCTCATCCGACGCCAGTGAAGCGACCGCCCTCGTGACCCTGCCCCGCCGTGCACTCCACTGGTGTTTCGTAGCTTCTTTGTTCGCACTGCACGCCAGACTGATAACCGCGCATGTCACTGGAGAACTGTGTTGGGGTGCACGCAATGTATTGGGTGAGCCTTTGCTCATTGTGAAGCCCTAGCCGCTCGATACTCCATCGCTCGCCTACCCTGAAGCAAGGAAATGTCCGTGTGGCAGTCTGTTATACAACCCAACAAGAAGAGTGGTCCAATCAATCTGGAAACAAAACCCCGGATAGAAGAAGGGTACCCGTGGAACGCCGTCCACACCCATTGCCGAAGAACTGTGCCTACTCCGGCAACCATGCTGATACTGTATCAAATTGCCCGAAGACCTGTACCGACCCCGGCAACCATGCTGATAGCGCATCGACCCGATCACTTTCTATATTAGTACCCTGTGCCTCGTGTACTTATTCGTGGGAGCTTACCAAGATATCGTCGTCCATACCAGTGTCTCCACCGGCCGGAACCTGAACAGCACCACCGTTGGTGACCATTGCATCGCCGTTGGGAGCATCGCCGACGAAGTAGTCAGCCATCTCCGCGTCGAGCTCGTCCGCCGTCTTAGGCTTTCCGCGACCAGCATTGCGGCCACGGGCCGTCTTGCCTCGTCCGCGGGTGGTTCCCTTGCCGTCTCTGCCTGCGGTGGCCGGCTTTGGCTGCGACTTGGCGGCGTTCTTCGGTTGACTGTACATATGAGAACATGAAGACTGAGAATGCGTTTAAGCTACTTACGAGACGCGCTCGCTGAAGCTCTTGACCGGCGCCGCCGGAGGGAGATCCTTCGGGTTGACCATGACCTCGATCTTCATCGGGCGGTTATCGACCTTGACACCGTTCAGGCTCTTGGCCGCTTCAGCGGCGGCGGTTGCCTTCGCGAAGGTGATCGCAGCAATGCCACGGCTGACGCCGTTGGGTCCGTAGGTGATGATGACTTTCTTGACGGGTCCAACGGTCTTGATGAAGTACTCCTAACGAAGGGGGGTTGGTTAGTTACGCATTCCGAGAAGTTGTATCGCTCTTTACGGCCGGCGGGGCAAAATCCAAAAGTACGCATTGAACTAGCCGTGTAAACGGAAATACCGGAAACCGGTTAGGGAAACAGCCCAAGGTAGACATCCTCAGAGCAGAAGACCAGCGAGCGAGCAGTGATAGTTAGTGAGTCGAGACACCATCGTCGAAGTCCACCGTCGAAATGCCAACCATCATTTCCAGTGTCGCATATCGCGCTACCAGGAGGGGTTGACAGAGCCTAGGGACACAAAGACTGAGAACAGGTTCGCAGTCGTAGTAGAAACGAAGCTAATCCCGTAGTCTTTCTCGTGATACTTCCCTTTTCGCATGACGACGTTGTCTGTGCGATCTGCCTTAACCATTCGTGTGCCCATCCCTCTGAAGATTCTCTGTTCGACCAACGGTGTACTCATGCCGTAGGTGGTCTGCTTATCAAGTTTGCTGTGCTGCCGGTTCACTGCTACGCTCGCTGAAACAGTTGCATCCACAAGTGGTAACATCCACAAGGTGGTATCTGTCGGATCTCTGCCTCAAGGAGCCAGAGCAATCCATAGGGGTTTCGTGCCAACACTTGTCTTTGCCATGCTCTTCGATGAGCTGCTTGCCAGGCAGTCATGAAATTGAACAGGCTTTACAGCGACGAAGTCTCCATGCTCAACTCGTCGTCCTCTGCATCAAGCTTATGAAAGCGAGCAAGAGTGTCAGAGAAGCCGGTTTTGGCTACCCAGATTGTATATGCACGTACACTGTACGGCTCGAAAGGGAGGTAGGTTCGTAAACATCGCGGGCACCGCCGGTCGTAAAGACAAGGATTGAAGGCTTTGTTGCCTTTCGCGCTCAACATACCTTGATTTGCTGCTCATCAACGTCATTGGGCTGTGAACTGTTAGCAGTGTCCAATTTCTCGGAGATCTCGTGGATACTGACCAGGTTGCTGACATTGATCTTGCTCTCAGTAGCTCCGGAGGGACCAGTCGGGGCGTTATGCTTGCCGGTCTGCTTTGCGGCAGCCCTAGTATTCTTCTTGACGCCGCCGACGGGCGGAGCAGCAGCGGCAGCCTTGCCTCCACGGCGACCACCACGGTTCGGGCGGGTGTCGCGACGAGTCTTGAGAATGTCGTCGAGCGACTGGTTGAGTTTGTCGGCCATTATGACTGATGGTTCGACGTTGATGGAGTGAAAGGTTGGTGAGAGCGGCGGAGACGGTCAGATTGGCAGACGACCGGTCGTTGTAGAAGTGGCAGAACTGATCTGGTGCGCTAGAACCTTGAGAACAGATGAGAGTCAGCGGACAGCTCGAGCTCTGTGATGCTAGAGTGCGAGCAGCGGCAGCGGCGGTGTGGCGACGGCGAGGTCGTGATGGTGGTTTGCGCGAAGGAGGGCGCGTGAAGACGGAGACAATAAGGAAAGGAGGGCAGCGGCGCTAAGCCCAATTATGACTCAGCCATGACGCACGGACTCTCTTGGCGTCCTCGGCGAAAACATCCACCGAGTCCCGACGGCAGGTGTCTATCGAGGCAGCATCACATCTGTTGCGCCAGACGGTGGATATGGCTCGCTGATAGTAATGGCGCTGGCTTCGGCAAGGCTTCTGCTGTTCTATGTATGGTGTAGAAGCTAATAAGTCGCAGTGGAAACAGTTCAAGTTCTTCGATGTCTCCCAAGTCAAGCTCCCAGACGACGAGAGTGCCGCCCTCTCTGAGGTAATTCCTCCTACTGCCGTACTCGGACAGTTGTACTAACAAGACATATAGCAAGGGAATATCACTTCGGTAGCGTCTGGATCGGAAAGCGTCTTCTTTGGAAGCGCAGATGGCACTGTCCGAATCCTATCGCAGTCGTTCAAGGTCGTCCGGTCCTTCAAGGCGCATGATGTCGGAGCCATTACGCATATGAAGCAGGTGCAGGGTACGGCTCTATTGGTCACGATAGCTGAGGACCTTTCGAATGAGCCGGTATTAAAGGTGTGGGCACTCGATAAGCTGGAGAAGAAGTCTGGAACCCCTCGGTGTCAGAGTACCCTCACGATACACAATGGCCGGAAACAGTTTCCAGTGAGCGTGCACTCTCTATCAGTATTGTGACACTATCTGACGGATCAGATTTCCGCCTTCGCGGCATTGGACGATCTCTCGCAGCTTGCTGTAGGCTTTGCCAACGGCGCGGTGACCGTAGTGAGAGGCGACTTGATACACGATCGAGGTGCGAGACAGCGGACCGTCTTTGAGTCTGAAGAGCCGATCACTGGTATCGAGTTTCGGGAAGGGAGTATAACAACCCTATACATCGCGACCACGGGACGGATTGCGACTCTGATCATATCGGGTCGAGGTCAAGGCCAGCCCGCGAGATCGCTGGACGAAACTGGTTGTGGAGTAGGATGTATGACTGTCGACAAAACCACGCGCGATGTCATCGTAGCAAGAGATGATGCCATATACTATTATGGGCCTCAAGGGCGGGGGCCGGTATACGCATTCGAAGGGGAAAAGAAGATGATCACAATATTCAAGGATTATGTCGCCGTAGTCTCACCCCCAAAGTCTAACACAATCACTCGGACCGGACCTTTGCGATCATTCGGAGGAGGTCATACCGATGACCTCTTCAACACCTCTAGCTTCACATTGATCAATACAGATCTTAAATTCAAAGCGCACGAGGAGGCCTTGACCTCGCAAGTCAAAGGTCTAGTGTCTGAATGGGGTGATCTCTTCGTTCTCACCATGGATGGCAAGGTGCGTTTCGCGACTATCTGCCTCCAAGAGTGATACTGACCCCTCAGATCTTCCGGTATCACGAAAAGCCATTCGCGCAGAAACTCGAGCTTTTATATCAGCGGGACCTGTACCCTTATGCAATCAACCTTGCTCAAAAAGCAGGACTCGACGCCACCCAGAAGAACGTCATCCTGCGCAAATACGGAGATTTCCTATATCGCAAGCAAGACTACGACACAGCTATGCAAATGTATTTGAAGGCAATTGACAATACAGAGCCTTCTCAGGTCATTCGAAAGGTCAGTTTCTTATGCTTTTGTGAAGTTCTTCAAATTAATACAATTACTAGTTCCTCGACACGCAGAGAATTCATAATTTAATTGAGTATCTGGAAGAGCTCCACGAGCATCATAAAGCCACGTCAGACCACACCACATTACTTCTAAACTGCTACGCAAAACTGAAGGACGTGGACAAACTTGAGGAGTTCATCAAATCGCCTGGCGATCTCAAGTTTGATTTGGACACAGCCATCTCAATGTGTCGTCAGGGCGGTTACTATGACCAAGCCGCGTTTCTTGCACGAAAGCACGAAGAACATGAACTGGTAGTCGATATCTTGATTGAGGACTCGAAACGATATGCAGAGGCTCTCGCGTACATTTGGCGGTTGGAGCCGGAGACTGTAAGTTGAACTTTCGAGCCTATATCTTACTTTGCTCACATCGATAGTCATATCACAATCTCATGAAATACGCGACTGTCTTACTCGAGCATTGCCCGAAAGACGCTACCCAGATATTTATCGACTACTATACCGGTCGGTTTCGACCGAAAAAGGATGCTATTGTCATTCAGAATGCTCCTGCGACGCAAGGTATGGGCATGGGACTAGCATCAAACGCTGTACAGAATCTTGCTGCTCTTCTGCCTTTGCCATACATGAACACGAACACCATAGGGTCGCCTGCTTCTGCTGGGGAGCAAAAGACGACACTCAGTCAAGCTCAGATCGTGGAGACGAATCTTGACGAACCGCCTCCCGAGTACAAAGTGCCAAAGCCCAGGACCGCTTTCTCCGCCTTTGTGGACCATTCCGGAGAGTTCATAATCTTCTTAGAAGCATGTATAGAAGCAGACGAGCTAAGCGAAGATAACAAGAGTGATCTTTACACAACCCTGTTCGAAATGTATCTTCATACTGCAAGCTCGAAGAAGGACGACGAGAAAGAGCTATGGGAGACGAAAGCGAAGAAGTTGATCGAGGGTAAAGACGTAAGTTTTTTAGTCCAACAACTTCTAACAAAAACACTAATCATAATTAGGTACCAATCGACACATCAAATGTCCTCCTCCTTTCGCATCTCTCAAACTACCGCGACGGCACTATCCTCGTTCGTGAAAAACAAGGACTCCGCTTCGACATCTTCCGCTCCTATACCTCTGCTAAAGACACCGCCGGCGCCATCAAAGCGCTGCGCAAATACGGCCCCGAAGAACCGCAACTCTACCCAGCCGCCCTCGCCTACTTCACCTCATCCCCCACCATCCTCGAAGAAGCCGGCGACGAGCTCCACGCCGTGCTCCAAAAAATCGACGATGACGGCCTCATGGCGCCGCTCCAAGTCATCCAGACCCTCAGCGTCAACGGCGTCGCCACCATGGGCATGGTCAAAGACTATCTCGCTGCCACTATCGAGCGCGAGCGCCTCGAAATCGCAAACAACCGCCGCATGATCACTTCCTTCCGCGCTGACACGGACGTCAAGCGCGCTGACCTCGCAACTCTCAACACCAAGCCTGTCGTGTTCCAGGCTACGCGGTGTGCTAGCTGCGCCAGGCCGTTGTCCTTGCCCACGGTGCACTTTTTGTGTAAGCATAGCTTTCATCGGAGCTGCTTGAATACGAGTGAGGAGGATGAAGAGGACGTGGAGTGCCCGCTTTGTGCGCCGCAGAATGCGACGGTGAGGGCGATTCGAAAGGCGCAGGTTGAGAGTGCGGAAAGGCATGATTTGTTCCTGGATGCGCTGAAGAGGAGTAGGGATAAGTTTGGGACGGTTAGTGAGTGGTTTGGGAGGGGGGTTATGGGGGTTGGTGCGGCGGAGTAGCTGCTGCAGTGTGTGGAGTCGATAGCGTAATCGAAGCTGAAATTCTTTGGCTGTACTGGAAATGACATCTAGTATGATGTCGTGGCATTACCTATAAGATCTTCACGTCCAGATCATACAGCTGGCTCCCGTTTCCGCCTCTCGACTACGTGGACAGTTGGGCTTATTCTGTAGGCTGGTTTAGAGCCTCGAGGATGGCGAGAAGAATTGCCACGCTGATTGGGGCGTGTTTTGTATCGATTTGGCGTGAGGGTTAGGTAGTAGGCCAACTCCCATGCATACTTCTCAACATCGACCTAAGCACGGGAACCGGGTCGGCTTATCACGAGTATCGCTCACGATAACCATTCACTCAAGCTAGCCTTGACAGTGGTAACACAGCTTCCGACAACCTCCATCGCATCAAAACAGAATCTCAGTCCGAACTCTCTCATTAATCTCTCTAGGATACTATCATAACCGAGTCTCCATCGCATCAAGCAGAAACTCAGTCCGAATGCTCTCATTACTCTGTCTAGGATATCACTATAACCGCTCACAACCGATAGCAAGAAAGCAGGACATCGTTCCGTGGGATATAGATCGCGCTATAGTACGAAACCAAAGTCCTCCCCTTCCCCCCATTGACAATTTTCGCTGTGTCAGAAACGAGAGTGGTTAGAATTCGAATGCGCAGTACCCCCGTTCGCCCTATTTGCATGCCTCCGCGGAAAGAACTTCGCGCGCCATACACTTATCGACGCCTCGTTGAAGCCGTAGATTAGCGCATCCGCGAAGCCTTGGATGACGATGCACGACTGTATGTGGATAAGTAGGGGTTGCAGAGATCTAGGTTTAGCGGGGAGGTGGTCTTACCTTGTCAACCGTCGCGATACCGAACGGCGCCGGCTTTCCCGTAACAGCTTGGTAGATGCGGACAGCCGTTGGAATTGTCCAGATTATCATGTATACGATTGGGTACATCATCATCTGGTACGCCATTTTCTTCAGCACGGGGTTCGGGCCGCGCGTGTGCGTCATGAGGCGGAGGGGTGGGTCGGCATCGGGACTACTTTCGGAGTCGCGGGTGGGAGTTGAGGAGAAAATCGTAGCGGGCTTGCCAATGCGGGCGGTGGAGGAGACGGAGGAGGCTTCGGGTTCGAGGGTGCGCTCGATGGAGCCGGAGGGGTGGTCGAAGCTGTGGAAGCGGTTGTGGGCTTTGTGGATGAGGAGGTACAGGCGGGCGTACAGGGCGAGAATGGCGATAATGATGAGCCAGCGGGGAATGAAGTTGACGAGGAGGCGGGTTTTGTCGGATGTGAACCAGCACCCTGCGAATTTGTCAGTAGTTGGAGGCTGCGGTCTTGAAGTCGAGACGTACATGCTCCGATATCGCCGTACCCGATGAGGCCCATTCCTAGAGCAGCCCATAAGATGGAAAATCCCCATGGTAAACACCAGAGAATGATACGGTGCTCTTGCACCCACTGTGATTGGCGTTTGTAGTTGGCTACAATGAAGAAGGTGCATACGGCAATGAGCAGGACCCAGTAATCCGCTTCACTGAGCATCAGCTAATTGTAGCAGCACCTCAAAGCGATGGACTTACTTTGGACGACGAAAACTTGGGTCATGAAGCCGTTGAAGTCGCAGAACTTCTCCTGTGGCTTTTCTGATATGATGTGACCAGAGATGTTGACCGCAGATGAAGACATGAAATTAACCGCCATCAAGAAGTCACTGATTGCCAATCCAAGAATAAGCTGATGCCGAAATGTTCTGACGGATCTAAAAAGCTTTGAGAGTCAGGATTTATCATTACGAGAGGATCGCAATTATCAACTAACTATGAAGCTGACAACAATCCATCCCGCACCTACAGCAGAGATTATGCCGACAATAAGGATGACGATATTCAGCGTATGTATCTCAGCCCTTTTAGCGGGTGCGGACAACGGCTCTCCTCTCGGTGATAGAAACATATTGAGTAGTACTGAAGAATGATCGACGCTGTCAAACGTGCAAGCCTCGATCTTGCGGCTTGATCATATATATTGGGAGCATATCTTATCGAGCAACCTTGCTCACAGAGAAGGGAAGTAAAGAAAGCTGATTGCTGTCAGGGTTGCAGAGGCGGGAGGATCATTGCTTGTGGCTTATCTCGTTCGAGGTTGGAGAAAAAGCAACGCGCTCAACCCTTGCCGCAACATAAAGTTGAGACAGGTTTTGGGCAAGAAAATAGAATAGCGTGAGGCTTTCATTGGGCAAACTGGAAACATCGCCCCATGGGTTGCTGGTCGGAACGTGGCATTGTACTGTGCGTATTCTCTCACCTACCTCATCAGGTCGTGGCGTCTCTGATCATTTCTACATTTTGGCTGACATCTGGAGGTATTTTCCGCAAGCCGCCAGCCACAAAATGTTCCAAACGTCTCTCGTAGGTTGATCAAGGGACCCCGCCTGTTAGGTGCATGCAGGTACATGATAGCCGTAGGGTGTTAGGGGTAGTCGAGGGATTTCATGCATGCGGAAACGGAAACGTCAGGTTTAGGCTCGAGGTGGCAAAGGGCGTGGGGAGCGAAGGAAGAAAAAGCACTTTTCCGCATGCCGCTAAGTGCTCTGAGCCACCGGTGATCTGTTATCAGCTTAGATGTCTCCTCGGTACTGAGTCCGAAGTCATTGCGAGATGGATATCGCCAAAGCTTGTTCATGAGGGTCTTGAATGGAGCGGGGTGCATGCTGTCAACGCAAGCAACGACGTACGTGGCTGCCAGCGTCAACTCACAATTGCAACCTCCATGATTCCTCTTCGCCTTTTGGTGGAGGGTCTGCTGCTTGCGTATAGTGCTTCTGAATCGCCGGCTGTCGGCGTATATGTGTAGTTGACTCGAAACGAGGAGACAAGAGGAAGCGTGCAGGATTCAAAGGATGCAGCCACTCGCATAGAATGAAAACAAGAGGTTGAGAGCTTATCAAACACGCTGCTGCGACTCAGTGAGAACAAGTCATTGACAACCCACTTCATGATTGAAGGGGGGTTGTCGTGGGCACGGAGTTGGCAATTCCTCGTTATGGCGCGAGAGTCGCTGTAGCTCGTCGGTAGTTTTCACTGGGCCGTTTCAAGATACCCGCATGATCTCGAGGCAGCTCGTGTAGCAGTCGTCGCCCATGCATTGCTCGTGCTAACGGTGTGCTAGTCGATGATGGGGACGTCTCGTCTCTCGTTCGTCAACTTGGGAAGCGATTGATGAAACGCAGGTGGGCCGATCCGGGTGGGATGATAGACAAAAGGTTCCTCGTCTTAAGCTGAGATCTGCCACAGTAAGTGGTAGACGGTAGCAGGCGTCGGCTTGTGACGGTGGTGGTCGTGTCTGGAGTTGGGTTGATCTGCTTCGAGGGCTCGAGTGAAAGGCTCACATGACCCGCCGAGCCCCGGCATCAACTTTCGTGATGCGATTGATCGCTACACCTGGCAACACTCCCAACTGCACGCCAGCCAGAACAAGATGCCGGATCGACTGCATACGGACATTCCTGGACTATGGCCCTTCGCCGCCGAGATGTAATTATCGCAGCAATCGTCGCGTTCATCGCTTGGGGATTCGTCACCCACTGGATCCCCACCCTACGCTATCTCCCCTATGCCTTCTGCGCCGGCGTTGCCAGCACCGCCGCCCTCCTGCTATGGTTTACACTCACGACCTCGAGGGATCTGCAATACTGGAATAATGGGGAGGCTCTATACGGAAGCAGGACGGTGGCACTTGTTGCGCCCGGGTTATGGACCGCGGAAACGGGGGCGTTGACCAAGAGGTCCTTATACGAAAAAGAGCGGCTATATCCACAATCAATTGTCATTTCCGATAAAATTGATGGCCTAATCGACCTTACACTTCGAGACTTTGTGCAAACTTGGTACGGAAAAATCAGTCCAAGGCCGACCTTCACCAATGAGGTTGATCGAGCAGTCCGGGCTGCGCTGGTGGATATACGGGATAGGATGTTTGCAGTGGACATAGTCGAAGTGGTGGTATCTAGAATGGTGCCCCTCATTACTGGACATATGAAAGACTTCTATGAGGCGGAGCGAGTTGTTCGCGGCAAAAAGCTCACTCGCAGTCTCACGGAATCTGAAGAGGTCGATCTTGCTGTTGCAGCCAAGTATAAGGATGGGAAATTGCACTCAGCAGCGTCTCTGGCGTCTTCGAATACGAAACTTGTACAGCAACAGTATTTGCGAAGCATCGTCACAAGATTGATTCCGAAAGTCCTACCACCGGCCATGACCACTAGCTCTACTGTGCTCGTATTGATCAAGGAGGTAGTCGCATGCGCAGTCTTGTTTCCGGTGATGCAAATGCTCTCTGATCCGGACACATGGAATCAATTGATGGAGGCATATGTAAGGTAGCCGAGTGTTTATTTGACGTCTACTAATCGAATTGCAGGGCCGAAGCGTGCTACAAGACCGCAAGACAGTTCGCAAGCTCCGCGCTGCTCTCGATGAGCATGCTCCCCCTTCGCCAATATCTCCAAAGAACGTCCAGTTCCCGAAGTTGTCTCCTAACGACAACGAGCGAAAATTTGAGAGGTTCATTCGAGCCATCAGGCAGACCAACACCCTTGCCGATGCACGCCGCTTCCGGAGCGAGATTGCAGGACAACTACGTCGGGAATCAGCTGTAGAAGGGCAAGACTCTATGTATCTTCGCCGGCTTGAGACTGCAAAGCGAATCCTAGACCAAAAGGTTACCACTCTGGGTGCCGGGGGATCAGTCAAAGGAAAACTGTCAATTCAGCCGCCCCAATCGGGGCACAGGAGAACGGCCTCCAAATTCGAGAAAGCATCTTTGAGAGATATCCTATATGATGCCACTGGGCTATCTTGTTTCATGGAGTACATGGATCGTTTGAATCTTATGCGCCTAGTCCAGTTCTGGATTGTCGTCGATGGCTTTCGCAACCCTCTAGAGCAAGGTACAGACGAACCGGAGGACTACTTTGGAACAAAGGCCTCATGGACAGACTCAGATCGTGCTGATCTTGCGCAAATAAACAATGACTACCTAACGAGACCCGAGCTGAAAGTTACACCCCAGGCTCGACAAGCTGTCAAAGACTTCTTGGCAGCTGGAAGAACCGCTACCCCTTTACAGTATCAGGTAGCTCGTAGGGCTATTCTACAGGCTCAAACGGCTGTGTATGAAGATATGACGGAACCCCACTTTCGACGTTTCAAGAAGTCGGATCTTTATTTCAAGCTACTCGCCTTGGACGAAGCGTCTGGCCCAAGCCCATCTAGTCCAACGAAGGCCAATAATAGCGTTCCTAATGCTACGAGAGCTCCCACTATACCACCTGCTAAAATGGCTCGTGCACAGACGTCACGACACGTTTTGCACGTCCCCGATCTACGCAGAGCCGCTGTGTCTTCGTCAGATCTCAAAGGTTACAATAAGTCTCTTGAAACAGAACCCCCACTCAGACGCTCATTAGATGGGGGCCGTGCGCCGTTGTTTGACGACGACTACGATAGCGATCCCCTGGCTCGATCTACACAAAGCCTCGACTCAGAGCCTGAACATGCACGTCCCGCTGGTAACGATGCTAAGATCGTTGATGCCATGCAAGCAGCATTGAACGATATTATGGAGGACAAGCCTGACAAAGGGTCAATATTCTCTGAGCAGGGCGTCAGTGCTCTCAATTCTCCTCTGGACAATGAGTCCATGAAAGGTTCGATCGAGCTACCCCGTGCTACTTCGCCAATGCCATTGATGTCGAAAAAGGAGAGGGAGAAGAAGAGTATTGCCTCTCTTGGACTCGTCGGCGAACCATCTCGTCTTGGAGTCTTCACAGAAGACGACCTGTTCGGCGATGAGGAAAAGTTCCTTGAAGACGAGGTTGAAGATCCTGACGTTGCTCAGAATACTGACGACGAAGAGATTCACGAAGCTGCTCCTGGAGATCTAGGACTAGCCGAAGCGATTGACGCCCTCACTGCAGATATCGAGAGACTGGTAGCACAGGATTCTATCGTGGACTCGCTCACTACGAAGGCTGAACTGACAAACAATGCTGCAGAGCTTAGAATTCTCCGTAAATCTAAAGCAAGCTTACAGAGAGAGATACATCGTAAAGAGCTACAGAGGCAGCAATACATTGTTCAAGAAAGTGACAATAGCTTATACGGCCGTGCCACTGTCTTCATCCAATCTATCATGGTGGGAAACGAAGAGGACGGTCGAGAATACGCAATGTGTAAGTTCAATTTTACGCCATGGCTACCATTGGAGGTCTTGACTAACCTGTGCAGACGTCATTGAGGTCCGACGTCGAGCTGGAGACCAAATGCCCGCTGCAGCGTGGGTGGTGACACGCCGATATAGCGAGTTCCATGACCTGAACAAAAGGCTCCGCGCGAAATATCCACAAGTCAGAAATCTTGAGTTCCCTCGTCGACAGATGGTCTTGAAGTTGCAGAAAGACTTCCTACAGAAGAGAAGGCTAGGACTAGAAAGATATCTACGGGTATGGCCTCTGCCCTCACACTACACTCCCATCCTCCACTAACAGCACGCTCCCGCAGGAACTCCTCCTCATCCCCGCCATTTGTCGCAGCCGTGAACTCCGCGCCTTCCTCTCTCAAGCCGCCATCTCCCCTACAGACCCCAACTCCTCCCAAGCTTCCGACAGCCGCGACTTCGTCACGCGCATCTACAACTCCGTCACCGACGGCATGGAAGAATTCCTCGGCAACATCCCCGTCCTCGACCAGCTCTCCGTCGCCGGCCAGAACCTCATCTCGGCCGCGACATCGCAGCTGGCCCAAAACGGCGGCAGCGGCGCCCCAGTGGTCCCGACCTCTACCCTCCTGGGCGCGGGCCCCGACCACCCAACCACCGACGCCGAAGCAGAGGCCGAGCTGCGCGCCTTCGAGAACCGCGAGCTCGAGCCCTTCGTCAAGCCCATCTGCGACCTCTTCCTCGAAGCCTTCGAGCTGAACCGCGAGACCAACTGGCTGCGCGGGCGCGCCGTCGTCGTCGTGCTGCACCAGCTGCTCGGCGGCACCATCGAGCGCAAAGTGCGCGAGCACGCCAAGCTCTTCCTGGCCGAGGCCAACGTGCTCAAGTACCTCGATCTGGCCCGCGACACCATGTGGCCCGCGGGCGGGACGCTGCGCGAGGCCGCCGCCGCCGCCGCGCCGCGCACGGCGGCGGACAAGGCGCGCAGTCGCAAGGAGGCCGGGCTGGTGCTCGCGACGCTGGTGCCGGAGCTGGCGGGGAGTGTGGTGGGCAGGGCGAATGCGCAGGCCGCGAGTCGGAGGGTTTTGGCAACGGTGAATAATCAGCGGTTGAAGTAAGTTTTTTG